TCGAGTATATATAAGGGGGGGGGGAGGGGAGGAGAGAGAGAGAGAGAGAGACTATAATAGTGAGGAAGGGGGGCCTTGTCGCAGTCGATTATACATACATGTATGATGTAATTCACGTACGGCGAAATTTATCCTGCCCGGTGTTGAATTCGGGCAGGATCGAATACACTACCTCTATTGATACGGAAGAAAAGAAAAAGAGAGGGAAATTTCAATATATTTATTCGGCTTTTTTGGGGGGGGGGGGGCAATCGTGTGTCGTTGGATGCGTGGAGAATGAATGAATCATCATGCCACGCTTTCTCTTCTCTCCTGTATCAAGGACTCAATCTGTCTGTCGATTTTCATCTGTTTTTACCCCCATTCACACCATTGTGACCTGATGAGTGCCTAGGAAAAAAGAAAAGTACAAAAATCAGTGAGGGGGGGATGATGATATCCCCCCTCCCCCTATCCCAAAGCAAACCCGACCAACGCCACTCCAGTCAGTGCGATAGGCATCATCATCGTCAATACGGTCTGTGTCACAAGCGTGACTAGAAGATTCTGAGACGTGGACGTAGTTTTGGCGGACCTAAGTATACCAGGAATGTTAGTCCTCGCGCCTGCTGAGGATTGGGAAGGATGCATGCTCGCGGCAGGGCCAGCAGTCGCACCGGAATTGGATGTCTTCTCCGGGGGGTTCAATGGGAACATACTCGTTACTGGGACTGCTTCTATCGGGACACTTGACTCCGACCGAGGGGCACGGCGTGGTGACCATGTTTGGTTCAGCAGCAAAAGGGACTGTACGGTTTCAAGGGCGGACATTTGCTGGCCTGTGGGAAAAGGTCAGTCAGTCGTCATATATATATATATATCGACATGATGGGCCGTATACAATCGGTAATAATGTACTTACCAACGCCGAATGATCCATCGTAGCCACCGGTATACCACTTCTGCCCACAGCTTTGCGTTTGGGAGGGTCCAGAGCAGGATTTCCCAGCCGCTATTGCTGAAGCTCGGAGACGCTTTGCGATATTGTCGGCAATGCTGGGATACACCACTGCAGATTTCGAGAGCCAGCGAGCGAGGTACGCCTTGAATGAGTACTGATCGTTGTTACAAGTGCCGAACGGCTCGCAAGATGCCTCGTACATGCTGCTTCACGTCAGTCATCCACTACTACAAGACCTTCATGCCGTGTAGCTTCGGCTGAAAACTTACACATCTGTTGAGTTGTTGATATCGCCACCAGGCAGGAAGAATGTGTTCTCAATCGATGTCAGCAGACCTTCCGTTCTGTCCTTCCATACTTGCTCATTGGTGAAGTTAGCCATGATGGAAGTGCCGTAGAGAAGTACAGCAGGATTGTATGTCCACTGGGTGTGATCGAGCTGGGTGCAGTTGATGGTGTCGTCGGAGCCATCAAAGACTTGGTAATTAGACGAAATAAGCCCAACGCCGTCCATCCAGTCCCATGTACGCTCAGCCCAGTCGACGTAGGTCTTATTACCAGTGAAGCGGGCCAGTCGAGCGGAGATCTGTAGGAATGCGCCGTTGCTGATTGAATTTCGATAGTCGTAGCCTTTGTTGGATTGGAATATCTGCCACTTCAATCCTCCACCGCAGTTCGTAGTGTTCCAGCGAGCCACTTGTGTGTTCCACACCGCAATGGCGAGATCGATCCATCGCGAGACTCGTTGGCCTGCAGGAAACGGAAAGCCATACTCTTCTGCCGAGAGTACTGCGAGGGCCCAGAAAGCCTACAGCATGTACTTAGTGAATGTGTCCCCCTCATATGTGAAGACACAACAACATATTCATACCTGGTCATCGTTACCAAGTGAGGCGAAATACGCCGGTGGCATGTAGTTCCAATCGGGACCGACTTGAGCCAGTAGTGCTTGTGTGATCACAGCGTTGTAACTGGAATCATTCGTATACGCCCAGTAGTCGACCATGCCTCCCCACATGGCACCCGCTTGCCACCAGTACAGCGGCGCAGGGAGAGTGCCAATGGCCGTTGATGCTGTGTTGCTCATATTGTTCTGGTAGAAGGACTGTAGACCGAACGCAAGAGACTGAGATGCAGCGCGAATTGATGCAGGGTCATCGACGTCAATGTCGAGTGCAGTTGCTATTGGCAATGCAGCAGCCAGCGCTGCGAGCATTGTTGCGAGCAACATGTTCGGGGTGTGTACTGAATGAATGTCTTGACAGTAGAAGATCTTTGCTCGTAACGCCGTAAGCTCTTTTCAGGTGACGCACAAAACGTGACGATATTTGTAGGAAATGAGTGTGGGACTTCGCGAAGGAGAGGAAGAGTCGGTGGCAATTGTTCGCCACGTCTGCGTAGGAAGAAGCAAACGAGCTACCTCCTAGAGGTCTTAGCCTTCAGGCCGGGCTTGCTGCAGCAAGCGGATACTTGACTTGCCTCGAGCGTTGAATATGTGGCTTGCAACACAGAACCAGCCTGTGATACAGCGTCGTGTTGCTTGGTGCGTCGATGCAATTCACCTCTTGTTTGTTGTCTGAGAGCCGTTCTGTAGTCCGGTGAAACGCGAAAGATCAGGGGGTGACGCACGCGGCTTGCGGCTCGATGCTTGAAGCTTGCTTGTGTTTCGGTTTCATATAACGCTGGTGAAGCTGAAGCTGCGATTGGCGATGGAGATATTTCTGGAGGGCACTCGAGAAGATGAGAAGCGCGACATGTATCGGTAGGCGCGGGTAGAAAGGAGGCTCCCGATTGTTGCTGCTCGATAGATGATATTATTGTTGGCTCAATGGGCCTACCTAGGTATTGTTGATCGTGGAGAAGTTCGATTGTGGCCGCATCAATAACGAGGACCTGAAGGCACGAACGCATATGGTGGACACGTTGGCAGTCGCAATGGCCACGTTCACTTGTGTTGCCACACCCGCCACGTGCTCATCAGGAAGTGAATAGTAATAGTACCGCGATGGTTGTGCGAATTGCTCGTGGCGAGGCTGGAAACACAATAGTCGCACCGTTCCAGCGCAGTGACTGTCGTGCAGGGCGACTTGAAGTGAATTGCAGCCATTGATCTTGTGGTGTGATTACAGTATTGTATTGTTGATCTGTCAATACGTGTAGGTTACAGCAGGAGATGATGGGGAGATGATGGGAGGTGAGGGTAGAGATGAATTCCATGATGGGAAAGCTTGGACACTCTCGCGCCGCTTGTTCCGAAAATTTCCCATCACGTTCTAGGGAGGTGAATAACCACCTTTCCCCTTTCTGGCCTCCCTGAAAAGCCCATCATGGAACGCGCGAGGAGGAAAGAAAAAAGGAAGACACACCCCCTCACAGAGAGAGAGAGAGAGAGAGAGAGAGAGAGAGAGAGATGCATACGTGAATCGTGCTTCAAAAAGTCATCATGGACATGCAATTCCAAGTCTACATACTTCAAAATATTCAGTGCGCGTGCCCAAATTGCGTGAGCAAAGGGAGCAACATCCCCCCGACCGTCACCATCGTCTCCGTGACGCCCTTTTCTGGAACACGTTTGGCAGCAGGTGTCGAGCCACCATAGCCTTCCTCCACTGGGATCCCGGCATAACCATTCATGCCCCCGGATGGCCTCCCATCATCATATTCATGCTCACTACTTCCCGACAGCGTATGCATAGCCACATACAGAAACGTGCCTCCACTGAAGAGTAATAACGTCCCTGTAAAGAACTCCGCGCTCGCACTTTCCACACTATCCCCACCATAACCAAGCACATGAATGGCCAGGAAAGTGAAAAGTGCTCCCGCAGGCGCAGCCGCGGAGAAGATGATCAAATGCGTTCGTGCCATTCTCTTGGAAAGACCCTGTTTGAGCAGAACGGAAGTGAGACCAAATGCTGCGGGGGCTTTGTGAATCATCAACGCTACGAAAATGATGAAGCTCAGGTTGCTGCTCGATGTGGACGACGCGCCGAGCGCGACGCCGTCCGCTGCGGCGTGAATCACCAGACCGATTGTCGTCGAGCTAGGTCGGAAGGTGTGGGTATGCGGTGCTTCGTCTGCAATGGCTGGGGCATCGCCTGGCGGAAGGCCATTGGTGAAGCTGAAAGAGTTGAGGTTGATCTGTGGTCTCTGAGGTCGCGAGGACTTGTTCAAATGTTGTGGCAGAGTGTCAATGAGGTACATGAGAATGAAGCCGAGAATCACAGAGATCCCTATCCAGGCATGAGGTTCTCTGTCTATTGTATCGCTGGTGTGGCCTGGGCCAGATGGAGTGACTATCACTCCTGGTTCGTGGCCCGGGTCCGTTGCGGGAGGAGTCGAGCCTTCTGCTTCGGCTGCTGTTTGAAAGCCATCGTCGGGCCCACTGCGGAAGCCTGGATGTTCACTCAAGTCTAGAGCTGCTGCGGCGGGAGAGTCTCGCTCCCATGCCGCCACTCCTACATCGCCTCCTGGAATCTGGGCTCTGTTCCCCACGTGTAGACTCCGAGTATCCCGACTATGTGTTCCGCTCGCTGCATAGAGCGTTTCTACTCCTTCTGGGATGATGACTATGAGCGCGGTCCCAACCAAGACTCCCGTGCCCAAGGATGTGATGAGGCGCAACTGTCGCGGTGTGAGGGCGAAGGAGAGTGGGAGGATGCCGGCTGCGAACGAGCTTCAGGAAATCAGTATGCATTGCAGTCGACCGTGGGACCTGGTGTACATAGTATAGACTCACGCGCCAGCCATAACCGCGCTCAACAAGAGCAGAAGAAGAAATCCGTCCCACATCTTGACCGAGTCCGGCGAGGGAGTGTGCGACTTGCTGGCCTCAATGCGCCAGGGTGTATAGTCTTATAGTATAGCGAACGCGCCTTTTCCCGTTTCGTCTCCGTGGTTATTGGTCCATCCTCCGATATGCCTTCTTTTTCTGCAACTGGCGTCGTAACGGTCGGTATACTCGTGGAGCGGAAGTGAATGACTGGAGGAATGTCAAAAGGTTTCGAGGCGTATCGAGAAGGTAAGTTGGTCCAATAATGGGAATGGAGAAAGGAGGGCAAGCAGAGCAACCGCTGCTGCCTTTCTTGGATGATGTCGATCCGCAGTCGCGTCGCGTCTGATAGTTCTAGTTCTAGTTCTACCTCAGTTTGAGCTCTACATAACTTCCACCACACCACACACCATACACCACCCACCACCCACCACACCTCACCAACCTTGACTCCAATCCCATATCATCGACCATCGCAGAGCAATCACAGGCCCACTCAAGCGAGATGGCGCGGCAACCGTCCACCGACATGGACGACGACGACGAGTTGACGGCCGAGATTCAGGCGCAAGTCGACGAGTGGTCCAGCAACAGCAACGAGTGCCTCACCGTGCAACTCACGCGCCGCGATGGCTCAATTGTCGCATCCTTCCAGCCAGAGTTCACGTACGCCATGTTTGGCAACGAGGAGGCTATCTTCGGATACCAAGACCTACACATCATTCTGTCCTTCGTTGCCGACAGCCTCGAACCCAAGCTGGACATCACGTACGAGAAGAAATTCCCATCGCAAGGTGATGTGAAGCCCACGGACATCAAACTGGCTCTGAGCGACTTCCTGCCGAGCTCGGCATTTGGCAGGACGTCGAGCCACAAAAAGGACACGAGTTTCAAGCCGCCAGGCGAGAAGATACACACTTACACCAGAAATGGATCGCGCTTTGAAACATACTGCGCCAGCTTGGCCGACTCGGCAGCGAGGGAGATTCTCGAAAACATGCAGATCCTCGTGCCTATGTTTATCGACGGCGGAAGTACTTTGGAGCTCGATCAGGACTGGACGGCTGCCAGATGGAAGTTATTCTTGGTGTACGAAGTCAGCGATGCCACATATACCTTTGCTGGCTTTGGCACTTCATATCGCAACTTCACCTTTCCCGAGCGCAAAAAGGCTGTCCAATTCGATCCATTCTCGCCCTCATCACAAGCGCTCGATGCTTTCCTGGCTGTAGATGGAGGAACGAATCAGTTTGCACAGCCTGCTGATTTTGACTCGCCTCTTGACCTACCGTCTCGCGAACGCCTTTCGCAATTTCTCATGCTGCCCCCCTGGCATGGGAAGGGACACGGTCAGGAGCTCTACAAGGCCATGTTCACGCATCTCACGATTCCAGACAGTGTACGCGAATTCACTGTTGAGGATCCCAATGAGAGATTCGATGACCTGCGAGACTTTTGCGATCTGCTCTACTTGCGCGCCAACGTGCCTGAATTTGCGGAGCTTCGCATACAGACTGGTATACCGCCGGAAAAGCTCGAGGCGAGAGCCAACATCCCCGTGGAGCTCATCGTACCCGCTGGCGTCAGGAAGGACATCATGGCTCGAACAAAGATCATGCCGCGTCAATTTGACAGACTCGTCGAAATGCATACCCTCTCGCACATTCCTCATCAGCATCGCACACGCAGTCGATTGACCAAGAAGATGAACGCTACCAATGATGACGACAAGGCGTACTACCTGTGGCGGCTGTATGCCAAGCACCGGCTTTACAATTTCAACAAAGATCAACTGGCACAGGTCGAGCATGAGGAACGAGTGGAGAAGGTCGAATCTGCATTGGACAGTGTGCAGCATCAGTACTCGGAGACGATCGCAAAGGTAGAGGAGCGCGAGAGGGCTATCGCAGCCGGCGAAATCGAGACCAGTGATGATGTTGCAGCGGAACCGGGAGCTACTAAGCGCAAGCGTTGGACTGTCGTTGATGACGAAGACGAGGTTATGGAGGAGACTGAGGCGTCCGGAAATGGTCAAGCTGATAGTAATGGACACAAGAAAAAGGCTCGGGTGACTTGAATGCTTGCCCGTGTTTTGACATGATGTCAGAAGCCGGGAGGAGCGAGGCAATTCATGGTGGAAAACGCCTTGCTTAGGCTTGCTGATAGGAGGTAGGAGGTACTCCAGCCTGCACTGACTACTGCAGTCTGCAGTCTGCAGTGCAGGCAACACAACATGCTTGCTCCACGCGAGCTGCACCTGCATGTGCCGAAACTCAAAAGTACAGGACTCTGCCACTCTGCAAAAGTTACTAAGAGGTATTACGGACCGACAGGCACGCAGCTTGCACTCTAAACGACACCGACCGGAGACGAGCCCCAGAGACAGTGGCAGTCACCAACGAGACGACTGATCAGTCATTCACGGTCAGCAGGATCGGGCCTGGAAAAGTTTGGCCGATCTCACCCCTAACGCGACTTGAGTGCGTTATCTGTGATGAGATTCACGCACCAGTTCACGCACCAGTAAATCGGAGAGGAGGGGTTCCTCCAGGGTAACAATCTCTAGAATAAAGTAGTGTTGTAGAGATGCGCGTATTCAGACTTGCCCGATTGAATTCTGATAACTATATGTGCCTACCCTTGCCCGCCGCTGAGAAAAAGGTGATGATCATGACGAAGGAGTTGTGTCTCTCTCGCTCTCTGTTTCTCTCTCTCTCTCTTGTGTTCTCCTGCTTTTCGTCTCTGAAAAAAAAAGTGAGAATCATGCCTCCCGTCCAGGTTGTTCCCCTTCTGGTAGAACTATAGAAGTAACCTGGAATGTAGTAGGAGGTAGTTCTCTCTGAGACTGAAGGATTTCCCGGACAAAATATGTCATAATTCATAGCCACATCCAGCCCCCCTCCCCTCCCCCCCTCCCCTGGGAATGTATCTGTATGTAGGAGGTCTCCCGTCCTGTTCACCATCGCGATTTTCATCATCTTCATCATCATCGCAAACAGTACTGTCATTGACCCAGCGCCGAACCGGATTCTGTTTGTATACAGACAAAAAAAAATTGATTCAAAAAAAGAAAAAGAAAAGAAAAAAAAAAAGAAACCACCCCCTCCCCCCCTTCTCCCATTCGAGAACACTCGCCGCACTCGTCGTGCCTTCGCACCACTCCGCCACCCATCGTCGTGTCGCCTCGCCTCTTCTACGTATTGTCGCCGGCAGAATTATTCGAGCCTTGCAGATTCGGAAAAGCCAATAAAGACGCCGCCGCTGCCGCTGACCCCGACGCCGATAATGATGATGATGACGATGATGATGCCGCCGCCGCCACCGCCGCCGCCGCTGCCGCCTGCTGGCCCAGTGTGAAGTTTTCAGGAGACTCTGCCATGAGCAGACTCAAATTCGGCGCAGCGTCTCTACTCAATAATTGCTGTGGCGCAGATTTCAACTGCGCGACGATTTTGTCGACGTCGCAGCCCAAGCGTAGAAAGGCCAGCAATAGGGCCTGAATTATCATCCGAGGGGCGGGCGGAGAATTGTACCACTGGTTAGCGAATATTGCACTGTATGGGGGGGGGGGGGGTTCTTTTGCTTTTTGTTCATTTCTGGGTGGGGCTATACCACCACCATCACCATCACCATCACCATCACTATCACCTCTCTCTCTCTCTCTCTCTTTCTAGCTACCGGTCGGTGCAAAACTTACGGACTCTTGGTCTGATCGCGTGCGAAGCTGATCGAATAGGTATTCGAGATTCTCGGTCTTGGTCGTCGACTTGTGCAGTTTCATCTGTCATACCTCGACTGTTGTTATTAACTGACTTCGACAAGAGAGAACATCCTACTACGGCTACTGCTCGAAGAAGGTTATATGGAGCCCGAAGAGCGATCCGCCTTTTTCCACGGATTTCTTTTTCTTTTTCTTTTTCCTCTTTTTCTTCTTTTTCTTTTTTGGGGGAAGGAGGAAACCGTCCACGAACCTTTAATGATCCCACTCTCGTCAATCCTTCATCATACTCGTACGCACACTCGACCGCTCGACGCAAGCAGGAAGCACACGCCGGTCGCTCGCCCGAGCACTGCAGAGGCACACATCATCAATCAGCAAAAAGGGCAAGGCCACCGTAAGGCACGGGGGAGAGACAAAAGATTTTCGCATCTCGAATTGGGCGGCATGGCGTACTTTGCCCTTTCGTCTTCGACACGGCCAGCACGCAACATCCACAATCTTCTTCTGGTATGGCGTCGTCGTCCTGTCACTGCTGGCCGACCCTGCCCGTGGGTTCTGGTCACTCTGGTTGTTGATAATTCTCGAATCAGTTTTTTTTTTCTCACCAAATAACGACAACAAGAACAACCACAATTGGTGTCAGCCCCCTCCTCCCCCCACCCACCCTCGCCCCCCGGTGTTGGGTTCGTGTCAGCAGCAGCAGCAGGGAGCCTCGATGGGACGCACCGTGTCGGATAGTTGTTGGTCTGCGACAGATCCAGCAGGGCCAGCGTTGTTGGGGAGTTCCACAAAGTGATTTCCGGTGCTATCTCCCATGCTCGAGCGGTGATCGCAGCAGCAGCAGCAAGTGGCACGAAAGAACGAAAGAAAATAAAAAGAATACAAGTATCTTTCGGGTGATAGACCGATATCGATGCCCAAGCTGTTTTTTTGTCGCCCGCGGCTACTCCTCCTCCTCCTCTCCTCCTCCTCCTCTCCTACTTCTACTTCTACTTCTACTTCTACTACTGTAAGTAAAGCACCACACAATGTTTTATTTTCTCCCTGCTTATTTACGGTGGACGACTCATTGATATTTCGCGCGTCATGTGCAATGATAGAGAGAGCGAGGGAGAGAGAGAGTATGTGTGTGTATGTGCGTATGTGTCTGTGTGTGAGTGAGAAGGTTGGCTGCAAGGGAGGTCTTGGAAAGGCGACCTTGAAGATCTGATACTGGCCCACCATCGGCACTCCTGGTGTGTGTGTGCATGTGTGTGTGTGTGTTGTGTGTGGACCGGCCTTTGGAGCTGCACAAAACGGCGTCTGGGATGACGGCAATTCCATTGCTGGTAACGAACGAACGAACGAACCACAGGTACATCTCTCAGCGGCTTTGCGGAGCAAGGAGAGTAACGGGAGGTAGTAGGTACCTCGTCCAAGGTCACCAACAAGTGAATTCATCATCATCGGCATCATCATCGTTTGGGGGGGAACGGGGGGAACGGGGGGGTTGAACAGACTGCATGCTTGGGAACGCCTTTCAATCAGCAGCAGCCTCCTGCAGACCTTTCGTTTTAGCCCCCGTGTCACCACTAATAAACTGAGGATCCTCCGTCTGGGCCCTCTGGGGCAAATGATCCGTCACTCCGGCCATCTTTATGCTGGCTTTGCTAGGATACCTACATTTCCTCACTCTCGGAGGCGTGTCCGCCCCCGTTTGTGTTCTCGGAGCACCCGAAGAATAGCCTCACCGTTGTAAAGCTGGTCATGGCTCACTCTCACTCTCTCACTCATTCTCTCACTAGGTACTCTTGATTTTCACATGGGGGAGGAGGCTCGACACCTGTCCTCTCTAGCTAGACTTTGCTGGAACTTGTCTTGTTTTCTTTTTCCTGTTCTCCGTGCTCCTCACCACACAACCGCCACCTGCTCCAGCCGAAGTCGCGATCATCATCACTCATCGATCGACTTGGTAGATAATGTAGGTAGTACATGTATCTTCGCACGAAGCTCCGAGCCATGACGATGGGCGGGCTCCTCCTACTTACACGTGACGATGGACTCAGCCCCGAGTCCGACGTCTAGAACTTCCTTCCATAGTGTGTAACCCTTTATTTTTTTCTTTCTATTATTGAGGCGCAGCGGTCGGGAAAAACTTGTGCTATGCAGGCGAGAAGGGGCGGGCGGGCTTCTTCATATCCGGAATTTGCCACCACAAAAAAAGTCGTCAGGGACGGGCCACTGCATCAGCCAGCCACTGGGGGTTCATCCTCCTCGCGTACGAGCGCCTCGAATCTGCTACGTACAGTGCGGCTGATCTGTGGCTGGCTGTGAGTAAAAGAGTACGAAGTGTCTGATAGTTGGTGGTCAGCTTCGATGGAAGCTCCCAGGTTTTGACACCGCTAAAAAAAAACTATACAACTCTAACAAAGAGGCCAGATTCAACGAATACCAGAAAGCTCACCAATCGCAATTGTATCATCACCATACTCCTTCTACGAACGAACCCTCAAACATGGCTGCCCCGTTGAATTATGACAGGTCATGAGATTCTTGCTCCTATGCCGCATCTGCCTCCTCCTCCTCCTCGTACGCCCTAGACCCCGATTCTCGTCCGGTTGCAGAGACCGCGGTCTGCCTGACCAGTAGGCCTTGGAAAGCATGGCTCAGGAGCGCTCTCCACATACCTCTGTTGATCGGGGACAACTTCGAAGGCTGCCGACTTGTCCACGAAGGTGAGGGTGACTGGTGGGTACTCGCGCCAGACTCATGCCGTAGAGATACACACTGCTGCCAGCGCGTCGAGCGGTAGAATGCGCACGTCGCACGATACGATGGGAGATGCATCTGGTCACCTCGAGCAATGGTCCCCACTGTGGATTGTGCCTTTTCTCTCGCCCTGCACAGGTCGATCTCTCAACTGACATGCAGCCCTACCATGTCCTTCACCAAAGTCTCGAGGGTTGACGCTTCTACATCGGTGTGTCTCAGCCTTGTGTCTACGATGAACGTCGAGCGCACTTTGTCCAGATGGGGCAGGGCCGGAAAAGCGTGGTCGAGGCGGGCGAAGACTCTGTGCGCAAGCGCAGGGAGAACCACACCTTTGCGCACAGCGGTCGCTTGTATGCTTCTCAGAATTGCTCGGCATATGACGAACGACTGGGCGGCCCGTAGACACAGCAACAGTCCCAGAGAGAAGATATACCGGGCGTCCAGGTCGGAGTGCAGAACAGGCAATGCCGCCAAACAGACGTGCACCAGCGGCGCGAGGTTCTGAGACGGTGTACACTGGGGTGACCACTGTCGATCGAAGTGGAAGATGTTCGTCTTGAGCTGCTCCAAAGCCGCAAAGTACGTCGCGGTCATCAGCTCATCCGGCAGACCGGCTTCTCGGAGCGGCTTGCTGGAGGGCAGAAAGCTGGTGGGGCCGTCTGGCTCGAGCACAAAGGGGCTAAACAATTGCATCAGTGCCAGCTGGTAGTAGTTGTGAAGGCCGATAAGCTGAGGAGTGGAGACTCGAAGGCTCTTCAGGGGCTGGCGCAGCTCATGGTACCACTTGCGAAGACGCTCATAGATGGCCAGAGCAGCATCATGATGCGCTTTGGTCACGTTGTTGGTTTCATGTCTGCGATGTACTGGCATGATGTCGGCTACAATCAGGGACAGAGTAGATCGTGCGTACTGCAGCTGCCCTGGGAATTGACGGCATGTTCCTGGCCAAGGCCACGCAGCCCAGATATCGTCTGCTTCCGACTCAGGCTCCGCCATGATGGGTATTGCTGGACAATCAGTCATAGGCTGCAAATCGTTGATGAGTGACAAGTATCTGAGGGGATTTTTTGGGGGGTCATGTCAGCTTGCCGTCACAGGACCGCGAATACTAGTACTGACGACTTACGCTCTGTAATCAAATATACCCCAAGCTACAGCTTGTCGCCCTCTAGTACGCACAGCATGCTGCGCGCTTCGATCGAAGGTTTTGTGTGCCATTGCAGGGCGAAAAAAGCCAAGTACTCGTGCCAGCTGCTCAGCTTGAGCCAGGTAAGGCCAGCCAAATTTGTCTTGTCCTTTGAACTGATATACCAGGAACAATAACATCCCAGCAATGATCACCGCTGGAATCGCATCGTCGTGGCACATATCCCATTGCTGAGTTGCTGCTGCTAAACCAAAGTGCTCGGCTATGGCAGCTTTGTCGGGCTCAAGAAAGTAGAAGTTGCGACTCCCGAGCGCCATCATCGCGTGGATCAGCAATGAGCTACACAGCTCTGATGGCTGACCCTTGGCAAGCTGATCCAGGAAGAGATCTTCATCGAAAAATGTGAAGCTTGGGTGATCCCAAGTCAGAAAGCACCGTATGATGTTCCGAAAGGTCTCATCATCGAGATATGTCAGCCCCCAGTCATTGCTATGCGCCGCTTGGATTCTGGGATCGTAGTCGGAAAACGTGCCATCCTGCCATGGAGCTGACAGATGCCGTCTGCACTTCGACTCGGGAGCGGTCTCCTGGCTGGCGACACGCCTCAGATACGGCTGTTTGTCGCCTCCGTCCATCTGTGCCACTCTCTCGCTGTGCCGCGAATCTGACCTAGACCCGTGACACTTCTTTGGAGGATGCCCTGTTTGCCTTCCTGCACTGATCTCTAAGCGTTCTGGCGATACTTGGAAGCGAACAGCTTGGAGCGCTGACTCGATGTCACTCCCTGAGCGTACCGCTGAAAGCACACGCAAGGCTTCAGCATCTGAGCTTTCTCTCATAAGGGAGAATAGTGCTTGGTATTGTAAGAGCTGGGGCTGAATCTGCTCCAATTTCCTCTTGACAGCTGTAATTGGCGTGGCATCGGGATCTCGCTCCGAATCCCAGACACATAACGTCCTCCGGCGAGCACATGATGAACAGATTGGCCTCGTGCCATCGCACTGGAGTGCTCTTAGTATGGCTTCAGAAGGGCCGCGCACAACACGATATACCTTTGTTTTCTTGCTTCTGCATCTGTCACAGGCGACCGTGACCTGATCGCGCCTCTTCGATGCCGAGGACTTTGTCAACGAGGAAGCCATCAATGAGTGAGGATGAAGATGATCATCATGCCGACAAAAAAGCGAGATGAACATCTGAGGCAGTACAGTCTGCCACCACAAAGCGCTCCACTTTCTTCATATCCCGACACAGCGCACAGATCCCAGACAAGCACAATCCGGGGCGGCGGCATGTACGCCTTCTGGTAGCCTGCAGCAAGAACGCATCGTCATGACGATTGAGATCAGCCACAAGAGACGTCCGTACATGGTCATACTTAGCGAGGACGGAAGTAACAGGGAGCATGGACCGGGTGAGATGCCTCAGACTTTACACGGTGTCCTCGAAGGAAGCCTGTGGTCCATGTAATTCCCGCATGGCCTCGTGTACCCCGTCGTCTCTCTTCACGTCGTAAGACCAGCGATAGTGTCGCGCTGACCCGCCTGACATGTGCTATGTGGTCGAATGTCGTAGCTCGTGTTCCAGTGTCATGGTTCGACTTGAGTAGCATCTTTGTGCGGTCTTCGCTCCGCTTCTCTTGAGTGTCAGCCACAACAAATTGGAGATGGCCCCGTCGCCATTGCGCAACACGGGATCTCACTATACGCTGCCCAAATGAGAACGGGACTAGAGTGTGATGAAGCTGCGAGTTCATCCCGTAGTGACTTCACTACGACATGGCACCCTCTTTTCTGCTCCTTTCCGTTTCCGATATCCTGCAAAGCGTTGTTCGCCAGACTATGCTGCAACGTGCAACCAGCGTCTGCTACTGACACTGGTCAAATTTGTGGTCTTGAGTGAAGCAAACAAGCTGACTTCCAAAAGCTCCCGATGCCACTCCGTGTCGCAACTGGGCTTGCTCTCAGTGCTCATCGGACCATAATCGTTTGTCAGCTGTACCGGTTACTGCACAAAGACTTCTTGGGAATCGACAAACTCTCAATAACAGCATTGGACTCTGATAAGGGCACCCACCGCCCAGCCACCGAGGCGCATGAGAGGAGAGGCACAATGCGGTCTCCCGTCGAGAAGCAGAAACGTCCGGGATGCATATCAGTCTCCGTCCGCCGGATCACATGCGACCTGAGCGAAGGAGAAGGCTGCGAACATCCCAGCTTGTCTGCATACGTGGCAGCAATCCACCATAATCATGTCGTGACCGGCCAGATCAAGCTCTATAGGCTTAGTGTCGTCGATATGAAACCAGCTGGAACGGGAGAAATGTGGCGTCAATGTCAGTCCTACGATAGCATGCATTTCGGCGGCAAACTGAACAAGATTGAGAACTTTCTTGCGAACGAAAGCTTCTTCGCAGAAGCTGCCGTGGCCATTGGCGAGGCAGACGAGATTGTGTATATCGAGGAAGTGGTTCTCGACAAGAGTTCTCGCGGCCACGGACTCGGACTGCAGGCTCTCAGTCAGGCTGTGGCACAGCTAAAGCTGCCGGAGAACAGTGTTCTGATGCTGGAGCCAGGAGGAGTTGGACAGCTCGAGTGCGGTCACGAGGAAACGGGCGAGAAGCTGGCGAAGCATTGGAGTCAGTTGGGCTTCCGCGTCTGGAGCTACACTGATGAGGCCTGGATGTGTGTGAATATCCAGGACTTCGCATTACCTGTTGTTCCTGTATCCCCTGGCGTGGGCCAGGACATGTAGTTAGTTGGCTTGCTTGCATTGGTGACGCTTCAATTCACTTGAATGAGGCATATCCGACCAGGGGATGTGCAGGGAGGCTCAGCGTACAGTAGGTACCTAATATGGGCAGTATGGGTACTAAGGTAGGTAGTATGGGCAGTAGGAGTTGTCTCCGGTAGAGCGAGCGAGAAAGGTCGATATCTCCGAAAAGTCGGTCGAACACCCTCCGGAGACCTCCACACCTTTCGACCGCATGTAGCCCTTCCGATCTCATCCGGCGTCGCGAGAATGGAGCGGGATCGGAGTGCCCCTCCTCCACGTCCCCCGCCATACTCGCTCCCGCCAGTTCGAGCACACGCGAGCATTTTTCGTGAGCCGCTCTGCCTGGCCTGGCCTGGCCTCGCATTGGCGGCGATGGGACAGCAGGTCAGGTATCATGATTACCGCGGCACTTCGTGGAGGCAGAGGCATTGCCGGGTGTCCAGAACGACTAATGTACATACCTACCTCCTACGTAGGTAGAACGACTGCTACTCTTCCTCGACCTCCTCCTCCCACCGCAGCCCGCAGCGGACTCCTCTCTCCACCTCTGATATCATAGGTACATACATGTACTGAGCTTTGCCCTGGCCAAACACAGCTCCATAGTGCCCCGTTCCTCGCGTCGCTTCCACCTACCTCCAGGGAGCACTCACTGCACCTCCTCGTTCCCAAGCTGAACAGCAGAATCTTCTTCTCCAAACACCAGACACGCCAGGCACCATGACCTCAAAGTATGGAGAGGGAGGTGCCGTTGGCGGCGAGAGCATCAACACGGAGATCGTGACCCTCTCACGATACTTGAGCGAGGAGCAGACGAAGCACAAGGAGGCCACGGGAGACTTCACGTGGGTCATGTAGTCTCAGCGAGTGGGAAAGTGCTGACAGTCCGCCGTACACAGATTGCTCTGCCATGCCCTCCAGTTCTCCTTCAAGTCGATAGCATACTACATTCGACGAGCTTCTCTGATCAACCTGTCTGGGCTTGCTGGATCCTCCAACATGACTGGAGACGATCAAAAGAAGCTAGACGTGATTGGTAACGATGTCTTCGTTGCGGCCATGCGATCGAGCGGACGTGTACGCGTCTTGGTGTCTGAAGAAGAGGAGGAAGCCATCGTCTTTGACAACAGCCCAAACGCTCGTTACGCTGTTGCCTGTGATCCAATTGATGGAAGCAGCAACTTGGATGCGGGTGTATCCGTCGGCACCATCTTCGGAATCTACAGACTCGAGGAAGGCGCAAAGGGCACCAAGGAGGATCTGCTGCGGCCAGGAACCGATCTTGTGGCTGCTGGCTTCACCATGTACGGTGCATCTGCTCAGCTAGTGCTCACGATGAAGGGTGGTCCAGTGAACGGCTTCACCATGGACAATGCCCTCGGCGAGTTCATCTTGACACATCCCAACATGGAGATGCCCAAGCGTAGAGCGATCTACAGCTGTAACGAAGGTAACAGCAAATACTGGCCTGAGCCAGTAAAGGAGTGGGTCGAAGGCCTGAAGAATGCAGAAAAGCCATACTCTGCCAGATATATCGGCTCCATGGTGGCCGATGCATACCGTACCCTCCTGTATGGCGGCATCTTTGCGTATCCCGCCGACAAGAAGTCGCCAAAGGGCAAACTCCGGATTCTCTATGAGTGCGGCCCCATGGCCATGGTTTTCGAGCAAGGTAAGACTCTTGCACGTGCCTCGACGAATGCAGCTAATGGTGTGGCGCAGCTGGTGGCCAAGCCGTCGATAGCAACATGCATCGAATGTTGACGGTCGTGCCCGAGCACATACACGATCGTAGTGGTATCTTCATGGGTAGTCACGAGGAGGTGCAAAAGGTCATTGATATCCACAAGAAGCATGGAATCTCCGCATAGGCAGGCGTTGGGCAAGGTAGGTACCTAGTTGAAGAACCACACTTGGTTCGGGTGAGGGTCAAGCACCAGCAGTCCAGCACGACGTTGAATGCCAAAAAAAAGTCCATGTCTCGAGCCGGTTTTGCCTCACGCTTCCAAATCCTCCACAATCCACGCCATGCCTGAGTATGATGATGCAGATTCAGCGCACTTTGCTATCATCCTTTGTAGTGTAGGAGGTGCCGCCTGGTTGCTGTTCCGTGCACCGCCATGAAGGGGCAACGGCAACGGGCAACCCCATGGTGCGGGTCGGAGTAGGACAGTGGAGGCCGGTGGGCCGCGAGTCGTGTTGATGTCGTGTTACCTGCTGAATACCCTGCCTTAAGGCACCTTAACTGAGTCAAGGATGCGGCGCCGAGCATTCTGCCCATGCCGCGAAAGGAAAGATCGACCATCCGCGCTCTTCACAAGTGCATATGACAGCGTCTTGTTCCGCCCCCACCCCCCAAACCTCTCGACTTCTTCGAGCAGGCGTAGGAGGCCATGACACTAACTTCAAGTTACTGACAGCACACCATAGGTCGGCACGGGGGTTATGGTATTGTCTGGGCTTGATCCGCGGCAGTAATACGGAACCATTTGAGAGGACAGATCCGCGTGCAATGTCAGGCATTGCTCGGCCGTAGCGTCAAGATGATGGACCTGGGTATGTAACATCGAGTCTGGCGATCATGATGAACGATGCTTGTGCTGATACCAGTTATAGGATCGTGGAGCGACTTCGCCTTGCGGACTTTGGTGGCCATCAGCCCATCGCCTCAGTGGGCGCATCGACAAGTAGAGCCATATCTGGGCCTACCGTTTGGTCCATATCTCCGCGCAGTGCCCCCGACCCGACCGCGCAGGTTGACCGAGCCTCTAAGACCTGCCGAAGATAGCTACTGGCATAAATTGCAGGTTTTCTCATACCTGGAGGCTGAGCAGCGCACCGACGACCAACAAGACTCAAGCTTTCTCGCGAGATTGCCCTATGATGTAAGAATCATCATTTATGAGATGGTCCTCGGCGGCAAGGTGTTTCACTGCTCTGCACAGAATCAGAAGAGTCCTATCAACCACTACGTGTGTAACCGCCCTGATCGTATCGATGCCGAAGGTGCTCGGCACAAATGCTCAAATGATGTATATCGACAGCCTTCGCCAGCAGGCGATGATGGAGCGCGTTCCCATACTGGGCTGCTGGCTCTGCTTTTGACCTGCCGCAAGATCTACTCAGAGGCTATTGGAACACTGTATAGCAGCAATACATTCGTGTTCAGTCAAAACTTCGCGGCATTCAGCTTCCTGAAATGCATGATTCCCAGAGGACGACTATCGTGCATCCGCAGTTTTCGCTTACATCTGCGCATCCCGCGGCACCCAGACTTGAACAGCAGAACACACCAAGACTGGGTCCAGCTCTGGCACTTCTTTGGCTCGGAGATGACGGGCCTCCAGGTGTTGCACCTTGAGTTGCAGATGTTACAACCCACGGAGGCCCAAATCGAAGCAATGGACGACCATGAGGCAGGGAGCTGGATCGAGCCCATGGTCACAATGGCGCTCGATGCACACCATGAACGTGGCTGCAGAGTCGAGATCGAAACCCGTGGCGTGAGACACATTCCCGCTCAAATATATCTGCAAGCTCAGCAAGAAAATCCTGGTCTTGACCATGCAGAAATCCTGTGCCGTAGCTGCGCAACACTGCACGAGCACATCAGATTTTCTCTTGGACGAAGGCCGGAAGATTGAGCAAACGGAAATGCCGTTCGAACCCAGACTACCTATCCTGCCTTCTGACTTCGGCCACAGCCTTCACAATCATGAGAGCATCTCTTGAATACATCTAGCACCACCATTGCACGACGACAAGGGCATTACGTTATCATTGTGACTCTTGAGGTAGAAGGGACTCACCTGGGCATTTGAAGACCCTCGAGCCCGAATTGAGGAGGGCAATGGATACGAGACCCTCAGCAGGCAAGCTCAGGTACCTACCTATAAATCGGGCAAGTACGATACGCATAGCCGGAAATGGCACCGGCTCATACGATGTCATGGAGCGTACATGTACACACCATTAAATGTCTGCATCAAATGTCTCCTCACAGGCACCCGCCCACGCTTTCTTTCCTTTCTTTTGTGTATAACCCCCACTGTGTACATGTAGTGTCTCAGTATGTCACATTGTGCTGTACAGATTACACATGCTTTTTCCAGGACTCTTTACTTGATGATTTTCCCCTCCCCACTGTCCAGATATTTCACAAGATCCTCTATTGTCACAGCCTTCAAGCCATGCCGTCTTGCAAAAGCGAGGCAGCCATCTCTTCTCATCATGCCAAAACCTCCCGACATTTCCGCCTTGCCCGCGACATACTCGCCATCCTCCACCATCTCCGCAATCACGCCGACCGGCTCTTTGCCAGCCAGTTTGCAGAAATCCACCGCAGCCTCTGTATGCCCCGCACGGACTCTCACACCGCCCTCTCGAGCTTGCAGCGGCACAACGTGTCCTGGTCTTCGAAACCAATCTTTTTGAACCGCAGGATCCGCCAGCCTGCGGCAGGTCAGACTGCGATCTTGCGCACTAATGCCCGTCGTGACTCCCTCTGCGGCATCTATCGTGATGGTGTATGCGGTGCGATTCGGGTCCGAGTTCTCCGTCACCATTTGAGGCAGTTCCAGTCGTGCCGCCAGAGCAGGCACAATCGGCGCACACAAGTAGCCCGAGGTGTATCGGATGAGAAAGGCGGCTTTGGCGGGCGTGAGATCCTGCGCAGCAATGATCAAGTCTCCTTCATTCTCGCGATCCGTCGAGTCCATGACCAGTATGAAGTCCCCATTTGCTATAGGTATGCAAAGCATTTGATTAGCGGGGCACACGAGCAGATATGATGTATTCTCCGCTCTGGGCTCTTTGGCTCTCTGGCTCACCGAAGGCTTCAATGGCATCGGGAATGCTATCGAAGCTGACATCTCCGTTTGCTGTTGCCATTTTTTGGTGTCTCTGCCTGGAATGCGCTTCCAATGCCCTGCAGGATAGGGAGCAGAGCAATGCGATAGAGAGAGAGGATGGCTTTCTTCGAATTTTTGGGTGACCTCGGTGGGAAGCTTCGCAAGATCCTAGACTAAGGTAGAGAGGTCACGAGGCGTGAGGAGGGGAAGTAATACTGTGCGGTGGGCTATGGCAATGGATGATGAAGCAGGCAGGCAGGCAGGCCGTCGACTACTACGTGCAGATGAAAAGCCATTGTATTACATACCTTATGTACATGCCGTCTGCCACTTGTGCCAGTAGCATGGTGGGGCGCAACAGTAGCCATTCCGACGCCGACACTGTGAGGCCGGGTGCTTTGCAAACACACCGGATCGGCTATGTTCCCTAGGAGTTTGTTTGGTGGGGCACATTAGTGATGACTGATGACACGCATTGGTCATCTTACCTCCTACATGTACCTTAGTACCTTAAGGTACAGGTACCTATGATGGAAGAAGGGAAGGAGAAGGTCAGGTACATGTCAAAGGTACAGGTATTGAGGCATGCTCTTTGAACTTCTGTGACCTTCTATTTGGACACGAAAAGACATTACCGCCCGCTTCCATTACGGCTGAGGACTTCGCATTACTAGGTAAGGTACCTACCTAGGTACCTGTACTGACCATCTATGCCGCAGGGGCCGCGCAGGGCGGTGGCCTCTTGACCTGGATTTATCGTGCCTCAATCTGTGAGTTCTGTCCTCTCGTATAAGGTAGGAGGTAGGTACCTGAGGTATGTATTCTCCGTGAACTACCTACATCAGGTACCTACCTGCCGACTAATCTCAATGGCAACGACATCAAAACATAAGGTACCGTACCTAGGTACGTAGCCACATCCGCATATGGACTGCTCGGACCGCGTCATGAACGAACTGTTCCAGTCTGGACTGCGTACCTAGGACCGTAGGTAGACCAAGGAGCTGATAGCCGACTCTGAGCCGATGCACAATGTGGAGTCCCGCCGCGGCGCTGGGTTCGTCACCATCTTCAAAAACGCAAAGAAATGCCATTGCAGCCGTTTGGGAGGTTCGTAGCCATCCATCAATTGGCATGGGTGGTGAGCAGACCTGGACCTTGTTCAGTCGTCACCCTTTTTGAGATCAAATTTGTTTCATAAACTAGTCTGGTGATACCCAGGTAGTTATGTAAGACGGTGGGTGGTTGACGAGTGGGAGAGTGGGTCATAGAAAGAGAAAGAGAAAAAGAAAAGAAAAAGACCACACAATTGGTCAAGCGCAGCCGCTCTGTCCAATCTCCAGCATTGGGTCACGATGGCTTTTGTTGCAGCATGATGCTGGCGGCACATCTGCGGGAGTGGACAAGACATTCCAGAACACGACACGACCGCTTTGCTTGACAGCCGAAGATCTGCCATTCGGGGACCATGTGCCGGCTTTAGCAAGCGTCCAACGACCAACTTTGCGGGTTGCCCGGGCGGATGGATGCCGGACGGGACGCAGGGCCTTTAGCCTGACAGGTACAAGGCTTTTGCACAGCACTGAGCACCGCACGCCCATTCCCATCTTACCTAGGACTTGTGGTGAATGAGAGAGTACATGTATCCCGTACGCAGCGAAGAAAAAAAACAGAAAAAAACTCCCGGCGGCAACGATCAGATCTCGTCGCCTGCTGACATATATACGATGCATGATGCTGATCGAGACATTATGGAGTACAGTAGTATACCGGCTGCCCCTTTCACACACATAGATTGTGCCACATGAGGTGGTATTGTATTTCCATTGTCGTGTTACCGTAAAGGAGGTACTATGTACCTCCTCCTACCTTACCTTAGGTAAACATACATGTATCATGTATGGATGCATCTCGAGGGTCCCGAAGAAGCGGCATCGCATGCGTATGTCCCAGATGTGACAGAGCTTGCGCGCGATCTTCACACGCGACCAGAGTGCTCGTGCGTTTTTTTTTCTGCTATCCATCCCGTACTTGGAAGAATGTCACTCAATATTAGCCGGGCGCCTGGCCACAATACGGCCTCTGAAATGCATGCATACTTTTGACCCTTTTCCTGCTTACATACATACTTTACATGTACCTACAACATCAGTACAGGTACCTACCTACATGTACCTAGGTAGTGTAGGTAACTTATGATTACATCATTATGCTACTTTCAATGTACCTGCAGTCGCCAGACAAAAATGGAAATCCGTCAAGTTCCCTGTTGAGGTACAAGTACGAATCCAGTTTGCATGAAATTATATACATATACAGTTGCAGGCAGCGAGATTCTTTTGAGAGCTAGAAACCTACCGAAATCTAGGAGCCTTGGATACTAGGTACGTAAAAAGCTACCTACCTGTAGGTAGTAAGGTCAGGTAGGTACATACCTACAATACTATCCCCCTTTTGATGAAAATAGGTACAAAGCAGTGAGCACCCTAAAATTCCAAAAAATTCCCCTTGTGTGTTTCGAATCTCGACATCCTTGCACAGGGGTTGAAAGGCGGTCGGGGATACGCACTAGCTAGCAGCTATTCTTAAACCGAACCCACCTTCCGCGTCGGATTGTGACCATGCATGCTCAGATCCTGATGGCCTCCTGGCTGGAATCCATCAAAAAAGGAGTAAATACTGGATTATAATTTATCGAGACAGGAGCTTCTTTTGTAGTCCTTTTGTCCGGAGAAACACACGGTCTATCTTCTCCACTCTACGACAGTCGGAGAGTCGGGCGCGTATGCGTAGAAGTCAGGTACCGAGAGTGAGTAGCAGGCTGTCTTGTATGAAGACCTTAATAGGTGTTTGGAGGTGTGTAACAGCACGCGGAACTCCGGTTGGTGTTGTCCATGGTCTGAGTAGCCCCGCCCACTAATGTACCTACATGTAGATGGTAATGTGAAGTAATGTCGATGGCGATGTCTCCAGCTGCATGGAAAGTGGAAGCATCGAAGTACATAGGTGACGATCGTACTTGCAGTAAAGCAAACGAGATGACAGCAAGACTGCCACTGGGGCCGATAATATGAACAGTGTGGCTCAGCACTCAGCAGTGGGTACCGTTGGACAATTCTATTTCTCTGCAGGCGAAAATCGAAATGAGGAGCAAGTTGCAACTCTCCATTAATCATATAATAATATAAAATCCACAAACAAGCCTTGTTAGAAAGTACGAGGCCTATTGACGCTCCGTGCTCTCCGGGCTTTTCCATCAACGACCAGATCGAGGACCGCGCGGTGCTTCGATCATGAGCAAATGGCGTCAGAGCCCGGTGTCTGGAAGGAATTTACGGCCTTCTAGCACTGTTCTATGCGTTTGAAGACTCAACGTCGTCGTACCAGATAGATGCATACCTTAGGTGCGTAAGGTACATCAACGTACCTACATGTACATGTACATGTAGTGTAAGGTAGGTAGACGAAGATGATGCTTACTGCCAGGCCGTTGGAGCAATACCAACCGGCAGGACATGTACCTACATATCTCACGTTCGGGAGTGTCAAGCTTCCCGACAACAACACAACACCTGCACACTAGCTGGACGGATTGTGACATGATTAATTATCATCTTGTTCCACAGCTGAGATCTTGTAATGTCACCCAAGCTGACATCACCGTATAAAACCAGGATCCCTGCAACCGGTAGCCGCAATCACTCTGCAGTACCAGGATCACATATCGATCTTGACTCGCAGATTGGAAAGTGCTGCTGCACCTGCCCAAAATATGTCTGCACTGCCGGGAACGGGTGTCAGACTACTGCTGTCTTGTTGAAAATGTTCTGCCACACATCGCCAAACGCAACACGACAGGGGGACCCGAGAGCCACGATGCGATGCGGCGTCGGTTGCTCGAGCGAACGCTCATGTTCATCAGATCTGCCGCCGCTGTGCCGTGATCGGGGTTCCAACGGTAGCTACAGGTACATGTACCTTACCAGGCTTACCTACTCTACTGTACCGCCTAGTGTATCTACCCGTACGGCTTTCATCGACCAAGAACGCGGCCTGTCTTATAAGCTCTCGCGACAAGGGTCATCCTAAGTGTATCAGGCGCGTGCCCTGGACGTGGGTATCATGGACCGCAATCTCTTGCTGACAACAACCGATGTCAGCTGGAGCCTAGCTTTTTCCTTAGTTGCGTGTGCGGTGTGCGGTGTGAATGCTATATGCTCAATAATAATACGCCTCGTGCTCTGCACTGACTTCTACCCTCTGTGTGGCCCTGACCTACATCATAGCACCCACTACTACTCTTACCTTACTACTACTGCTACTGCTACTACTACTACTACCACCACCACCATCACCACCACACGTTCCTTCTCTGGACCTTCTGTTAACCTCTTTTGGGACTCTCTACACCTTCATTGTACAGAGCACCGACCACTCGACCCTTTCCTGGAGTGTGTCGCAGGGAACAGCTTCAACAAGCCGTGTTGGATCTGTACAGTATTACATAGGCTCTGCGGCCGCTTCTCCCAGCGCTATTCGCAGGTCGGATACGCCTCTTGTACGACTCTCTTGTCCTTTGGATCGTTGTTGAAAGTACTCCGAGACGGCAGAACGCTCAGAGAGGAGAGTACGGATTTGAGGAAGAAGAGGTGGATAGCATCTGGAATTGATCACAGCGCAAGTGCCTTACTGATCAGCCATTCATCGTTGATTTCGGCCACATCGGCACAACAATCGAGAAGGACTCGACCGTTCTCACAATCACACATTCTTGGAGGACGCAGCGCGAACGACGACAACCAAACTGAAGGTTATCTTCGCCACTACGCCATCCCGTTGCATGCAGCGGAAGGGAAGCGGCTAAAACGATCGAGGTGGATTTGGGAAAGGGTTTGAACAAGATAGACGCCTGATTCGAGGTGGCCACGAAGGTTGCGCCATAACAATCCGCTGGACTGTTAAGACGCATCAACTGGCAGTCGCTGCAAACCGATTGCTGAGAGATCGAGCGCGCAGAATCTGCCGAAATTGTGGTCAGAGACGCGCCGAGCAACTTGAAAGGCGCCATCGCACATTGTCGTGTGAAAAGACAGCCCCCAGGGGAGGTCGACACTTGTCCCAGCGCGAGCTGAAACGAACTTGTTGCCCGCAGTGAGGTCAAGGTTGAAGTTTCGAAAATAACCGTGCCAAGCACGCCTCCTGTTCGCTTGTTCCCGGAAGCCGCTCCTGCCTCGAGAGAGTGTGCAAGGACCATCTCCCTACACGCGAAAGAAACACATTCAACACTCTTCACATCTGGAGAGGTCGTTTCTCCATTACACGGCGGCCGCATAATACAATCCATACCCTCATAGAAGGTAAGTTGCAACCATCACTCCTCGCTGCCCCAGAGTGGCGCCGGGGTTCGAGAAAAACCTGCACCTCCTTTTGCTCCGGCAAAGACGCGCAGGAAACAACAACCCAGGACATCGAGCCATCCCAAATGTACTGGCTTCCGTCGAGTTGATAGATTGCCGATTCCACACTTGCTTACAGTCTGTGACTACAGGTTCTCTTTTTAGCTGCAGGAAAGCAGTGATCCTCTTCTGGCACTGCGCTTGCTTGGATCCTTGACCGGGGCTCGAGCCTTTCAGCACCATCGACGCACTGCACCACCCACCGCCACGACCTCCGCCGCCGCCCTCACCTCCGCCGCGACGTCGAAAAACGACCTGAGCGCGCGCCTACGATTACACGTCGAGCAAACAGTCGCTGTGTAGGCGTCGTGAGGCTAGAAAATTTCTGCTCCAGTCAGTACACTCTCGCGCGCTGTTTGAGTGAGACAATATTGCACTCCGTCGCATTGGATGTCTCTACCGTCCATCAACAACATACTGCCCGCGTCATATCACAAGAGGAGGGATAGTTTGACTGCGCACATGGACCTTCATACACTGTTGAATACTAACCGGGCGGTCTCAGGTGCAGTAGTGAACCGCAACATGCAGTACGAAGTTCCTATGCCACTCAGCATGAACCACGACATGCACACACCGAACGGAAACTATCTAGGACAGAATTTATACGTTCCCACTGCCAATCGCATCAAATCCGAGAATGGCTCTGATCGCGGCGTCTCTCCCCACTCCTCTGAGCATTCGTCGAGATACTCGTCGACAGCGCCGCAGAACTCGGTAGCATATCAACAGATTGCTGCACAACTGACCAATGGCATGCGATATCCGTCACCCTCGATGCCGCAATCCAATTCGATGCCGATGCTGCAACAACACTACCAGCCTACTGGGACTCCGGACAGTAACTACCCACAGCACACTCCTACACTTGGCGCCACACAGCAGAGCACGCCACAGGAGCCAAGTCCGATGGAAGGAGCACGAACGAGTACCGGAAGCAGCGGCCTCCCCAAAGCATTCGCTTGCTCAACATGCAATAAGGGCTTCGCGAGGAGAAGTGACTTGGCGCGTCATGGTGCGACGATCTTGTGTTTCATCCCTTGAGAAGAGAGGCGCTAATATACAATGACAGAGCGTATCCACAGTGGTGTTAGGCCACACGTGTGCGATTACGCAGGTTGCGGCAAGCAGTTCATCCAACGCTCGGCGCTGACAGTCCACTCGCGCGTGCACACTGGCGAGAAGCCCCACATGTGCGAGCGATGTGGAAAGGTATCTAAACATCTTCGTGCACTGTCCTCTGAACCACACACTGACTGAAGTACCAGCCATTCTCGGATAGCAGCTCGCTCGCTCGTCACCGCCGCATCCACTCTGGCAAGCGACCGTATAAGTGTCCATATGCCGATTGCCAAAAGACCTTCACTCGCCGCACGACTCTCACGAGACATCAGAATCATCACACGGGTACGATCGAAGAGTCGGAAGCAGCCACTGCAGCGGCATTGGCATCACGCGTATCTATGCAGGGCCAGCGCTCGCGAGGTTCGGATGACGAGAACGACTTCTCTGACAATGGTAAATCCCCATTGCCACAGCCTGATCGCCAGTCGACGAATTCTCCGGCTGCCGGCATGAACAATATGCCCACTCTCCAGAGACAGACGTCCGAGTTTTACATGAACGCCATATCTGGTGGCATGGCAGCTGTGCCTCCCCACATGCGCAGCCAGGTTCAGGCATCACCGCGTGCACAGTCGCCTCAACAATACTCTATGCCGGGCAACAACGGTACGCCTCAGCCGCGAATTACCTCGATTTCGGCCGCAGGCTACAACGGACCCCCTCAGATTATGGAACCGCCCACCACGAATGGCCACCAACAAACCGGTAGTGGCCACAACAGCCCACATCTCAACGGTTGGCAGTCGCCTCACAATGGCATGGGTCCTGGTCAACATCAGACGACAGACTACTCCTATCAAGATGCCAGCGGATATCCTTCTCACAGCGTCAATGCCATGCACGCGTACTATCAGGCTCCCAACGTGTCGCGGCCCCACAGTACTGGTCCTGTCGACTACAGTAGCGGACTGCGCCAAGACGTTTGGACTCAACAGCCTTGAAAAGGTGTGCTTCCGTCATTGGATATGGGCCACTTGCTAGCTCTACGCGCAGGTGCCACATGAGATGAACACTCGAGCGAGTGCACTCAGCGCACCCAGCGCAACTTGCATTTCCATCGCCGGAGGTCCATGGACCGGCTTGATACCCAGATCACTTATGCTTGCTTTCGGGAGTAGTAATTTTGCTTGGGGCCCGTTTGGCGTTTCTATTTATCTCACACGGAGTTTATCATGGGCTGTCTGATACCCCATCCCGCCAGATCATACCACTCGTCTCCTTTGTTCAAGACCGGCCTTTTAAAGAAGGAGGAATAACCAGTCACTCTAATATGGGATTGCTTTCTATTGCGGGCGCCACAAAAAATGGGATACCTCGGTCGTGCTGCTTAGCAGATGCTTGCTCGCCTCTGTTATGATGAATGCACGACTGCGTCTGTAACATAGGCGGCAGCGGGCGTCGCATTTGGGGTTCAGATGGGGAAGGGAGGTCTGGGTAATTAACAGCAGTGCAGACCAAGGTCGCACGAGCTGAGTACTACATTAACTGTAATTTTGGAGGACGGCGCGCGCGCTGTGAGGATTGGGCGTCGCTTGTCGGAAGAGCATGGTCAGACGCGAACTCTGTAGCGGTTCTGATGCACGAAGGAGACTGACGAGCAGGCTTGCTGTCTTCGTCCTCGACCAAAGATGGGATCTTATGTCAACTGTAGTAGTAGTAATACGTGTGTGTGTGTCGTCGCATCACCAGATGGCGCACAAGAAGAGAAAGTGGAGCCAACGTCTGCAGACTTTTACCAGGTACTGAGTGAGCATGAAGTGCCATGTACGCCGGTACGGTGTACCCCGACCTCGACGTTTGCTTGAGCCTTGAGCCTTGATGTTATGCTGGCTGCCCGGCATGGATGATGGCTCCACTTCGCTGGGCCCCTTGCTCGTGCTCTGCAGTGGGTTCTGGGCTTCTGGCAAACCTGCGCACCTGCCACGGAACAGGTCAAAAGTGATCAACCAATGAACGACCCCATGTAGAAGAAATGATGCACGATGCCCCCAGGGCCCCACCTGACTCTGATTTAGAACTAACGTACATACAACACCTTGGAAACATCATACTTCGAACTTCTCACTTTTTGCGGCACCTCAGGCGTGCAGTATTCCACCACTACCACCATCACCACCACCACCACAGGCGCCACGACCATTGCATTACCGGCTTCACTCCAGTGCCTACCAGTTCCCTTCTAGAGCAGCAGTAACCCAGCAACTGCGCACGCGCCCGAAGCCTGTTACAGTGGGGTTAATGGCGCGACCAGCACCATCTCCAGCACCCATCGACAAGCCAGCGCCATTGTCAACCTCTTCCACAGTCAACGACTCCGGCCGAATCATGAAGCCTCATTCGGCAGGCACGCAGTCGATCCGCAACACACGACAGAGAACTAGGATGTTGGCACAAGCGAGCAGCAATGCTGTGCTGGAGTCGATGGGCGACGAGAGGAGTTGTGGACCGGCAGATTCGAGCGCTTCAGAATACCAGTATGGCAATGAAAATGGCAAAGGCAAAGGCAAGCTTTGCGACATCCGCCTCGGAACTGTTACCATGCTGGAGGAAATCACAGCTACTGGACCAGAATGGTGTCCGATCACGGACAAGGACACTCATCCATTCCCCATAATGGAGCTACCTACTGAGATTCGACTCGAAATCTATCGTGCGTGTCTCACCCGGCCATACAAGATATTGCTGTCGAAGAGAGAGCTGCCACTGTTAGCAAAAGACGACGGCGACTTCCTCAACCCAGCCATTTCACTGGACTATGAATATGGCTCCGACGAACGCGATGGCGCCGTACAAGATCGCCCAGTGCGAATAGCCACCGCGTCTCCAGTTGGTTCTGCCAGCACTGCGTCGACTCGCAGAATGTTTCCGCAACTACGCATTGTCGGCGCCACCCGTGGTGGTCGTTCCCACCGCACCACCTCCAGCGCTACAGTGTCTGGCTCCTCGTCCGTTGCCGGCACTACTGCCACCGACGTAGGCTCCAGTAACGTTCAAACAGGACGAAGCAGCACATCCTCGACTGGCAGCAGACCCGCATCACGCCCAACGCGCCATGTGGCGATTGACTCGCGTAGACACGTCACCCAACCTGAACCCCAGCGCAACCAAAGTCAGGATCCGTTGATCACGAATGTGCTCCGAGCTAGCAAAGAGATCTACAAGGAAGCCCGAGGCGTGCTGTATAGCGAGAATCACTTTGTCCTGGACCTCAACACTGCTATGCAGACCCTTGGGCACCTGCATCAGCGCTCTCGTCGCCAGATCAAGCACGTCGAGCTGGAAATCCCAACCTACAATGAGATATTGGAACGCTTCCAGGAGACTGTACGTCTCAGCTTGCGTTATTGCTCGGGCTTGAAGAAGTTCATCATCAACATGCCCTTCACACTTCCTGGGGCTGATGGCAGCGGCACGACTGGTAACACAACTGTCTACGCCAACGGCTTCGATATCTTACGTTGGCTACCACAAGAGTGCGACATCATTGTGCAAGGTAACATATGCACAGAGATTGAGACGGTGGTGCAGAAGCATTTGCGTCTGTCAAAGACACTTGACAAGGTACGTCGTTACGATTTACGATACCACTCGGTGGAGGGGCACGAGACGAGACTGGCAGCACTGGGCAATAGCCTGCACGTGCATTGCGTTTGACTGCAGTTCTCCTTTTCCTCAATTGCGATACAAAGTCACAGAAACAGCGCTGACCTTCTCACTTAGCTTGCGTATGCCAGACGACAGTTGATATCTAACGATGCCGGTCCCCCGTCCACTACCTAGGACTGATGTCGACCATTCGCCACTGGATGCCAAACGAGTGTCTTGCCAGCCTCTTACATGATTGCTGCTTTCAGTGATGACCACTCACTCTGATGTTGAGACGCTTTCTCTTATTGTTCTGCCAAGCGGATGAGCAAGTCAACCAGTACACCATGATGGCATAAGGTGTATGGGCTGCGAAATGTAAATAGCTGTGTTTGGGATCTTGCTGGCGTCGATCGCCTTGCGAGTGCTATGGACTGAAATAGTGGGATGGTTCTCTGGAATGATGCTCTGAACTGATGCTCGGGAACGATGTTCTGGGACGACCTCGGGGACGATGCCGCGGGACGATGCTCTGGAAGGACCTCGGGGACGATGCCGCGGGACAATGCTCTGGAACGATGCTTTGGAACGATGCTCTGGGATGATGCTCTGGGACGATGCTCACTGGCATTGGAGCTGTATAACAATGCTGAATCATTCACGCCTGACACATGACTGGACTGCACGTTGACGAATTGAGGGCATGTAATCGTCGGTTGCGCAGGAATTCAATTGATGTTGTTGCATGGTGGAATTCAATCGCATGAACTCGCGTTTTGTTTGCGATTGAAGGAGTCTGAGTCTGTTATCGGGAAGACTGACAGGCACACGAAAACTACGTAAAATCACGCATGCATGCTTTCACACAGCATAATGAAGACGACAACATTGGGGCCACTGGAGAAGCACTGTGATGATATATGATGCTTACGTAAGTAACAACACGCGAAAATACCTAGATAAGGACCATAAGGTAAGGTACCAATGCCTATTGAGGTAAAGCACTGATCCTTCAGACCATGTATGCATATACCTTATGTATGTGTGCCTTGGGCACAGCACCTGATCTCGCTTGAAATACAGAACTTGCCGACTACTCACTACTCCTTTCTGCTGGTGCGCTCCAACGTCTCCGATGGAGTCACAGACACTCGATGTTTCGATCGGTGGCAGCAAGGCTCTCAGGGGCTCACCCAGCAAGGGTAGAACGCCTCTCGGCCCTGCGATGCGTGCAGACACCGATCGAAGCGATGCTGCCACACATACACATACCGCGAGAACATGGTCGCTTCCTCCTCCACTACGGCGAAGCCAAGTGCAGGCCATGCATGATTCGACTGCGGAGCGCGCAGTCGGCGCCGGCGGTGGTCCCCGCGCCAATGTTGGGACGCGTCGCCAGGACTGCCGTCACGCTCGCCGACCGGCCCGGGTGGACGAAGCAGTCTGGAGCCAAGAGAAAGAAGGTGGGCGAGCAACAGCCCGACTCCGCTGCCTACAGGTACTATGAATTTGTTCACTTTGGCCACCATCTTTGACGTCGGTTCGGAACCGGTTCGGGCGGTGATACCTCCGGCGCCGGGACCTCCTCCGCGCCATATGCGAGTCTAACAGTCATCCTACATCAAGAATATTCACCCGTTCGTGCCCGACATCATTCTCGACGCTACCTCCTAGTGCGAAAGACTCTACTCAGGCCTCTCAGCAGTCCGGTGATGCGTCTTGTGGTCTCCAACCACTCCGTTACGGGATCATTCGGACCTGGAATACTCCGATCGTGAATTCCAAGCGGCAGACTTCTCTGGTCAACATGCTGGCCGCGAGGCGCCTCACCATCGAATTGGGTAAGATATCGGACAGAACTGTTTCCATTCATGGCTCGACAATCATGTCCATTGCATCGACTGGCCGTCATAATTACGCTGGTAGCGCACAATCCTTCGCGCGTATCGCGCATTCTGGATTCACGATACAATTTCTTCACCAGCCCAGAGATCAGAGAAGAGACGAGCATTCGGACTCTCTGTCCTAACTTGTGTAGTCCGTCGACAGAATGCATACTGCAATGTACGGTCGTCCGGTTCTCATGCATGAAGTTGACATGGAAAAAACCTGTTGCAACTTGCTCGCAGGATCGGCTCCGAAGGCCTCAGAACCTGTTGTATGTATCTCGGTCTTGCTCCACCGAGTCCCCGGGGCTATACAGACCGTGTGCCATGCAAGTGAGTGTTCTCAGACTCAGATTTTCCCTTGTTTCGATGAGTGTCTTCTCGGCGATGCCATGCAGCTTCCTTCACATATCTTGGCCACATAATTGTGTAACCACCCTGCTGCAATCTTATCATGCAGACGAAGGTCGGCGACAGTGGGCGAGGATGGATCTAATACTTCTACATGGCGCACTGCAGCGATGGCTAAAAATCCCCGACTGGCATTATCTGCCATGCAGATACGAGGCTTCGCGAGCGACCAGAAAACCACTGGCATTGTCTCGCCAGACCTTGTGCCATACGCCGTCCCACTACTGGCTTTCGGTGCAGCTTGTCGTGATGTACGGCTCTTTCACGTTGCGACTCACCGCCATTGTGCAACAGTCCGTTTCGAACAGCTTTGGCAACTGACATGGGCGTCCTTGGGGGAAACGAGTTTTGGTGCTTAAAAGCGGTTTCCGACACGGCCGCCAAGATACTATATGTACACATGGACTGACACAGTAATTCTAGTCCACGTGACTGTGGCTCGAACGATAGGGAATGCTTGAATAATCTGATGATCAGCTGTTCAGCACGCAGGCATTGCTTTGGCTTGCTTGCAAGGCGCCGGCCGCAAGGCCGAATGGTTCACGAGAGTGCGTGGCAGGTGTCGCTGTTTCTGAAGCACAACAAAGCCACAACCAAACGCTTTGCACGCCCACACGCCTGCCGCATATGCAGACTGCATGACTGCATGAGCTTTCCTTGATCACGCTCGGACCCGACTCCGCTGCGCTGCCTTAAGTGGTGTGGTCGGTAGCGAGTCTCCTGCGAGCTAGAACTCGCCTTCATCCCAATCTCGAAGCGAGCCAATCGACCTGAAGTGAAGTAGAACTAGAACTCGAACTAAAACTAGCATCCATCCCCTCTGCAACTCGTCCGGCTCGCCCGCATCACGCTACCGACCGGCTACACGAGTCAAACCGACTCCCTTTGCGGAACATGGTATGTCGGGATACGCCCCGAGTATGTGTCCAGCTGGGAATGTCACTTTGCGGCGGTGTAAGGGTCCCGATTGAGGAGACTGCTCGCTCGACTGGCTTCTCTATCGGGAGGTCTCTGCTATACTGTCCTGTATACCCGATGGGACTCGTGGCAGATGTTAGTTGTCCGGGGCAAGATGGGTTTTACGCCACGAAATCGATCGACGTGGACGAAGGGCGAGCATCTAGAACCTGAAGCTCGTTGTGCGTGCGGTGCTGTCTTTGTCAAAATCAGGATTCAGCAGGTGCAGGAGAGCACGACCTTTCGCCAAAGCTGACTTGCATCTCGCGCTCCACAGCACACGGAAGCCTCTCTAGTCGGGCTTGGTGGTGCGATCTCAGCTCCGTGCTTTTGTTGGTTCGCTGTCATTATTGTGGACAGTGCCGTCAGCAGACGAATCACGCTGGATCTCGGGGCCTATCTCGAACGAAGCAGCAGCTTCCTGGTGGAGCATGCTCTGGATGGATACCCGAGATTGCCTCTGACAGCTGGCAGTGACTGGCGGTTGGTCGTTGAACGATGCGATCATTTGACAGTGTGATGCCGCCGCAGTCTCATCCGGCACTCCAGGAAGCTGCTACTGCATTTGCCAAGCGCGTTGTTGAATATATCTATCCCTACCACGACTGCCGGCTTTCCGGAATCAACCAACGCTCCCTTGTTGTGATCTATCATGCCACCAATGGTTCCAGCACTCCCCAGAAGCGATTCCAAGGCCAGACTCTTGCAGTACGACCCTACTACCCTTCTTCTCTCGAATGATGACAACGCCCTAATCATTGGAATTGTAGTCATCTCGGCCTCGACATGAGAGATATGATGCATCGGCGGCTGTACAATCTCATGAAGGTCTGTCATGACCTCGCGGTACGATGGGACTGTCTGTCGACTAATAGCTTCCAGCTCGAGGCTAGCGAAGGCCGGAAAAGAATCATCGCTATTTTGGACGCTCGAGCGCAACGAGGCTCAAGCCAAGAAGGCAATCAAACGTCCTACAGCACCTCGCAGATCGAAGAGGCGCTCATGGATGCTGAGGCTCAGAGGATATACGCAACTGCACAACCAGCAACGAGATCTCTATACGACCTTGCAATCGACCCAGCGCTCCCCGACCGACCCAACTGGATCATACGTGTAAGTGGTTGGACTTGCTATGATACCATATAGCCGAAGACTGATGGCTCCACAGTGGATGCTATGGCATGTCTTCCGGTATCGCGATGGTCGTCAGCAGTCGGGGAATCAACGTGGCTCTGCTCGCGACGCGGCGTTGAACCACGAGCTCAGCATGATCACCACTAGCAACATTACGGAAGCAGCAGCAACACCGACGACAACGACGACGATGATGGCAACAACAACAGCAACAATACGATCCGTATCTTCTGTGCCAGGTATGCTGTCAGCAAGCGTCAATTCTGAATATGTGGCACAACTGAGAATTATTCACAGCATCAGCCATCCTCCCCAGTGGAAAGAAGCAGTTCTTCGATCCCGTACGGGAGAAGTACCGCACCTGATCGTTCAACGATCGATCGATTGCCCGACGTGGTTGCTACAGGTAGCTGCTATCTATCAATCCGTGCATTCATTCGAAGCAGCAAACATTCGCAGCTTCAGAATCCGATCGATAATTGCCGTTCCGCACCCGTACCATGTCGACACATATTCGATAGCATCGATCGATCAGGAATTACTGTACTTTTCTCCATATCCAGCAAGCGAACATCCTCCCTCTCTCCCTCTCAGCACCGGGGGGCGGGGCAGGGGCGGAGCGGGACTCAGACGCAGGAAAGAGAAAAAAGTCTCCGGACAAACTTCCCCGGGCCAATAGCACACGTGGGTCGAGGTTCCAGGCGTATCGAACGAACCCGAAGCATTATCGTTCCAGCAATTCTAGTAGAAGGCTTGCCTTTGTCTTGGTGGTTTTTTCCCCCCCAGAGTGACGATCACTCTCGCTAAAAGACCAAACAACCATTATACTGGAATGAGGGAGGAGGAAAAGAGTTTCTCGCTTCGGTGCCGATGATGGAATGATGGACTTAAATGAATGAGCTACCTAGCTGATACACGCACGTACATGTATCCACCCCCGGGGGGAGCTCAAGCGCCGATGCCTCACAGGAGGCCCATCACAACGAGATAACAACAGACAGGTTACTGTACATGTAACTGGCCTGTCCAGGCAATGAAGAAACGCAGGTGATGACGCGCAAAACCTAGACTGCACAGGTGCAATGCCTTGAGTCAGGTAAATGGTACAATATTACTGGTCCGTCCGGTTACAGGTTTGGGAAAAACCCGCCCCTTTTTTGTAGGGGGTGGGAGAGCGGACCAAAGTCATTCTACTACTGTTCAGACATTCAATACTTCCTACTTACATGGCTAATGTACTTACCTGACTCAATACCAACATCCTCGCCCCACTCTCACTCTTACTCTCTTCCATTCTCTGTCTATAGTAGACTCGGCAAGAAGTCCGTTATCTCGTGAGGTGGATAGGAGGTTAAAATGCAGGCACGGCATCTAGCCCGAACTCCGATATTCCGAAATTTCTGTAAAGAGAAGGGAAAGGGAAAGGGTCTAGCTCCTAGTAGGGAGGTATATGTAGGAGGTAGCTAGCTGTATATAGAAATTTTGAAACTTTACTCTTTTAGAGTTTTTCGTTCCCTTCCGAAACTCAGGTAGGTAGGTATTACTACTGCTGCTGCTGCTACTTACTACCTAGTACTAACTACTTACTATATCGGTGCTCAAGAGAGCTGAAATGCTGTCTGCTCTCTCTTGCTCTATTATTCTTCTTCTTCTTCTTCTTCTTCTTCTTGGTAGGGGATTGTAGAAGGAGATAATGAGGATCTGGTGTGGATATGATTGTTGATGTTTTGCTATAAGAGAAAATAGAGAAAGATATAGGTCAAGTACTACAGACGCTGTAGCACTATAGCAGTACGCTAATATAAGTGTAGAGTAGGTAGGTAGGTACCTTAGGCATATAACATTCATCATTCATTCATTCCAATTTCAACTCTATTATACCCTTGTCTGGTAGGTACGTTATAGATAGCCAAGTCATTAAGACTTCCGATTTCGTCAAAACATCACTTCCCCTTTGATCCATCCGAGAAAGTCGCACCCTTCGTATCATGAATGGCATTCGGTACAATCTTCTCTACCTTCTCTGGCAGACCTTCCTGAAGCGTCTTGGGTACGATGGAATCACCCGTCGCGTGGGAAACTTTTCCCGTCTTTGCGTTGCTGCCCGTGTCGTGTGCAGCGTCTGGGACTTTTTCTTCGACGCTCTTGGGAACCTACTCTCTCTCGTTGGTTAGATGATGGGGTCGGGGTAGAGGAAAGAACTGATCAAGTTCCCTGGATCATTGCTGGAAGTAGGGAATCACGTACGGCTTCTTGGGCCTTTTGAGGCAGAATGCTGTCGCTGGCGTGAGAGGCGCCCTGGCCGGAGGAGTTGGTGGTGGAGGACATTCTGATTGTTGAGCGGGTGGCTGATGATGTTGTTTGCTTGAAGATGTTTTTGGAGAGTGTGGTGCGGAACATGAGTGTGATGAGAGAGATAAGAAGAGAGTCCAAGAGAAGTGAACGGACTTGTGGTGGTATTAAATAGGAGCTCGTCTAGGAGGTACCTGTACTGTCAGCAATTGTCCACCGGAGTGAAAAAAGTGTAAGCATCATAATGGCATCCTGTGGACAAAGGCGTGACCCTTTTCGGCTTCTCCTTTCAGAGAAACTCGTCATGGATGTGGCCAATCGTGGAGCTGGTTTTGGCTGCAGTAGTAAAGTGACACGACAATCAATTCTGGAGGCGTAGATGAGAAGCGTCACCACGACGTATATTTATGTACCTGTACACAACCAATTATGCAGCGAGTCTAAGATTTCTATTGTTGTATAATAGCGGGTGTCCGGGATATTGAAGAGAGAGTAATATCATAAAACTCACGACGACCTTTGACCTCGACGTCGTCTCCGCCACCTCATCCTTCTCCAATCCTCCACAACACCCTGGGCTGACTCAGATACAGTAACCGAGCCCTCAGGACATATATCAGGCCTCGTGGGTGACTGGACTGGACTGGACTACAAACGTTGTTTCTCGACAACTTCTCGCGCTTATGCCAAAGAAGCAGCGCCACAACTATCTCAAACAACTTCAAGGCGCCTCGAGTGGCAAACAATCCGTCGACACTAATGGAACCGGTAGCTCGGCATCAGTCAACGAGAGACTGGGCGAGCTGAGAAGACTGCAAGGCAAGGATGCCGCGAAGAAGAAGGCGGAGCTTGCAGAGAGCTCGCAGAACTTAAAGTCAGTACATCCATCGTTGAAAGGCATCTTGGGAATCGGCGAATCTGCTCCCCCAAGACCGAAACGCGCTATACGAACGAGGATACCGAACCGGACCCCGGGACCCGCGCCGCCAGCGAGCTGGACGAAAACTGCGGGATGGACTCCTCTCCTGGCCTTGCGCACTGGACAGAGGAGGTTCAGAAAGGGGGGCATTGCTGACGTTGATCGCAACAGGCCCGACAAGTTGCAGCGATTTGCTTGTATGACGGGACTAGATGTCGATGGAAGCACTCGGCCCTTGAGCCTGATGCATTTCGCCTTGAAGACGGCTGCAGAACAGTGGCATTTATTCGACGATGAGGACCTTCCCATGCTGGCGGAACTCCCATTGGCACTACGCCTGAAGCTCATCAGCTATCTTGGCTTTTATGGTCCTACAATCAATCTTGCTGCCCTTGACGCCTTGACGAGTGGTTCCGAGAGACTGCTGTACCTGGATGTAGCAGGTCTCATCGGCCACGGCAGCCTTTCTATCAGTAGACTGACTAAGCTCGCGAAGAAACCTGTCCCCTCGCAGGCAGAATCAGAGCACGTCGTGGCTGACGAAGGTATTGCCGACTCCTGGGACCAGGAGGAGAGCTTCGAGAGTGTCTTAACTACGAGCCTCACGGCCACCAGATTTGCTGGTCTGACTCATTTGAGCCTCTCGCATCCGCCCTCCAATATTTCTTGGCGAGAGCTCTTGGGTCTGGCGAAGCAGATTCCTACTATCACTCACCTCTCGCTCGCCCATTGGCCGCGACCCACTTTGACACCAAACTTGACAGCTTCAACGGTAACGAGCCAGCACAGTCCCGACGTCCATGCTGGCGGTTCGCACTTCTATTCGGCTTTGGACGAAGACGTGTATGAGCCTGCAGCGATCATCCGAAAACTCAGTGGTGCTCTGCTGCGCTTGCAATGGCTGGACCTCGAAGGCTGCACGATCTGGAGTAAAGCACTGTCTTTCGCGTGGACGTCTGCTGCGGCCAGCGATAGCACGAACGATGCATGGTCGGCACATAACGCTTTGACGAGTATTTGGATCAGTAATTGGAAAAACGTACATTACTTGAACATCTCCCAAGGCTGGATACCCCGATCTGTGTCGCTTGAGCTTCTGCCCAAACAACACATGTCCAGCGACCGTAAAGCCATTGTGGCCAAAGTCAGCCGACAGTCGACCCTGGCCCCGCTTGCTCTGGACGATGATAGGGAAAGCCTCAACCTGCTGTCGCAGAGCAAGGCTCGAGTATGGCTCGACCTCGAGGAGCAAGCTCTGCAAGTCGAGAAGGAAATCAACGCCACCAGACGTGCGGGGCGAGTCAAGCCCATAGACGTCGATCATGGCTGGGCAACAGCATGAAGTTGTAGAATCGAATGTCTCGAAAAAAGCAAGATACAGTTGGCGAGGATGTATATACATACTTCGGCCTATACTCAAATCCAACCTCCGGCCCCAAGCCTATCATTGCTCCACACAACTCCAACCCTCCACAGAGCAGGAATCACTCTCAACAGTGATCAGTAAGCAAAGTAAGTTAATTAGTCAATCCATCAATATCACCCATCCGCCCAACCCTCTCTCTTCTGACTATACCCTTTTTTTTTTCTCTCTCTTTCCCCTTTCCCCTTTTTACCCCCCTCCTCCTCCTTCTTCCTTTACCTTGTATTCACATCCCAAACCTCACCGCCCCATTATTCTGCCCCTCATAACGCGCATCAAACCAAGTCTGGTAAGCAGTCGCGGGAACAAACTGTCCTCGGAGATGATGTACTGGTGGTGAGACGTCTGATGAAATTAGCTTTTTTGTTCTTCTTTTTTTATGTTTTCCTTCTAGTGGAGAGAGAGAGAGAGAGAGAGAGATCTGAGACAAGGAAAGATTTTTTTGTTTATAGATTTAGTCCGGATTCGATGAATAACCTACTTTTGAGGTGATCGATTGTTGGCGTTGTTGCTTTTGATGATGACGAAGCAACAGGAGACGTCTTACTTTCGTTGTCCTTCTTTTTCTTGTTGTCGTTGTTGTTGTTCTTATTGGTGGTGGTGAGAAAGGATTTGAAGGCGGAGATTTTGGATTGTTTCTTCTTCTTCTTGTCCTTCTGTTTGCTCTCTCCCGCTTCGTTGTCTTCTTTTTCCTCTTCTTCCTCCTCTTCCTCCTCCTCCCCTTTCTCGGTTACGTCGTCGAGTGAAGGCGAGAGACTTTTCGTCGTTGAGCTGTTTCTTGGAAGAGAGCTGTCACTGGAGAATTGTTTGAGGCTTGGAGATTGAGTGTAGACTGATGGTTGTTTTTGTTGGGATGACATAGTTCTTGATCTGGCTGGCTTGGATATCGGGCAGTACCTTAAGTGTTGAGAGTGATTTGGATCGTATATTTTGAAACTTTTTTGATAGTGGTGATACAGGAGAACTAATGTCACGAGGTGATGCTTGATGTGGATGGACATGAAGGCGTCCTTATGTACATGTAATTCTGGCCTGAAATTCGAACTCCTTCTCGATCACCTCCTCCTTCTCCTTCTCAAGGCAGCAGTTCAGGAGCGTCTTTCCGATGTTTAGACGAACACCGAATGGTTAAGGTACCCTAGTGTAGACATGCTGCCGTGTATTTGTTTAATATTATACTGCCGCCTGAGGTACCAACGTACCATGATTTTGCAAATATACCGTATACGGTATTCGGAGTTCGGAGTTCGGAGTTTGTTTGTTTTGGCTTGGTCGGCTGGGAGATGTGTGGAAGTTCAACCAACACCGCACTATTGATGAGTCTTCGTGGCTTCGTAGCTGCCTGGCCGTCTGGTGGCCCCTGGCATGGACTGTAGCATCAAGGGCTATATCACATTCGCAGCTCAAGGGGGTAATCACATTCATATTGTGGCAGCCTAGAGCCTCGTGCCCAACGTAACAAGCCATACGACATCCGAATCTTTGGGAAGCTCTCCAGGTGCAGATTGCATGTCCAATGGGCGACGAGGATGGGGAGTGGTATGTTTCGTAGTCACGGCAGAGCTGAACGCCCTGGAGTGCGAGCAACATGTCGTCGACTCACGCAGGTACAATGGACATCGACGAGACTGCACCAACAGACCAACAACCATCGTCAAAGGACAGGGTGGTATCCGTGACTCCATCCTATCGGCGTAACGGGTATGTGCCCGTGTTCGAGTAGACTTGGATGGACGTGGTGGCTGACAATGAGCATAGAAAGCTATTCAGCTGTGAACCCTGCCGACGAGCGAAACTGAAGTGTGATCATAACAGTCCCATATGTGGAAGATGTGCTCGACGCGGGAAACAGAACGAGTGCATGTACCATCCAGCGCCATTGACCAAGCCTCGGACTGGACTGGGACCACAACGGACAATGTCGATTCCACGAGCCCATGATTCTACACAGAGCTCTTACTCGGCCACTGGAGCGGACAGTTCACGTCCGAGTGATTCGTTAAGTCCTCCGTCAAGCACGAGGACTCTCTCGGCACGGAAGCAGACGGTTTCGGGATCTACTGACAGCAGATCTCTTGGTTACAGGTCGGCAGAGGCATCGCCTGCTGGTCATATGCCTTACACATCCACCGAGGGGTCGCAGCCTCCATCGACAGCTTCTGTACAAGTTCCAGAGAGCGACATGTCTTTTCGGGATATCAGTCAGGGCTATCTCGGCGCAACAAGCTACAGTGCCGTCTATGCGGAACATCAAAGTATACTGCAGACTCCCCATGTTGAGGAAACACCCGAAAACCTGCTGCCTGTCACCAGTGTAGAGAAGATCCAGCAAGGCGCGCAAGTTCTCTCCATACTCAAAGATTTCCCCGTGTACCGCCAATTCATGCAAAGGTGGTTCGAACTCAGTGACGGAATTATGGTCATGTAAGAAAGACACGAGGTTTCCAAGTGTGGGACGGTAGCTAACGGGTTCCGATGCTACTAGACAGCCCGTGTTCAAAATCTGGATAGACGAGCTCTGGACGGAGTATGGCCACATTCTCGCCCATGGTCAGCCGGAAGAACTCATTGCGCTCTCTGAATTAGTATGGTGCAACACACGACAGCCCCTGAAGGTCCACGGCGATATGACTGCGAAAGAGTGGGCAAAGTCTGCGTCAGGGAAACATCTGCGATGGGAAGTCGTAGGAAGCATCCTCTCCATGGTCGGACTCATCGCAGTGAATCTCAGCAGTTATGATAGCATATTCGACTCGATCCGAGAATGCTACGTCGATCGCGCGACGTTCGCAGAGCGAATGCGCAGAGCCTCTGAATTTTGTCTGTGCTTTTGCTACGAAAGTGAAGTGCTCAACGAGATTTATGTCAGCTTCATATATGAAGACTTGATACTGGTGGAATGTCTCAAAGGTGAGGCACATTATGCTGCTTGGCAGAGAACCGGTGAACTTATCGATGCTGTTGTAGCGATGGGTCTGCATCAGGGCAACAAGGTGAGTCCACAGACGCCATTCTTCCTCGCAGAACTGCGCAAGAAGATCTTCATCTCTGCTTATGGTCACGACAAAGTCATGGCGACGTTCCTGGGGAGACCGCCCCGGCTGTCGCAAAGATACTGTAAGATGGAGCCACCTCTGGACCTGTCCGATGACGAGCTCTTCTCCGAAGGCGCTGAATTGCGACAAGCTCTCGCTTGTCTGGATGAGAACGGCTGGAATACGGATGAACAGTTGCGCCGCATCACATGGTATCGGGCGCGGTTCCAGGTCTGCCGGATCAGAGAGGATATACTTGAAATTGCGTTGGGCTCCAGCGAAGACGAAGACGAAGACGAGGTTGCGTACAAAGCAGAGAGGGTCAAGAGGCGAATGAAACATTTGAAAAGCAGCCTTCCCGAATTTATGAACACCACGCCGGAAGAAGCCCTTGGCGAGGATAATACACGTCTGGGAGCCAGATTCACAATTGGTCCGACGAAGGAGTCCTCCAAAATGCACATTAACGCCTTGTGGGTGGTCGCCGTTCACGCCGGAATTGCGCACACAGAGTTCCTTCTGGAGAGAGCAAAGGTCAACCGGCTGCGCACCGACACAAGCAAGCTTATACCAGTCGCCCGAAGAATGCTCAAGTTGGTCCTCTTGGTGCAGTCAAAGAAGGATGTATTTCGAGACTTCCAAGGAGATCTGACTTATATGGTAAGTATCGAATTCCTGTTCAATATTGCACGAGGAGGTAAGAAGGCTAAACCGCTTTCCCACAGCTTGCTTTCGATGGTCTATACGCAGCTGGCGTTCTTGCGGTAGAGCTTCTCACGCAGGCTCGAACCGGACAGCATACCAACGATGTACTACCACGATCTGAGACCATCCAAGACTTGAGTGTCTTCATATCTGCCCTCGGTGCCGTGAGACCAGGCGAGGGCAATTACTCGATTTGTAGCCAAGGTCGCAGGACATTGACTCGAGCTCTGGATCAGATTCTATCGCCACACCCGCTGCCGCCGCCAGAGACAGCTCAAGGGGAGGCGGTCACATATGATGATACGTCGTTGGCGTTTCCCATAGGGTCCGACGTGGAGTTTCTGCAGTGGCTCGAACACGTGGAGTGGGATAAGAGTATCTGGATAGATCCTTTGACGACAGCGCAAGGTGAAGCGTCTGCTTCAGATGTGACTGCGATGTAAAAGATACATGTTCGTAGAGGGAGAGAATGGAACGTACCGTACCTACTGGTCCTACTCAGAAGAGAGGAGCAGCGTCATAACCGCTTTCGTCTGCTTACAAATGAGCGCGTCTGATATATACTTTCCATCCAACAATCCTTGCCTGCCGATGCTAGCCTCTCAGCTCTCAAGATCGTGCACCAGCGTCTTTTGCGAAAAGGATGAGTGTCCCACGAGCTCTGCGATGCCTGACGAGGCCACAGTGGCATCATGATGTTGGACGCATAGTGCAAGTGCCTCGTAACCCTCGGACGCCGATTCGAACCATCCATCACCAGAAACCCGCTGCCGCCCAAGCATTCGCCAACCAACCCATACAGGAAGATTTGCCTGCCGGCCCATCCATTTCCAATCCACAACAGCTCTCCTTTCCCTGCCTCGACAACGCCGAAGACCGCACCCGCCAGCTCTCCAACAAGAAGCGCTCGCTCTCTGGCCCCGAGCCGTCCTACACCAGCGGCAAGCACGAGACCTTTCACTCCGACGCGCCCATTCTCCTCGACTGGGGTGGCGTGCTGCCTTCTTACGACATTGCCTGGGAGGCTTGGGGCACGCTGAACGCAGATAAGAGCAATGCTATTCTACTCCATACTGGGTTGTCGGCGAGCAGTCATGCTCACAGCACCGAGGCCAACCCCAAGCCGGGCTGGTGGGAGAAGTTCATCGGGCCGGGAGCGCCTTTGGATACGGAAAAGTACTTTGTCATTTGTACCAATGTGATTGGGGGTTGCTATGGAAGTACGGGACCGAGCAGTGTCAATCCTGCGACGGGCGAGCATTATGGCACCAGCTTTCCTATTCTCACCATGCAGGATATGGTCAGAGCGCAGTTGGCGCTGCTGGACGCTATGGGTATACAGAAGCTGTACGCAAGTGTGGGGAATAGTATGGGAGGCATGCAATCTCTGGCACTGGGTGTATTGAACAACGAGCGTGTGGGCAGGATCGTGTCAGTATCGGGCTGTGCGCGAAGTACACCATCGAGTGTGGCTATGCGGCATTGTCAGAGGCAGGTATTGATGAACGATCCAGCATGGGCCAAGACGAGAGGCAACTACTACAATAGCATCCCACCGCACACAGGCATGAAACTGGCGCGAGAAATCGCTACAATTACATATCGATCTGGACCGGAGTGGGAGAAGCGTTTTGGTAGGCAGCGAGCAGATCCAAGCAAACCTCCCGCTCTCTGTCCGGACTTCCTCATCGAGACATATCTGGATCACGCTGGCGAGAAGTGGTGTCTCGAATACGACGCGAACAGTCTGCTGTACGTCAGCAAAGCTATGGATCTCTTCGATCTAGGCAAAGAGCTACAAGACGCCACTGCGAACCGACGAGCTGAGAATGCAGGCAAGCTCGAGCATGGATTCAAAGAGGCACAAGCACAACAAGATCGATGTGCCCTCAGTATTCCCGATGAGCCATACGAAGAGCAGGAATCATCTGCCGAAATCATGGCTGCCTCGACCTCCGATCCCGCAGCACGTGGTCCGTCAACTTCAGGGCCACCTGAGGACCTGGTCAGGGGCCTTGCGCCATTGCGAGACATTCCCACACTTGTTGTTGGTGTCGCCTCTGACATTTTGTTTCCAGCATGGCAACAACGCGAAATTGCAGATGCACTCAGGCGTGTGGGCAATCGTAGCGTATCCCACGCAGAGCTCGGCGAAGATCGATCTTTGTTTGGCCATGACACGTTCTTGCTGGACTTGGAAGGCGTAGGTGGAGAGATTAAGCGCTTTCTGGGTTGAGAATGGGAATAGGAGGTACCTACCCAGCGAGTAGCAGCATGTGCTGAATTGCTACTGCGATCCCATCCTGCGATGCCGAGCGTGAGATGCATACACGTTCATCGCCGGCACGCAATCGGAACGCGTAGCCCAGAATCGTTCCTTCAGCTCACGCAAGGATCGAAAAAGTGGGGACCTCTGTAACTTTGGGGTCAGTGATAGGAGGTACCTACTATGTACGGAGGTACCTACTATGTACGGAGGTACCTACTATGTACCTACCTTATCTAAGCCTTGAAGCATCGTCTGGTCGAGGCAAGGGCAAGGGCAAGAACTGCTCATCTCGCTGACCTCCTGAGCTGGGTGCCCGCCGCGGCAGATCATGCCTGAAGTGCTACCATGCCGAATTTCGGGATCTTACGGCATTCGGCTCCGAGCCATGTTGTATACATGCCTGGTGATCGACGAAGACGAGAAATTGTTTGTCTCGGCTACATCAGCCATTCGGTGATAGCTGAAAGGTGCCGATCCGGATGATAGAGGCAGCTCCAGTCTCCGACACTCAGCACACCCATCTACGGCTAAGGTACATGTACCTTACGGCAGAGGGTCTCTGCAGCTCACACCGGTGCTGATGACAGTGGAACAACAGCTAGAGCACATGCCAATCTTGTCAGCAACCTCTGAATCAAGGATATAGATGACATACTGCATGATTCCATCTCACTCAGGATCCTCCTCCACGTCAGCACTGATCAACCCCAAGATAGGAAGCCGAACGACACAGCGAGAATATCTTCTTGCCTTCCGATTGGACTTCTGGATACCCACATACCTACCTGCCGAATCCATCCCGCAGTCAAATAATCAGAATAACAGAAAAAAAGAAACACATCACATTTTTTTATATTTCTTTTTGCATATGCCCCATGGCCCAATGTTGGGGTAGTATGTACATGAACCAATCCCCTTTTATGCAATGCAGGTAGGAAACGTGGACCTTGTTTCAGAGGGTTTCTTTTTCCAAAAGGAGAGAAGAAGAAAAGAATCCGCCACTGCATTCTATTCTCTTCGCTCGGTGCTGTGCTGTGTTGCGCTGCGTTGGAATTCCTCTTTTTCTTTTCAAGGCCCGCATATGCTGACTGCAGTGTGGCTGACTGGCTGACTGGTGGCAAGTGCTACAGGTAAGGTAGGTAGGTAGCTGCTACCTATGATTCCAGAGGTACCTAACCTACCTCCTTGAAAGCATGTGTATTTACATACCTAGGTAGGTAGATGATGAATCATTTCTTTGCTGAACCAACCTTACTATTACTCAAAGGTGGAAGGCATGTAGTAGTGAGCGAGCACTTATCACTTATACTCGTCCATCTAACAAGGAGAGGCTTGTGCTAGCATACTCGGATCGAACCTATCAGTGCTCCTGGGCTGCGGCTTCTACTCCGATGTGCTATCGCTTGGGGGAGTTGGCGTGCGTGGGTGAAGGCAACCGTTGTACATGTCTCGCTCGTTGCTTTTGGTACGACTGGGGAATTATCCTTGCAGTACTTCTAATTCGAAGTCGCCGACTTCGGATTGTTATGTGGTTGCTGGTCGTCCTGGGAAGCTCTGAGATACCAAGTCAATACTACTTGCGCGTCGAAATGTGAGCCCTCGAGTGGGCGTGGGCGTGGGCGTTTACTTGACGAAACCAATAGCCCATTGGAGAAAGTAAGCAGGACGCGGTCGTGTAGACTACTGGCCAACATGAGAGCATAACTTCCCACTCAGAAGTAGATCCATGTAGGCGACATAACACCGCATTTCATCCGAGCAACATGTCCAGAGAGCTGTGTCGCTCCGTAGCCGACAGGAGCAGGATGGAGGGAGCGTGAAGTACTTGGATCTGTACGGGTATGCCAGCTTGGTCAATCGAGGTAAAGGTACAGAGACGTGTCCAGCGCCACAGGCCATGTAAGCAGGAGTGGCACGTCTGCCATAATATCCCAAGTGGTGGCTGATGCTGGTATGTCTGTCAAGCCTGTGGCAGGCCACCAAGCCAACCAACGTAAAGGCCGGTCATGTTGGGTTTCAAGGAGGCTTGCTGAGGTCGAAGAGCGATAGATTTTTGGTTTCCAACCAATACCAACGCAGCAAGGTGTTGAGATGGGGCAAAGGCGCGGAATGCTGTGAACAGTGAGGCAATAATAAGGGCCGCCAAGCTACCTACCTACCCGCTGGAGGTGGGAGGTGGGAGGTGGGAGGTGGAAGAGCTGCGGTGCAGCATCCGGCACGTGTACGGCATCGACTGTCGCCTGCAGCCCTTGTCCTTGCTTGGTGGGCTGCCAGCCAGAGGGGTCACGGTCTAGATAGGTCTTTGATCGTCATGGTACTTGAACTTCTGGGTGTTGCTGTTTTAAGGCCTTGCATCGGTCGTCGGTCCACGAGTTCCGCAGGCTCATCACACAGGTCCACAGGTCTTTGCCGCCAGTACCTCCTAGTGTCCACTGCTCAGGGTCGTCATCCAGGTCAAGGTGCGGTGTCGTTCAACATCCAAAACCTGTCGTAGGCCTTGGCACGCACCAGACGAAAAGGCATGGCGGCGAGGAAGAGCAGGTCGGCCCATCGCGGCGAATGTGGCCGGCCGCCTTGTTCGACTGGATTCACTACCTCCGTACCTCCTAGGAGCTAGAATAAGGTCCCAGGCTCCCAGGGCACCAGAGTCTTGGCTCCAGCTGCAACAATCCGCAGCGGCCCCAGCGGGTATATTTGCGCAGCAGCAGCAGGAGCAGCATCAGTTGTCAGCACTGCCCGCTCGCAACTCGCAGCTCATACCAACTACCTGCACCGCGTGACCCAGGCGGATGAATGAGCTCTCAGCCTCGTGGAGAGCGCCTGTCTGCGCTACCACCTCAGGCCGCGTCAGGAACCAAAGTCCTTGATGAGATGGAGGGTGAGGAAACGGCTGGATGGAAGTGGACACGCTCACGGACTCTCACTAACTGCCCTGGTACATGCGCGTGCTGACGGGGGATATATGCGCATGCCTACCGGGCGGAGCGGGTAGCACAGAGCCAGTCGCAGCAGCTGCATCCCCGCCGCGAGTCCGCGACGCCGCTGGCTGGGCTGTGTTGGCTGTGAGGCTTGAGCCCTCGAGGCCTCGACGACGCACAATCGCACATGGCACCCGTTCGTGGTGCGCGACTTCACCATGCTACTGCACTGTGCCTGTTTATCATTATTGGGGTCGGGATGCACAGGATCACGCTCTGGTCTGGTCGGCTGCCGTCTCCCTTTAACTACAGGATGTATGCCAGGCCAGCCAATAACCAGGTCAGGTAGGAGGTAGGAGGAGGTAGGTGATAAGATACGTCAACCGGACCCATCGAATTCAGAGTTCAACTTCCCAAAAACGACTTGTCGTGAATCATTTTCGCCAGGAGGGCTCTCAACATCATCTCAGCATGCCAGAAGAGGAAGCAGTCAATTATATAGCAAGCTTACTCACATGTACCTGGGCGGTGTGTGTGTGTGTGTGTGTGTGTGTGTGGCACTGTGTGCCTGCACGTCGAACCTTCGGCCTCCACCTGCAGACGGCCGGGCACGACTGCCGCCGCCGACGCCGCCTTGCTTACTTCTTCTGGCCTCAGTATCCCACTGCCGGAAAGAGGATGGTGCTGGTACTTGGAGTTAGGTGCCGGTAGATCGGCGCGCAGCTCGCCTTCACTCTCGCTGCCATGGTATGGGTACAGTACAGTACCACGACGGAGCCACGACGACGACGACGAACACCACTACCACGCCCACGCCCACGCCCACCACCACCACCACCACCACCACCATCATCATCATCATCATCATCATCATCATCATCATCATCATTACCACCACCACTACAACCACCGCCACCACCACCAGCAGGAACCGTGGCTACAATTGCCTGCTCCTCCGAGGCCGCCGACGGACGAGGAGAGAGTGTATGTGTGTACATCCATAGGAGGTAGTACGTGAGACAGCAGACGAGGGTCCCCCACACGAAGGTTGCCAAGGTTCACTTGTCATCCTGGAGCGCGTGTGGCTGATGCCCGCTTCGCGATAGAACTAGAGGTGATTGGCACAAGCCAAAAGCCCGATACTTTGGGAGACTCTGGGTCGCACGCTCTTCCGCTGCAATAGCACACCAGGACCCGGTCGGGAATTGTGAGAACGAAGAAAGCCCTTCTCACCTGTCCACCCAGCCTGCGCTGTAGTTCTACCAACCACCTACTCCATCACCACCACCACCACCACCACCACCACCACCACCACCACCACCACTTGACCTGGCTAACCTCTGTTGTTATTGTCTTGTTATTGACATTGTCGTCGTCCTCGGCGTCGGCGTCCTTCTTCTCCCACACCCGTCCACCCCCCAACACGCTCGAGTCCAGCGCCACGTCGCAGTCTCATCGTCGCGTCGTCGCAGCAGCATCAGGCCATCCCACACCTCTCCCCGGTCGCGCAATCCCTCCCTCCTCCCTTCACCGCATTACCTTATTGTTGCTCTTGCTCTCCATTTCTGCTTTGGGCCGCCCGCACCACATCCGGCGACACTTCGCATTTGGCACGGCGCGTCTCTCGCCATTGTTCTGACCGATCCCGCGTCGCAACAGCCCTCTCTCCCCTCCGCTCCGGACTGCTGGTCTCGAACCGTCTGCACACATTCACGCGTCCCCGCGCGCGGCGCCACGCTCTTGCGCGCCTACCTACTGTACCTTACCTTACTACTGACTCTCTGGGTTCGCCCCGGCTCTTTCACGCCCGAGGAACTTCTTCACATCAACGTGCCGGCCGACTTCATATGCTCAGACGCTCTCCTCCAGCACGCGCGCACCCGGCATTGAACAGTGGCTCCCGATCATCGCTTACAGTGCAGTGCCATCAGAGCCATCTTCGGCGAGCATTTTCCGACCCACCCTCACGTCGTCCACATCGTGGGACGACGTGCATACGCTAGAGATCACCGGCCCCTTCTGCCTCAGGCCCCGTGGACACCATTTCATCCATACCTCAGGTACGGTAGCACCTCATGGCCGAGCCAGCCTCACGCAGCAGCCACGCTGTCCCCAGTTTGCATGGCAGCAGCATGTTCCCGCGAACGCCGTTTGCTTCGAACAGCACCTCGCCGCCTACACCAGCCTTTCGCACTGATGTCTTCGGACAGACTTCCGGCGCCAGCTCTGGTCAGATATATGGTACTTCACCGACGTCTGAACGCCATCCGAGCGACCGCAACGGCGCCATGCCTGCTCTGTCGGCCACGGTATCTGATGCCTCCGAATTTGCCTGGGAAGGACGCCCTGCGCCTGCCGTTCTCATCCGCAGGCTTCCGCGCAACATTGGCATCGAAGCAGTCAAAAGTATGCTGATATTTGCCGGCGACTTGATTGACACAGAGCTCATCAGATCACCTTATCCTGCCGATGATCAGGGCTTTGCCACGGCTCTCGCACGATTTCAGACAGCTGAGAGTGCGTTCGAGGCTCAGCGGAAGCTTCACGGAAGACCCAATACGACCAAAGAAGCAAACATGATTGTTGAAGCTCACAGCACAGGTTCCATAAGCAGCGCATACGAGAGGCGCCACACTATCGATGATACCGCATTTCGCACTCAAAACAGCTCAGCGTCCTCAGGTCGCTCCCGATTCAACAGCACGTTTCAGACGACTGAGCGAATTTCACCGCCACTGGCCACTCCGAGCTCTGCAGCCAATGGTGAATTTCCCACACCCGAGAACAGCGCTCACTTTCAGAACCTCTTCTCATCGCAGTCGTTTCTGGGCAATGGAACCGATGGCAATCAACGAATCAGTGGCAAATCAATGATCAACGATGATACCGCTGATGACGAGACAGGAGAGCTTCTCAAGGATCCCATTGCCTACGCCAAAAGTGGACAGCAGATGCGACGCGCCACAAATCCTGCTCTACCAGTCACTCGCTTTGGTAGTCTGTCTCTGAACAGCCCGAACGGCAACCATATGGGTATGGTGTCGCCTTCTAGCAACGGGGTTGGCTCGCCACGTGCGAATGGTTCAATCTCATCAGCCTCTACACCGATGGGATCCAACGCCGAATCTGTATTCGGGCAGAACTATCCACGTCCACAGTATCCGCCTGTCAACCCAGCAGATCAGAACCCTCCGTGCAACACTCTCTACGTGGGAAACCTGCCGGTGGACACTTCCGAGGATGAGTTGAAGGCGCTGTTCTCCAAAGTCCGAGGATACAAGAGATTGTGCTTCCGAACCAAGCACCAAGGCTCCATGTGCTTCGTGGAATTCGAAGATGTGAGCTTTGCTACTAAGGCATTGAACGAGTTGTACGGAATACCGCTCCACAACAGCACCAAGGGTGGCATTCGACTCAGCTTCTCCAAGAACCCGCTGGGCGTGCGATCGGCTCAATCCAATGGCATGGGCCTACATCCGGTCATGTCTCCACAAGCTATGGCGCCCGGTTTCTCTGGGATGGCGAATGGGGGCAACTTCAGCGCAGTCTCCGGTCCACCCCCGGGTTTGGGCTCTCCGCCTGGACTGTGTGCTGGTAACAATTACCGCGCGGTCCCAACCGGCATGGGCGGAATGTTCTCGAATCCATTCGGCGGAACCTCGGACTTTGGACATCAGCTCGGTCCACGCAATTACTCTGGTGGCGTACCGTACGCGCTGGGGTCGGGCACGTTTGGAAGGGAGCCTCGAACTGGCTACAACGACTTCTCTCTGGGTCGTTAGGAATAGGGGTATCAGGGAACAAGATCTGAAATATGCGCTGGACGAAATCTGCCGCTTCTGCTAGAGCAATGTGGTCGAGTAGTTGACTGCTCGAGACCAATAGCTTTCGAGGGAGGCTGAGGTGGATTGCTGAGGTTCCTGTCGAAGCGTGAAAAGAGTCTCGCAAGGGACTGCTCAGTCTTTATATCGAGTCTCATAGAGAGCTTCTGGCCGAGACAGTTGGCATAACCGCCCAGTAACGAAGAGCTCGGAGGTGTGCACAATTTTCATGCTGGATTGATTATGGAGTTTACGACATTGCACTCATGGCGCATGGCATGTTTCACGACACGACACACCACTGGTGGCAGCTTTCTGATTGAAGTTTTGTTTGCAAGATTCCCCATTTGCGCGAAATTCGAGGGAATCATTACATCGGCGTTTTGGAGGAAGGGGGTGTGGCACACTTCCATCACCCAACCGCCTTATCGGGCGACAAGGACTGGCAGCATACAGGTTTGGCACATTCAAGGTGTGCTTTTACCATTCTATCATGGACCGCATCGCACGGCTTTGTCATCACACTATGGCAAATTCGAAGACATGCGCGATGAGGGCGGGCGCAGTAGCATACGAAAGTGGCAGGCATGCATTGACTTTGGCAGGGCACAAGACGTGCAGGCTTGCCGTCTCTTCTCTCTCTCTCTCAACGAAACAAGGTGTATGCATTGGAAGCACAGCATCGAGCGGTGTCCAGGAAGGGGTGCTTTTGATTTATGCGTTTACAGGTGTTTTTTCCCCATTACGCACGCATGATTATGTCCGAATTTTTGTTCTATACCTCTTCTTTCTCTTTCATTTTTTCTCGTTTTCTCTTCAACTTCTTGCAATATATTGACGATGAATGGGTTGCGGCAAAAACAAAGTACATATCGCCTAGATACGCTATTTTTTCCCCCTTCTTTATACTAGAGGATTAGGCAGAAAGAAAAAATCGAGTATTAGGTTGTTGTTTTTTTGCTTGATATTGCTTTTGAATGAAATCTCTATTGGGCTAAATGAACCAACTCGTACCGTACCTATTTTTGAAGTTTACGAGATGATAGGGGGGCAAAAACGCCGTCGTCGTCTTGGGAGTACCAAAACAAAACAGTTCAAATTTTACGGTTGATTCTGTCAGGTGGGCAGTACCTAGGTACGTATGCCGCCCTTCTGATTTTTAATTTTGATTTTGATTTGCCGAAAGCATGTTGTTTCTAGATCATCAAGAAGAAGAAGAAGAAGAGAAAAAGAAAGGCTTCATTGTTGGTGGTACAAGATTCTTTTTGTTTTGTTTTTTCGGGGGACAACAAGTTTTTTATTTACTCATCGCCACAAGCCGTAAGCGCCTTCGGTAAATTTCCACAATTTTACGGTGCCGTCTTCACTACCGGTAGCATACAGTCTTCCATCGGGACTGAAGCATGTCGTCCACACCGGTCCATGATGACCTCGACCAGTTTCGAGCTCTCTTCCGCTTTCAAAGTCCCAGACGTGCACCCATGTGTCGTTGGGACAGCCGGTCACGAAACGCTTTGATTCTCCATTCAACGCAACGCTGGCTACCTCGCGTTCTGTGGCGATGTGCTTGATGAGGTGGCCTGGGCGACCACCATCGAAGAAGTAGATGTTCTTGCCTGCAGCGACACTGATGATTCCATTGGGGTAACCGAGGCCGACGCCGGAATTGAGCTCGCATGACCCCGGTAAGCCTTCGATTTCATAGCTGGCAATGCATGAACGCGTGCTCAGATTCCACCAGCGAACTTTTTTATCATCTGCTGCCGTGATGATGACGTTAATGTCACGCGACCAGATGATGGACTTGATAGCACCCTGATGCTCTCCAGCACCAATCTCGTAGGATGGCGGATCCGGATTCGTGATTCCGTTTGTCGCTCCGTTTGTCTCTTCTCCCGGGGTTCGTGCATTACTGCTTGTGCCAGACAAGTCGAAGATGCGCAGTTTCTTCTCCATGCCACCTGTAGCTAAGACTTGCGGCCTATCCTGGGGCGGGAATGCCACAGCACGCACAATATGGTTGTGCTGAAGGGTGTGCAGAGTCTCTCCAGTGAAGGTGTCCCATACCTTGGCGGAGAAGTCGGCCGATCCAGTGGCTGCTAGCGTAGCATCATCGGATAGTCGGGCACTCCAGACAGCACCCTTATGACCAATAAAAGTTCCAATCCAGTCACCAGTAAGCCCATCACGCAGCATGGGATTGTTGTCCTTGCATGCGGATATCATGTAGAACTGTGAGGTAGCGCCAGAACCCGATAACTGAGACGAGAAGGAGACATGTGTAATGGGGCGAGAGTGGCCATGGCACGTGAGAGGCACCACTTTGGTGATTTCTGAACAGCAGTCAGTACCTTAGTTGCCTCCCTTTTCCGGCCACGGGTATGATCGACTGGTCTGCACTCACCCGTTGTAATGCCGGCGTCATCTTGACGCTTGAAGGCGAAGTCCATAGTGCGTGGCTGATGTTAAATTTGCGGTATACTAGGTATGTGACGGTGCTAGATGTCCGCCGCCTGTTGGTGCCTATGAGAAGTCGAGGGGGAGACTCAGTGTCGTCTGAAGATCAGGTAGCTGTCGAGATTCCGGGCTCGTGCCACTGTGGTTGTTAGGTAAGGTAGGTATCTTTTCTCTTTCTTTGTCTCGTTGTATTTTCATTAATCGTAAGAGTCGTAATGGTGATTCTGTTGCTTGAACACCGCAGCCAAAGCAAAGTCCTGGTTGAGAGTAGAAACAGGCGAATGAGACTTCGCAAAGAAATGAAGATGCAATGGAGCGAGATGGCGATATCACAGCAACATGAAGTACATTGCGTGTTATGGCAAGAGATGGAATGCGCAGGGACGTGTATCAGGGTGTAGGTGCGTGAAAATGGCACTAGCTCGGGTACGTCCCCGTCGCCGTGCGAACCACCATAGGAGGTAAGGTAACATAACCCAGGACGGGATCCATGCAATCGTATATTCTAATCTAATTTCTAAATGTACCTAACCTTAGTGACGTTGGGCTGTCTTCCATTTATTATTACGTGCAATAACATGCAATACGGCGATGTAATCAGGTAGACCGTAGGTGTGTTGTAAGGTCCCTGTAGGTACAGAACAATGGATGGCTCGTCACCGACTATAGGTAGGTCAGGTATCAAGGTACCTGGTAGGTAAGTATTGAATCAATATATTGATGGAGGATGTTAATAGAATGTTAAGAGAGGAGGCTGGATCGGCAAGTGCCTGCAGAGGAAAGCCCAAGCCCCAGCCTACCAGCGTCAAGTCCACGTGCAAGACTGCAGCGGCGCGCTTATCCTGGCCGCCTGGCGTTGTGTTTCAGTGTTGACACTCTCCCGCCCGTCCACAACAACCCTCCCACCTACTGTAATAAGACAGCTCTCCTTTTGGCCAGCACAGCAGTAGAACTGCCTCATGGCGGCCACGGACCCGACTATACCTGCAACATCGAGGACCTTTTAAGCCGGGAGCGCCAATCTGGAACTGGATCGGGATCGGGAACTGGACTGGACTGGACGGATCACTGCAACACTGGAACTGGACTTGCTGGATCTGGATACTTGCGACTCGTCGGCCGGCTTGAGACATCGCCATCATCACACACAACGTCCATACGACCCAGGCAGTAACGCGTCCACCGCCGCGCCTCCTCCGCGCAACGCGCACATACATACCACTCGCCGGATAGCATGCGCCGCTAGCATCGCGCGTCAACGAGCAGCATGTCTTCCTCACCGCTACGGCCTGGCGCAGATCTCAAAGAACAGCTGGAGTGGTACAAAATCCAGTATGCGCAACTCGAGACCGATCTCTCTGACTTCCAGGCGTCGAGCAAGGAACTGGAGGAGCAGCTGGAAAAGGATGTAGAGGCAGCCGAGAAGAACGAGCGGAAGTTCAAGGAGCAGGTCGAGAAGCTGAACTTCGAGGTGGACGAATGGAAGAACAAACACAAGCAGGCAAAGGACGAGGCCAACAGGGCGCAAAATGCGCTGCAGAAAGAGGTTACTTCGATGCGAGAGGATAATCGTGCGTTACAGCTGAAGCTACGAGATATTGAGGTTACGAATGATGATTACGAACGACAAGCCCGCAACACGGAATTCGAGAAGGATGACCTGGAAAGCAAATACAATGCCGCGATTGAGCGTGGCGTGCTGTTTGAGGAGACGATCAAGCAAGGCGAACAAGAGCGGGAGGCCTTACGTGTCGAGACCCAGCGCTTGAGGGACGATCTGGGCGATCTGAAGGTCGAAAATGAGATTACGTTGGAAAAGCTACGTTTGGCACAGCGAACTATCGAGGAGCTCCGGTCAGCCAGGCCGTCCTCACTGGCGGTTGGTCATCTGAGAGCCAGGAGTCCAGGCAGCGAAGCGAGCGGGATGACGCCTATCTCTCCTACCGCATCGACTACTCCTCCCAAGTCGGACGCGGCCTCCGATACACCCACGCCTCCATCGCCACCGTTGTCGGACGAGCCAGCGAACGCCAAGGTCGATCACAAGACACCCGTACCAGTGACGAGGAAGTCGCTGCTATCCGATGCAGAGCCCACACCACGCCAGGCACTCTACGGACCACGCGGATTCACCAAACACTCCAGAGGACCTTCTTTGGCCTCTAGCAGCAGCACGGCAGTCTCGGGAACCATGAAGCCGCCAAGCAGACCGAGGACTCGGGCCAGCAATGCGCCCGAAAAGCTCCCACGCTCAGACTCTTTGTACCAGATTAGGGGCCTCATTGGCAGGATGCAGAAGATCGAGGAGCGGGTGCATTCTGCACGATCGAAGCTACCTGCACCAGGAACACCTCGAGGGTCACCACGTACCGGTCCTGGATTGAGCGAAGGCATTCCCTCATCCGTGACGGTGCGGCGCAGCATGAAACGTCCGAGTGCAAGCACCACATCATCAGTGCTACAAGAAGATGATGCCGAAGAAGCGTCGCCCAGTGGTGGAGCTCGAAGAGACAGCCACTTTAACCGCTTATCGTACAGCATACCCAGGCCTGCATCTGCCATGTCCCGCAGATCCGAGCTGCCTGATCGACCTCCTTCAGCTATGGGTCGACCGCCATCTGCAGCCGCGAACAGGCCTAGCAGCCGAGCATCTGGGGTTCGGCCGCCCAGTAGAACTGGTGCCCGTACCGAGCTCGGACATTATTCACGACCAACGACTGCCAGCTCCGCTGCAGCATCTTCAGGACGGCCTCGAACGAGCATGGCGGGAGGCTATGCTCTGGACACAGCGCGCGGACATCGCTCCAGCGCAAGCGTGAACGAAAATCGGCGGCAAGAGGCTCAAAGCGAAGACTCGATGCTTGCTACTCCACCTCGGCGCAGAACCACGATTGAGCGGAGTGGTCTACCCACGCCAGGCTTTTTATCCAAAAGCGTGGGACCGGGCACCAAGCCGCCTATAGTCAGGTCGAAAACCATTACATCGCAGCCGAGCGGCAAGTTCAGTCCTTCAAAAGACGACACCGAGATGATGCCTCCCCCTCGCAGGAAGCAAATGAGTGACGTGGGAGAGACTTACTAAACACAAAAAGAGCGATGTCGGCGGGATTCGCGTTTGTACAGAGGGAAGTTTTGTTGGGTTGGTGGTGTGGAGAAGAAGTGTGTCTGTGATGGTGTGGTATATAATGCTGTTGGGGAGTTGTATAGCATACTATGTAGTATAATTCAGGAAAATACCAAGAGCAGCAGATCATCATGCCTACCGTACCTCAGGTACCTAGGTAGGTGGCTGACTGAAGGATTTCATCCTGCTTACTCAGTCACTGTCATGTATGGATGTATTGTGACGTTTGCACTAGTCGTTGGGGTTACGTTGGACAGCTGAGACATTTGTCGCACATTGGAGATGATGTGTGAAGTGTGATTGAAGAATGGCAATAAGAGCCAATTTAAGGTACTTTTTGGAGGACTACCTCAGGACTCAGGTATGTGGGTACCTAGGCAGGAGGTAGGTCAGGTACTCTTCGGAGATTATACATGTATACTATGCTGTGCTGTGCTATGCTGTGCTAGGTATACTTGTTAAGATGTAAGGTAACAAAAGAAACAGTTATTTTCATCTTTTACTCTGTCTCTGCCGTGTGAGTGTGTGTGTATCTACTACCTCCTACTAGGTACCTTCATATTACCGCTGAAGGTAGGTATATACCTAGGGAGGTAGGTACACATTATACAGTCATACCCATACCCATACTGTACTGTCTGTTCTGTAGCAAGCGGGGGAAATTAGTTCTTTTCAGGTAAGGTACCTCCTAGGCTAGCTTAGATTCTCTGTTCACGATCGAGATTTTTGCTTTGATGTCTTCGATTCGGAACAAGGCTATCTGTGAATGGAAAGTAAGAGAAAGAATAAATACTGTACCTGATTTCGTGATGTGATGTGCTGTGTGTGTGTGCCTCGGAGGCGCTTACTTAATAATATACCGTACCTACCAGGCTGTACCTACATAAGTATGTCTCGGGAGTCGTTGGTTATTACTCAGTTGCCTATCCAGTTCCACATCTATCTATTGCGAGAGCATGTCGGTTTGTGAGGCTGAAATCGATGATGTCAGGTAGGTACATGTAGGTTTGTGTGTGTGGGTGGGTGTGTAGGTGAAATAAATAGACTCCCGCTCCTAATTCCTTCGTCTTGTGGAATTCCATGGTGGAGAGCCGAAGAGGTTTCACAAACACGGCTGTCTCGAAAGTTGTGTGTGTAGGAGTGATCAAAAAAACACTGGAGAATGAAAAAATGGCTATTTTGGAGTTTCTTTGAATCCTGAAGAGCCGATGCTTTTTCTTGATCCCTGCGCCAATCGAAAGGGGGGGTGTCAAGCCACTTTTTCGTTTCCGAGAGAGAAAAAGAGAGCGAAAGAGAGAGATCCGAACACGAAAGCGATATTCCCTGTCAGGGAGCCGTGGATGAACTTGTGATCATTATTAGTCTGTAAGGTAGTATCTCATCAATTGTGTCGACGATCGAGGACGTGGTCTTGTGGATCGTGCTATAGGAGATAACAATGCGATGAGGTTGCGGGATTGCTCTCACAGGTGAACAGAACGATCGGTTGGTGCACTGAGTACATGCATACCTATTGATGCAGTCTGCAGGGCAGCTGCAGGGTGAGGTCGCCCCAACCATTGCTGGGAAGAGGGTACCTCTATAGGATATATATCAGATGCAGATGCAGTGTCTACGGACGGCAGTACCTCCTAGGTAGACGTAGGAGGTAAGTGATGCCTTTTTGTGGTTCTCGTGCTCGTTCTCGTTGCGTGTAGTGCAAGGGTATGAGCGATGGCCTCTTTGAGAGAGGTATAGACAGCACTGGACGTCTCCGCGATCACCAGCTACAGGTAAGGCACTTCTGAGCCATATTATACTTCCCGATATATTCTCGCTCACCATTCACATCTCCATTCCTCCAGTAGGAGGTACGTCCTGTCCTGTCCTGTCGTGGGTCAGTCGGCTCAGGCGTGGCACACCAGGAGCCATCAGCCATCAGCCATGCCACCTAGGTATGCTTACTACTGCACATCGCTAACGGCCCGCCCTTCATTCGCCGCTTTTCGCGCCCGATGGTGGATTTGCAAAGGAACACCGGCTGTGCCCAACTACTCCACCCCCCAGCACAACGGCACTCACCCACAGCTCAATGGATATCAACGTGCCCTCAATGTCCTGCAATGCTCTCATAAAAACCGCTGAACAACCTCATCAACCAGTACTGTTGCTAGTCATGAACTTATTATCTATCGACGCTCCACAACTTTCTCTGATCTCTCGCTCGCTCGCCCGCCGAGACTGAGAGGTATGACATTATCTGATTTCGGAGTAGACTCGAGCCACAATTATGTGTATCTGCACCCCGTACCCCGGTGTTGGCTAATGTCGCCGCGGGCTTAGTAAGTGGTAGATTACTGAGACGCCATTGAATGAACAGCGGGCGAGGCTGCGATACAGTAGTACCAGTATAATATCTCAATCAGGTCGCCAAGATCTATCGATACTCTGGACATATACGTGTGTGTACATCTAGCGTCCCTCTTTAGGATGGTTTGAGGTGAGACCGGAAGATAGAGCCGGAACAACAGCTGACGGAATAACGAGCCAGGCTCATCGTGCTGAGCGAGCCCGCTGCATGGAAAGCGCTTGAGCCACTTCGGACATGGGGTGGGGTGTTTTGTTCAACGTGAAGTCCGTCGGGAGCCAGGAAAAGTGTTGTAGAGCTGCAGTGCGTCAACGGGCGACTGGAGGAGCGTACACATAAGGTACAGTCAGGTAGGTACAGGTAGGTAGTTATACTCAACGACCTGCTCGCTCCCACGTCCGCTGCTTTTGCCTTGCCTTGCCTCCTCCTCCTCCTTCTCACCTCTCCTCCTCTTCAATACCACTACCACCTGCATCACCCGCATACCAGCCCGCTAGGCCCACCACTACTAGCCCGGCCAGGACAGCTCTACTGCTGACCTTCAGGTGCATCTACACGCGATTCAGCACACCTCGTCTCGCGCGACCCATCTGACGTCGTTGCTGAGCGAGCGGAGTATCTCTCGTCTATACCGATTTCCTCGCACAAAGACAGCCTGCGGCTATACTAGATACAGTTCACATCACACCCCTGCTAGATTCGTGCGTGAAACGCTATTCTTTCTCCAGTGTCCCGGGCTGGAGGCGTTTCTTGGGCGATCGGCATTACTGGGCCTCGACAGACTTGGGGAAAGCTCTTTTTGCCGCACATTTCTCCGCCCTTCCATCCCACACAACATCCACCACTCCCAGAAATCGAACAGCGAGAGCAGCTGCGAACATGGCCGACGCAGTGGGAGGAGCAACGCCAAAGGTCAATGGCCACAGCAATGGCTTCCCCAGCGCCTATGCAGCTAAATACAACCTGGCACCACATTTCATTGGCGGCAATGCTCTGCCGAAAGCACCTCCAAGCAAAGTCAAGGACTTTGTCGCAGCACACGATGGCCACACTGTCATTACGAATGTGAGTACAAAGCGCAGGTGGTGGGACGAGCAGCTGAAGGAGCTTCGGCTCGGCTGGGACATACGTACCGTACCATTCTTGGGCCAGGCACGCGAGCTGACCTTCCACCCAGGTATTAATCGCGAACAACGGTATTGCGGCTGTCAAGGAGATTCGATCTGTACGGAAATGGGCATACGAGACATTCGGCGACGAGCGGGCCATCCAGTTCACTGTGATGGCCACGCCAGAAGATCTAGGTGCCAATGCCGACTACATCAGAATGGCGGACCAGTATGTGGAGGTGCCTGGTGGCACGAACAACAACAACTACGCCAATGTGGAGCTCATTGTCGATATCGCGGAACGCATGAACGTACAAGCTGTGTGGGCAGGATGGTGAGTAGGAGGAGATGGGTCCACACTGGCTCGCGGATGATACTGATCTACTGTAGGGGCCACGCATCTGAGAACCCTAAGCTGCCCGAGTCGCTCGCCGCATCACCGAAGAAGATTGTCTTCATCGGTCCTCCCGGGTCTGCTATGCGATCGCTAGGTGACAAAATCTCGTCCACGATTGTTGCGCAGCATGCCAAAGTGCCATGTATCCCATGGTCTGGAACTGGCGTTGAGGAGGTCGAAGTGGACGAGAACAACATTGTGACTGTAAGAGACGAGATCTACAACAAGGGATGCGTCACATCATGGCAAGAAGGCCTGGAAGCCGCTCGCAAGATTGGCTTCCCAGTCATGGTCAAGGCTTCAGAGGGTGGTGGTGGCAAGGGCATTCGCAAGGTGGACGACGAGACGAACTTCGAGTCGTTATACAAAGCCGCTGCCAGCGAGATTCCTGGATCGCCCATCTTCATCATGAAACTTGCTGGTAACGCCAGACATTTGGAAGTCCAGCTGATGGCCGACCAGTACGGCAACAACATTTCCATCTTCGGCCGTGATTGTTCTGTGCAGCGACGTCACCAAAAGATCATCGAAGAGGCACCTGTCACGATTGCAAATGCGAAGACATTTCAAAAGATGGCTGATGCCGCAGTATCACTGGGGCGATTGGTCGGCTATGTTTCTGCTGGAACAGTAGAGTATCTGTACTCGCACGCAGACGACAAATTCTACTTCCTGGAACTCAACCCACGTCTTCAGGTCGAGCACCCTACCACGGAGATGGTTTCAGGTGTCAACATTCCCGCCGCACAGCTCATGATTGCCATGGGTATCCCTCTCCACCGCATCCGTGACATTCGCTTGCTCTACGGCGCGGACCCACACACTCAAACGGAAATCGATTTCAATTTCGAAAAGGCTGGGAGCGAGGGCAAGCAGCGACGACCACAGCCAAAGGGTCACTGCACTGCTTGTCGAATTACATCCGAAGATCCTGGCGAGGGCTTCAAGCCATCGTCTGGTACGATGCACGAATTGAACTTCCGATCGAGCTCAAACGTCTGGGGTTACTTCTCTGTCGGCGCCGCGTCCGCCATTCACAACTTCTCAGATTCTCAATTTGGGCACATCTTCGCCTACGGCGAGAGCAGGCAGGCTTCGCGAAAGCACATGGTCGTTGCGCTGAAAGAGCTGAGTATTCGTGGAGATTTCAGGACAACAGTCGAGTACCTCGTCAAGTTGTTAGAGACTCCTGCTTTCGAGGACAACACCATCACCACAGGCTGGCTCGACGAGCTGATCAGCAAGAAGCTTACTGCGGAGCGGCCAGATCCCATGGTTGCAGTCATCTGTGGCTCTGTCACCAAGGCACATGTGGCTAGCGAAGCGTGCCTGGATGAGTACAAGAAGGGCTTGGACAAGGGTCAAACACCGAGCAGGGATATCTTGAGGACGGTATTCCCGGTCGAGTTCATCTATGAGGGCATCAAGTACAAGTTCACGGCGACGCGCTCGAGCAAGGACACCTACACTCTCTTCATCAACGGCAGCAAAGCACTCGTCGGCATCCGAGCTCTATCCGATGGCGGTCTTCTCGTGCTGTTGGGCGGCCGCTCCCACAACGTGTACTGGAAAGAGGAAGTGGGTGCCATCCGCATGTCTGTTGATGGCAAGACCTGTCTTCTCGAGCAAGAGAACGATCCTACACAACTCCGGACACCGTCTCCTGGCAAGCTTGTAAAGTACACAATCGAGAATGGTGAGCACGTCAAGAAGGGTCAGGCGTTCGCCGAAGTGGAGGTCATGAAGATGTACATGCCTCTCATCGCTCAAGAAGATGGCATTGTCAACCTTATCAAGCAGCCAGGTGCCACACTGGCCGCTGGTGACATCCTGGGTGTCCTTCAACTGGATGACCCGAGCAAAGTCAAGAGCGCACAGCCTTTCCTCGGCCAGCTTCCGGAGATGGGCACTCCAGTCGTCCTCGGAACTAAGCCACCGCAACGATATGTGTTCCTGCGCAGTGTCATTGAGTCCATCCTCCAGGGTTTCGATAACTCCGTGATCATGAAGTCAACCCTCAACGAGCTCATCTCTGTCCTCCAAGACCCAGAGCTGCCATACGGAGACTGGACCTCGCAAGCATCTGCGCTACATTCTCGCATGCCTCAGAAATTGGACATTGCCTTTGAGGACCTCGTCAAGCGCGCTCATGCGCGCAAGTCAGAATTCCCTGCTAAGCAACTGAGCAAGACCTTTGATCGCTTCTTGGCTGAAATGTCACCTGGCGACGCTCAGCTTCTCCGCGCACAGCTCACTCCTTTGACTGACATCCTCCACAAGTACAACGATGGACTGAAGGCCCACGAGTTTCAGGTCATCAGCGAATTGCTTCAGCAGTACTACGACGTGGAGAGCATTTTCTCTGCGCGACAGAACCGTGACGAGGAGGTCGTTCTTCAACTTCGTGATGCAAACAGAGAGAAGACCGCCGATGTGGTTCTTACCGTTCTTTCCCACACCCGAGCTAGTGCCAAGAACTCTCTGCTTGTGGAGATCCTGCAGAAGTACAGACCAAATCTGCCCGGCGTGGGCAACGTGGCCAAGTATCTGCGTCCTTCTCTGCTGAAGCTTGCTGAACTTGAAGGCCGTGCTACTGCCAAGGTAGCTCTCAAAGCTCGTGAGCTCCTTATCCAATGTGCTATGCCCTCACTGGAAGAACGCACGGCACAGATGGAGCATATCCTTCGATCGGCTGTCCTCGAATCGAGATACGGCGAGAGCGGTTGGGAGCACAGAGAACCAAACTTTGAGGTCATCAAGGAAGTGGTCGACTCGAAGTACACTGTTTTCGACGTTCTGCCCCAATTTTTTGGTCACCAAGATCCTTGGGTATCCCTTGCGGCGCTCGAGGTCTACACCCGTCGCGCGTACCGTGCCTACCAACTCAAGACAATCGATTACCTGGCAGAAGGCGAAAGCCCATTTGTCCTTGCGTGGGACTTCGCCCTTAGAAAGGTTGGAGAAGCCGAGTTCGGGCTGCCAATAGAGTCTTCGCACCCATCGACTCCCGGCACACCTGGTGAGGGTTTCAGCCGCGTGCACTCCATTAGCGACATGAGCTATATTGGCCGTCAAGCTGGCCAGACTGAGCCAAATCGCCGAGGTGCAGTTGTGCCTGTGCAATTCATCGATGAAGCTGATGAGGCTTTGATGAAAGCACTGGAAGCCTTCCCGCTGGCGAAGGGCGCCAAGAGCAGAGCCGACCAAGGTGGACTTATGGCTGATCTCTCAAAGAGGCGCGTGCCACATAACCCTACGCCAGATCATCCAGCTGAAGAGCTCACTGCCGTCTGCAACGTTGCAGTTCGCGACGCCGAGAGCATTGACGACAAGGACATTCTCTTGCGCCTTCTGCCAATCGTCAAGGAGTACAAGGAGGAGCTTCTGGCCCGTCGCGTGCGTCGTCTGACATTCATCTGCGGTCACAAGGATGGTACATACCCAGGCTACTACACCTTCCGTGGGCCTGTGTACGAAGAAGATACCTCGATTCGCCACATCGAGCCAGCTCTTGCCTTCCAACTTGAGCTTGGACGTCTTGCCAAGTTCAACATCCGACCTGTGTTCACGGAGAACCGTAACATCCATATGTACGAGGCTATTGGAAAGGGCGCAGAGACTGACAAGCGCTATTTCACAAGAGCTACTGTCAGACCTGGCCAGCTGCGCGATGAGATGCCAACAGCTGAATACATGATTTCTGAGGCTGATCGACTCATGACTGACATTCTCGATGCCATGGAGATTGTTGGCAACCAGGGTTCCGATATGAACCACATCTTCATCAACTTCTCTGCCGTCTTCCCTCTCGACCCCAAAGAAGTCGAGGCTGCGCTCGGAAACTTCCTCGATCGCTTTGGTCGTCGTGCCTGGAGACTGCGTGTCACTGGTGCTGAAATTCGCCTGGTCTGCACGAACCCACAGACCGGCGAGCCATACCCGATGCGTGTCAACATTACCAACACCTCTGGCTACATTGTTCAGGTGGAGCTCTACGAAGAGCGCAAGTCCGAGAAGACTAATGAGTGGCTGTTCCACTCGATTGGTGGCACCACCAAGATTGGATCAATGCACCTGCGTCCAGTCAGCACTCCTTATGAGACGAAGGGTGCGCTGCAGCCCAAGCGGTACAAGGCTCACATCATGGGCACTCAATACGTCTACGATTTCCCAGAGCTGTTCCGCCAGGCTATTGAGAACTCGTGGAATGCCATCGTTGCTCAGCACCCTGGGATGCGCGAAAAGCAGCCCGTGAAGGGAGAGTGCATTGAGTACAATGAGTTGGTCATGGACGACTCCGACAATCTTGCAGAGGTGAATCGCGAACCAGGTGCTAACAACATCGGCATGGTCGGCTGGCTCATCACGGCAAAGACGCCAGAGTACCCGCGTGGACGCCGCTTCATCATCATCGCCAACGACATTACGCACAAGATTGGTTCCTTTGGTCCGCAAGAGGATCGCTTCTTCCACAAGTGCTCTGAGCTGGCTCGTAAGCTTGGCATTCCCCGTCTCTACCTATCGGCCAACTCTGGTGCGCGAATCGGTATGGCCGAGGAGCTCATCCCACACTTCTCCGTTGCATGGAAGGACCCTAGCAGACAGGAGGCTGGTTTCGAGTATCTCTACTTGACCCCCGAGAAGAAGGCTCGCTTTGAGGACGGCGCTCTTAAGCACGTTCTGACTGAGCAAATCACCGTCGGCAACGAGGTTCGACACAAAATCACCACAATCGTGGGTGCTGAAGATGGCCTTGGCGTCGAGTGCTTGAAGGGCTCTGGACTTATTGCTGGAGAAACGTCGCGCGCGTACGAAGACATCTTCACTTGCACTCTCGTAACCTGCCGATCCGTTGGTATTGGTGCCTACCTTGTCCGTCTTGGACAGCGTGCTATCCAGATCGAAGGTCAGCCGATCATTCTTACCGGTGCACCAGCTATCAACAAGCTCCTGGGCCGCGAGGTCTACACGTCGAACCTGCAGCTTGGTGGTACCCAAATCATGTACAAGAATGGCGTGTCACACATGACGGCAAGCGACGACTTTGAAGGAGTATCAAAAATGGTCAAATGGTTGTCCTTCGTTCCCGAAAAGAAGGGCGCGCCAGTGCCTATCTCGCCATCAGCTGACACATGGGATCGCGACATCACTTTCTTCCCACCGCAGAAGGCACCATACGATGTGCGCCATCTCATTGCAGGACAGGACACCGACGAGGGCTTCAAGGCCGGTCTCTTTGACAAGGGTTCCTTCGAGGAGGCTCTTGGCGGCTGGGCTCGCACCGTCGTCGTCGGTCGCGCCCGTCTGGGTGGCATCCCAGTTGGTGTCATCGGTGTCGAGACTCGATCGGTAGAGAATGTTACACCTGCTGATCCAGCAAACCCCGACTCGATGGAGCAAGTCACGAACGAGGCAGGTGGCGTCTGGTACCCCAACAGTGCTTTCAAGACTGCCCAGGCAATCAAGGACTTCAACAATGGCGAGCAGCTCCCACTCATGATCCTTGCCAACTGGCGTGGTTTCTCTGGTGGTCAACGCGACATGTACAACGAGGTCCTCAAGTACGGATCGTACATTGTCGATGCGCTCGTGAAGTACGAACAGCCTGTGTTTGTCTACATCCCACCGTTTGGCGAGCTTCGTGGTGGTTCGTGGGTCGTAGTTGACCCAACCATCAACCCGGACATGATGGAAATGTATGCCGACGAGGAAGCCCGTGGCGGTGTGCTCGAGCCCGAGGGTATCGTTGGCATCAAGTACCGTAAGGAACGCCAGCTGGAAACCATGGCCCGTCTCGACCCAGAGTACGCCGAGCTCAAGCGACAAATAGTGGACAAGAGTCTTTCTGCCGACCAGCAGAACGAAATTCGGAGAAAGATGACCGAGCGCGAAGAGAGACTCCTGCCAGTGTATCTGCAAATCTCCTTGCAGTATGCCGACCTTCATGACCGCGCTGGCCGCATGAAGGCCAAGGATACGATCCGCATGCCACTAGTGTGGGCACAAGCTCGTCGCTTCTTCTATTGGCGTCTGCGCCGTCGTCTAAATGAAGAGTACGTTCTCAAGCGTATCGCTGGCTCGCAACCAAAGGAGCTGGTCAACAGAAAGACTGGCCTGCAAACTCTTGAATCATGGTCGGCTCTACCAGATTACTACACAGACGATCAAGCGGTCGCTGTGTGGTTCGAGGAGAACCGCAAAGTGGTCGCCGACAAGATTGACGCAATAAAGACTGATGCAATTGCTTATGATGTCGCTGCATTGATGCGTAGCCATAAGAGCGGAGGACTGAAGGGTGTGGCACAGGTGCTAAGCATGTTGCCGGTTGAGGAGAAGGAAGAGGTTCTGAAGTGGCTTTCCAAGTCATAGAGGTGCAGAATGCGAGGGAGGCCAAGAGGTTGTCTGATGCACTTTTAGTACTGCATATATTTGCCGGGTGGCGGGAGTTCTTGTGGGGTGCGATTTCTGTGTTAGGGAGTGTTCTCGAGCTTTCACGTGTAGACGGCTTCGATGTATACTAATTCCATATGACGCTGTACAATTCGTTAGTTGCAACACCTGGCGCTCGTTTCAGCTAATCCTGAGTGGCATCATCATCATCAAGTCAAGTCAAGTTAAGGAAGGAAGGTATGTGTGGTTGCCGTTGGTGTGTAGTGCAAGGTTTTCAACGATATGAAATAATGAACGGGCAACTTCAAAAGGCAAGTGGATACGCTGAATCAGCATTGGAAATATAGATAGATGGCTTCACGAAAAAGAAAAAGGGCCAGGTGCGAATTCTACCTTGATGATCAACAACATCATCCATTAGCTGTCTGTACCTACCCGTATTCTGAAGGCTATCGAACTAAGGTATCCAAGGTATTCTAATCCTCCTTCCCTCCTTCCCTCCTTCCTTCCCTCCTTCCTTTCTTCCTTTCCTTCCTCTCCTTCCTCATCTCTCCACCTCCCCAAGCCTCACTGCATCCTCGTATTTTGTTCCTCCTGCCTTAACCAACGAACTTGTGTGTGTGTGTGTGTGTGTGTGTGTGTGTGTGTGATCCATCGAAATCATCTCTCCCGTCTATTCGGCATGCAATTCACTCATCCCGTCCCATTTACCAAGTTGTGCCCTTTCTGCCACCCACTCACGGTGACCCACCCGATGATGAGATGGATGATGACTCTTCTTTCTGTCGATTCCTTCCGCCTCGCGTAGTGAATCATGGATACCTCGAGCGGGACTGCCACGCGATGTTAATACCCCCTTGGCGGACATGTGTGAGGGATTTGAGACGGAGTGGCAATGAACGAACGACCAAGACCGGGGGGGAACCATAACCAGAACAGAGATTCGTTGATTATGCACATCATTTGAGACATAACTCGTACACTACTAGTACAAATTTCGATGCTAAGGGCAATACGTAACATCATGCGCTCCTTAAGGGGTATCGTTAGTAGTACCACGCGGTAATGCCCATATTCTGGCAGACATGTCCCGGAGGAAGCCAGATGTATGGGCCAAGCCGTGGGTGTATCAGAAAAGGGTTGATGAGAAGAGATGCAGTGAAGCGCTCTTGCTCATCATCAGCGTGCCATGGCCATCATCGGCGGAGCCATGCTTTGCATGGACTGACGCTGGAAGACAGAGCGGCTGTTCTAAGCCTTCTCCTCGCCGGCTGGTTCAGTGTTCTCCACTCCATTGGCCTGATCCTCAGCCTGGGAAGAGTGGGTCTTGAGATACTCGTCGTAGACGTTCAGTGCCTCTTGCACTTTCTCGCGGAGAGCATCATCGTTGGTCGTGAGGCCGAGGAGCTCCTCGTTGTCCATCTCGAGAAGCATACCGGTGATCTTGCCGGCAAGCTCGGGCTGCTGTGCCTGAATCTTGGGATAGAGTGCCTCGCCGAGCATCTGCTTCTGCTGTGCTGGAGGGGCTTGCTGCAGAGAGTTCACATCGAGACCTGGTGCACCTGGGCCGCGGTTCTGGGCCCGGCCACGCTGCTCTGGCTGTTGTCCCATTGGGCCGCTACGCTGAGCTGGACCGCCACGGCCAAAGCCTTGACCAACTGGCATGTTTGGTGGTGGCATACCAGGCATACCAGGCATCATGGGCATGCCGGGCATTGGACCGCCACGACCAGCGCCTCGTCCGCTCATCTGAGCTTGCTGAGCGGCCTGCATGAGCTGAGCGTAGGCAGCTGGGTTGCCGTAGCCTTGAGGAAGACCAGCCATCTGTGGTGGGAATCCATACGGCATCTGAGGAATCTGTGGCATGCCCGCTGGCCCGCCGCGGCCACCCTGCTGTGGCATTCCTTGGAAACCACCACGTTGACCCTGTTGTGGCATGACTTGTGGGAAGGGCATCTGGCCACGACCCGAACCTGGAATCATGATTGGCTGGCCATTTGGTCCGAGGACGAACTGTGGCTGCATGAAGGCCTGTGGTGGAATTCCGCCTGCGGTAGCCTGCTGTTGCATGCGGACCTGGTTGCGAGCTTGGATACTAGCCTCGAGCTGGCTCTTGCGGACCTCCTTACGCTGCGCCAGAGCCACGTAAAGTGGCTTTCCGTGAATCATCTTCTGGTTCAGCTCAGTGACAGCTTTGGTGGCCTCGTCTGGGTTCGAGAAGCAGACGAAACCGAAGCCCTTGCTCTTGCCAAGGACCTTCTTCTCTCCGCCAATCGTGACAGTGTCCAACTTCTTGGTAAGCTCCTCAGTTCCGTCCTCCTTCTTCTCATCTTCCTTCTTCTCCTCGCTGCTCTCGGCCTCATTCTCGCCATCCTCCTTCTTCTCCTCCTCAGCGTTCTCAACCTGATCCGCTGGAGTAGTATCGCGCATGACCTTAGCAGAGGTAATGGAGCCGTATGCCTCGAAAACCTTGCGGAGCTCCTCGTCGTCAATGTCGTCGGCCAGGTTCTTGACATAGAGGTTGACGCCCATGTACTTGGCGCTCTTCTCCTGGCGCTGAGCCTCGTACTGCCTGCGCAGCTCCTCCTCGCGCTCGTGCTTCTTTTGTGCACGGCCAACGTATAGCTTCTGACTCTTGAAATCGATGTCGTTCAGCTCATCGACGGCCTTGTTGGCATCCTCGTGGCGAATGTAGTTGACAAAGCCGAAACCGCGGACCTTGCCTTCTTGGTCGCGAGCAAGTGAAGCAGAAGTTATCTCGCCATACTTCTCAAATAGCTCACGGAACTCGTCGTCTGTGGTCTCTGTGTCAATGTTCTTGACATAGATGTTGGTGAAGTTTGCCTTCATCTCTTCGAACTTGCTCATGCGATCCTTCTTTGGAATGTGGTGGCCGACAAACACCTTCTTCTCGTTCAACAACATGCCATTAACACTCTTGATGGCAGCGTTAGCAGCCTCGGCGGTCTCGTAGTGCACGAAGCCGTAACCGCGCGAGCCTCCAGACTCGTCTTGGGCAACCTTGCAAGACAGAATGTTGCCGAAAGCAGCGAAAGTGTCGTGGAGCGCCTTGTTGTCAATGGCGGCGTCCAAGTTCTTAATGAAAATGTTACCGTGGCCAGTCTTGCGCAGAGCTGGGTCGCGCTGAGACCACATGATGCGACATGGCTTGCCCTTGATCAATGTGTAGTTCAACTCCTCAAGAGCACGCTCGCCGTCGTTGGCGCTGTTGTAGTTGACGTAGGCATATCCAAGCGAGCGGCGGGTGACGGCGTCACGGCAAACACGGATAGATGCGACCTGGCCGATGGAAGAGAACAGCTCAAAGAGCATGGCCTCGGTCACGGATGGGTCAAGCTCTCCGACGTACAGAGAGGCAGAGTTTGGGTTGGCATTAGCAGGCGCGGCGGAGGTAAGAGTTGGCGCATCACTCTGTTCGCTGGAGGCAGGAGCGGCAGAGTTGTTGGCAGGAGCAACAGCTGGCGGGCTGGCGACCTGGCCGGCGGGCGAAGTCGAGTTCTGGATGTCAGACATGTTGGACGAAGGCTTGCTGTAGCGGTCTACTGGACAGTCAGTAAGAGTCGTGCCGGAGAAAGCAGATGCGGCGGTGCTAGGCGACGTATTGTTCTTTCGGCTCTATTGAGCGCAACAAAGGACGCGGTCGGTGGGGAGGACGTACGAAAGTTCTAGTCGTCTGGAGATGTTGCGGAAAGTTGCCTGGAACTGCTGAGCGACTGGACGAGCGAAGCGCTGCTTGTAGAATGTCGCGGTCAGTCACTACTGTTCTGGCTGTGGTCGTTGGTGGTGGTGGTATTGTCGCCAGCGGCGCGCGCGCCGGGCTGGCTGTGCGATGGGTGGGAAAAGGGTGCACACGTACAGATTTGCCGACTGGGTGAGAGCCGGGACGGGTTTTCTGATTTTCTGATTTTTTTGGTCCTGATATCCGAGCGGAGGGTGCGGCGAAGATACACACGAAAGGAAGTGTGAGGCAGATGATGTTGTCGGTGGAGTCAAGAACGAAATCTCATCTCCTGTCTAAGAAAAAAGAGGAAGCCACACTGCACACTGCTTCGCTTGGCACTAAATCGGAAGCGGCTGCCGGCGGGCTGTCCCGCCACCGTGAACTTTGGAACAACGTGGAAAGACAGGCACGCGCGAAATTACCTAGCCCTGCATGCCTTACGCAACCTGAAATGACTAAGGTAGTACATTTTCTTTACTGGCTGTATGCCATTGCCTGGTACATGTTATTGAGAAGATGTATCATATACCTACTACATGTACTTTATGATCGCTGAGCTCATGCAGACTGCTCATACATCCGACTCCATATTCAATGCTGCCATAAAATTAGGTGTCCCGTTACGCACGTTTCGCTTGAACGCTCTAGGAAATTTGCATCAAGAAAGCACTTTCAGTTCTCACTACTCCTGAAGCTCGTCTTCCAGACCACCAGTCTCCTCCAAGAAGGCAGTGACCCGCTCTTTGACATCCTTCAAGACATCCCCAATGGCCTCCTGCCACTGCCTCTCGACCTCACCGACCTTTTCCTTGAGGTCGTGTGTCAGGTGGTCATCTGCCTCACGTCGTGCTTGCAGAATGTCTGCGCGGCTTTCCGTACTAACGGGGCCTGCGGTGAGCTGTTCAAGCTCGAGCAGCCTGAGGCGGGCCTTGGTCGTGGCCGTGCGCACCTCGTGCAGCAGACACAAAAGGTTGATTTGGCTCTCGATGAATTGATACGCACTCTTCTCGGCGTGGCAGAGCACGCTGAGCAGGTACTGAAGCGGATGGTCGTGATATGATGGATTTTCGTCATACTCCTGACAGGGAATTTGGATTTCAAATGACGACATCTGCATAGGGATGTGCTGAATGACTTCGAGCAGCCCTGGTGCGATGTCCCAGAAGGCCGAGAGCTGATCTTCTACACCTCGAGAGACATTGCTCTCCAGTATCGATTGAAGTTCTTCAAAACGTCTCAGAGAGTCTTTAGCGTATGTCATCTGTCTCTCGATACTATCCTTCTTGAAGAATGTCGTAGCTTCGTCAATCTTGGCTTGTGCTTTCGAGAGCCGGAATGGCGTAAGGACGACCTCAGAGTACTTGTCGCTTCGCATCGCATGAAGATCGAACATTTCTTTATGCAACTGCTCTCGTGCTTCGAAGAGCCATTTCAGCAGCGTGAGCTTCTCCAAGCGCTCAGGATGTTGATCGCCTTCTTCCAACGCCCGGTTCGGATCCGCGCTTTCCAGATCTGCTCGTAGACTCTTGATGCAGTTATTGGCTCTTTGAAGACGCTCGGTAAGTAGAGTATTCAGAGGATGAGAGACACTGCCTTCAAACACGTCAAAGTTGGAACGTGCAGCGATCTTTACACGATCAGCCTCCTCAATGTCAAAATCAGCCTCGGCTCTCGCAGCTTCTGCAAAGGACATGCTGCCGTCAGCGATCTTGGACTGGATACCTGAGCGCAGACTGCTACGTCGTTTCCTGGCAGCATCGTTCTGCTCACGGGTAAGTGCAAAGTCCTGATCAAGGTAGGCATCCTTGATTCGTTGGATATCGCCATGGTCAGAGAGCATACGATGCTCGGTTCGCAGATCATGCAACAGCGGATGACTGTTATTAACTGCGGGATGATGACGCGGAAACGGTGGTGGTAAGGTCACCAGCCGAGATACATCCAGTGATTGCATGCCTGGGGTAGAAGTTCTGCAATCGCTGGGGCGATGGGGCGTCTGCATTGGCGTGTCCAAATCCGCGGCATCGTGCCAGCCAACTTTCTCAGGCGGGTACTCATCAGTTCCATACCAGTACGCTTGTGTGCTAGACTCGGCGATGGGTTCAGGTGTAGCTTCGCCGCTGGCTTGCAATGTCGCCGGATCGATACCCATGTACTTTGTCTCTCTGCGTGACTTCTCCATCCTGTCGGGTCTGCCGATCGAGCCAGCACCAGAATTAGTTCCCTCCCACCACCGACTAGCAGTGCGTCCTCGTGAGCTGTTCTCATCAGGAACGGTACTGACTGCCATGCTTGGAATTGGGGATAGTGATGGCTTGAAAGAGTCTGCCCACTGACGGCCCTCGGCGCGCTCGAAACCTTCGCCGAGGTCACCAATAGAGCCAGTGTCGGTGGCTGGGGTGTACTCTCCCAATGACGACGCTGAGCTGGGCATTCCGTGTGCTGATGTTGGCAGGCTATCGGACGCCCACGCAGGGACATTTGGATCCACAGAAGAGACAGACGTGCTTGGCGTGACAGCTCGGCGGCTAGCTTTGGTGTTGTATGATCGCCACATGTCCCGAGTGAGATCTAGGATATCTCCAGCCATGGAATTGTAGGCGGTGGTATAGCGATCGCGTCTAATACGGGACTCATGAACCAGAAAGCTCGCAAAAAGCTCCAATCGTTCCTCGTCTGACCCTGCGGCCAATTCTTTCTCGACGAAAGTGCGATGCCGATCAATAGCCTGCAACGCGAATGCGTCCAGTCTCTGAGGCGCCGTGGCAGATCCTGAGGAAGGAGGCCTGGCTGGACTCAGCGGCGCGGGCATCCCCTCTTCATTTGGGGTATGGAGAAGATGTGAGATGGGTCGGTCGCTTGCCGCGCTACCCAAGGGCCTGCCATGCTTACCAGAACCAAGGGGCTGCTTGCCGACAGCTGGAGTGTAGGGCGGTGTCATGACCGTGTTGGCAAGCTTGGAAGCAGAGAGAGGCTGGCGCCCGGAGGAATTCGGAGCCGAGGAAAGATCACTATAGGCAGAAGCAGTCCGCATATGTTCGCGGCGTCGACTTATGGAACCTTCTTCTGGCGCGAATATCAAGTTAGCAGGCCGGGAGTCCTCATCGGGGTTGCCATACGCTGCACGACTCCGTGACCTGCGCTCTCGAATGCCTTGGGAGCTCGTGTCTCTTCTGGCAGGTCTGCGGGCAAGAGAGTTCTCTCGCTGAGCTCCGGTATCAATACGAAGCGGCTGATCGTTGATCGTGTGCTGCGTTAGTTGATTCTGTGGTACAGGCGGCGGCACTTCGGTTCTGTGATCGTCACCCTCAACCCAGTCAGCAGGAGTCGGTGGCACAGGTCCAAGAGTCGATGCTGCCACTGGTCTTCTCTGCCTTGGGCCTTCAGAAATATGATCAGAGGCAGGAGTACTTGCGCCAGAGCCACCGATAGAGCGATTCAGGCTCTGAGACCGCATGCCTGGAGGAGGCGCGCCTGCGGGTGGGCCAGGCAAAGCCATTCCTGAATGCCAACGGTTTTCCGGCGAAGCTCGGCCAACAGAAGTTGAAGACGAAGCCACGGCTGGGCCACCTGGATGGACATGACCTGTGCTTGCTGCCCTCCTCGCTGCGGGAGGCCTGCCCTCTGTGAACATGGACGCTTGTACAACTTGACTGGAACTCAAATGCTGCGGCTCAACGACTGCTTGCTTGCCTCTGAGCCCTGTCAGACTGAAGAGCGTTCTTTGGCCAAGGCCTGACGTCGATCGTTCTCTATGCCGGGAAGACTGCTGTGCAGGAGGAGGAGGAAAGCTGGCTTGAGTAGCTAACTGCGGTGAGTTGGATATTGGCCGATCAGCAAGTGGAGAAGCTGTGAGAGCACCAGTGTTAGGTAGCGGCGAAGCTATTGTAGGTCGTGAGGCGTGATCTGGTGTAGTCGTTGGAGAAGGTGAATAGGGTGGCGGAGGCGAAGGCATAGCAGCTGCTGACACAAGATCAGCTCGTCCCTGTAGAGTGACATTCTACAGCAGGCTTGCAGTCTCGCCGCGAAAGAACGAGGACGAGTTGCTCTCTCTGCGCTGTACCAGATATAACTTCTCACAATGCGCCCAACTCACCTTCCATTCCAGTGGTGTTCACCGTGCCGCCAAGCATGGTCGCATGCCGCTGCTGGAACACCATCTGGGAGCCCGACACCTGCCCTCTGCTCCTCCATTGCTGCGGGTTGTATGGTTCCATGCTCGGCGTTCTGGCGGGAGCTCCAGGAGGTGATGAAGTCAATACATGTGTATTCAGACCAGCGGATGATCTGGGACTATTATAAGAGAAGTGCGGCGACAAATGGTTCGCTGATACTGGCGTCGAAGCCTGAGACACAGGCACAGTTTGATGGCCCAAGAACTGTGTTGTTATTGATGGCAAGTAGGGACTTCTTTGCCCATCTGTACGACCATGTGTAACTCGCGCGACTCCAGCAGACCCAGACCCAGTAATCTCAGGCGGGCTGGAAAGAGGTCCAGCGCTAGGAGAGGGGCCGCCTGGCGGAGGAGGATATTCATACTGCATCGCTCGAGCTCACGAATGAGCGTGGACCAGGTAAGATGTTGCAACTAGTCGCGGAAGCGAGCTGCAGTCGGTGACCAGGCGCGCAGCGCCGGGACGTCTCAGCGAGTAGGCGAGCGCGTAGGCAAAGATGATACGGCACGACTCCGACTATGGTCTTTGGCGCATGAAGAGTTGCGTGACAGTTGGCATGGCTGCACATCTGGTGCTGATCTGAAGTCGAGAAACACAACAGACGTGAGGTGTTTGACAGACGCCATTGGCCAAGCACCAGACAAGCCTTGTCTGCGTACAATAATAGCACAGCGAGCGGGTCTTCGGATGCATATCTGCTATTTCATTGGCATAGAGGCTCAGCAGCGTGAGAGAGGCTGCAGGAAGGATGGCGCCAATGGAGGTGGTCGGCGCTTACAGAATCGCCAAGACACATCCCTTCTACTCAGGCATGTAATTTCACTTCGTGGCTCTCAGCTTACTCCTAGGTATCTCGTAGGTACCTACACCTTTCTCCTTCTCCGCCTTGCTACTCGCTCGCTCGGGTTATCCAATACCGCAAACACCGCCAAGAATGCAAGGCAGTCGTGCAGCCTGGCTACTGATCGATAATGTACCCATGATTTTGTAATGCATACCGGACTTTTGCGGCTTACTGCTGCTGAGTGCTGACAACATAGTTCTCTCGCTCGCCGAAGACCCCTTGGCCTTGCTGATGTGCTTGGCTAGGTAGTCTTTTGTCGACCGCTATGCAGCTTGCAAATCGCTTGGCGCCCGTGCTTCCTGAAGCTCCTGGGAGCTGTGAATACAGTATCGGGGAGACGGATTCATGCATGTCGCGATGCCTGCGATTAATGCCATGATATTGCTTTCACGGGAAGGAGGCGTCTGGTAAGAACGTGGCATGCCTTACGTAGACTAATGCCTAGATAACTACTGCCTCATAGCAAGATGCATCTCGGCATCATTCTGGCTCGGAGTAGAACGCATAGGAACAGTCCCTAGAAGCTCAGGTTTATGATATCGCTGAAATCCTTGTCTTTCCTAGGGCACTCGGGATGGTTTTTCAACCATAGAATTGATGGCTCTGATGGTTTGGTTTTCTTAGGCCGCTATCGGACTTCACTTCCTGTCGAATCCCCGTCGGACAGATATTGCTTGACACCGTGGCCAATGCACGTTTGCGCGACTTCGGCCACCGTTTCGGCGGCACATGAAGATTCCTTCAGCTTGCGTTGCTTGGTCGAGCTATTGCACAGTACACCTGCCACTGCACGAACATATCAAGATGCTCTTCACGAAAGACTTCACGAGCATGTCTCGTGAAGAAATCGAGAGCCTAGCAAAGCCTACCAAAGATTACCAAGAGGTAGACATTGGCCGTATCCTTCTTAGTGTGCGAAACAATCTGACTGGAGTCAGATTATGGAAGTCTGGCCGCCTCTGAGGATCGAGTGGGATGACAAGCAGAAGGCTGTTGCCAAGTTGCGACAACAGACCGAAGTGGCCGATGAGATGGACGAGCAAGATCCAGCAGTAGACGAAGAAATTCGTCCAATATCTGCTCGTGATGGACACCAACTCTCTCTTCGAATTTTCCGCTCGAACCGGCACACTGATCCAGAAGGTCCACGCGTTGTCCTCTGGCATGGAGGTGGGTGGGTGCTGGGCAGCGCAACAATGGTAGCAGATATCGCACGCCGTCTGTGTAAGCGCTTTGGAGCCATCGTCATCGCGCCGAATTACCGACTTGCTCCTGAGAATCCATGGCCGGCCAGCATCAATGATGCGTGGGATGCCTTTGAATGGATTCGCAAGAACATGGCCATCCAGTACGAGCAGCGCGAGGGTGGTGGTACCTTCATCGTCGGTGGCATCTCGGCAGGTGCTAGCATGGCTATCGCAATTGCACATCAGGCTCAAGATGAGAAGCTTGAACCGCGCGTCACTGGAGTGTACTCTGCCTGCGGCTCTGTACAGCCTAGAGACGCCACACAACTAGGCTCCAGCTTTCACGAGCGATACTTGAGCCGGACCCAACACGAATGCATCAACAACCCCATCCTGTCCAAAGATCTTGTAAAGTTCATGAGAGAATGTGCCCAGGCTGATACTCAGTCCAAGCTGTATGCGCCGCTGCTGTGGCCCGGCAATGAGAACCACAGAGGCCTGCCAAAGATATATCAGCAGCTATGTGGTCGCGACTACAATCGCGACGAGGGACTCATATTTGACCACATTTTGAAGAGTCAGGGCGGGGCGTCGCGAGTAGATTTGTATCCTGGACTACCGCATTGCTTTTGGATTGCTCTCCCGTACATCCCAGAATTTGCGCAGTGGCAGAATGATACAATTTCGGGATTCCAATGGCTTCTGGGCCCGAATTGATCACCACATGGCCATACTGAGAGGGTGAAACCTAAAGTCAGGGCATGCAGGCCAGCGGCTGCGAAGGCTCTTGCCACACCGGACTGATACCGTCGCTCCACTCCTATACGAGGGTAAATGCTCGGTTTGCATTATCACTCTGTGTTCCTGCAGACCGGTATGTCGCATTCACCCTTCATGAAGCTGTCTCTTCATTAGCAATGAGTAGCGACTTTAGCACTTTGTGGAGGACTACCGCCCTTCATGGTGCGGCGCATTGGTATGGCTCAGGTCTGCATATGCGTCCAATTCGAACAGTGCGGCTCTCATTGTGGATGGTACAGCCAGCGCCTGGGCTCAATTCTCCAGAGTAGAAAGCGTGCCCTCCACATTATGGTATTCTTTTGCCTCATTTGTCTCCTTAGAACTGCGATATCATGTATTGTGGGACTAGTTCTCGATCTTCTGGCTGTCGTTTGTCATTGTTGCTTGCAACCTGCATTTCCATTTCCTGATGCTCTGCCTTTCCTGAAATTTGCTTCGAGGCAATATCTGACTGCAACTTATTGCCAGTACTGTAGAACCCGTGCGTCTCAGCTTTACTGTCGGCCAGTCTATCTCATCTCTTTGAAGAGTGCCTCACTCGCGATATCCAGCGAAGAAAAGAGGTCATGGCGAAATAAAACTGCCTTACCGTCGCTTCAAACCCATTTTCGATCACAAAACTGGTATTCCAATGTTGATGGTTGTTCTCGAGAGTTAGACTATAGAATGTTCATTAGTATAGCAGTACCTTACGGTCGTGGTCTCGAGGAGGTGCCCAGGAAGGCGCGATCATGATTCTTGGCGGACAGTGACATTATGACTCGCGTCAGAACCTCTTCTCGCAATGGAACCTCCAATCGATCTCGAACTTCCACCAGTCCACGATTTCAACACAGCGATCGCGCAGTATGGAGAAGCGCAAATATAATGGCAGTGGCGATACCGGTCCACGCAAAGCGCCCAAGGCCAGCGGCGGCATGTCGTTCGCGCAGAAAATGATGGCCAAGATGGGCTACAAGGAAGGCTCGGGTTTAGGAAAAGAAGGAGAAGGTATTGTGGCCCCGATCGAGGTTAAGCTGAGACCACAGGGCGCTGGTGTGGGTGCTGTCAAGGAGAAGACGGAGCAATACAAGCAGGAGCAAAAGCGAGCAGCCGAAAAGCGAGGAGAGACCTATGAAGACAGCAGCGAAGAGGAGCGCAAAGCCCGGCGAGCACGCAAGAAAAAGACGCCTGGCGTGAGCGGTGGTGGTGCAAGGACTCCGGGAAGTGCTGGTGGAGTGCGCAAGCAGAAGATCAAGTATCAAACTGTGGCAGACGTACAGGCTGCCGCGCCCGGACTGGATGTGCCCCCACAGATGCTGAGCTCTATCATTGATGCAACTGGCAGCCAGACAAAGCTGCTCACGAGTGCTGCCGGTCTCATGACGCCTGCCGGGTTTCAGACTGCAGACACTGAAGCTGAGAAGCTTGCAAAGCGTGAGAGATTGGAGCTGGAGGCCTTCATCGAAGCATGGCATGGTGTGCAGGAGCAGAAGGTGTATGTCGAAGAAAGGGCAGGCCAGTTGCAGATTGAATCCGAGCAACAGAAAGACGAGCTGGAAAGATTGCAGACTGTCGTTGAAGCTGTGGCAAAACTACAAGTGACCACGCGATCCGGCCCACTCGACAGCGAGGATCATTTGGAATGGGGTTTGCTGATAGCGAAGCTCCGTGAGCTTCAAGAGAACCATAGGCACGATATTGAGCGCTATCAGCTAGGCGACGCTGCTGTGGGCGCACTGTATCCAGTGTTCAAAAAACGAATGGCAAATTGGGATCCGCTCAAAGAGCCTGAGCTTTTGGTCTCTGATCTGCTACAAATCGAGCCACTGCTCGGCCTAGAGACCAAAGATGAGGTGATCACTGCGCGGCACCTGACTGAATTGGACCAGGACTATGGAAGATCGCACAGACAAAAGGCCACCTCAGCTTACGAGACGATGATATACACGATATGGCTACCTAAGGTACGGACTACGATAACGAATTGGAATGTGCTTGAACACATACCTTTAGTGAAACTTGTCGAAGCATGGCGGCCTCTGCTGCCTCCGTTCGTTTACAGCAATCTAATGGATCAGTTGATCGTCACGAAGCTGATCTCGGCGCTGAAGACATGGGATCCAAGAAAGCGGGAACATCACCACAGAAAGATAGTAGTTAAGCATGCCCAGCCACATACATGGCTCTACCCTTGGCTTCCTCACCTGCCGCCCTATCAACTCGACGCGAAAGTGCCTGGCAGTCTACTTTCAGGTATCAAGGACCGCCTGCGGAAGGTACTCGATGACTGGAAAGTCACAAGTGGCGAACTTCCTGGCCTCTTGCAATTGCGCGATGTACTTCATTCCGAGGTTGATCATGCTCTGGTCAGACATATCCTGCCAAAACTGGCGCGCCATTTGTCGCTAGAATTGGAGATAGACCCATCTGATCAGGACCTTACTCCTCTGGAGAACGTACTGAAGTGGCAGTCATATTTTAAGCCTGATATTCTTGCTCGCCTACTGGTGGCAGAATTCTTCCCCAAATGGCTTGCGACTCTCCATCTTTGGCTAACCTCAGGGGAGGCGAATTTCGATGAGGTTGGCGAATGGCTAGAATGGTGGAAACAGCAATTGCCAAAAGAGCTCGATCATCACCCGGAAGTAGTGAAGGAATGGCAGAAGGGACACGAGATGATCCACAAAGCCCTCGACTTGTTCGAAGAGGGTGGAGCAGTGACTGAGCTGGCCGCACCCGCTGCTGGACCCGTAAGACCTATCGCGAAAGAGGTCGGCAAGAAGGTTGATAGCCAGAGTGCTGCTTCGCAACGACCACGTGAGGACTTTACGCAGGACTTCAAGGATGTGGTCGAAGAATGGTGTGCGGAGGAAGACCTGACGATGGTGCCCATGAGAGAAGCACATCTTCAGAGTGGAGCGCCGCTCTTCCGCATTACGGCTAGTGCCACTGGCAAAGGTGGTGTTGTGGTGTACCTCAAAGGTGACATTATCTGGGCGCAGAAGAAGGGCGATAGAAACGTTTACGAACCCATGGCAATGGACGAGAAGTTGGTCAAAAGGGCAGAAGGTCAATGACACCACTGAGTCAAGTTGTCATCGAGTCGCGTCGGATTGAGAAAGGCGGACGAATCGCCTAGTTGCGCCATGTCAATGATCATGGCGATGCAAGAACAGCTGGGCAGCTAATGACAAGGTGAGCTTCGATGCCATATCACAACGGAGCAGATACTCGTCTTGGTTTTTAGCTAATTTGAGTATCATGTACGTTGAGCAGCTGTGACTCCGCGGTAGATGGCGACGCGAAGCCAGCCTCTTTGTACTCCCACAAGCGACCGCTGTACAGCATAGCCTCAGCTGTGCGCACACCAGATGCCGATGTATCATGCATGCAGAACCACCTCGCGTATGAATACATACCAGGTAGGCATAGATAGCCAGCTCAAGAGACTTGCCAAGCCAGGGATTCACTCTCCCCCACTTCACCCACTTGCTCGAAGACAATACACTCAATAGGCAGTGAAGCTCAGAAAACGCTTGCAAAAAAAAGAAAAAGAAAAAGAAATCCCCACGTTGAGCTAGTAGATGAGTGACGTTTCAAAAAGATCAGGCAAGATCTGATATGATGGGAGAGTGGCAATAATGATCAGACTTCACTGCTTACAGTACTAGGTAGGTACATGTACTCTTGAATGACGAGACGCCGCCGACGAAGGAAGCAAAGATCAGAAGAAACGAAGTCCCATACAGTAAATGTACCCTCTCAAACACCACCATCCCAACCATCTAGGTACGGTAGGTACATACGACATATATTGTTTCTTGTTCCTCTTCACACTCCAACCCCATAAACCCTCCCCGCATGCCCACTCGCCCGATCCGTCAAGCCCTCCCAATTAAAATGCTCTTCCCCCTCCTCCTCACCACCCCTCGGCCTCGGCCTGACCACATCCCACCGATTCCTCCTCTCCTTCTCCGTATCCCTCACCAAGCCACCACCATCAGGACAGTTCCCTTCAATCCACCTCTTCTTCTCCTCACTCCGCACTCGAATCTCACACTTGAACGGCTTCGGCATCGTAATCACCCAGGGAGCAGTCTCATACCACGGTACAGGGTTTTCTGCTGCGGATTTCCCCTCGCAACGTCGAATGTCAAAGGCCCAGATGAGGTGGCCGATCAACGTGAAGAGTTCGCATTGCGTGAGTTCGACTCCCGGGCAGGAGCGGTTGCCGTAGCCGAAGCCGCGGTCGTTGTTGAGGTTGGGGAATTCGGTCAGAGGTTCTTTGTAGGTGGTGGGGTAGGCGGGGTTGAGCCAGCGGTCGGGGAGAAATTCGTTGCCGGAGGGGTATGTGGATTCTTCGCGGGAGATGAGGCTAGGGGTGAGATGCTGGTTAGTATATGTGTGTGTGTGTGCGCGCGCGTATTCAAAGAAAGCGAGGGAGGATGATGGGGGGAAAGTTTGACTTACTAGTGGTTTGCGTGGCAAATTGCTCCTTTGGGAATATGGTAGCCTTCGTAGACATCATCTTCCATGACCACGTGAGGGACACCAAGAGGAGTGGCTTGTCGCCATCGGACGATTTCCTTGACTGTCGCTCGGAGATGAGGCAGCTGAGGCATGTCCGTCATCTCGGGAGGACGATTACCACAGACACGATCAATCTCCTCGACGACCTTGGCTTGCCATGATGGGTAGTGACACATGGCCGTGAAGAAGGCGTGGAGCGGACCTCCAATGGTAGCGATGGCGACAAAGGAAGACGATCCAATCGCATGTGCTGCTTCGTAGTCGTCCAGATGCTCGGTTCCCTTCTCTTTGGTGGTCCATAACTTGCTCCAGCAGTCTTCGCAATTGCCCTCCTCAGTGCGTCTCTTCACATCTTGCAGTGCCTCGACAAACGCATCCGTCATCTCCTGTTTGCGGAGTGCTTCTTGCTGTTTCCATGGCGAGACAGACTCGGGCAGGTTCATCAAGAAAGTCAGCTTGTTGATGACCGGTCCGGCAGGTGAGACTGCCTTGAGAATGACGGGAATAATTTTCAACAACTTGCTTCCATGCTCAGGATCACCCCAAGCAACGCCAGCGATGGTCCTCGCACAATGTACCAGCATATGTTCCGACCAACGATCCGGTCGCTCCAGCATTCTCCTCAACGTTCTCTTGTTCTCGATGCTCGGCCAATTGTAGAACGTCTTGGGCGTGGCGTGTCTCATGATCAGGTGCATGAAGTTCTTGTATCTCCGGAACTTTTCACCATAGCCCATGAGAGGCAGAATCTCCGCTCCGTCTCGAACGCCAACTGCTGCGGGAAGCTCGTTGCGATCACAGTAGTTCTTTTGACGAGTGACGAAGAGGTCTCGAGAAATCTTGTCGGTCTCGATCCAGATGTGGATAACGCCCATGACTTTCCATTCGTAGATGGGACCATATTTCTTGTGGAGTGCTCCAAAGTGCCATGCTGCCTCGATACCAGGTCCGGGAACGTCCCAGAAACGACCAGCATACGGTAGTCCTGCGATGGTGTTAGCTGATCGTTTCGAAGCCGTGTGGATATTCCAAGTCGAATCGATTCATACCTGGCAATCGTGGAAGTGGTTTGACTCCAGGTGGAAGCTGTTTCTTGCTAATCTTGAACACTCTCGTAACCACAAGCGATAGCACAAGCAAGAAGGCGAGAATGAACGTGGGTGATTGAAACGCAGGAAGAGTGCTCGTTGAGGCCGTTAAAGAGTCAACGATGCGGAGCTGTGATGAGGAGCCAGTTGCAGTAGCGAGCATCTGCTCCGCCGGAGACTGCACGTGTGCCATCTTCTGAGCACCAGTTTAACAGTGCTGATACTAGCAACAAAATCAAGTGCGTGTTGATTTGCACAGACGAGATTTGGCAGTAGAAAGTGGTATTAAGGGCCCCGAACGAATGAACGAAGGCAGAACAACGGGGAAAGGGGGGATTCTGGCAACGACATGACTTTTATCGGACATGAGTGCACAAAGGCGTGACATAGCCGCGAGAAGCAGACGGGGGGTGCGGAAATGGGCGATTGCATCAGTGATACAGCATGGAGGCGGGATCGAAAGTAGAAACAGATTGCTTCCATGCCCGCTAGGTGAAGTCGGAGGAAGAAGGTTACGGAGAAGGGTGTGGAGAGCCGTACCGTGTGCCCTAAGGCACCTTACCTTACCTTTACCTTACCTACCATTTACCTTAGCCTCTAGATCTGCTGCGCCTAAGTTTAGTGTACCTGTGTTCAAATATTAGGTGAGCTACTTATCTAAATATTCATGGTGAAACCTACATTCGCGGCTGAAGGCTGTCCCATCCATATTTAGATGATGCCGCACGGGCATACCGGAGTCGTATCACTCACTCACTCAGCCTGACCTTACCATGTAACAAGTACCTTAAGTACTTTTCTTCGCAGAGCCAAAGAGCTGGATGCTCATCAATCAGGCTTACGAGCCGATACCAAGAACCCAGTTTTCATTCATTTGCTGTGCTGAGAGTTGTATCATGTCTGTCTGCCCGAACTGTGTCTCGGCACCGACGTCCAAAACATAACATCTGCGTGGAGACCCGGAGTATTGGGTCCATGTGGTTCGGCTGCTGCTACTTTCCGGCAGTCGACAGTCGGTGGAGTACGATGCGGAGTGGTGACGAACGTAAGAAGAGGAAGAGGAACGAACTCCCTGGCTCAGGAAGAGCGCAAGAGACCCGACCACTTCTTCGCTCTGCGTTCTTAATCCGTGTCATACGGCTGGAAGTCTCTTTCGCAAGACATGTCGATATCCGCGTCGGCTCATGCGCGGTAGATAATCGTAGGCATTGCTACCCTAGGTACCTTGCTCATCACAGATTCGACAGACGCAAGCCACAAAAATCTCTCATTTGAAATTATCCAACGAAAATCCTCCATGTCCATTATTGTTATTCCCACCACCATTCTTCTCCGCCTCTGACCTCTTCAGCTCCTCCTCCAACGTCCTCTCACACTCCTTCACCTCCGGCATATCCACGTCCCCTACTCGCACACTACTCCAATCCTCCTCATACCCGGCGCCAATATGCGGCCACGGTCCCACCGGCGTAATCGCCCGAAGATTGATCTCCCCATGACTCTTGGTATAGTTCTCTTTGATGTGACGAAACTCGGTCGTCTCCCGAAAGGCGGGATGCACTTTTTCATTCCAGTAGAGCCCTCGAAGCCAATTGTAGAGTACGGGATATCCGTATCGAAGCATGCTCAAATTGCATTTGAAATGTTGCACGTATACGATGTCGAAGCGGATCAAGGTGCAGTAGACGCGAATGTCGACTTCGGTGAGGTGGTTCCCGAGGAGGTAGGGACCTCCATTGGAGGCGGCGAGGCGTTCGAGGAGGTTGAGTAGTGCGAAGACGGGTGGGACGTTTTTGTCGTACGTGGCTTGGTCGGGGGCGAAGCCGGCTTTGTAGACTCCCGCGTTGAGGTCGCGTTGGAGGATGGGGGAGAGGGCGTCGATTTGGGATCGGAGGTGTTCCGGATAGAGGTTTATGTTGGCTAGGTCGTTAGGGAGGAGAGAGTTGAAGGCGGTTTGGAGATCGCGGAGGAGTTCGTGGGACTAGGAGATGATATAATCAGTGTGTTATCTCTTGGGAATAGCATGACGGTAAGGTATGGTGGGAGTGAAATAGATTATGGCTCACTTCATTATTGACAATGGTATTCAGCTTCTTATCCCACAGCACAGGCACGCTGTATCTGCCCTTGTAATTCTCGTCGGCCTTGAAATACAGCTCATGCAAGTACTTGCTGCCGAAGAGCTGATCGTCTGTGGCGCCCTCATAGTTGTCTTCCGCGCCTTGGACGTTGAATCTCCAGCCGGGCCAGCCTTTACCGTCGCCTTTGGGATATGGTCGTACAATGCTCGTTTCAATGCCGGCATATTTGTGCAGTTGTTTGAGATGGATTACTAGGTTGGCGCGATGCGCGAACGGGCAGAATAGGCCGATATATAGATGGTAACGATCCTTTTCCGGTTGAAAAGGTCCTTCGGGCGTGATCTTGCCATGAAATGAGTCTTCTGGGCCGGTGTGCCATGACGCTGGGAGATCAGTAGTAGTAGTATCAGCCATTATGGCACGGGAGATGCTGTCGTGGTAAGCTGTGCGGGTCAAGTGGGTCAAACGCGAGAGCATCGAATAAGAGTGAAAATGGGCCTACAGCTGGAGAAGTTCATATACCATCAACATCATCGTGTTGATGTTGGTGTCTCGATGAGCTCATCGTCATCGGCAGAACTGGAAGGTTTTGATGACACTGAGCGGCTCGGATTCCGCATACCGACGATGAGCCTTTCCATCCCGACATATCCCCCAGACCAGATGCTTACAGATCCCGTCATCATCTCTGCACCAACTCACCTGTTAGGCTGTTCGTCGCCGACCATAGACACTATCAAGAGGTCACACATCAGTCAGCACCCGTTGGCATCCGCTTGTCCCCAAGTACTGTACCGCAGGGTCGTTATCATTCTCAAGATCATCCTTCATCGTCCTGCGCCATCTTGTACACGTATTTGCGTCTACTAGGCCATCATCTGGCGAGGGCGCTTCCTGTTCGTGAGTTGTAGCTGGGCATTGATCGAGTCCGACCGGAGCTGCATTTCCAAACTGTCCCACACTCGCGGATCATGCTGGTGGCTCGGCTCAGCGACTTGCCAAGGCAGAGGTTCGTCTCGCAGGCAATGGTGAGGTGCTCGAAGCAGAGAACAAATGTCACCTCTGAGCAGATTCTTTGCAGCTTTCTGTAAAAGACCTCAGTTCAACTCTATCTGCGTACGGCTGACCAGACTCTTTGGAGCATCTTGCAAGCCTCCTGATAGACTGTCACTGGCAGCATGAATAGTGGCGATTGTCTGGACAAGACATGGGCTCGCAATCATAACTAGGTAGCTGCTGATTAGAGGCAGAACAGGCAGAAATCAAGGCAAACAGCGCGCTACATCTGCAGTGAGCGTATTAGAGTTCGAGTCCTCGGGGGCATCTATATCCTCTTTGGATGTCTTGATCGAGAGTTGGTGACAGCGATGTAATCAGTGACAACCGTGGGGGCTGACACACTGTCGACGTCTGCGACAGTGCCTTGTTTGGAACCTGTGATGCCCATTGCTGCTGGGACGACAGTTGGCAGTGCAGATCAGGCAACATAGACAGTAAGGAGCATAGCGAAGGCTACAAGTGTGAGGTTGGAATCACGAAAAGCAAGTGAAGACGGGACGTGCGTGTCTCTCTCTCTCTCTTCACTTGTGCCAGACCATGTCCAGTAGATAAGATACAGTATGTAGCTGAGTAGCTCCTAGCTCCTAGTCCTAGCAAGCGGACGATGTTGTCCCCGCCATCTGTCCATGACTCAATAGTCATCACCTTATCGACCATGTCTTTGTAAGGTACAATACATGGAGGTAGACTCCTGGTGCCTGACTATTATTATGCAATACCTTATGCACCATCTGCATGTTGGCTTTGGGTCAATGCTTGCTTTTACCCACGCAGCACAGTCTGCACAGACAGGCCACAGTCCTTGCGACCAGATAAGATTCGTCTCCACGCACGTGGTGACCGGGTTCTTGCAGCGCTCTCCAAGCACGACGTCAAACACACATGTACCTCCAGGTCGAGAACGAAGTGTATGTGCGCCGGAACACTTTTCCCGGACGACTCGGGGATGCTTACATCATGTCGCACGTACATGTGTATCCGTGGTGAGTGAGCCCCGACAGAAAAGGGTTTCGATTTGAGCAGCATTATATTACAAGCACATGGCGAGAGGAGACTTGACGGCGTGAGGCCCACATGGACATACCTGTAAGGTCATGTACCTAGGTATGTACCTAGGTAAGACATGTAGTTCCACTCTCTCGAACCTGAGGCACAAGGCGGCGCAATTCTGTGCTCGGTCACAGGAATCTAGGATGAATTTCCGGAGCCGCACATAACCCCCCACTTACCCCCTTTTTACAAGGGATTCTAAACTAGTTTGAGAATAGAGGTTGCCAAGCCAGAGTCAGACCCTGAGAATCGAGATAGGAAAGGCCATGCATGGAGCGAGGCCAGAAATCTGCAGTGTGAACACGTCTCCAGGTCCAGCATCGTCCAGATTCCACGCCATCCATCTCACCCATACCCTCTGCAATCGATCTTGTACTCCATCGCAAGATCTCGCTCTCTCGCTCTCCATCTGTCCGCCATCTGTCCGCCATCTGTCCACCGTCAGTCCAATCACCCTCCAGACTGCCCCTCGAGAAAAAGAGAGAGAGAGAGAGACCACCCTCACCTCCACCGGCACCCGCTCCCTCACACCACGAGCAGCTGGTTCTGCACTCCATCCTCGCACCCCAGCCGAGTCTCTACATCTCGCGGCACTCTTCCACAATGGGTCTCAAGGGTATGCGCGACCAGGATAGAGCACATTACAAGCGCACGCTTTCCTAATCGACTCGCAGCATTGATCCTCGTGGGCGGCTTCGGCACGCGTCTGCGTCCTCTCACCCTCACCCTCCCCAAGCCCCTGGTCGAGTTCGGCAACCGTCCCATGATTCTGCACCAAATCGAGGCTCTCGCAGCCGCCGGCGTTACTGACATCGTGCTCGCCGTGAACTACCGCCCGGAGATGATGACGGCGGCGCTGAAGAAGTATGAGGAAATGTACAAGGTCAACATCACCTACTCGGTCGAGACGGAGCCATTGGGCACTGCAGGCCCGCTCAAGTTGGCGGAGCGCATCCTCGGCAAGGACGACCAGCCATTCTTTGTGCTCAACTCCGATGTCATTTGCGAATACAACTTCCCCGAGCTCGCCGCGGCGCACAAGGCCCATGGCCAGGAAGGCACGATTGTGGTGACCAAGGTGGAGGAGCCATCCAAGTATGGTGTGATTGTGCACCGGCCTGACCACCCGACGCGCATTGAGCGCTTCGTTGAGAAGCCTGTGGAGTTTGTGGGCAACCGCATCAACGCCGGTCTATACATCCTCAACCCATCCGTGCTGAAGCGCATTGAGCTGCGACCGACGTCCATTGAGCAGGAGACATTCCCCGAAATGGTCAAAGAGGGACAACTGCACTCTTTTGATCTCGAGGGCTTCTGGATGGACGTCGGTCAGCCCAAGGACTTTTTGTCGGGCACATGTCTGTACCTGTCTTCCCTCACCAAGAAGGGCAGCGATCTCCTCACACCGGTGTCAGAGCCGTTTGTGAATGGAGGTAACGTCATGATTGATCCCTCGGCCAAGATTGGCAACAACTGCAAGATCGGACCCAACGTGGTCATTGGGCCGAATGTGGTGATTGGAGACGGGGTGAGAATACAACGATCGGTGCTGCTCTCTGGCAGCAAGGTCAAGGAGCACGCATGGGTCAAGAGCACCATTGTGGGCTGGAATAGCACGATCGGTCGATGGGCACGCATGGAGAATGTGTCGGTGCTCGGCGACGACGTGACGATTGGCGATGAGATTTATTGCAACGGGGCTTCTGTGCTCCCGCACAAGAGCATCAAGGCCAATGTGGAGAGTACGTTCCCGCTTTTTTCCTTTGACATGTCTTTTTTTCTTCTGCCCCCTGCCGAACCACAGCACTGACCACTGACATTTGGGTGTGCAGCTCCCGCGATCATCATGTAATCGAGCACACGCCACACGAACGCGTGTCCCTCTCCCTTTTCTCTCTTTGACGACCATCATCAGTCGAGTCGGCATGTGCAAAGCATCGGAGATTCTTCACTCTATATCCAGCGACGGGAAAGAAAAACAAAAAACACAAAAATTGCATGAGTGGCCATCAGCCTGGCTTCAGTTCATCAGGCAAGGCATATGCGGGGCGAGGGGGGTGCGGGGCGGTACAGGGCGTTTCACGGCGCGTTCGGGCGCCTGCGTATACAAGGCGACGGGTAGTGTGTGTGCGTGTGTGTGTAGGCAAAGCAAGCAAGCATGATTATTGCCAGCCCCAGCTTCCTCACATTTCGATTCATGTGTTGGGAGGAAAAAAAGGTGTGTGGAGGACAAGGTACAGGTAGGTAGTAATAAGAAAAGACTCTCTTTGTCCGATGGGATGATGTGGGTTCGGTAGGTAGGTACAGCAGGTCAGGTAGGTAGGGATACGGAAGGACAGAAAAAAGAATCATCCACAAAAACGAGCATCACGCATCAAGCATCTTTTCTCTGTTCTTTTATCAATCTGACACGCGAATGCCTGTTCATGGGTCGCTCGCCTATTTTAGTCTGGTGTCGGAGGTATAGGTGTACAACATGCACACCTTGTTGCATGGACTCTATGGAGCTTCGTGGTCTTTTTTCCCCAATGTCGCTAATTTTTGTATCATTATTGAACCTGGTCGAAGCGAGAAGTCAAATCATCATCATCACATGTCCGATCTGTTTCAAGTATTTTGGACCTTTGACCTGGCATGTGCATTCGTGGTTGGTTGGTTGGTTGGTTCTTTTCTCTTATTTCTTCTTTTCTTCTCTCTATATATTAAAAGAAAACCGAGGATGATCCGTCGGTTCCATCGCTCTGCCTGGTTATCCGAGAAATCCGTTCCGATTGGAACTGGGATCAGGAGGAGGAAGGAAGGAAGGAAGGAAGGAAGAAGCTGGAGGATGAATATTCCTCCAAGTCCTTGAAGTCCTTTCTTTCTCAACTTCCACAGCTACTGCTAGTAGGTACTGCCTGCATAGACAACAATCGTATCGTCGTCGGTTGAAGCAGAGCAGAGCGGTGGTGGTGGTGGTGGTGGTGATGCGAGGTAAGCGAGGATACTTGCTCTGTCGTCTGGCCGTGAGATATGTATCATCACAAACAGCCTGTACACCAGCAAGGAATGGAAGGCGGGGGGGGAAGACGGAAGTCCAAGTCCCAAGCGAGGCTAGAAGATTCAAGAAGGCTCCTCTACCTCCTAGGAGGTAGGAGGTAGGGCACGAGTGGATTAGGCCAAATAGTGTTTTTCGCGGAGAAGGTCTTCCGCGGACCGAGAAGGAGTGTCGGAAGGCTGTCCACATTGGATTTCGCCATTTGTGCGTTTTCTTTCCGTCCCGCAGCTCCGCTTCTAACCAGTGGATCCGTGGGCCCGGCCCTGCGCACCTTGGCTCTGCTCACATGCATCGGCGCGGCTTCCCCGGCGGCCACGCGAATCAAAAGGAAGCATGCTGCCCGCCGTGCCCGGCCGCTTCGCTGGATCGTCTCTGCAGGCTGCAGCCATACAGTAGTAGTCACCCACCATGCAATGCAATGCACGCTGCCTAAAGCGCCTCACTTCACCTTCTCACCCTCTCATCCTCTCATCAGCCATCAGTCATCAGTCATCATCACCCATTCACCCTCTCCCACAGTCCCACTCCCACCGACCTTCTGGCCAGGTGTGCACGCTCGTTGCCGCGCTCCGCGACGCCTGCTCGCCCCCACCTCCCTGATCCTCATACTTCCTAGGAGGTAACGCGCTCGCTCGCTCGCTTCGGTGAGAAGTCCATGCCTTCCTTGGCCGCAGATGAAAATCCGCCTCTCCCTCTCCGGGCGCACTCTGCACGGAGGTCACTCCTGACTGTGTAACAGTCAGGTCCTGTTCGTTGGGCGGCATTCTGGTGGCATGACTGATCATCTCGTCGGCTGAAGTCCGGATCCATGACGTGACGTACTACCTTGGGGCACTCTCTCGATGGTTGTACACACGCTCACACGTACACAGGAGCCTTGGAGGTAGGGTTGGAGGTAGTACGGTCGTATCAAGTCGACTACTTTTGGGCTGGTTGCCACAGGAAAGACGGCCGGATAAATGCTGATGCAGTCTCGAATCTCGGGTGCTCGAGCCGACGACGAAGGAGGGCCACTCGGGCCACGTCCGACCTGCTCTCAGGTGAGTGCGTGGGAGAGAGACAAGCCATGGCATGGGCATGGAGGTGGAAGGCTGGAAGCACGAGGGAGGCCCAGTGACGACCGACAACTCGGACGAGAGCCGGGCGGGAGTGGTTCAATGTGATTTGATGATTTGGATGGTGCTAAACTGCTAGACTGCTAGTTCGCGTTGGACTCCCTGGAGGTAGGAGCCTAGGAGGTAGGTAGTAGGAGGTAGTTCAGGTGCTGAGAAGGCTGCTTCTCATTCTCGGTAAGGCAGGTAGGTAGGGTACTAGTTCTCGTTCTAGTTCTAAAATTCTACCAGGAGGTAGGATGGAGTGTCTCCCCTCTGCCTGCCTAGGACCCCTAGGTACATGCACCTGTAATTGTGTCGGGTACCTGCCTCTACCTAGTAGTAGGAACCTGACCTTAGGCTCTGGTGAGGACTCGCCGACTCGGGAGGCTCCCGTCCAGTTCAGGCTCCCGTCACCGTCCTGCTCCTGCTCCTGCTCGCTGCGGCGGTGGAGACTCGCACTCCCTTCCCTCTCTTTTAGATTTCCATGTGGGCCCCCTAGCACCTGCAGCGGTAATGCACAATGCTGCTCCAGTGTGTGGCAGTGCCAATCATATAATGGCGCACACCGAGAGATGCCCTTGGAGGTAGATGTACCTACCTTACCTGACCTACCTATCTAGCATACCTGCCTGATCTAAGTTGCCTTGTACCAATTCATCCATCACCATCACCACCATCATTATTACCATTACCATTATCACCACCACCACCACCACCACCACCACCACCACCACCACTGGACCAACATACCCAAAAAACCATCCTCCCAACCCAACCTCAAGAGCCGATGACATGTACGTCGGCGAAGGAGCAGAACCCTCTCCACCATCCCATCCTGTAAATTGACAGGCGGTGCCGCCCACCTCAAGACGCACGCACGTCCGCACCATGGATAACAGCACCAGGAATGACAGCAGAAACAACAACAGCAGCAACAACAACAACGACAACAACAACAATGACAACAACAACACCAACACCAACAGCTCGCTGTGCTTGTGCTTTCCATGCATCATATCCTACCTCGAAGGTTACATTTACCCCACCAAGGAAAACCAGCACTATCCCATCTTGCAACGAAAAGGCTTCACCCAACAGCAGCAAAGGCAGATTGCGGAGGAGTGGTATTGGATTGCTTTCGAAAGGGAAACTGCCGTGAACGACTATATGAGGGGTTATGCAACCTTTCGAGATGGTTGCTGGTGGAGGCGACCGCCCATTCCCAGGACCTCGCATCGGAATTCCTGCACTTTTCCTTCTTCTGCTTCTTCTCCTCCTTTACCTTCTTCACCTTCGGTTTCCGGTTCTGATGGAACGTGAAAAAGAGAGTGGAGCCTCGCTTCTACCGGACAAAAAAAGGTTAAAAATCGATTTCGTCAACGAGGGGATAATTCGCGTAAGGATCGGCTTTGGAAACGTACGAATACGGGCTGCGGCTTGGCGGCCGTCGGGGCTATCTTTTTCCCCTCGGAAGCTACACGTACCAACCTTGTCCGTTCATCGATATCTCCTCGTCGGCATCGGCATCGCTCATGATCATCTCTCGTCGACATCACTGGCTCTTCCCACGCGATCCAGACTACCTCTACGTCAGATCGACTTCGAAGTCGACGATCAATTACCGGCCCGGTATACCCAGAACAATCGCACCATTTTCACGTGCTGTTCATGCAGATGCTCTGTGCGGCCATGGAGGGAAACCGTCTGATGTTCGCAGAGTGTTGTCAGGCCAATGAGATTCAGTTATCTGTTATTATGGCAAGAGCTCCTGGTTCTGCTTGATGGCAGGCAGGCAGGCAGGCAGGCATATTTTCTCCAGCAATCACTGTTCGCCAAGTCGTAACGAGCCAGAGTGCGAAAGCTCTCATCAGGGCTTTGTAGTGGGGGACTTTGTAGCAAGTATTGTACAGTACCGCATCCTCTCTATGAACAGCACAAATCCGTACATCTACTACGACTATTCATGATGGTATGAGGAGGGAGATGTGATGCAATGTTGATAAGCTACCTACAAGTATACATGTAAGTACCTGTAGACATGGGTTCGACATACCGTAGAGCCTAAAAACGCCAACCGGAATAGACCCAGACTAGTGCGTGTGCATTCTCGGACGTATGAAAGTGAGGTGGTGTCTTGGGTGGTAGGCGGGTGCTAGGTACAGGCAGGTACATGGATAAGGTACCTATGCTTATGCTTATGCTTGCTGCTAGGTAATGTCACTACACTCCTCACTAACCTACCTTAGGTACATGCGCTACTATCTGACCTTACCTGTACTCCTGTAGGAAGGTAAGGTAGGTACATAGGTATGTAGGTACCTCCGCCGTACTCTAGGGAAGCGAGCTCGTAGATCTTAGGTATTGTAGAGCTTGCGTACCTACCTACTGTAAATAGTAGCCTGTCGACGAAACATGTATCGTTGGCTGCAGCAGAGGGAAGGGTATTTTGGTCGAGGCCACCATCTCACAAGGTAGTGGTGGTGGTGGCAGGAGTAAGGGTACCTATAGTACATGTAGTAGGGTGGAACGAGTTGAAGCGGGGGTCTAAATAGCGAGAAAGCACGCTAAACCCGATCGCGTCTGTTCCGCCGGTGCCAAGCCCCGCGCGCGCGTTGAAGTGAAGACCATTTGACCGGCGTTCCTTTATAAGGTACATACTCGGCGTCTCATTTCCGCGTTTTGACCTTGATGGTTTTGACCTTGATGGTCAATGTCTGATCCCTCGTCTCCTTAGAAGGTACGCAGGCCGACAAGATGCTTGGATTAGGGCTTGGAATTGAGCGGTCAAGAGAACGCTGCGCTGCGCTGAATAACCGTGGCCAACTTTTTGCTGTAGGCAGTAGGTGCGTGCGTAAGGTAATCTACCTCACGTACTTGTCCATGAAGCGGCGGTGGAAATCACTCCTCAACAGGTCATTCACAAACCTCTTCTCCTTGCCCCTTTCCTCGGTGCCCCGCGCCTGATTCTTGAACACCACATCATCGTCCCATCTCCTCTTCACATCATACTGCACTCTCCCTTCATTCAGCAGCGGATTCCCCAACGCAATATCCTTTTCCCGCTGCTCCTCATCTTTCTTCGCCTGTTCCGCAGCTTCCTTGGCAGCCTTCTCAGCGCGTTCGGCTTTGATTTTTGCCAGCTCGCGCATCAACTCTGCAGTCTCGTCTTCTTCCTCGTCCTCGTCGTCGTCGCCCGAGTCCGAATCTGAAGAGCCACCGGACTCGGAATCTGCGTCAATGTCTCTTGTCTCTTCTAATACACGTCGTTTTTTCGCTTCATAGTCTTCTTGTTCTTCTCCCGCAGCCTCGCCTCCTACGTCACTAGCATCTGTCGCTTTGCGCTTCACACCTCCCGCTTCAATTTGTAGCTGCGGTATCGCATCCTCGTCGTCGTCGTCTGTGATTTCTCTCCCTTCCTTCTTGGCGTAGTATTTCGCTTCGTTACGTAGCAGCTCCGCCTTCAAGTCGCGCTTCGCTTGCTCCGCAGGTGTGCCCTGGTTTGGTTGACGGAACTTGAGAGTCTTGTGGGCGGGAAGAAGGCGTTGATGATACGCTTCTCCGCGCGCGGCTTCTTTGCCTCGCGCTGGGTCGAAAGTTGGTCTGTGAGCGGTCGTCATGGTGAGGGTGGAGAGTGAGGGAGCGGGAGTGTTGAGCAGTCAGGCGGGTACTGTGTGTAAGAGGTATGTAGTCCTGTGGTGAGCGCTGGTGGAAGCGTGGAGGTAAAGACGTTCCAAAGCCACCACAGCCACAAAAGTAAGCCACAGCGGCAGAACGTTCGGCGCATGGATATTGACATGAGCTTCGATTCTCCAGACCTTGAAAAACGACGAAACTTTCAACAAGACCTACAGCATTCCTCACTTTCCCCAGGAATCAGGAGCGAAAATGCCGTCGGAAGCGCTGCCCTCCTCCAACGAACGCGATTTCATTCTCTCGGCCCTCTCGCAGAACATCCGTATCGATGGCCGTCAATTCGACCAATTCCGCCCCATTGATCTCGCGTTCGGCGACAACTACGGCCAAGCAGACGTGCGCATAGGCAAAACGCGAGTGCTCGTGAACATTTCTGCAGAAGTCGTCGTTCCTTATGTAGACCGAAAGTTCGATGGAGTCTTCACCATTAGCACCGAGTTGAGTCCCATTGCGAGCCCGGCCTTCGAAGTTGGACGGTATGTGCAGCGATTCGTGCCATGATGTTTCTGGTATAGAGAAAAAGGAATGAAACTACCGAGTAGTGGGAATGGACTGACTGATCCTGCAGTCAAGACCAGACTGAAATCATCCTGAGTCGCATTCTCGAAAAGACGATCCGCAGATCGGGAGCCTTGGATACAGAGAGTTTGTGCATTGTGGCTGGACAGAAATGCTTCCACATCCGCGCAGACATCCACGTGTTGGATCACGACGGCAATCTGGTGGATGCGAGCTGTCTGGCACTGGTCGCGGCTCTCATGCACTTTAGACGACCCGATGTGGAGGTTCACGGAGAGGAAGTCACAGTTTTCAGCGTGCGAGAGCGCGAGCCGGTGAGGTTGTCCATGCAACATCAGCCCTTTTGCGTGACCATGAGCTACTACGAGGGCGGCGAGATCGTGTTGCAGGATGCGACGCTGTTAGAGGAGCACGTCCGGGAGGGTGAGATTGTGATAAGCATCAACCGCTTTGGGGAGGTCTGTCAGATCGCAAAGTACGGAGGCACGCCAGTGGATGGCATGAGCATGCTGTCATGCACGAATGCTGCTTTGGAGAAGGCGAAGATGCTGGATAAGTTGGTGAAGGCCAAATTGGAGGAAGATGAGAAGATGAGATATCCTGGTGGACTGATGGCGGAGCTCAGTGCTGAGAACGATCGCGTGCAGGAGAAGCCTGTGGGATGAGACGCATGGGAGATGACTGCTCCTCTCAGCATACTCATCCACGCCGAAGTGGCGACACGATACCATCCGATCTGAAAGCACACTTCGTACAGGAAGGTAGGGAGACCGCTGGACCACGTAGACCAATGCGTCCAGAGGGCCATCCACGAGCGGTGCCTGACGGCGAGCTGAAAAACAGCGCCGCTAGACACAGATGGCAGCCGCTTCAATTAACATATCCAAACGAAGCAGGGTATAAAATAGCAGTGACAGGAGTATCATCTGTCAACCATGTGGTGAATGTAGGTATGCATGGATTTAACAGTAAGGCACCACTAGACCGATGCACGGAAGAGACGATCAGGCACGCATGCCTCTGTTGCTACAAATGATTTCATTCACATGCAGCTGTGCACGTGCTTCCAGATTTCAACTCGTTGGCATCACCTCACTTCTCACAGAGCTGCTAGTATAAGGTACATACCCTCCCACCTAATTTCTGCAACACCTTTCACATAATACATCGACAACAACGACGGTGCCTTTCACACAACGCACCGACAAAAACGTGGACCATCCTTTCCCTGCCTGCCTATACCGATCCTTATTCCCCGACGCCTTCCTGTTGAGCGGGTCGACTACTACTACGGCCGTTACGAAGACTCGGTCTCGAGAACGTCGCCTTCGCAGATTTTCGAACAGTCTCGACCAACAATATCGACCGACAATATCGACCGACAATATCGACCAACAATATCGACCAACAATATCGACCGTGCTGAGCACTTCACTCGCAGCTCCAGTCTACCTAGTAGGCATCGACGTACAAGTTGCCACCTTTCTAGGCCTCATCCGCAGATTAAACACAACCTCGTACTCCCGCCTTCGGTGGCTCAGCACACGCGCAGATGGACTAGCAACATTTGAGCAGCTTCATACTTGTCCACTCGATCTTGTGGTACGATGGACGAGCTGCCTTTCTCAAAGCCGAGCAGCTCAGCACACCGCTTTGCACATAATGATAAGAATGGCCGGGGTTGGGGTCAGCTGGACAACAGCAAAGAAGAAATCGCGGTCGCAGGAAACCCTACGCCGAGGGCTCAATCTCGTTCGGCATTTACTACCAACAGAAGCTCCAAAACTCCCTCGGTCAATCTCAAAAATCAATTGCTGAACAGCGTCAAGCGGCCAGGGGATCTGCCTGGAAGCATTCCACAAAGCGATGCAGCGAAGAGGCAAAAGCTGCCCAGCTCGCAATTGCCACAACGGTCCAACGACAGCTCACTCCCTGTACGAGACACTCCTAGTGGGCCCTTCCATTCTTCTTCCAAACTTTCCAACGCGTCTGCGGCCCCTAAGCCGATGAAAAGTATTTTCATGGAGATATCTGATGACTCGGACGACGACAAGGCAACGGAGCCTATTTCGAGGCAACTCTCGCCTTTAAGAAGTTCACTTCCGGTCGCTCATCGCATTTTGGAAGTCAATGGAGAGGCTGCATTAGCTCGAAGTAAGTTTCTGAGACAACAAGCAGAGAACGCCAAGCTCGCGGACAAGCATTTCAAACCTCCTACTTGGCCCACCGCATCGATAGCTCGACGCCAGACTGTAAAAAAAGAACAGTCGCCTCCGACGCCGAGTCGCAGGTCTCAGAAGTCCAAGCGGAAAGATGTGCGCTCCATAGCGCGACCGAAGCCTGAGGAAGTCATCAGCCGCGAATTGGATGAAGAAGTCGCTCCAATCACTCCGCTAACCATGAGTCGCCAAAGGCAACCTCAAACGACAAAGCCTCAGCGCATTGCGCGAGAGACACCCAAGACATCATTGTTCTCGTCAGAGGGCACAGACGGCCCTTCCACATTCACTCAACGTCTTCAAGAAGTCAAGAAGGAGCACCCACTAGAGCCCGAGATCCGGAGCCGGCGCCCTGTTCAGCATAAAGTCGAGCTTGCTAACAGTGTTTCCACGAACTTCGAGACGGAGCAGAATAAGCAGCAAAGACTGGGATTCAAAACTGCAGAAGCGGCCTCACAGAAGCTGGAGCGAGAACGACAACAAAGTCTTCACCACGCCAGACTCGTAGTAGAACAGCAAAACAAGAAGAGGGAAGCTGATGAACGCATCAGACGCCAGCAAGAGGAGCGCGACCGTGCTCAGCGAGCAGAGGGCGCTAAGGCTCGTCTCGCTGAGCTCCAACGTCGTCGACAGCAAAACATCGACAAACAACGTCTGGAATATGCAGATCAGCAAAGGAACCGGGCCATTGATGAGCAACTTCGGGTCTCGCGAGAAGAGACCAGGAAGAAGAAGGCCGAGGTCGAGGTCGAGGCAGCGGCGAGGAAGGCTAAAGCGGACGCGGAATTAGCGAGGAAGAAAGCCAGAGATGATGCGGAAAAGGAGGCTGCGCGTATAAGACGTGCTGCACTTGCAGCGCAAGCACCGATCCTTGATGAGCAGGCACGGCGTGATAGAGACGAGCGCATTCGCCTGAAAAAAGAGCGCGCGATTCGAAACAAACAGACTGAACGGGAAGAAGAAATAGAAGACGAAGACGAGCCACATGCTGCACCGAAGCCGAAGCCGAAGGGCCCGGCCGCCACAGTCCGCGAGGCACGCTTGACTGAAAAGCCGGCCGCCACAGAGGATGTCGGAAATCATGATAACAACGACGGACCAGCCGCATACAGGCCAACACCGCACCTTTACGCTAAGCAACCAATATCTCTCCACAGCGCAGCTGGATCCAACGCTCTTTCGAGCGGGTCCAGACCGATGCAGCAGCCATCTGGTATCAAGCCTCGAGTAGTGCGCGATAAGCAACGTCCACTTGGAGAAATCCTTTTTGAAGATGCAAAACTATTGCAGTGGAGAGACACGGGAGAGAGCTGGTCGGCTATCAGTACGAAGTTTGCAGAACTTACTGGCAAAAAGCGAGCTGAAGACACTCTTCGACGACGGTATTCGACCGTCAGCAAAGCGCTCAGCGAGGCTCGAGTCGGGTCAGAGCTGAAGCGACGGATGGTTGCTAACGATGAGGAGGCCAGAATGGAAGTCAATGTTGCTGTGCACGGCGAGTGGCCAATTGGCAGCACTGCGAATACCAACGCTGCCAATACTGTGCCAATCAAGTCTGTCACGCCACAGGTCCTGGAGGTAGAGCCTGAAAAGGCATCTCACGAAAAAGACAACAAAGCTAAACGAAGTATCGACAATGACCCACACCATCAGTGGGTTCAGCCCCAAAAAGCAGCCCCGGCCACTGCGATGGGAAGTAGTAACACTCTAACGACAGGATCCGTACCGCCTGGCTTGATCAAGGGAAGCCTTGGAGAGATACTGCCGATCGACGCACTGATCATTTGTTGGCGACGTGAGGGCATGGGATGGGCTCAGGTAGTGGAGAAATACAGAGCCGCCACTGGCATACGCAAAAGTGACTACAGGCTGAAGCTGCGGGTTGACGAAGTTGAACCAGCTGTAAACGATGCAGTTGTATTTCCCGATGAACTCGAAGCGCTATCCAGGGACGCACCAGGCGCGAGAGCCAAAGTGAACAAGAAAGTATGGAAGACCTGGCCGCCTGTCCCAGAGCCAGTCTCGGAGCAAGACATGGCTGTGGCCAAGCCCTTGGATGAACCCGCAGCCAGACCCACGACTGGCGGCAAGACGATTACTTGGGATATCCACAGCAAATATCTGGAAGATCGAGAAGCAGCTGATGCTGAGCTTTCCGACGTAGAGTCAGCATCCGAGATCGACGAAGACAACCCACAAGACAGCTATTACTACTATTATCGAGTATACCGTAGGGAATACACGCTGGAGGATGAAGAAGATGGCATTGGAATCCAAGACGTCGAATGGCGAGAGTGTAACGAATTCGAGAATCCGGACGAAGCTAACCAAGCGGCAGCCGCGGAAATCAGCCAGCAAGTCCAAGGACGACCCAACTTCCAAGAAGGCCGATACACACTGGAACATAACTCCCACAACGGATTCCAGCATCTCACGCTCGTGAATGCCGCCGTCGGCCAATTAGACGTCATCGTCAGTCCCGTCGTCCGTATCCCCGAAGAGCGCATCCTCCCCTCGTCCAAAGAGGGGTGGCTCCACAATAGTCTCTACTACGTTAAACAAGCTATTACACATATCAAGTATACCGTCGACGATGTACTTGGCGAAACGCATACAGAGACGGTGATTCGAGAAAAGGAGGTCGAAGGCACGCATACTTCTTTTTTGGACCAGGCAAACTTACGCGCTGTAACGCACTTTGTCAAATTGACTCGACCGAAATCGGTGAATCTGGATCAGAATAGTTTGGAGCAGGCGAATCGGGTCGAATGTTTGCTCGCGGAGCTGCGGGATCGAGCTGACGCTGAAGTTGTGGGGGAGTCTGGGAGCGGGCAAGAGATTATGTTTCGTGGGGTACTTGACGACGACGACGACGGCGGCGGGGGCGGCGGCAGCGGGGGCGGCGGGGGCGGCGGCGAGGGCGGCGGCAAGGAGGAGAGTGTGGGTGGTCAGCAGGAGAAGAATAACAAGAAGAAGAAGAAGGAGAAGAAGGAGAAAGTGGAGGTATGGGTTGTGAGGACGCGGTTGACGGGACCGAGAAATCTTTACAAGTTCAGTAAGTGAGAGTACCTAAGGTAGAGAGGGCAATTTGAATTCGCTTGGAAAGGTGCGCCATGTTGTCTGCTAGTGAATTGTTTCGTCCCTTTCCTCCTCCTCTCTCTCCCTCTCTCTCTCTCTCTCCTCCTTCCGTTCCTGCTTCTCGCTTCATCTTTCTCCTCCTTAGGAGCACTTTGCCTTGCCCGGTCCGAGTGGTTCGCAAGAGTTATTGTTTGCCGTACATTTGGCCGACTGGAAACAATGGTGTTAGTAACGTAAGAAGAAGGGGAGGAGGGGGGCAGTCGACGATCTGAGTAGTAAACATACCGCTGAGCACTGCTGAACGTCTCCCGGAACGCCACGGTTAACGCAGACACCTTCTGCGAATACTTTCTGATCGCATTGCTGCCCAGCAAGTCAGCATTTATTTCAACAAGTTGGGCACATGTAGATGAGGTGGGAATAGTAGGAAGAGGGGGGGGGGGAGGAGGAGTAAAGGGTTGGATTGAATCGGATTGGATTGGTCTTACCCACACGGCAGTTGCCAAGCTCAAGAGAGTGGCAAAGATTGCTGCGGTGAATTTCATATTTAGAGCGAGGTTGGTGGTAGTAAGGTAGTAGTAGTGGTAGTGGCGAAATCAGATAAGATTGTGAGTGTACAACAAAGCTACAAGAGTGGCCAGAGTCTTCTTTTATAACAAGACCTTTTCTTACCCTCCTAGCACCCCATTTTCTTCATGTTCCTCGGCATGCGTATTCATAATAGCGAACTTATCCCGGGTTGCAAAAAAGCTGTTCGGAAATCGAAACAAAACTAGCGGCTACAGACTAGCAAGAGTCTCCTGGTAAAATATCTTTTGTTAGTGAGTAGGTTGGTACAGATACGACCTTGTTAGTCCATCTTCCAAGGCTCTTGGCATAGCCCATCGAACAACTTTAATTCGAGAAGAAGAGATCTAGGTTTCAGAAGTGGATCCACTCTGTGCAACGTGTAAGTGAAGAAAAAGTCGTAGGAGGTACGGGGAATACGGGCACGCAAATCCTTTTCTTTACCTAGGACCTGGGTAACTGGGTACCCTCCCTCCCTCCCCTCCCCCCTTGACTATATGGATGTCATGACAATATAGAAAAGTCAGCAGTAGTACTACTTTTACCTAGGTACTTTCATGGAAGTATTACCTAGGTACATTAGTTTGGTGACGATGGCACTTGCAAGCGGTTGTTGTTGCTGCTGATGCTGATGCTGCTGCAGGTACCTAGAGCTGTGTCGCCACACCTGCTTGCGTTTTTTTTTTCTTTTTCCAGGCATTCCGGTTTCTCAACCAACGACGAACACGAGGGGGAATCCTTTTTGGGGGAAGGGGGAGGGGGGCAGGAAAGCACAAGCGACGATACTAAGGTAAGGTAGTGTTGATGGAGAAAAAACAATGAATTCGGCTGGAGGAGCGTGTAGGTACGGTACCGGAGGAATGTTGTTGTTGTCGTTGTTGTTGTGTTGCACTTGCTGCCTCGTCGACGTGGCTGTTCATCACTCAACGTCGCTCTACCTTACTCTTGTGCGACTTTCACGCACTTCCACTCATCCGTCGTCGATGATTGGAACTGGAAATCATGTAACCCTCCCTACGCTCATGTGCGGTCTACCGCCATAGTTCGACGGCAAGATCAGGACTTCTGCTGCTGCTGTACCTCAACCTCGTCCCATCTTGACTACTACATGTAAGATGGAGGTGCAACAACACCCACAAACGTATCTTCCCATTTTCATTCCATTCCCCTTCTTGCATTGCATTGCACTGCACTAAACGATTCTAATGTCCATCCTCAGGGTAACAATCCGCTCGTCCGGTCCCACAGACTACTCCACCGAACAGCTCCGACTGCGACTACGGGAAGCAGTAGCCAACATGGAAGTCAACGAGCAGATGGAAGTCCTAGAGAACAACAGGAGGAGGCAAAGAAGGGCCGCCGACTCTGTCCAGCTCACGAGGAGAAGCCATCCCGTCCCGCCACCACTGCTACCAGTCCGTAGAAGAAGCAGCAGCAGCAGTAGTAGTGCTGATAGCAACAACAACATCAACCTCTCACCAGTCTCCTCCTCCTCCCACCACTCGCAGATTTCGCCCAAGACACAATATCCATCGGCTGTGACGAGTATGCGAAAGCAGAAGACGCTCCCGCTCCTCTCGCAGCACTCGCCTCCGGCTCCCGCTCGTGTACCGACTTGCTCGGGCGCTATGGTTACTGTTCCCAAGAAGAAAGATGTCCAACTTCCGGTGTTGACTTCTTATCGGAATGGTGAGCCGGCGTCCAGAAGAAGAAGACCGGGAACGGATAGTGTTGATGACGATGACGATGACGGCGAATACTGTATCAGAAGGTCTCGCCGAGAGACGAGGACGGGGAATGATTGGGAGGTGACGAGGAAGAACCACTATTCTTATTGGCCACCTAAGAAGACGACGACAACAACAAAAACGCGGAGATTTATTTCGTGAGGAGGGGAAAGTTGGGGTTTATGAGGGTTGGTAGAGGAGTTGGTACCTGAGTATGAGAGAAGAAGAAAACCTAGATTTGTCATCGAATCTTTCCTATGTTTCTATAGGTACGGTGTGGTACGGTACGGTACGTGTGCGTAGAGGTAGAGGTAGATGGAATATGAGTATAATCTCGTGGCAGCAAAAGGTCTTCAATCACCCAAAAGAATTAGCTACATGTACTGTTGTGACAAATGAAACAATGAGGAATGAGCAGAGGCAGAGGCAGAGGCAGAGGCAGATGCAGATTGAAAAAAGAAAAGTCGCGGTGACGGACGGACGCCTGCCTCTCGTGGCGGCCATGCTTCATGTCGTGAAACTACCAACGGCCAGCGCAGCGCAGCACTATTGTCCCCATGGATGTGTATGTTGTGTACATGTATGTACAGGGCATGTACTGTATACTGCTTTGTTGTTTGCCCGTCGCTCGCGAGGGAATAAGACCTCTTCCAGTTACACTCAAGAAAAAAGAATTGATGGGTGTTCGCGATAGAGTAGAGAGTAAGGTCAGTGGGAGGGGAGGGAGTCTCGTATATCGGTATATCGGTGTATCGGTGTATCCGTCCCTTTGTAATGTACAACTACACTAATAGGTAGATAAGAGTCGAGTATTCGAGGGTAGGGAGGTAGTAGAAGCATATATACCTACCTCCTAGGTAGTGACGAGGTATGAATTGATAAGGATGATAATGATGATGATGATGATGATGATGAATGTTCTCCACAAAACCGTTGAGAGGGGAAATTTGTGGATTATCATTATATCGTAAAAAAGCCAACCTAGATACTCTCGGGCCTTGTTGAGGTCGGTACTCGGGTGCTTCTCCTCTCTTGTTATCGTACATCGTCATTGTTATTTGATAGGGAGGGGAGGGGGAGGAGGAGCATGGTCGATACAGCTGCTCATGCTCATGCTATGCTATGATCTGCTGGTATGGATACGGGTTTTTCAATGTGATCGTACCTCCTAGGAAGCAGAAGAAGGTAGATGAAGAAAAAGGGGCGGACGGACGGATGGACGATTGCTGCCTGAATAATGTAGGTATGGACTTCACTTTCGATTGTCGCGAGACACGAGGATGGAGCATGGCTTTTCGGTATGACAAGTCTATTGATAATGAAGACGAAAAGTACTAAAGTTACCCCAAACTGGAGACTGGAGACTGGAGTTGTACAGAAATTGGTGGGTTGTACGACAACAAGGGGGGAAGGCCCCTAGATGGATGGTAGCCTGCCCCCCCCCCTAGTTCTAATCTAGCATTATTACCCGCTCCCGACTCGCCCTTTGCTCTGTTTGGCTGCCCTTGTCACACGCTCTCACACACACTCACACCGTGACACACACACTAACACGCACTCACACGACGGGAGGCGTTCTATATTCATCGTTATTCGTTACACAAACTGCACAAGGCTGCAGGAACCGAATGTGACTACACTGCAACTCGTCTGCAAGGGCCGGCTGCACACACACACACTATCGGACTATCTCCAACAAAGGCTACCTCCTATATATTTTGTTGATCGTGCTGCAGCTCGCTCTCCCCAATTTTTTATCGGCTCACTCACCCTCGAAAACATCTCTGTCTCTCCCTCTCTCCTTCCCACTACATCGCCGTGATGAGTGAAAAAAATGTATATTCAATGTTGATATTTATATATTTATATATTTTTTATATATCCACATCCATATATATTAGACGCCTCCCAGTGGCCCGACCCGCAAAGCTGTTCGAGAATCGGGGATGATGAGCTAGTTCTAGCCGCTTTGAGCAGCAGCTCATCTCCTATCCTCCTGTTTGCATGCCGGGACCATGTCCGTGATATTTCGCCAGGGCCGCTGTATCATTTCCTTCCTCTCATTCTCGTCCGCGAAGCGTTGCGTTTGGCGCTCGCTGCATCAATTCATCATCGCCTCTCATTATCTCTTCTTGTTCTACTTCTTCTTCTGCTTCGTCTTCGTCTTCGTCTTCTTCTTCGTACTACATTCTCATTCAGAAGCCTGGAGTTCTTCGCAAAAAATTCCACGTCGACCCCTGGTTCCCATTCTTTTCCTCGAAACGCGAGCGGGCCCACTAGCGATCCGACTGTCACCCATTGAAAGTGTGTTCATACAATCAGGGGAAACGTCGAAAAGAGAGAGACAGAGAGAGAGAGAGAGCGCGTTTGCAAGCAGACGTGGGAGCGACGGAAAAGAGCAGGGTGTACATATATGGTTGGGCAATACACAGCCAGAGCATTACCATAACGGCTCGAGCTGAGTGGGGACATACCAGTTGCTACGAACCTCGTTGTAGGCAACAGGCTTTCGCTTCCCACCAAAAGCAGATGTCAGTGAATCATTCCGCTCCTGGAGTCATTGTCGCCGTCTGCCTGTCTAGCACTGCGGTGTTTCTTGCAAAGAGCGACGACCACTCGCCCGGCTGCAGCTAACATTGGGATACAACAGTCGTCGTAGTAGGGACACTTTATTCTAATTTCTATTCACTGCAAATTCTGTGTCCGATCGCGAGATCCGGACCTCCAACACCTTCACCACGGCCGTGCTATCAGCAAATCCGCGGCACAGCCTCGTGCTCCCGCCTCACATGCTTGGCATGCAGAACGAGACCATGTCGTCCGCACCGAACAACTATGGGCATCGCCAGACGCAGTCGTTTGCCGTCAAACCGTCCATGAGCCCCGACGAGAACGGCTTTCCCCAGCAATCATCATTCCATCGAGCACAACCTTCCTTGGGAGGCTATGGAGCCAGACATGGCCACAGGAACAGCATACAGCCCATCAATACCGGGCGAATGGCAAGCCAAAGCTACAATGTCCCCGACATGCAGACCCCTCAGACGGGATATGATGTGAACTTCACACCACTCCTCCCGACCAATCTGCTCATGGGCAGTCCATTCCAGCCCGGCTCGCCCACTGCGTTCCAGTCACCGCAGTTCCAAAGCTTCCAGCAACAGCCCAGCGGATCTCGCCATCACCAAAACCAAATGAGTATGAGCCAAGCATTTCAGCAGCAGCAGCAACAACATCAACATCAACAGCAGCAGCAGCAACAGCAGCAGCCCATGCTGTCTCCCAGCGCATACCAGCCCCTAGGCTCCCCGAATGCGTATCAGAACTCGTCATATTTTGGGGGCCTCCAGTCGCCGACTACGGGTTTCAGCTCCATTGCTGGTATGCAGATGGGCGGTTACGGTCAAGCAATGCACAGCCTGGCTCCGGGCATCGTGTCTGGCACCAGCCGGACCGTCTATCTCGGCAACATCCCTCCGGACACTTCTGCAGAAGAGATTCTGGGCCATGTGCGGAGCGGTCAGATCGAGTCTGTTCGGCTACTACCTGACAAGAACTGTGCTTTCATCTCGTTCCTCGACGCCAGCTCCGCCACTCACTTCCACTCGGACGCCATCTTGAAGAAGTTGTCGATCAAGGGACAGGATATCAAGATTGGCTGGGGCAAGCCCTCTTCGGTGCCCACCTCAGTAGCGCTGGCGGTACAGCAGTCGGGGGCATCACGTAACGTATATCTGGGCAACCTCTCCGAGGACATGAGTGAAGAAGAGCTGCGAGAAGATCTGGGCAAGTTCGGTCCCGTCGATACCGTAAAGATTGTGCGCGAAAAAGCCATTGGCTTTGTCCATTTCCTCTCCATCGGCAACGCGATCAAGGCTGTCACTCAGCTTCCTCAGGAGCCCAAGTGGCAGGCGCCCCGACGTGTGTACTATGGCAAGGACCGCTGCGCGTATGTGTCAAAGACTCAGCAGCAGAATGCAGCGCAGTACTTGGGAATTGCCCCTGGTTATGCACATGTCCTGAACGGCGCGGATCGCGACCTCATTACGAATGCTCTGGCGCAGCAGTCCGTTGCTGCAGCTGCAGTGGCGACCACTGCCGGTGGAGTGAATAACCTGGGCAATCGAACGGTGTATCTGGGCAACATTCACCCCGAGACGACCATTGAGGAAATCTGCAACGTGGTACGGGGCGGCCTGCTGCACCACATTCGATACATCCCCGACAAGCACATCTGCTTCGTCACATTCATCGATCCCACTTCTGCTGCCTCGTTTTATGCTCTCAGCAATCTACAAGGCCTGATGATTCACAACCGGAGACTCAAAATCGGCTGGGGCAAGCACTCGGGAGCGCTGCCTCCCGCCATCGCATTGGCAGTATCTGGTGGAGCCTCTCGAAACGTATATGTGGGCAATCTGGACGAGACGTGGACGGAAGACCGCCTGCGACAAGACTTTCAGGAGTATGGTGAAATTGAGCTCGTCAACACGCTGAGGGAGAAGAGCTGTGCATTTGTGAACTTTACCAACATTGCCAACGCAATCAAGGCAATTGAGGCTGTCAGGGGCAAGGAGGAATACAAGCGATTCAAGGTCAACTTTGGCAAAGATCGATGTGGAAACCCACCAAGACAAGTCATCAACAACCAACATTTGCAGCAGCAGCAGCAACAACAGCAGCAGCAGTCCAGCGAGAATGGCGTCAGTTCGTCGTCTCCCGTCAACGGGCTGGCGCCGCACTCGCAACGAGCTCAGCACTCCGTGTCACCGGCAAGCTCTGGACCATCTGCCTACAATCCACTGCAAGGCCCGACTGCGTCCACGATCTTCAACACTGGCACCAACAACCCGCTCACGTTATACCTCCAAGCCACCCAGCAAAGCGCTCAGGCTGTCGCTGAACAACAAGCACAACAGGCCCAACGCAGCCTGAGCCCATCGGATTACGAACTCCCAACGACGACATCCTACCAGCAACAGCAACAACAGCAGCCCACATCTGCCACGGCGACACATCTCTCCAACCAACAAGCATTCTACAGCTCCCCCAACGAAGTCGCCGCATCCCGTTCCGCCGGCTTGGAACCCCCTTCCCACAGCCATCACCACAGCCACCACCACAGCCACCACAATCTCCACCATCTCGGCCACGGAAGCCATCAAAGCGTCAATATCACCAACGGCATGCAAGCAGGCATGAACACTTCTTCTTCCCCTTCGTACTCCAACAACAACAACAACCAATCCAGCAGTCATCACAGCAACAATGCCTCTTCCCGAAGCGCTCACAGTCGCGCCGTCAGTTTACCCGCTTTTTCGCTGCAGAGTAACTCCAATTCGAACAACGCCAATGGCAATTCCAACTCGAATAACAACAATACTAATAACAACAACAACAACAACTCCTCCTCCTCGCCGCAACCACTCTCTGGCTTGGGCTACAGTAGTGGTGAGGGCTACGGGTTGGGAGTTTCTCCCGGTTTGCCCGGTTGGGCAGAAGAGGAAGTTGCGTGATTGTTGGTGGTTTTTTTTCTTTCGGTTGATTCATCTATTTATGTTGTTGCCGTTGTTGATAAGGGGAGGAAAGAAAATTTGGTAGTGGTAGGAAGGAGAACGAAAGAAGGAAAGAAGGAAAGAAGGAATGGAGGAATGGAAGAATGGAAAGAGATTGGATTTTGTACCACTACTACTTACTACTGCTACTACTATATACTGTTGCTGATACCACTGTCTACTTGCTACTTGCTACTACTACAACTACCTGTACTTTGCTTATACGCGATACGCGAATTTTCGCGCTGGACATCAAATGGGATATGGGACATATATAATTTACTCTTCTCGATGGTCTTCATCATCATCATCAATCTCCTAGCTTGATATACCCTTGCCAAGCGATCTCAAGAGCATTGAAGGAATGAAAAAGTAACAGCCGTACTCTCACCCTCCAAATACACACACATCTCCTCCTTGTTTCACTCTTCGTGTGGAATCTCCTTCTACTACGCACGCTTGGTATCCATCCCTCTCTTTTCCAGATACGTGCCGTTTTCGAAAGACTGCTCTAGTTTGCATTCTGTTCGATATGATGCAATGAGCTCAATGGGAGCTCGTTATCATCTCTGGATTTCCGTCCATAGTCTAGTAAAGAACGTTCGTTGGACAAAAGGCTGGAATATCATGCCTACTTCTGACTGAGTGTCTAGATGCTCTCGAGCGCCATCTCACACGAGGCGAGACACGATAACATTGTTGGGCATTGCAGTCTCCATTCGCCCTGCTGCTTTCAACGCAGCCACACGGCCACCGGGAAAGGTTGTGCGGGGAATACCCGGTCAACTCGTGCCAGGCCGAGTCCAAAGCGATCGGCCCGGTCGATACGCGTGCGACTGTACAGCATGTCAGCACGTCAGGAGTGCTCTTCATATGTGAGACGAATCTGCAATTCGCACTTGGCACGGCGTCTTGGAAAGGCCATTCATCTCCAGCGTACAAGTATTCGATGCGAAGATGCTCTACCGCACCTAAACCTGCTTTTGTCTCGCCTATTCGCGTCCTCGAGTACTTGGCTGGACTTGGCAACTCCACTTCATGGTGATGCGGAATGGTACAGTAGTTCGGTGATTTCGTTTCAGCGCTTGTCCACGCGGTCCGACACGGGCCTGCCCATTCACATCTCACATAGATGAATGTCACTTGCCGTGGGTGCCTAAACATGATTGAAGCTGGCCATAGGTGAGGATCAGGCGAGCAGCAGGAAAGTATCTGAAATATCTATTGCACGGCGCTCATTACAAGCGCATCAGCGTGGTAAGGGCTGCTGTGTCGTAGCAATTGTGCTCGGTCCATCGTCTGAGATCGGTATCGGTATAGGTAGCTCATCGTCCTTCTTCTCTTCATGATTGACGAACAAGAAAGACAAAACCACAATACACGCGCCTAGCCAATACCACGGACCTGCCGTCTGGTGGTCCAGGACGATTTGGCCAATCAAGGAAATTGGTATCGTCATGCTTAGACCAACAGTGACGACGATGGGCGAAGTCAATAATACAGCATACGCCCATGCCATGTCGCTAACCAGGCTGCCTGCTGAGTTCAAAATGACGACCATAGTCACTCTCCAGTCCGGTGGCAGCTGAAAAGGTTCGATCCCCGCGTAGTGGAAGACGACGAGCCCAGGCCAAAGACAGAGGACATTGATCAGACCTACAAAGCCGAAGAACACTGGCATATTGACACGGCTTTCATCTCCAATGCGCTTTTTCATGAACACAGCGTAAAGACCGTACATGACGGCCGATAGAAAGGCCAGAAAGTCTCCAATGGCAATCTCTCGTAGTGTCTTTTCGGGGAAATCACCTCGATGCTCGTCGTCGTTGGTCTTACCAGACAGGTCTAGACTCGAAATGACGATGATTCCAGATAGGGATGCCAGGACTCCGAGCAGTTTGCGCACTGTGAAGCGTTCCACCCGGAAGATGGCTCCGAAGAGGAGTGTGAAGACGCTGCTGGTGCTCGTGAGGATAGTTGATGAAGCCACAGTGGTATATTGCAAACAGGCAGCCACGAAGTAGTTGGCGAGAAACCACAGAATACAGAATTCGCCGCTCAATTTGAAGATTTCATGCAAAGTGAGCGGATCCTCGGCCAGGTCCGCAGCAGAAGGGGTGTGCATGTGCTTAGCGTTGAGCACATCGGTCGTCTCCAAGGGCAGCTCGAGGAGCGCATCGGTACTGCGCAGGACTGGGCTATTGGAGGAATTGCGCCCGTCTCCATCTTCCTGCTTCAAAGGGGTGTACCGCCACTGTAGAGTGCTTCGTAGCTCATCTCTCAACCGCCTCAGATCTTCCGGATTCTGGTAGGCTTTTTTAATCAATATCGGTATGAGGGGGAGAATGAAGAAGGAAGTGTTGACATAGGTGACGAAATATGGCTTCGAGTAGGTATCGTCGGAGAAGATGGAGCTGGCGAGGAAGTTCGTGCTGGTCCAGCCAAATATGGTCACGCCCAACAGGAGCATGCCCACTGCTCTCCTCCACTTGCCCAGGTCCATGACACTCTTCGATGTTCTGACACTGCGCACGCTGCTCGCGACGTTTCCCATCCTGCTGCCATCATTTTCATAATCATATCGGTCTCCGTGTCCTTCGTGTTCCTCTGCGGCGAAAGCAGGCGGGCCGGAGGGATCATGCGCGGCGGGAATTGCGGACATCACAGCGCCGATTGGGGAGGTGATGCGCAGTCACCGGGACTCGGTCGGAGGTATATCAGGTTGCGCGAGGCTGCTGGCGCTGCCCATAGGAGTGCAGCTAGACGATAATGAGGAAGTCGAGGTTGAGGTATGTAGGAGGTAGTTGAGTTTGTACAAAGAAGACCCTGAACTTACCCTACTGTCACAGCCTCCCAGGAGACGCGATGGTCCATGCCAAGCCACGCTAAGCCGCCTGACAGACATACGGTACTGACAACAGCGGTGATATGATGCATCACACATTTAGCACGTTTTCGTTGTCATTACGTGGCTCGTCAACGGGCAATGAAACAACAACGCACTCGTACAAGGTATCTCGCCTGCTCGAAACGCCCATTACAAAAGTTCCCAATTTTGTTACACCTGTTCCCCCTGCTTAGGTACCTGAAAGACATTTTTTGCAGCCTCAACCTTCGTGACACCTGTTTACTGCCCTACAGCCTTCTTCGCCGCCTCAACCGTGACATTCGTAGCATTCTCGATGCTATGTTTGGCATCATTTGCGAGCTCTGCAGCCTGTGATTGAGCCTTGGCAAGCTCTGCGTCCCACCGCTTCGTCAAGCGAAGGACAATGTAGTACAATTGAACAACACCAACATGGACACCATCTTTGGCTGCCATTGTGATTCCATGCTGCAAGAAACCCTTGACAACTTCACCTTCCAGTCCACAGTACAGTCCCGCAATACCTTCCTTTCGGTAGATCTTCTGGAGAGCGACGAAGATTCGTGTCTGGCCTTCGAGAAGCTGCGCTACTTTTTGGATCGCTTGCTTGACTTGTGCCTTTCGATCAGCACTGTTCTTGGCGGAAACGTGATGTTCGGAGGCTTCGGTCTCAGTTGACGAGCCCCGAGTTGCCTGCGCTCGCGACTTGGCAAGCATGACCGGGTAAGTAAGTGAAGTGGCCACCACCTTGGATATGGCAGCGACCAAGAAAGTGACGCTGGCACTGTCGCGTTTGGCTTTTGGTACTAGGCCTTTCAACAGGTTGTCGACAGCGAAAGTGATGGCTGGGTTGAGCGTGAGGATGATCTGTGGACTGTAACCGGCCCAAAACCCAGCCACACCTTTCTCGTTCCGTATCTGTCGGGCGATTTCCTTTACGCTGACTTGATCGGCCTCTCCTGGCGTGGAAGAAGACTCCGGATCTCTAGCTGCTATCAGAGCCGCAGTCTGCTGTCTCACGACAATGTTCGAAATGGGCTGCGTGACGGCCTTTGAAAGTGCTCCAGCGATGATTCCCACACTCAACTCCTTCAGGACTGGCAATCGCTTTGCCCCCTCCCGTTTCAACATCTGATCTCGGACGGCATTGTACGCCAAGAAGAACAAGAAGGAATCTGCGATGGCTTTCACCACGTCTGAACCTAAGCCAGCATAGAATCCCTTCAAGCCTCCTTCATTCTTATAAATCTTGTTGGCTGCGTCCACAGGATTATGGTAGAAGACATTAGCGTCGCCGGCTGCGCTGGGAGCCTCTTTGTCGCCCTTGAGATGCTTCTGCACCTGCATTCGAGTGACTATCGTGTCAATCGGGTAAACAGCAGCCTTCGACAAGGCACTCGCAAGTCCTCCAGCTAAAGCATGACCCAAGGCCGGAAGCACCGGTCCAATGACGCCTCCAGCTTTCGCCGCATATTGCTCTTCGGTCGTGAGGTGGTAGAGGGTAAAGGCGTCCTCGGGGGAGAATTCAGCGTCATTCAAAAGAACAAATTGGTGATAGAACGAGCTCACAAGTTGAGAGTTGTACGTAAAGAAGCCGGCAGCCCTGTCTGACATCTTGAATTACACAACAACGAAGCAGCAAATCTTCTCGAGAAGCTATGATAGGCTCGCAGAAGACGCAACAGCGTTATCGTATCAGGATTTTCAGTTTGAGGCTGCCAGAACAACTTGAGTCGCAGATCTCTCTTTGACGATATGTTAATTCGTCGTGACGATGTGTCTCATGAAGAAGGGACTACCTGTATCTTCTCATCTCTCACGATGTCTGTCAGCTTTGCAATCCAGAACGAACCATGCCCGCCCCTCTCCTCCTCCAGCGACCCATGTCTATCCATCTGCATGCTCTTGCTGATTCCATTTCTCCGCAATCCGCATCGCCATTCATCATGTCACAACTCACTTCGATTCGTCCGCTTGACGCGTATCCTGGTGAGTTCCGGTCGACACCATAGGTTGGTTGGGACGTGCAAGACTCGAATAGTAAGCGGCTACCCTCCTTCTGTGAGGGGCAAGTGGTACGTAGAGAGGAGAATGGCTTGTCGATGCAAGGACATGGTACAGGTTTAAAGGTGAGATGGGCAGTCTCACGCGAACGGTGATGAGAAGGTGAACGCAGCGGCATTCCCGTCGTCATGATCACTTTCCCCAGACTAGGACTGCTGACCCTTGCCCAAAGCTTGTCCACCCCCAACTCCTCCTCGGCAGGCCCCGGTAAGGGCTCCGAATGGTCAACCCTGGGCGTGTCCACAGAATACAGTGTGGTTGGTACAACGTGTTCTATGCGGAGATGTCGGTGTAGAGAGGGACAGGTCACAGCTCGGACTGCCAACTCGGAGTCTTGTTGGACTCTGCCATTAATCTATTATCGAATTGGTCTAGTTCAGTCCGGCATCTGCTGATGGAAACGCCACAACAGGTAAACGCCAAGCCCATCCAGCCTTTTACCGGCCATGCGCGATATTTATGCTATTCATCATCAGGCACACAATCATTACGCAGAGGCCGTAGATGGCTAATGCAAGACTACACTTGCGCAGTAGTTCACTCTTCACTTGTCGTCCGTGACTCATTCCGCCCTCCTCGTCCTCCTCATCCTTCAGCAGCCGTTGGTGATGAGGCGACTCTGGTGCACTGATCTTGTAGTAGAAAAGTCCAGGCAAGATGAAGGAGATAGCTGTACTTCCAGTCGATCCAACATACGCGAGGACCTTGTCCAGGCTGCTGACCGTCATGGCCACGATGTATGACATGATGATGATGAATGTCGTCAAGATTGCAAAGCGCACTTCGCCCATCTCTGTCGGCGCTGGTCGTCCTACTGGCACCTTACCGCTCAGCAGTGAGTGGCGCGATGGAGATCCGCGAGACGATGCTACGGGCGTGAATTCCTGGTTCGATCGGTTGACCGGTCGCCATTTCAGCACTGCGTCCAGCGAGGCTCGGCATGGATGCACCTGAAGAGGATAGCTGAACATGACCAGCACCACAATTGCGGCACGGCCGATTGTGGAGGCCACATTGGGCACATATTGAGCGATGATGTTACCTATAACATTGTCGCCGAATGTGAGGTAGCCAGTGATGGCGACAAGCACGTAAATGGCTGCTGCAGTACCAATGCTGGCGGTGACTACTGTGGTTGTCCTTCTCGGGCTGGCGTCCTGGATCTCGTTCAAAATGGAAAACATCTGTAAATCATCAGCACTGAAGCCCACCCGAGCGCATTTATTGGCACCCACGTTTTGATGACACGTGTATGCAAACACAATCACGGGGAAGCTCGACAGGGTGGATCCGATCCCATGCCACTTCACCCAGTTCACTGGCCCCTTTTCATGTCCAGCATCATTCGCAATGAAATGGTATACCACCAAGACTACCAAATAAGATATCGAAACCAAGGCTACCATTGATGTATACTTCAGGCTGTCGAGCTTTCGGAGAAATGAAAGTGGTATCACAACCAGCCTGTCACATGCGTTAGCTCGGCGCAAATTGATGCCACTCTTATGTCGCTCCCACACTCACATGAAGGCAGTGACCCAGAACTTCCTGTCCACCAAGTACAGCTTATCGTCGACGTTTCCTGCGAACCCTCGTACAACTCCAGGCATGAGATCGCCAATTATGATAAGGTAGGAGACCCCCACGCCGAAGCACTTCAGCGTAATCGCAGCGTCAAATATCACGGCCGCCCCCGGATATGTGATCTGACTGAGAGCAAAGAACGAACTGCCTCCTCTATCCAGATATCTTGCGCATCTCGTCTGCAAGTATAATCCAAAACCGCTCGTGAGACCTGCCCATAGAATGACCATCGTGCCCAATGTGATTCCCATGTTGGATAGCGCATGAGGCATGGCGAGGACGCCTGCGCCCACGATTGTGTTTACGAGATTGATGACGGAAGACAGCCAAGATGCTGATCCACCTGCGCCGTTCTGTTTTGAATGTCGAGAGCTACGGCCAGAGCGCGAAGAGGTGCTTGCCGGTCTCGAGCCTCCATGCTCACTCGGCCCACTCGTGATCGCCGCGTAGGAGGCCATGGCTGCACTATGCTGCCGGTAGTGGCCGTGGGCGTCGTAGTCGTATCGTCGTCAGCAGCAGAGGGGCGGGTATGCTCTCTGCTTGTTGTTTCTGTGCGCCCAGTGGGAGAGGTTCCGGCTACCGCATGAGATAAGCAGAGAACAGAAGCGACACAAGCGCTTCCAGTGCGTTTGTGTATGCTGCGCGATCTCAGCTCTGCCCTATGGACTGAAAGACGGTGAATCGGTGATGTGTAAAAGTAGGAGGTTCAAGTAATGTCAAAGAGTTCACATAAGGGCGGAACTACGGAACCTTGATTCCAAGGCAGACACAAGCGCTTGGCAGTTCCCCTCCATCCTCGGTGGTCCGTCACCTTCCCTTTCACCTCATGCTGCCGATGCTGGCGCTCGAGCTGTGACAGGCGGCCGCGAGATTTCCGTATGGCTACCCCCAATGTGGACACATCAGCGGTGACGTTGGCCATGCTCGAAGACCGACTCCAGCGTCTGCAATATGCAATCAATGGCGATGATGTGCATCGCCCCGCCGCCGAGCAGTCCAACGACCTGCCACCGAAAGCATCGGCAGCGGCACGTCTACGAACACTCGAGCGGACCTTGAAGGCGTTGACGATCAGATCACACGCCGTGTCAGACATCCTACAGATACATCAGCAGTACCCAGAGCTGTTCCACCCCACTGACGAGAAGACTGTCCCACGTACACTCCATCCTGCTTCCCTCGCACACCTAATTCTCGCTCACGAGAACCTCTACAAGGCGACGTCCGCACAGCTTTCTACACTCCACGACAATAGTACGATACCAGACACAGCACCCCTCGTAAAACTAATCGGGCTAGAGCCGCGCATCGCGAGGGTGGAAGCGAAGCAGATTGAGCAAGCGCGAGAGTTCGCAGAGCTGAGACTTCGCAGCACGAGGCTCTTGGAGGACTGGTACAGAACGGGAGTCCTGGACATGGGGGAGAAGTGGGCGGATTGGGAGGAGAGGCTGAGGGACTGTGAGATTATGGTGCGCAGGAAGGAGGCTGCAAAGAAGAGAGAAGAGGGCATGCTATAAAAGGAACTTTCGACTGGACCTACGACGAAAACATTGCGAAGGAATCACCCGGCTAGATGTGACCGTCCTCGAAGTCGAAGCGAATGGATAGCCTGTCCATGGCACGATCGGCTCGATCACGAGCGCCTGCCTGCTCCCCAGTCATGAGAATCGCATCCCACAGCTCATACGCCTCCTTGTGCAACTCCGTGCGCTCCTTCACCTGTGCTGCTAGCACCTCCTTCATTCTTGCGACTTGGCTCTCCGCGATGGTCGCACGAGACTCGACGTGCAAGAGTCGTCGCTTCAGCTCGCGCATGGGTCTCCACTTACTGGTAGTAAGGAGACCTACCACTTCGGTCAACCGCGCGTTCTCCTGCTTCAGCTCAAGATGTTTGCTCTGGTGCTTGATGGCCGTTTCCCACAGTGCGTTCAGATCGTCCTCCATTTCGGCAATGACAATGTGCTTGCGGGAAAGATCCGACTCTGCCTTTTCTAGGTATGCCGCTAGCTGGTGATTGAGGGCTGTGAGATGCGCACTGTCTAGAACTTGTTGCCTGCATACACCCCGTCCTTTTGGCGTGGGACTAACTCCTCTATTGGACCGAGCAGTAGCTGGTCGATGGGTATCATACTTGATGGGTGACGAGGAGTATTGCAATTCCGGTGGCTCGCCGTTCCAGCCCGACTCCCCTTCGTCGGTCCACTCAGAGAATGACGCTGATGCTTGCTCCAAAGTCGGAGACAGCTGCATGTCGAGGTCGCGACTGGAGAGTCTTTGCTCTGCCGCCGCCTCGACGCGGAGCTTTTGTCGTGCTCTGGATGCTCGTGGACTGCATCTCACAATGAAGGCTCGAATCTGCTTGAAAGGCGTCATTGGTATAGAAGCAGTGCGATACCACACTGCAAGAGATCTCGCTGCTGAAGCCTTCCATCTTGTAGACGTGGTTGCCAGGCAACGTGTCTCACTGCTGTTGTTTGCGTATGTGATAGCAGCGCGACGAATAATGTAGGGCTCGCACTCTTTCGCTACTCTCAGACATACGATACAAATTTGGACGAGCGATCATAACGCATACAGGTCAAACGGATGCCCGCATACTGCGATATGGATCTTTGGCAAGGGTACGCGACAGCACGTGCGCGCGCCGTTTGCTCCTGTTCTGTTGACCATCAGAACGATGCTTTCTTCATCGCCGTCTCTGACTTGCTCGCGCTTTTGCCTGCTAATACGTACCGACGCCCGACGTTGGCGACCCCCACTCCACCTTCGATACACTCAACCCGATCAACATGTCTTCACAGACTGCCAACATCACCAACACACCACAGCAGATTGCTGATGCCGTTGCTGCTTCAAGAAACACAAGATCATTTGCCACTGGCCAAGTCACTATTGCGATCCTCGTCCACAATGAGGAGAATGAAGTTCTGGTCCACAACAACTTCGATGAGAATTTGAGGACCAATGGCTCGCTATCTTTGACCTTGGTCCACCTCCTATGCCACGAGATCGATCTCAAACCATTCGTCCCAGACCATGACGCGGAGACCTCTGTCAAGGCACTCGCTGAGGATGCCATCGTTTCCAGGCTTGGCATTGTCGACATCAAGAACATGACTGTACTTCACGTTTGCGGCCATGTCAATGCTGCAAGGGTTTTCATTTTCGTTGCTTGCAGTGTCGATTCTTCTGAGGTACCCAATGTACTGATGGGAGATCTTCGGTGGCTGCCAGAATCAGTGCTTCAGGATGTGGACCTCAAAGCTTCAGTCGTGTCACTTGGTGCTGACGGTGTTAGATACCTGTGGGAGGCGCGCGATAACTGGAAGCAGGAGATAACATCAATCGATACCCTGCCAGATCTTGTCTCCGATCTTCCAGCTGCAGCATCACACACGATGCAGGACGGAGGCAGTGTGGACGCCGAGCAGGATACTGGCTACCAACCTGACTCATTGAGCTCCACGGGCAGCGTTGAAGCAAATGAGACGAGCGACGTAGATGAAGACTTCACTTTGGAGGTTGAGGAAGTCGACGATGACCTTCCCGATCTTGTGTCGGGCGACAACTTCGTCTTTGGCAACGGGAATTTGCCAGAGAGCAATGCGGGAAAGCGGCAGCAGCAGCTCACTTACTACAGAGCCGCACAGCGACGTCCAGGCTTGCAGATGACGCTCAGTGCTGAAGACGCAGACTCAGATGGCGATGACGACACGGAAGATCTTGATCACCAGGAGAAGCGCAAGAAGTCCCCCAAGTCTGAGAAGGCTGCTCGACGCGTCTTCCAGCTTGACCCTGCCATGATTCGGGGCTCCCGCGTACCTCGCAAGCAGCAAATGAACCCTCCACTCATGGTCGACCCGAGCTACTTGCATCTAGGTCCACGTTTTGCTCGTCCTGCACAAAAGGTGGACGGTAGGCGATTTAGGACAAAAGTCAGCAGGACCAAGATCTCTATAGCGACCGACAGGGCCATCACCCAGAGCAAGGTCATGTGGGAAGAGCTGCGCGAGCTCTCCCCTGAAGTGAGGCTGATTTGATTGGGGAAGACAGCTGATCGGCTGCAGTGAGTTCGAGATGTCGAGTTGGGGTGTTTCGTTGAGCAAGCAAAATGCACTCATGGGACACGAGCAGAAGGAAGGCCTGGCAGCCGCAGAACACCTTTACCCAACTCAGTTGTGCCTCCAGACAGCGCAGTAGACATAGCCAGCCAGGTTTTGCGACCAGAATTCAACCCCTGACATTTATGTCCAGGCATATTAGCAGTGACGTGAAGTTGCTTGCCTCTCAACATCCCAAGAAGTGTTAGCTGTCGATTCGAGCAAGTCATGTTCTTAGCTCGAACTGGTGTGGCAAATACTGCAAACTGCATACAGCGAAGCGTGAAGCGAGAACATTCCTTGTATTCAAAGTCTCAACAGTAAGCGGCATATACCATACCTGCTATCACGAAAACCTGCACGTCAAGAGCACGCATGACATAGGGTTTGTACGTTCGCAAGGCAGGACTCGATTTCAGGTATGGCAAACAAGTCCCCACAATCAAGAATCTGTCGTGAACACAAGCTGCACATTTCAAGTCCATGCCTGACATACCTTCTGCGAAAGCCGCCTCCCCCCTCTTCTCTTCCTTGCCCTTCACAACAGCATTAAGAAAAAAACTCCGTTCCACCAAACCCTGTCTCCCACAGCACATAGTCAAAAACAAACAAACAACGAAAGTCATTTCCACAAATATTGCAATGTCCACCACCACCAAGCCCTCCAAAACCGCCCTTTTCAAACAAAAACTCCGCGAAAAAATCGCCCACCTCCGAAAAACCCCCCTCGTCACCCCAGAACAAAAACTCCTCATGAAACTCTCCAGTTTGAAAACTGAAGCCAAAGAACTCCATGATACCATTTCTCACCACCTCCTCACCCAATCCAACACCTTTTCCTCTCGCGCCGCTCACACACCCCTCCCTACCGTGCCTCCCCCTACCTCGCGCGACCCACTGTTTGAACGCCGCCCTGATGATGATGATGATGATGATGGACCACCGAGAAATAACTACGACGCGCAAATTCGCGCTCATGGAATTTTAATCGAAGAGTGGAGAAGCTTTGAAAAAGAGGACGTGGGGAAATGGGAAAAGAGGTTTGAGAGGTTTGAGAGGACGGTGGAGGGGTTGAAGGAGAGGGAGTTGGAGCCGGAGAAGGCGGTGGGAGAGGTGGAGCATGAGTTTATTGGATTGGATAATGCGGTGGAGAATTTGAGGGCGTTGAAGGGGGAGTTGGATCGGGTGAGGGAGGAGGTGGAGTTGGTTATTGGGGGTGGTGGTGCTGGTGGGAAGGAGGGAGGTGGGGGTAAATGAGGAGGGGGAGAGAAGGGAGATGGGTGCGTGAGATAGTATTTTGGCAATGGTACTGCTGGATAAAGAGCATAGGCCTTGCATTGGCTGTTTTTATCAAGTCTGGTATTTCCCTCGTACGGCGTCTTCAATTGTCACTTGCTGGCATCAGGTGTATCTTGCGTGGGAATGACCTGTAGCTTTGGTATTGTTTTCACTTACGTGTACCAGGGCATCTGCGCACATGATCTCCAAGAGACATCATGATGTACCAATGTCTCTGTTTTTGCACTGCATTTAGTCGCTCACCAGATGCAGTCTCAATTCGACGTTCCTCGTCAGTGGCCTTGGCACCACCATGAGACGTTGGCAGTTTCGACATAGTTGTTTCTTGGCACTGGCCATCCTCATATTTCCACCAACTTTCACGTCCCAGCACGGGTGGGTCCAATACTTATCGCATAACCAGCAAATCCCCTTTGGAATAATTCGAGTGATGTCCCAGCCCGTCACAGTCGATCTATGTTCTGGCCAGTTCCTAGCGTGGCTTCAGGTATCGTCCTTGCATCATTTCCTGCTTGAGGGCGTCCGCTTGATCTGGTAGCGGCGCTCGTCTTCGACTTCCTGCGCTGCCGCTTCCACCGTTGGCAGGCGAATCCGTTGACGGAGGCATACCTGGGAAACCATTAGGTGGAGGTGGCGGATAGCCAGTGGGAAAGCCTGGTGGCGGCACGAAACCGGGAGGCAACATTCCAGGCGGGGGTGGAGGAAGTTGTCCTGAACTCAAAGCCTTTTGGAAAGCAGCCATGTCCATACCAGGAGGCAAACTGCCAGGTGGTGGAGGAGGCAGAAACTGTAAGCCATTTCCCAGACCATGGATTGGCAAGTTAGAGGGTGCACCGCCAAATACACCATTTTCTGGCGATGGTGCCGGTATTGCAGATCCGAGTCCCGGGAGCCCGGGAAGTCCTGGGAGGGCTGATCTGCTGGGCATCTGCTGGTCTTCGAGTCCATCTGCTTCATCCTGCTCTTCGGCGTCTTCCTCTTCTCTCGCTTGACGCTCATTCCTCTTCCACGTTCCCTTCTCCTCTGCAGCACTTTGACCGATGTGCCACTTGTCATTGATGAAACTACCTTCTCCAGGTCTTGGACGTGTCCAGAACCGAGTAGCTCTGTCATTCGATCCCGAGGCTAAGATGTGGCCCATAGGATGCCAGTCCATGCTCCAAACATTGAACTCATGCGCGAATGCCACTTTATGCGACGGATATAGTGTCTGTGCAGGAGCATCTGCTGGATTGGGTGCATCGTACGGGGATGTTGTAATCTGGGTGCCGGGTGGCGGATTCTGCTCATCGAGCAAGTAATGAGACATGGCGCCATCGGCGGCTCCTGTGCTCAGCATAGATGAGTGAATAGGATGCCAGACGATGGAATTAATCTCTTTCTCATTGCCTTTGAGCAAGAAGACGTCTCGCATCATGTTGATGTCGAAGACTCTAACAGTCTGGTCACGAGCACAAGAGGCTAGCAGAGTGCCTCTGCTGGGCTCGAACTTGGTCATGTTGACTGTATTCTTATGACCATGCAGTGTGGTCAAACAACGACCAGAACGAGGATCCCATAGCTTAAGGTTGTGGTCTTTGGAGCCTGAAACCAGCAAACCCTTTGAAGGATGCCAGTCTACGGCTTTCACATCCCATTGATGACCATCCAGCTTTGAGATCTCCTCGCCTGTTGCGAAGTCGAAGATTTTCAGGAATGCATCATCAGACGCAGTGACAAACTTGGAGTCCTGTGGCGCAAACGCCATGTCCCGTACTGGCATGTCGTGAGCTTGGATTTCCTTGACATTGTTGAAATTCGGCTGCCAATACTTGACTAGACCTTCTTGGTCTGCGGAGATTAACCAATCATCGCTGTGTGAGTAGACAATGGATCGCACAGCAGCTTCGTGTGCCTGCATTATCGTCTCGAAATTGAACCCAGTGCCATTCCACAGGGTGAATTCACCGCTGGTAGCGCCCGTAAGTAGTCTACGACCGTCCGGGGTCCACTTTACCACATTCACTGGGTGCCTGTGCTTGTTGAAGGATGAATGTAGATGTTTCGCGGGTAAGGAGTCAACGGCTTTCGCTTTTCGCGCCGCTGGAGGAATCATGGATGCCGCATAGCTCAGGCTCGGCCTTTCGACTTCGAACCCCCTTACACTGCTATTCTTTGAGCGCCTGTCATGCATGTAATGCACATATGTGTTTCCAATATCCGTGGCGTTTCCTATGCAAGCAAGCGTCAGTCAAGAGAAAAGCCATAAGATCGATGATATCTTCACGTGACCCCATGCATATCATTGGAAGTGATGTGAGGTGGTGTGCGATGGGCTCTGCATTGCATAGGCTATGGACAGACGCGTGTACGCGCGTGGCAGAGAGACTCATCGCAGACAGTTACTCACGTCTGCTCGGCCGACCTCGAGGCCGAGGCTGATCCAAACCGCCATGATCAAAGTCACGATCCATGGCGGCGCCTTCGAGAAAGGCGACACGCCTCCGCCTGGAATGGGCTTCCTTTTCTTCTCACTACGACAATGGCGTCTTGTAGATCCTGGGCTCGTTCTGGGTTTGCGCCAAGTCGTTGATCAACAGTGCTGGGAGACGTTGATATGTGTCGGTACTCGATGGACAGCGGGATGTGTTGGTTGAGATGTGATGGATGCTGTCTGGTCTGCGCGTGGTGGTGCTGCGATGGGAGGCTCGGCCCGAGCCGCTACGACCCGAGAGCCAAGACATATAGATTTTCCGTCTACCTTCGACACGCAGCCACAATGATACACCGTCACAGTCACTACATGTACCTTAGACGACTACGGGTATTTCAAAATAGCGCAAACGCTTGAAATCTACTTTAAGAAGCTACCATTCGTCTTGGCCAATATCTCGTCGTAGTACGGCTGAAAGGCAAGCCAGCCTGAAGAGTACAGTTGCGAGATCAGTAGGTGTGTCGTCAACGTGGCAATGTGCGTGGGCATCGAAGTGAAGTACCTACCTTTCTCCGGAGTACCCACTTGCGTGTAGCTATCTCGCGCCTCTTCATCGTCAATGTAAGTCTTCCTGTGGCCGCTCCCCTGGGCTGCTGCGTCTACCAATAGTTGCGCATGGCAAGTTTTGTCAAGAGAGAGAAACCAGAATGCCGCGGCGTCGATTGTTTGTCCCACCTGTATTGATGGTCAGCATCTGAGAGCTCCATTGATTCATACGCTGACCTACTGTTATCAGGCCGTGGTTCTGTAGTATAATTGCTTTGCCGTCGCCTAGATGGGAAGCAATGCGTTTGCCTTCCTCACGATCAAGAACAACTCCCCCGAATTGTGGATATACGGCATGGTTTTTATAGAATCTCAAGCTATCCTGTGTTATCATATCAAGCTCTCGTCCAAATACCGAGAATGCTTTGCCATACTGTGACAATGGTGAGCTTGTAGCGTGATCTCATCAGTTCGAAGCTGACCTACCACGGAATGAGCATGGCACGCTGCATCAACGTCTGGCCTTGCTTTGTGGATCTCGGAGTGGATAGCAAATGCAGCAGCATTGATCGGCTCTTCACCGATGACTACTTCGCCGTCCTCATTCTACATTCCAACACTCGTCTGTCAGAAATCATTGATCTCGAGGTGCTTGCGCAGGGTACAGGCAAGCAGGCATAAGGTACCAGGTAGGCAAAGAGATCAGAGGCCGTCTTCTGGTCCTGCCTCCGCTCTCACGTACCACGAGAATGAGATCAGATACACATATCTGAGAGAAGTGCTTGGACAAAGGATTGAGCCCTGCGCCATATTAGCGCGGCGCTGTACCTTATTATCAGGTACGAGTATTGTTCTCACAGAAGTGGTCAGTCAAGATTGGATCTCGCACACTGATGTGGCCTGCAACTCCTTCATCGAAACCTCGTTCGGCGAAGACTCTGTATGCTGCCGCAAGGTGTTGCTTCCGGTATAATCGCTCTTCTTCCAACGAGTCAAATTTGGGATATGCTCTCACTTTCAAGGCTCTTCCAGATTTGCTCTTGCCCAGAGCCCCAACTGCGGCATTACCATCCTTTACAGCACTCATAGTGGTTGCAACAGGGGCCATGATGGAAGCCTAGGATCAGTCAAGCTTTTTTTTTCTATCGGCGTCGAAGGCATGGATCTCGACAAAGGATTCAGCAGCCATACTATGCCCGGTTGCCGGTGAAGTTGATGGCAAACCTGCCCCGCACAAGCGCAAGCGGGGAAGCTCACTCCAAACCATCACTACCTTCAGGACAATACCTTACCTTATGCCTCCGGCAGTAGTTGCCTCAGCTCGAATACACGTCGAACAAAACCACCTGATACGCGCACCAGGGCGAGAACAACCGATGCAACACCGTTTTTTTTTTTCCTTCTTTTTTTTTCTCGCCAGCTCAAGAATAGCTGAAACTATGCTGTGCGCAGGAACGCAGCAGCCAGAGATACATGTACGTTTGGGACGCGGGAGCAGACGAGGACGGCTCGAGTCATGAACAAGACGGTTCCTGCAAGCCCACAGGTCTGGGATGGCTACAATGGTCAACAACTTGGTATGGCACTACGCCAAGACGAGATCTCAAGACCTCTTACCTAGGAGCTACAAGACGTGCCGATGAGTCGGGAGTGTTCTTGTTCCTCGGAAATCGGGGATCGTGGTCTGAAAGATCTACCTTCTACCTTCTAGCGTGGCCCAGCAGCGACGTATGAAATCATGTCTCGGCATTATTTCTACCATGGTCTCAGTGAGACCTTCTCCAGCCCGGAAAATCCGTCATTGTGGTTCGCGCCATCTGCAAAAAGAGGAAGGACTGCGCGCGCCCGCTCCGCGCAAGGTCACTATGGCAGAATGTACCTCTATGGTCGAGGCCAGGACAGACGAGTGCTGCGCGCGTGACGCGGTATCAGCGTATATTGCACTAATCCATAAGGTGAGAAGGTCTTCCTTGTGCCATATGCAGCGCCACATAACTCGCGCTGTACACCGCATCTGCCTCCGGAGCAAGAAGAAGAAGAAGATTGAAGAAGAAGGGCTGGAGAGAAAGTATAATGATATCCCACCAGCCAGCGAACAAGGGAAAAAAGAATACCTCCTAAGTAACCAATTGCGAACTTGATCGGCGATAGAACTACATGTACCCGGACAAACACGTGAGAACCTACCTACCTGACTGTATAATATCATCGCTACGGCAATAAGGACGCATGTACATGCGCACTATCAGCAGCCATTTTCCGGCCTCTCAACAACTCATTATGCTTCCAAGCATAGGTACATGGAGAACAGCCCGTATACCGGATGTGGAAGCGGCAGCGTATGTATTGCCATGTTCGATATCACACTTGACACCAAAGCAGGCCAGGAGGTACACTAGGAGCCGAGTAGGAGGAGCCTAGGAGGTACCTTGCCGAAGCGAGCGGACCGGCTTAAGTTTTTCGCCGTTGACGCAACCGTTTTCTTCTTGGCGTTTTTCTTGTGCCGACGCCGGTCGCCGCCTCCCTTTTTTCGCGTCCACTTCCACTCTGCAGAGTGTGCAGAGAGTGAGACTACCAGGCTACATACCTAGTACCTCCTACTCCACTACCTCCGTTCATACCGGACCCAGAGTTGCGCGAACACATTCGTACCCGCCCTGCCGTTTAGGTAGAGGCCGGCGGCGACTGTCAACCAGAGGAGTGAAGCAGACCAGACGACAGTAGGAGGTACGTACTATCATCATGATTATTATTACAGGACAGGGCGACGGATCTCCATCGTATCGCCCTAGAGGCCATCACAAGTCAGTTGTTCGCATGCAATTCGTCTCGTCGGCGAGCAGTGCTGTGAGTGGCTGCAGGACCGTCGCGGCATAGCTGGGATCGTATGCATCGACAACTGGGCAGAGCAGTCAGAAGTTGGCTCGTTAGCTGTTCCGGCCGAGAGAAGTCCCACTTCGTACTCGGTGTTACATGCAACATGGACGAGCTTGTTATAGGCCATGACATGATTAAGACCTCGCCGTCGGGGATTCGGTGGGGGGACGGGCGTGAAACATATGCATACAGCGTACAGAGGACACCATGTGTACGTGGCTCCGAGCAGAGCAGCAGACATGCAGGATGAGGGCAGAGGGCTTTTCGGTTGGGAGCGATCTAAGACAATAACCGTTCCCAAACGAGATCTAGTTCGAAAGGTTCTAACTGTTCTAGACGGGCAGAACCAGAAATGGATGTTTTGGTGGCGTCCACGGTCCGGCATCTCATATTGTGCATCTCTGTGCAGGATCCAGCCACAGCCCGACATGGTTAGTCTGCCATCCGAACCGCCAACGTTCATCGACTCTCTCTTTCTATCTACAGTACAACGCGCAGCGTTTGATCGACCGCACGCCAACTTCACCGCCGGACACGTCAAAGGCGGGAAATAGCTCGAGGCGTGTCTGGGATCATACCTGAAACTCGCACGCTGCCTGAGACCGCAACTGGTGGAATCAAGCCACGGCGGCGCTGCTGGACTGCGCCTCTCTCATTCACTCATTCACTCACTCAATCTCTGTCCCTCGTGTCTGGGCGCTTCTGCAGGTCGGTCACTAGCTTAGACTCACGCCTCCCACATGGCGGCATCAACTCTCCCGGAACAGTTTGACTTTCGAGCTTCATGTCCTTGCCGACACTACTGCTGCACGGTCATTGCTATGCTTCCCAGCTACATGTATCTGGACGCCGAATGAGGTTCGACCGAGCCAAGCCGTTGCTGCTGTACTGTAATCGCGTACCGGACTACTCGGAGGTATTTGTCGTCTGAGTGAGACAAGTAGCTACCTCTTCCACCACCTCGTCATTATTACTTGACCTCTCTCTATTGTAACCTGCCCTCCCTCTGACCGACCCTTTTCCGCCTGCTGCTCCACGTCCACCTGACAGCCCATTCATAATAACACCACATTGAGACCAAATCAACTGCATCCAGGTTGCTGCTTGCCATCATGGGACTCTTCTCCCGAAAGACCAAGGCGAAGCCCGTCCAGAACGAAGTGAAGGCCGAAGAAAAGAAGGAGATAGAGATACCCCCATTGCCGTACAAGCATATCTCGAAGCATGCAGCTGCGGATTCCGCCGCGCAAGGCAGCCGAAGTGACAGCTACGAGGATCGCACCCAAATCGCTCTAGCGAATCGACAACGAATGGCCAACTCGCCCTACGACACCTCTCTCAGCAATGCCTCGTTCGTCCAGGACATTGCACACAACATGGCTCGCGGATCACGATCCCGACCGGCCTCACCAACAGCCGAACGCTTCGGCGTGAGCAGATCATACAGTGACGATGCTCACTACCACAACCTCCATCGAAACTCGACAGGGCCTTCGCACAAGAGCAGAGCGGGCGCTCAAGCACCAAAGCTGCAGCGAAGCAGCACCGATTACTTTGCGAGGTCGCCGCACACACATGGAAAGCAGCCCGCCGAGGCTGGGTACTACTCCTACTCCTCGGACTCTGGTTATGAATCTGCCGAGCCCGCATCCGCCATGCACTCACGTGCTCCCAGTGAGCACAACGACTTCTCGAAGGGCCACGCCGCGTACAGTAATCTGCTCCCGGAGCTGGCACTGAACGGAGAGCACTCGCCAGTGGACCTCAATTCGGATGCCCGATCCATTCGATCCACGAGATCTGTCAGCAAACGAACCAGATTTGAAGACAGCGTGGATCCTATGCCCGCCTTGGACCAACTTCAGCAGTATCGCCAGGATTCCGACTCGTCACTAGGGCTGACATCTCACCACGAAGGAAGCAGTCCTCCTCTTTCAATCCTGGAGGGGTTCAAGGTGAACAAGAAAGGGAAAATCTTGAATGAAGAAGGCGAACCTATTGGAGAGCTCGTCGAAGGTGACTTGCTGGACTGTGTACGCCAAAAGGTGAACGCCAACGGCGAGGTCCTGGACGAGTACAGTCGCATCGTCGGTCATGCACGAACCATCGCAACACCCACCACAACGCAGCAGAACGTGTTGCCAGCGACTGAGACAGGCACACCAATTGCCCAGGCGTCACCAGTACTCACTCGGCCACAGTCGGTCCAGCAGCCCGTAGAAGTGACCAAGTCCGTCGAGGAGCCAGTTCAGTCTGAGCCAGTGGCTGCGGCTGTCCCAGCGCAAGAGGTGCAACGCTCTGACTCTGCGGGCGAAACCTGGTTGCCTGCAGTAACCCACCAAGTGATGCCACAGTCGAATGCGGTGCCAGTCTTGTCCTTGCCCACGCCCGAACCCGCACGAGTCGCCCGGTCCGCCAGCGAAAGAAGCCTTTCCGAGCTCTCCAAGTCCTATGTTCGGCCTGCGATGCGGTCCGTGCCCGAGAATAAAGTCCCCATCGACGACGCGTTTCCCGCGAGTCCCAGTTCATACTCATACAAGGGCGAAATACCTGCGACCGATGGCCCCTCTGCGGCCGGGAAGTTATTACTCGGACCCAGTAGCTATGCCAAACTCGCCCTCGTGGGCGGCCATTCGGCCAGCACATTATTCCCTCCTACTCGTCCTGTGGGAATCAGCAGTCGACGTTCCACTTCCCACATAGGCACCTCTTCATCTGCAAACCGCCTTCCACTGCAATCTGCCATGAAGAAGCGTTCACAATACGATTACAGTAAGTTTCTACCCTCCACACACACACCTTCCGTCAGTCAGTGCCTTGCATGCTAACCCTTTTTTCTTCTTCTTCTCTAGCCTTTGACTTCACTCCCAGCGACTCCGGCAGCGAAGCTCCCTCTTCCGACGACGGCCGCATGCTCACCCTGGGCGGCCATTCGCGCAGTGCCTCCATGCACACCACCGGCAGTATGTCCAGGCCACGAACATATTTCACTCACGCTGGCAAAGTCACTATTGACCCCGATGATCTTGCACCATCCAAGGGAAAGCAATCTGCAACTGCTGCTGCTGCTGCTGCCGCTGCTGCTGCTCCTCCTCCTCCTCCTCCGGTCCCGGCTGTTCCCACTGCAGAGTCATTGGATGAGAAGAAGAAGGGTAATCGAAAGAGTTTCCTATCGAGAAGGAAGAGCAAGACTGCTGCTGCGGCTTAGAGAGAATCACACACGCACCGTCTTTTCATTTATACACGTCCCCACATCCCCCCTCTCCTTTGTTATGTGTGTATAGTCTTTTTTTTTCTCCCTCTTTGATGATGATGATGATAGCGTTCGAAGCGATCGATGTGCAGCAAGCAAGCAACAATTTCTTGGGAGGAAAGCGAGAGAGAGAGAGAGAGAGAGAGAGAGAGAGAGAGAGAGAGAGAGAGAGAGACGCCTACCTACTGTGATGTATTAGGACTATACCTACCTAACCTACCTAGGCAGGTACCTACAAGTATTTTTTATTGATATATCATATTATACTATACTATCATACTATACCATACCATACCATGCCGCAGAGCGCCGAAAGACAGAAAAAAAAAACAAATAGAAAAGATAGAGGAATTTATAAACGTCGGGAGCCCTACCTTGCTAAGACATTGCTACCTAAGGCAAAGATAGCGCATACAGGTACCTTACTATATGTAATTCAGCTATCTCTTTATATACCTACCTACCCAAGTCTCTTACGTATACAGGCTAACTGCTCTCGGTAGCGTCAAGGCCTAGTTATTGCGTACAGGTACCGTCTGTATATACCTAGACGGCGAGGTCGAGGATACTGTTCAGAACTAGGGTACGCCGTTACGATCGAGAATTGAAGAAACAAAAAGAAAAGAAAAAGAAAACTAAAAAGAAGAAAAAAAGAAGAAAAAAAAGTTCAAATTGTGCTCTGATATCGGCAACAACTTTTTGCATAGCATTCCAGCTGGATTGGAGTATAAGGTAGCTAAGGTACCTATGTAGGTATTCGCGTGGGCGCTGCCACTAGTCGATGGAATGAATTATGAAGGCTGATGCTCTGGCGGCATACCTCCCTCTTCTACTCTCATGGAGCTCTTCGCAGCTTGCTTCAATACAGCCTCCTTACTCAAACCCGTCTCCTCCACAGTGGTACGAGGATTACCAAATCGGACTTTGCCCTCTGTGACAGTCATGTCATCCAATTTCCCCAGCCTCTGCAACTCCCTCATGATATACGCCGTCACAATTCCCAAGTCCTTGAGATCGACATTCGGATCCGCCTTGAACACATTTCTCCACACCGCAGTGCCCATGACCGCATCGCCTTTGATCAAACCCTCATCATACGCCAACTGCACACCTCTCCACTGTGTCCACAAATCCTTGAGATTCTTATTCCGTACTCCGCGCGCAGACATGCCATGCCACGTCGCCATGCGATCTTCCGCAGCATAGAAGAAATGATCGAGAAGGTTCTGATGCCAATCTTTGACATATTTTTCGGGAAAACATCGCAGTCGGACGGTCAGCAGCCACATGTGGAGATAGAGCACTTGTGCCCAGCTGTTGAACGTGACTTCGAGCCCTAGCCCGCCTTTGCTTTTGGGTTCGAGCCACCAACCCACGCCGGCGCCGAGATGGTCTCCTGCTGCGTTTTGTGGAGGCGTGCCAGGCGGGGTTTCGAGGGCGGAAGGGATGGTGTAGCTGCATTGTTTGGAGCATTCGAGGAATAGGTCTTCGGTGGAGCCATAGGCAATGTACGGTTCTGTTGTGCTGCGGAGGGCCGAGTTGGAGCGCAAGGTAGCGGCGAAGTTGGTGATGGGCGAGCTATCGGTGGAGGGGGTGTGCGCGTCCCAGTCTTTGGGCGGAGGCGGTTGCAGAGGTTGTTGGGCATAGGGGTTCTTCTTCGGGTCGGAAGCATATTTGGTGGATGATGTAGTGAACGCAGCGATTCGTCGTGTCGAGAGCTGCTTGGGCAGCCCTTGATGACGGAGAGTCCGCAGACACGACGTGCAGATGTTCTTACTGGCCATGGCGGTGAGGTCGTTGAGGAGGAGGAGGAGGAGGAGGAGGAGGAGGAGGAGGAGGAGGAAGGGGTGGTGGTAGTGGTGGTGTTGGTGGTGGTGGAAGACACAGGAGTCCTGAAAGAACAGACTTCCAGTTTCTGTCGCTCTATGATGCTATGAGCTCCCAAATATCATCTTCGATCGGCGCCAGGGATTCTCGCATTCGGTCGCAATGCTTTTGGCCGCGGGGGTGAGCCCAGCACATCATGTCTCTTGTCCCTTGTTCTCCGCCGTCCATCCGTGATATTTCTGTTCTGTTTGTCTCCTCAGTCTGTTCCCTTTTCCACGCTGCTGTGGTCACGAGCAGTGCATGAAAATCCCAGATCCAAGTAGACATGGAAAAATTGCATGATGGCATCGCCTGTACCTATCTCCTTCACCTACACCCACTGCGACGCCGACAAGTACAATAATCTACCAATTATGCCACTCTTGGATCGATACGCATCGCAATCATGCTGGCGAAATTCCATCAAGCGAGCATGGCATGTACGACTTTTCAACGATCAAGTGCCTTTTGGCTTTGCAGAGAACTTTTTGCCTTACCAGACCTGGTGTATGAATGACTGCAACTATCCGCCTTCCCAAGTGCACCCGCCATCCAGCATCCATGGCACGTCAGCAGTAGATCACAAATGGCATTCCGAGTCTGTCATGGCCTGATATTGCTTGGAAGATTGCAAGATCGGGCCAATACTAAGGAATCCCGGTGGAGACCACTGCGTATTGTACGTTCTTTGCGAACACTCCTGACAGTTCACCAGAGCTAGAGTATGGGTCACACCTCACGAGATGACTATGACGCGCCTCTTCAAGTACTTGTATGGTTAAGGTATGTAGGACCAGGATTCGATCCCCTCGTGATATTCGACAGGAAACTCCACTGCTGATTGCAAGAAATGCTATTGGGCTTTTTTCTCCACGTCTACCATAATTTCGTCGCCAAGGTATGCGATATCTGGTCCTGGAATCACGACCACTGGCTCTGCCTGATTATGCTTCTGCGCACCAGCTTCCCTACTCTACTCTACTCTTCTCTTCTCTTCTCTTCTCTACTCTTCTCTTTCCTTTTGCTTCTGCTATGCTATCTATCCCCAAACTTCTGCAACGAGCCGTCAGTAACATGGGAGATTGCAAACTTCCCAACGCCGACAACGAAGCAAATATTATTGCGCCACGTGGTAGAAGCGCATTGGGCTATCCGCCGTCTGCTGTACGCAGACATATTATGCGGATCTCAAGTTTACTCTCAAACTCACCAGGCGGCATCAAAAAACCCACTTCACCAGTTCTGCAACGCGTCATCCACACACCAACTCCACCCAAGATTAAAAGGGCTGCAGAAGCATTGCTCAGCAATTTTGAAAGGCAAGCAAGCTCTCTCAGTTTCGACGACCTGGCCACGCAAGGTTCGGCGGAATATAAACTGCACCTCACCCCATCATCTTTGGAACCAGCATGGCATTTGCCCAGTCTCAGAAGCGAATTCCGGAATGCGCACAGCGCTCACGATGTTTATCGCAGCCTGCGGGATCATGGACAAGACATGACAACTTTGAGCATCCTCGATGGCGACTTCCGGATCGAATGCTCCCATCCACGCCGCGCGCTTGAAGAGACCTCTAGCCACTTCAAGCAGCTATTCCACATCTGCGATCCCGCCGGCGTGATTGTCCTTCAACGGCAATTCACCTTACGAGCCTTTCAAGACTATACTGCATGGCTTTATGCAGGCAAGATCATACCACATCCACACATGGGCAAGATGTACGCCATCGAAGCTGCAGCAGCGAGACTCGTCGAGGCGCTCCATTTGGGCATGCTGCTCGATTCCCGTCAATACGTCCTCCGAGCCATGTACGAGTTCTGGGAGCTTGGGTGGTATCTCGAAAAGCCGGAAAAGTTCATTGATGATATCTTCTGGGCGGCGGGCGACGTTACTTTGCACGATGGCACGACGGTGCCTCATGGTGCAAAGTGGCTGATTGTGTCTATTGTCGCAGCACACACCGAAGCGACGGGAAGGAGGAAGTTGTTTTATGGCTTGATTCCGGGGCTGGAATTCATCAGAATGTTCGGATTGTGGCACGCCGAGAAGGGCGGCAAGACCGGACCTCTGTGGGGCTGCGAGTATCCGAAATCCCTGGAGGAGGCGTGTGCCGGTGTCTAAAGCGACAGTGGTGAGCCTGAGGCCACATATCAAACACGGAGATATCCCGGCCCGGGACGAAGACTCCGATGGCGGCGCCTTGGCGTTCATCACGACGAATTCGACGCGCGGTGTCGCTCTCGGCGCGTCTTCCCATGTACAACATCCATCCAACCACGCCAGATCATGTCCCTCAGGTGTATAGGTAGGTATGCATGACACCCCCAAAACCATCATGCCCTGACCAACAGACAGAGACCGGACGTGATTTTGCTTCCTGGGCTAGGTATGCTAATCAGAAGACAGTTGACATCACTATACACCGCTCGCGCTATGACTACTTAAGAGACGGCAGCATGCAGATACGGCGCTGAGATCACATCCACCGCCGCCTTCAGCCGCTTCACGATCTCCTCCAACTCGATCTCTGTCACGATGAAAGGGGGACAGATGACGACCGAATCCACCTTCCATGTGCCGGGGAAGCCCATATTGGCCAGGACTTGGAGTCCTTGGCCCTCCAATGCCTCGCGAACGACTCTTTGAGAAAAGTCATCGTCCATCGGAAACGGCTCACGGAGCTCAGGATGACGCATAAATTCCACTGCCCAGAACAGGCCTCGTCCACGGATGTCGCCCACTAGCGGATGAGGGCCGAGAGTCTTTCTCAGCAGCCGTTCAAGAATGAGCCCCATATTCCGCACATTGGCAACGAGGTCGTCTCGACGTATGATACGCTGCACTGCAAGCGCAGCTGCACAGGCAGTGGGATGTGCCTGCATGTAAATCAGTACAATCAATGCCGTACATGACTGCTAAAAATCTCACCTGAAACGTGTGACCTCCAGCTAACCCGTTACTGGCGGAAACGACCGTTTGGAAGACCTGCTGATGAACGAGCACTGCTGCAAGAGGAATGAAGCCGCCTCCCAAGGACTTGCCAATCATTTGTAAATCCGGACCTCGAATGCCCTCTTGTTGCCAAGCGTGCATCGTGCCCGTTCTTCCCATGCCGCACATGACCTGCACATCACGTTCAGTTTCGCAAGGTAAGTAGGTAGTAGTGTTTTGTAGCAACATGCTTACCTCGTCAAGGACCAAGAGCGCGCCATACTTGTCGCATATGGCTCTCACAGCTTGGAAATACCCTTTCACAGCCGGAACGCATGCCAAAGTGGAGCCTGCCACCGTCTCTGCAACGAAGGCTGCAACGTTGTTGGGGCCGAGGAGCTGGAACTGTTCTTCCAGCTGATCTACCAACCGCTGTAGATACATGGCCTCTGTCTCGCCATCACGCTTGCCACGGTAGAAACAACAAGCGTCTACAAACGAAACATTCTTCGACATCCAGGGCTCGCACAACTTTCTGCGACTCTCGTGACCTGTAATGCTGAGAGCACCCAAGGTATTCCCATGATAACTCTGTTTCCGCGCAATGAACTTCACTCGCTGCGGTTCCCCTTTGCAATGCCAATACTGCGCAACTGTCTTCAGCATCGTATCCGTCGCTTCACTCCCCGAGCCCAGAAAAATCGCTTTGGACAGCCCTCCCGGCTCATCTTGAAGGATTTCCGCCGCGAGCTGCTCGGTAGTCTCTTCAGAGTACGGTCCTGCGGAGAACAGGTAGCCGACTTTTTGCAATTGTGCTCCCACGGCGTCGGCGACTTCTGGAATATTGTGGCCGAGACATGCGACTGCAGGGCCTCCCGTGGCATCGATAATGGTTCGGCCATCTTCGAGATGCAATTTCAGACCAGAAGCTGAAGTTACTCGATGGGGCTTCTTTGCAAAAGATCGATGGAAAATATGAGAAGTCTGGAAGAAGTTTTCAGGGTCCATTGTTGGCGGCGCGCAAGCATGTAGTATGCAGGTATGTAGTAGTAGATATGTAGTAGTACCTCCCAGTAGCTCTACCCAAGGTATGTAAGGTAGGTCCAGATCCGGTCATATAAGAAGAACGCACACGCTGACGCCGTTCTCGGACCTACCTTACCAGTCTAGCACACTGTTCCAGTCGCAGTCTTTTTTTTTCTCTCTCTCACTGAGATTCACTCTACAACGATCTTGGCTCGACTTTGCGGCTAAAAAGAGGGTCGGTAAAGAGGATCGGTTGACCCTTGCTCGCCCGTCGGCCGCGGCGTAGCCCATCCTCTGTCCACCCATCATCCATGAGTGTAAGGGTGCGGGGGGAAGAAGATCTGAACTCAAAGTAAAATGTTCTGCGTGGCCGAAGCCGTCGGGGTGTTGCATTTAGGCGGGCGGCACTTTGTGTGTGAAATTCTGAACAACGTTCGCCGACGGTGACAAAGTCTCAAGTCAGGGTGGTGGTGGTGGTGTTGGTGCAAAGATAGGGCACTCAAAATTGTACCTATCGAGATGGCATACCCTGCGGGCACTCTTACAGCTGATGAGATCTCATCCTCAATGTCTTTCTCCCTTTGAGAACAGTTAGTAGTACTGTAGTTGCACCTCCCACACCCCCCTGCCTGCCTGCCTGCCTGGCTCATCCACCCACCACGACCTCCTTAATACCACCTCTGGCACCTCAATGGCAAAGAATCAGAACGGCGCGACCGACAACAAGACTTTTCCTCGAGTCTCGTTCAAAGATGAAGGAGCTACAGTTATCGAACCAGTGGAAGTGCTGCCCGCTAATGGCAGTTCCATCGAAATCCTTCACGAAGACCAAGATCAAACTAAACGGAAATTGAAGCCGAGACATATTCAACTTATTGGAATTGCGGGGACGATTGGTACGGCGTAAGTAAAGTACATAATTAAGTGTGCGGTTCTGTTCTCTTTTGTCATTCTGGCAAGAATTCCTTTTTTTTTTGTTTTCGATGGCATTTAACTAACGACCTTTTTTTTCTTTCTTCTAGATTATTCGTCAATATTGGCAAAGGTCTGATTAGTGGTGGACCGGCTTCATTGTTTATCGCGTATACTCTTTGGTAAGTATTTATTTCTTCTTCTTCCCTCTCCAATTCCATCCCCATTTCCATTTCCATTGAAGGCCAAGAATATTGCAACGCTGATGAGCTCCCTTGGGACTTCTAGGTGTCCAGTGGTCTACACGATTGCATTGTGCATGTCAGAAATGGCGACTTTTCTTCCCATCTCATCTCCGTTTGTGCGATTTGCCGGTCGGTTCGTCGATCCTGCGTTTGGAGTTGCGGCCGGTTATAATTTTTTCTTGTTTCAGGCGTCACTTTGTAAGTTTTTTGATCGAGAAAAAGAGAAAAAGGAAAGGAAAAGGAAAGAAAAATCAGCTGACAAAAGAGCAACATCAAGTGCCTTTTGAGATTACCGTGTGTAATCTGGTAATTCGCTACTGGACGACAGCAATTCCAACATGGGCCGTCTGTCTCATCTTTTTAGCATTGTACGCTGCACTCAACTACATCCGAGTATCTGGATATGGCGAAGCGGAATTCTGGATGTCAATTGGCAAAGTCATACTGATCGTGGGCCTCATCTTATACACCTTCATCGTCATGGTGGGTGGAAACCCCAAACACGACGCCTTTGGCTTTCGATATTGGAAGAATCCGGGAGCTTTCACCACCAAGTATCGCGAAGGAGATATGGGTCGATTTCTCGGATTTCTTTATTGTTTGTTTCAAGCCGCTTTTGTGGTTGCGGGACCCGAGTATGTCTCCATGACTGCTGGCGAGGTGAGAAATCAACCATGTGCAAACTGAATGAAAAGGGTCTTGTCTCGGAAGAATGCTAAGTAAAGCCAATCTTTTGTGGTTTTTCTCTTCTGGTTTGCAGGCCGAGAATCCACGAGCAGTTCTTCCCAAAGCGTATCGTTCCATCTTTTGGCGATTGACGATTTTCTTCGTACTCGGAAGTCTCTCGGTCGGCATCAACGTGCCGTACAATGACCCGAAGCTCATCGAAGCGTATTCCAATGGCAAGGCTGGGGCTGCTGCGTCGCCCTTTGTTCGATCGATGGAGATTTTGAATATTCCGATTTTGCCGCATATTGTTAATGCATTAATCCTGACTTCGGCATTCAGCGCGGGAAACAGGTACGTGTGATGATGATGATGATGATGAATGGATGGATGGGTGGATGGACGGGACAGCATGATAGAAACCCGGGCACATGGCTAATCCAAACAGCACCACCTACTGTGCTACTCGTTCTCTGTACGGTCTCGCGTTAGAAGGCAAAGCACCAAGTCTCCTGAAACGATGCAGTCGATCAGGAGTGCCCTATGTCTGCGTCACCATTGTCCTGTGTTTTGGCGGTCTAGCATTCCTCCAAGTCTCGCACTCGGCCGCAGTGGTATTGACGTGGTTCACGAACCTGGTCACGGCGTCTCAACTCATCAACTTCGCCGTCATCGCCTTCACTTATATCAAATTCAAGAAAGCCTGTGAAGCGCAAGGATTGCTTCGAGATTCTCTACCGCACAAGGCACCCTTTCAGCCATTTGCCGCCTGGATTGGTTTGATCGCTTGCTCCGTCGTCACGCTTGCTGCGGGCTATAGCATTTTCATCGACGACAACTTCAATGTTCCCGATTTTCTCTTCCAGTATATGATGGTCGGGGTGTTTCCCCTGATATTCGGATGCTGGAAGGTCTGGAAAGGCACCAAATGGCTGGCACCGCACGAAGTCGATCTCACGTCTGGTGTGTGGGAGATTGAGGAGTATACTGCCCATTTCCGACCCGATCTCACCGGCAGTAGAGCGGGCAGACTTCTCGACAAGATTTTTAGCTGAGTGGTTTACAATCCTCCTTCATTCACAGCGGATTCATGGTGGACGAGATAATATTGATTGACACGAGCATAATAGAACTATTGTAAATACCTCTCCCTCTGTACAAGAAAAAATTGCCTCGGCAACTCCGAGCACAACGCTGCCAAGCCCAGATCATCGACCTTGACTAGGTTCTTCTGACAGAGCAGGTCTACATCAATAAGATATCAATTTTATCTCTCTACCGTCATCGATTATTCACTTATTCCATGGCGGATCAAGTTGATCCACCAGGCGAGATTATGGCGCCCAAGATTCGACCTGGCGATATTGGCTCCAGCATCAAGAGAGAGTTTGTGGAAGTTGACGGCTGGAAATGGTGTAAGCTAGCTCAGGTACATCCTCTTTTGATTACCTATGTTTGCTAACTACCCGTAATACTGCTACAAGCATATCTCGATGCCCCCGCCAAAGGTCAACAAAAGGCCGTCGCAGTACTGATTCACGGATTTCCCGATCAATCTCTCGCATGGCGATACCAGTTTCCGCTGTTGACTTCTCTGGGCATTAGAACCATTGCTCTAGACTGCATGGGTTATGGCGAGACGGGAGCTTCTACCGACTTGAAAAAGTATGGCTTCAAAGCTCACGCCGACACCGTCGCTGCCATTGCGAAGAAAATTGGCACGCATCAGATCATTATTGGAGGTCACGATTGGTATGCTTGTTCGCTCGGCTGCAAACTGACAGACGATGGGCGGAGCTGATATGAATTGATCCATTTCAGGGGTGGAGCAGTAGTCTATCGCGTGGCGCAGTGGTATCCTCAACTCGTCTCGCACATTTTCAGCGTCTGCACATCCTATGCTCCGCCCACAAAGGACTTCATCAGCACCAAAACTCTCAGCGAGACGACTCTTCCGCAATTCGGCTATCAACTCCAGCTCGGCTCCGAGGATGGTCAGATCGAACACGTCGTCCATGATGAGCGATCGATTCGACAATTCCTCCGGGGAATGTATGGAGGCAAACCGACGCGCGGCAGAAAATTTATGACGCCCGAGAAAGGGATCGAGTTGGATATATTGATTGGGAACGAGAAAGACGCCATTGCCGCCTCGCCTCTCTTCAATGAGGAAGAATTCGAGTATTACGTGCAACAGTTTCAGAAGAATGGGATTCGCGGTCCGTGCAATTGGTATCGGACTCGCAGGATCAATTATGAGGATGATTTGCGGCTGCCGCAGGAGACGAGGAAGTGTATTACGCAGCCCACGTTGTATATTCTTGCTACGAGAGATAGTATTTTGACGAGGGCCATGTCGAGCAATATGGAGAGGGCTGTGCCGAATTTGACGAGAGGAGAAGTCCCGGCGACGCATTGGGCGCTGTGGCATACTCCTGATGAGACGAATCGGATTCTGAAGGAGTGGTTGGAAGCGGTGGTGTTGGGTGGGCGGAGTAAGTTGTGATTTTGGTGGTTGTGGGTGTGGTATTTGTATTGTTTGTCCCATCTTCTACCTACCTTACCTTACCTACTACCTCCTACGCTTGTGACTTGAGCAGACCGGTATGTAGATGATCCGTGGATAGATGAGACAAGCCATTAGTGCCTTGGCAACTGCGGCAGAACGTCGTCGTGACAAGGATGGTGGATATACAAGTCATTTCAACCTCGTTTCTCCGCAGCTGACCATAACAACAACAAAAGCAACAAAAGCAACAACAACAACCATGAATACATTAACCATCTTCGTTTCCTCTCTCGCAGTCTTGGCGTCTGCTTCCCGACCCCAAAGAGCTCTAAACTCACGCTCCTCCTCCTCGGGACCAGCTGCGGTCGACGCAACATACGATGGCTCATGCTTCTATCCCAAACCGACTGAAGACTTTGTGCTGCAAGACTATCTGGGACGCTGGTATCAGGCTGCGAGCACCACATTCGGTCCCACGACGGGATGTGAATGTGTCTTTGCTGATTACGCCTTGAATGTTAGTACATTACCTTCCTACTTCATGACCTTTGTACAGGAAAAAAAAAGCAGAACGAACGGAGTATACTCACATTCGGCAAATATGATTCGTTTTTTTTTCTAGGACAACGGCACAGTAAATGTCAAGAATGGATGTGCTCGCAATGGGACGGTTTCAGAAATTCGAATCGAGGGCACGGCGACTCCTTTCTTGCCAGAAGCTGGCTATGGTGCTTCTGGTGTTCTTCAGGTCCAATTTCCAGGCCAGCCACCGTCGTCTTGCCCGGGACCAAACTATGTGGTACAAGATATTGGTGTCAACGCCGATGAGGATTGTCCCGGTCGAGATTCTGCACTGGATGAGAATGCGTTTGCGATTGTGCAGTCGACGAATTTCACGACGCTGTTCTTGCTCAGTCGGAATCAAAGCCCGTCGAATGCGAGTATTGAGGTGAGTTGGGGAGACATTGGTACCAAATTGTTGGGCCTTCCAAGGAGTTAGACTGACATCTGGTAGGCTTGGCTCGAACGTGCGAGAATGCTAGGCGCAAAGCTGGACAATGTTGCACTCACAAATCAGACGGGTTGCCAGTTTCCCCCAGAGGCTGCTTGAGCTTGAGCTTGCTTGCTTGAGTTATAGCTTACTTCTAATACTACTACTTGCACCAGCAGCATAGTCAATCTCGACATTCAGCTTGTCATCCAGATGAGATGCCCAATAGCCATCCCAGATGCTGCCCGTCAGCTTTCCCACTTTCCCATTGCCGACTTTCTTCCCGTCCAATTCCGTAATGGGCATGACGCCTCCGGCCGTGGTACACATGAAGATCTCGTCGGCCTGATAGACCAGCTCCACCGGCACCACCTCCACTCTCACCTCAATCCCTTGTGCCTTTGCAACCTCCATCACCGCCTTTCTCGTCACACCCTCCAACACGCCCCGATCCGGCGTATACAGCACACCATTCTTAATCACACAAATATTATACCCCGACCCCTCGGTCAAATTCCCATCCCCATCCGTCAAGAACGGATACTCAGCTCCCCGATCCGCCGCTTCCAGCAACCCTCGCGTAAAATCTCCCCATTGCAAATTCTTCACCGTCGGATCAAATGCCCCCGGAGGAATTCTTCGAACTGTCCTCGCTACAATCGCTCTCCCTCCTCCACCCATTTGCATCTCTGGCGACATGACCCAGACATAGGGCGTAATCCACAGATATAAAGTATTCTGCAACTCTTCTGCTTTTTTCCCAATGGCAGGATTATTACTCACGCGCTCCATTCCCCTCGTCACCATCAAACATACATATGCATCGCGAATTCCCGAGAGCGATAACATTTCTGCGATGAGATTGGTGATTTTCGGTCGAGAGAGGGGGATGCGATAGCGCATTTTTTGACTCGAACGTTCGATGCGGTCGAGGTGGTCGTTGAGTCGGAAGGTTCGTCCGTTCCAGACGCTGGCCACGTCGTAGGTCATGTCTCCGCGCATGAAGCCTTGGTCGAGTATGGGGATGCGGGCCGAGTGCATGGGGACGAGGGAGGGGGAGGAGGAGGGAATGTAGGCGATGCCTTGGGCGAAGGGGTTGCTGGTGTAGGTTGCTTCGAGGGTGGTTTGGCGTTGCTTGTAGGCGGAGAAGATGGCTTGCATGGTTGCCATGTTTTTTGTTTATTTTTCTTCTTCTTCTTTCTTGTTTGTCTGTAGCGGGACCTATTATGGTATGGTATGGTATGATATGAAATCTCTCAGTCTTCTACGTTTGAGTAAGAGTGTATTGAGATAGCTGTAGGTACTTATATAGCATGATTACAACAATGTTCGCAAGGGGGTGTCACTGATAAGGAGAGCTACCTATCCTATCGCTAGATATAGCTGTAGCGGTGTAGCCTTTATTTTCTTGCCTGTTCGAGAGTTAACATGGCTCTGATCGGCCGCGGGGCGAAGGGAAAAGGTTAAAAAGAGGGTGTGGTATGATCAGAATCATCAGATAGGCCGACATACCCTCCTACAATCCCAGTTTCAGCCTCAGGCACTCAAGGCACATGATTTCCATTTCGTGCCTGAGGTGTCAATATCTACGTAGTTCCGATCTCGGTCAGGTCATTGGATACCTTGTACCTCCATCCACCACCACATGGAATGACATGATCACAGTTAATACACTGACACACACACACTACTTCTGCTTCATACCACAATACCACTCCTTGTCACCAGGACATAACCACGTCGAAATGTCGTCCTAAAGTCGAAGAGATTACACTGGAAATTACCTACCATGGGCACTCTCACGGCAGGTCAACCTCGTCTCGATCACTACTGCGAGCACAAACTCCCCACATCGTGTCGACTGTCCTCTTTGGGAAAGTGTTGTGCCTGTTCCGACGAAAGACCACACGCTGTCGGAGGCAACTACTCCGTCTATATTGACGGTATCGGCTATGTGCCGCGAGGCACTCGTTGGCAACGATACTGCTGGTTCTGCAAAGAGTTCTGGCAGCATCGAGTCGAAGTCAGTGGCTTGTTGCCTAGCCAGACACGCATTCCCCAAGTCCCGGATATTCGAGTCTTCTTGACTCGCTGGTATGAGTTTCACCAAGGCTACCGCCTGGTCAAGCATGCCGATGGTAGCGAAGAGCGAGTCGCTGTTGTCGGAGAGGACTTTCGAGATGTATCGCCCGGTGTCCTGCCTCGAACACTGGAAGAGCTGAGGGCAGGACGAGATCGCAGTGAAGCCGAAGAGAACGAGAGGCAAGCGGCGATTCGAGAGCTGCAAGCGCGTGAGAGATTGGATCCAGACGCGGCTACCGGGCCATCGATTGAAGAGACGCTCGATCAGTTGCTGGAGTCTGCCAGCACAGAAGGAGGTGAAGCCCGTGGTGAAAATGCACCAGTCGTCGGTCAGCGTGCTGTCCAAGAAGGCCAGGACGATGCTATACGGAACAACATACATGCGCAGGCAATGGTACCGTTGGGCACACGGAATAGAGAGTACCAGGCTCGCCGTATTGCTGCGCTCAGACGGGAGCTTCATCGAATGCGGAATGGCATTGAAAGAGTCATCGAAGGACTGAGAGACCTGGGGGAAGAGGTTCCTGACCACTCCGACGCCTCAAACCAGCTCACAGATCTCGGTCAAACACTCGACAATATCACGGGTGGTCCTTCCCAGGAAGCGGCTAGTCGCGCCATCGCAAGTGTCAACGCTCTGACAGAGCGGACCGACGCCACGCATTCGGACCAGGTACTGCTCAACATGCAACATCGCGTCAGCGAAGCGCGACAGCACGTCGAGGACGCCAGACGGAATCGGGATCAAGCCGCCAGTGAGCTCGATGAGGCGGAGCGAGAGTTCCGGACTTCGCAGTCACGAATGCGGCAGCTGCAGAATGAGCAACGAACAGCCGAAAACTACATGCGCCTGTTTGGCACGCGGGAGCAGATGGCTGCCCAGGGCGAGGCATATCAAAGCCCGATTGGCGATATGTTTCACCGGGCCTACGAGCGGTTTCACGAGGCCGAGCAAGTGCGCAGGGAAGAACGCACACTCAGACAAGTGCTGGAGGATGAAGCAAGGTCGGGTGGAGAGGGCGTGAATGCAGGGCTGCTAGAGCTGGAAAGGCGAGAGCGAGATGTTTGGGGCGTGCCCCAACGCGCTGTCGCATCGAGTCCAACCGTCACTCAACACACAGGCGACCCCTTTCCCCGCATACGCACTCCAGAAGTGCTCGTTGCTCGGGACGCTGAGAGTGACCTGGCCCTCGATGATGAAGAGGTTGCCTTGGAGCAGTATTATACCTTGCTTCGGCGACAAGGCTGGAGCAGCGAGCAGAGCACAGCTGCAGTACAGGCTGCGGAAGCGGAGAGAGCTGAACTGCCTGGAGACATACCAGCAGCTCTAGCAAGCGGCGGTTCCTCCTTCGTCGCTGGTCCACCAGGTCAGCAACTCGACGCAGAGCCTTCGGTGAACAACGATCGAGGCCTCGACGCCCTTTTCGTGCTCACGGCACTTTCGAGCAGTGAGTCGCTGCGCTCGCAGCTCGCCGGCAATCCTACAACGAGCTATGTCGAACGTCTTCTGCGCATGGTGCGGGAGAACAATCTGTCATGGAACGAGCGAGAGCACGTTGAAGCGATGCTCGAAGACTCCAACCTCATATGGGGCTGTGGCTTGCCAGCGGAGCGGATGCGGCGTAGACGTCAACGAGGTGAGTCTGTTGGATTTACCGAATTGGCGCACGAGATGGCTGTATCAGACTCTACTGTCATACACGATGTCGAAGTGATGGCCGAGGTGTTCCAGATGTCCGCACATCTCAGACGCTGCGCTGGAATTGGTCCCTCGGAACAACTTCAGATGATGTGCAGACTGCAGAGAGGAGAGCGCACACCCGAAGATCGAGCAGTTCTCTGCCGCATGCTACAATCGGAGTCAACGTACAGTCGTGCCAAGCACGTGCATGATCTTCAGTACAACCGTGAAGTCGATGCTCTCACAGCGGAATCCAACCGGATCCGTCAGCAGACGGCACGCGAGGGAGATCATTCCCGCGGAGAACTGGATGCACGACGACGAGCTACGCATGCACTTGCTCTAGCCGCTGGCAGAATCGCCATGCGTTCCAGCCCTGCTGAACTTCTCGAGCGACTGAGCAACCGAGACGAGGCCTCTCGGGCGGCGCATGCGCGTCTGCAGGAAAATGGCGCACCAGAAGCCCTCAGAGTCCGCTATCGTCCCCTCGGTGTTGACCTCTTCCCATCTACGCACTCCGAGACGGACTCGGAACCAGAAACAGATGAAGATGCAAAAGGTCTCGATGCGAAAGATACCGGTCGACCTGCGGACCCGGCTTCCGACGAGCAATTGACGGTGAGGCTTGATTGTCAAGTGTGCTATTCCCAGCTCGCGGACATGGCCTGCCTGCCTTGCGGGCATTTGGTCATGTGCCAGTGGTGCAGCGATCAGCATTCTCCTACCATGGCACACGATAGGACGCGACCACGACGAGCTGCGGCATGTCCCGTCTGCCGCAAGCAGATTCGTCAGAAGGTGCGAGTATTCAGGGCTTGAAGTTCAGTACGAGTGTTTTGTCGGACACGATGATTATGATGATCATGATCATGATGGATTCTACGCCACAGGTGGGTATGCTGTCCGCTAATGAGCTATACCTCCTAGCGAGGCAGGCCAGAAGCCAGACTATCAAACCTACATGTAGTTATCAACAAAAATTACTTCCATCGCTGAAGTTTTATCAACACGAGGACAACTCGCATCGGCACATTCCCGCCTCAACTTCACTCATCATGTTCCAGCAACGCGGAGTATGTAACGGATGGTCTGCTGTGTAGACAGAACTGAATGCTCGCTCGAGGTGTGCTATAATGTATACCTATCCAATCTTCACGATAACAGTATTCACGAAGCATCCGGTGCCACTGTGAATAGCGTTCGCGGACCTTTGATACGCAATCCATATCGCTGAGGTTTCCCGCTTTGAATCTGGTGTTTAAGCAAGTGAGCCTCTCAGGCATCCTGTTCCCCCAATACGGCTCATCTCCCGTCCCTGCTCAGAACGCGTACTTCAATCGTGGTGGGAACCTCACTGACTATCTTACTTGAGAGATTTCAATATGCACGAATCAAAATAGTCTACGCTACAGTGCTAGCAGTCCCATGCTGGCAGTAGGCCTATCAACGAGGATGGAGTCACGGGTCACCGGCGGTGGCTAGTAAATGGCAGCGTCGATCCATGAGTACCTGATGCAAAAGTCCGACGAGCAGGGCTGGTGTGAGAGGAACGTATCCTGGTGGATTTTTCTCAAGTGCTCATAAGCGATTGCGTGGCGTGGTCTGTCAACCAGCAACTCCATGGCAGAACCAGTATCAGGGTAGTTTTCGTGATTATTTCGAAGCTGAGGCTGAAATGTACTCGAGATATGAGGCTCTCAGCGCCAGCGGGGTGTTCTGGCTCACAATCAGTAACTTCTTCTTCTTCTTCCTCTGGGCACTGCATCTTGCGGGGAACCAGAGCGGGACATGCATCCCATCTGCTCAGAACTAACCGTGCTCCGATTGATGAAACGGCCATTCTATCTCCGTTTCTTGGACTTGGTCTTGCCTGTCCATGCGTTGACAAAATCAATCTTCTCATCGAGACCGAGACCCAACGTCTTGACCCGCCCCAGGCGAGCGAGCTGGTCGACAATGACATCGAGCACCTTTTGCTCTGCAGGCGTCGGCTCTCCGTCTGTCTTTGTTGCTTCCGCCGCTTTCAAGCTGTCGAAGTAGTTAGTGTCATACCCATTCTGCTGGCGCGGCCTTGCTTCCCTGCTGCCATCCTCGTCTCGCTGCACTTGAGCAATGGTCAGAGGTAGGCCCACTCGCACGCGGATGCAATGCGTCTGTCTCGAGCTGAGTTTCCACAGAAAGCGCGGAACTTCAATCCAGCCTGGAATCGGCGTGACAATGTCGGAGGGGGTATACTTCAGAGATACTGGAAAGATACTGGTAGATCGTCCGGCCGAGAGTAATGACGGCGTGGGTCGCAGGATGCCTCGACCATTACTCGTGGTCGCTTCTGGGAAGACAACCACAGTCCTGCTCGGGTTGGCTACCATGAGACGTGAGAGCTCGATGCTGCCTTCTGGTGATGGGTCGAGAGTGAAGCACGACAGTACTGCGGCGCCCAGGGAGAGCTGCTTCACTTTTCGAGATCTGGGAAAACTTTGCACAAAGATGGGGTCGAAGATGGCAGCCAGATACACGATGTCGACGGGAGAAGTGAAGGAAGATGCGATGACGGATCCAGGAGTGGGAAGCTTGGCAATTGTCTTGCCCAAGGATCTGAGAGCAGGAGCGGAAGCAAGAAGGAAGCATTAGTCAGGTAGCAAGCGCACTCGGCGTGATATGGTGAGCTCACCCTCGCTGGACACCATCCACGCGAATATCCACGAACCAGATGCCCGGGATGCCAATGATGCACCACAAATTGGCTTTGCGGAGGATGCTTCCCGGTGGAGTCCACTGGACGATGAGCAACCAGACGGCCCAGGCGAAGATGAAGAAGGGCAGCCTCAGGAAGAAGAGGAACTGTGATGTGAGAGCAGGAGGCACTCGTTAGCTTGGCATTGCCCGGTGAGGTGGTGGTGTCTCTGGGAGCACAACATACCACGTGATACGGCGCGACCAGCGGGTTGCTGGGCGGAGGAGCGACGGGGAAGAAGGGAGCGATGCCCGAACCTGCGCGAGTCAGCGAGCTCCGGCGGTGGAGGGAGGTCAATTGTCAGGTATGTCCGTAGTAGGTAGGAGGTAGGTGCAATGGACTTAATTCTTCTTCTTACCTTTATCCCTGTACTGGCCGTATTTCTCCATAGCAGGCTGCTGCTACTGTTACTGCTAGGCTATGCTATGCTATGCACGCGGTGCTGCAGGTGCAGATGCAGATGCAGATGCTGGTGCTGGTGCTGGTGTAGGCGCAAGTCGTTGAACACGGTACTGGGGCCGAGAGGGAGAAGGGGAGGGAGGGAGGGTGCGGAAGGGCGGGAGGGCGGGCGGGCGGAGGTGGTCAGCGGAACATTGGGAGGGGGAGGAGGGAAGAGGGAGGAGAGAGTGGATGGAGAAGCAGCGGCGGCGGTGAGGTCAGGTACCTGTAGTTCTAGGTACCTTAGTTTCCTCCTAGTAGACCGTCTTTCACATGCGGCGATGGCGGTGGCGATGGCAATGCCTGCACCGTCTCTGATAGGTACGACAGGCTGTACAAGGACAGCAGTGCTGTGTTGCCAAGTGGGCTGGCCGCTTAGTCACCATTATGTAGTCAGCAAAGCGGAGAGTAAAAGAAACATGAACGGGCATGTAGATTACCTAATTGAGAGAAAAAAAGTAAGGTAAGAGGTAGCATTATTCAATAGAAGAACATTCGCTGCTTCTATATAAACCTTGAGTAGAAGGTATATTTACATTCATCCCAGAGATGCCGAAGCAAAGCCTACGTTGTGGTCGCCATAACTCGGCGCGGCGTCATGTGGCATAGCATCAGAGGATGTTGTTGTCGTCGTCGTCATTGCCTGCTCGTAGGACGGGACCGGACCAAGGTCAGCTCTGGATTCATAGCTTGCTTCTTGATACGATGGTAAGCCATCTGGGTCTTCCGCAGTCCCTACTCTCGTTGTATCGCTTTCCACGGGCGGATGTATGGTCAGAGGCACGTCGCGGCTCATCTTCATCTTCTGTGCGCCCACCGAGAACTGGACGGCGATTCGCAGCTTGTAGGTCCTGGTGATGTTGCGGAATGTGAATGTGCTTGGGACCCAGCTGAGCTGGCCGATATTGATGGACTTGGTCCAGCCATACTCTTCCGAGTACGGTTTTGCAGATGAGAAACCAGCTTCTTTGGTTTTGATGATTTCTATCACCGCAGGCTGTAGACCAGTTGTATGTGCAATCAGTGTGATCGTACAAGAGTCTAGAAAAAGATTGGGTGCTGTTTGCACGGTACTTGATGCGTGCGGGATGATGCTGAGAGCGAATGATAATTGTCTTCCCACGTATGCATGCTTGGGAATACCAATTAGCTCTGCCTCGAAAATAAATCTGGGCAGTTCAGCGGGCTTCAAGAGCGCTTTGGTCTTGTTCCTGACCCCATGAGGCCGCTTAGAGGATGGTCTCAGAGCTTCGTTCTGAGCAGTAAAAGTCTGCGAAAATTCGCTAGTCAAGCTCTGGTTGCAAGTAGCGATCGACAAGGGAATCTTCGGTTGGTCGTAAAGAACGCTGGTCCCACCCTGTTGGGTCGCATCTACAATCTCCATTTTGATGCCAGGCATGCGAACTTGTGTATCAATCGTATAATCCACACTCATCGCCGTGTCTGTGGTAGAAGACCATTTCGCTGATTTGCGAGTCTCCCAAGCGTCATGGTTCAGGTGTACACTGCAAGTTGGTGGTAGTGCTTCACGTTCGACAGGCAACACGTGCTCGTGAAGGGGCCAGCTTCGGACACCTGTCGTGTTCGAGCTCGGATTTGCGTGTGCTGGGAATCTGATTGCAAATGGCAGCCGTCGTTCCTCGTCTGGAGAGGCTCTGAACGGCCCATCATGGATACAGACCACCTCCTTGACCAAAGCAAAGACCTCTGCACGCGTCTCGTTCACGTGATTGATGCGGGCACTCCCTCCAAGAGTAATTTCGACCTGCAGCGGCCCAAAGAGTTCAGCATTCAATGGAGAATTTGGTAGCCCTCTGAGCAGAGGTAAGTACTTCAAGAGGAGGCTCCCGGAGACCGGAATATCGTTGCCATAGTGCACTCGATTTGGGTCGTCAAGGACTACTCTGGTGGAGAGGCCACCGAGCTTCGCGCGTGTGGGAGGTGCTGCAGACACACTTGGTATCATGATTGCTGGTCGTGTGTGTGATCTGTCGGTTGCTGCAGTATTCACCTCGCAGTCGGGGCCGCCACATCTTCTTGTAAGTCCATAACGACATGTGACGTTGCAGGATGCAGCTGACCGGCGTGGGGCGCAGTGAGCACAGCCATCAAGTGGAATGTTAGGTGCAACGACAGAATCTGGTGGTAAGAACAAAGCAGCAACCAGACCAGGTCACGTGAGTATGCATTGCACTGTGTCTACTGCCGAACATTGCGAGAAAGCGGCCCCGAGCTCAAGACCGGTATGAAGCTACGTTGACTGGAATGGTTGCGTCCTCGTTGATCTACTAAATTCTGTGCTCTCTTATGAGCCTCGGTGGGCCGAGCCTGGCATCTCTCGCAGGCCAATTTACTTCTTTATAGCCTAAGCCTCCATGATTGCCAAGCGCTATTCGGGTTTTGGTGTATCCTGTATGTGCGATAGCTTTCTCCGCCTCTGCGGTGCGGGCTGAAGTGTAACTACCTCCCGAACGGGTTCAACCTGCTCCAAAGGACCCTCCACAGTCGATCGAGGACGAGCGGGAGATGAGAAGCAGGTCGGCGCTTCTTTACCCATGGGTAGGTAAGGCGTCCTCGGCAATGCCGCGAAATCGTTCATAATGTTCTCCTGGAATACAGGACGCACTGGTCCTTTGGGGATTGGCACACCCTTCATCAGCCAAGCCTTCATTTCGTCGCTCCCTGATTCAAAGCCTGCAAAGCTATTAGGGACGTCGCTCATCGGTGTGATGATGATGCGCTGGAGTCGTACCACTCTACTTCTTAGCATCAAGAGTTGACCAAACGTTCTGGCATTCGCAGCAGACATAGAAGAGAGCCTGCAGTGAGTTAGCATCATGCTCCTGCGTGGGACATATATGGTTGGTCAATAGGCATACCATTCCAGTCTCAGCAGTCCGCTGTTGCGACTGAAAGTACACGGCATCGCGTGCGCCGCACTTCTTGCATTCTTCCTCGGCATGTGGGAGCTGTAGACACCAGGATCTATCAGCACATGTCGCCGAACAGATATGAAAGCATATGCAGTGTGGGTAGATGTGTAGACTCCTCCTCTTGCCTCCCAAATCTAAGCAGAGCCACGCTCCCTCTCATGTTTCTCAGCATTCACTTCGGCTTCCACTTCTTGCTGTGTTTGTGCGGGCTCGTCGGGCACTTCGAGCGAGATGTGCGCATCTGTTGGTTGCTCGCAAATCGGGCAAAGAATCTCTTGCCCGCACATGGTACACATCGCAGGCTCGATCTCCTGGACTTCAATATCCAAGTCGTCCTCGTCGTCCTCATCGTTCTCATCGTTCTCGTCGTCGCGCTCAATCATGTGCGTGTCAGAAGCAGAATGGTTACCCACCGTTGGATCCTGGGCAACGTCGTCCACGTTGCCGGCCGTCTCTTGCACATCCTCCTTGAGCGAGTTGCGCCAGATACAAGATGCAGTCGCCGGTTCGCTGAACTGGCAGGTGCGACATGCGAACATGAGCGTGTTGCTCATGCGATCTTCTTTCGGGTACAACATGTTGGAGCTATACGCTGAGTTAGCTGTCGCATTCGTGGACAACTCGCCCGGTGCAACAATACATACCACTCGCGACAGAAACGGAAGCTGATCTTCTTCGAGTCACCATCCTTGGCCGCTGGCGCCGGGGAGCCTTCCATGTTGTAGGCAGACATGATGTGGTACGTGTTGTGGTGACTCGAAGTGCAAGCTTGTGTGCTCCAGCGAGTCTGTCAGGTGTGGGAGCTGGGAGGACTGGGGAATACCGAGATACATGTACCTACCACCTTAGCTAAAGCTCGAGCTAGACCAGAACCAGTCAGTGCCGATCCGCCGATGCCGATGAAGGAGGGAAAGGAATCAGGGTCCAGGCTCCAGCAGCTTCTATTTTGTCCTTACTCCGCGCGATTATTCCTCCGTTGTGTGTCTTCCTCCTTGACACAGATCCAGACCGGGCGTAATAAACCAGAGCTGCTGTCCATTGCATGTGAAAGCCGACTACTGGCCTATCACATCCGGAAGATAGCATCAAACTCAGATTTTGCCTGTCTCCAACGATTCTGACCATTGGCTGATCTCGCTTCCCCACACCTACCTCAATCGCATTCATGGTATGTGGTCGGGCGGTCTCTGTTTGCTATCATCTTCCTCTCGCGCCCACTGACCGAGTGGCGTCGTAGGCTACGGGACTTCCAACGGGCTGGGAAGTGCGCCACAGCAACAGCAAGAATCTGCCGTACTACTTTAATCCCGCCACCAAAGAGTCACGATGGGAACCTCCTGCCGAGACGGACAGTGAGACTCTCAAACGGTACATGGGCCAATACCATACCGCCAATCTGCACTCCGAGGCTGCTCAACAGCCAAACCTGGAGGGCAAGATACGTGCAGCTCATCTACTGGTGAAGCACAAGGGTTCGCGTCGGCCGTCGTCATGGCGAGAGTCTGAGATCACACGATCCAAGGACGAGGCCATGGACATCATTCGCGGCTATGAGAGCAAGATCAAAAGTGGCGAGACGAGTCTTGGTGACCTTGCTGTCACCGAGAGCGATTGTTCCTCAGCGAGGAAGCGGGGTGATTTGTAAGTAAAAATTCCGCCTCAAATACCACCTGCACTACGCTGTACGGCATGCGGAAGTCAGCGCAGTCACACCGGTCGGACACGCTGACAGTGGTTCAGAGGATTTTTCGGGAAAGGAGACATGCAAGCCGAGTTTGAGCAGGCTTCCTTTGCTCTCAAACCTGGTGAGGTCTCTCAGATCATCGAAACACAATCGGGGTTGCATATCATTGAGAGGTACGTTGGACATGGTCGACTATCGCAATTTCGCATTGCGTGGCAATTGGAGACCTTCCCTGAGAGCCCATCGGGTGCAGACGGGTTGGTATAGGCACATGGCGTGGCGCAATCCTGCTTCCAGGTTACAGATGCTGACGTTCTTTGTCCAGGCTGGAGTAGTCTACTACGGGAAAGGCAACTCGACAAATTAGCCGACCACTGCAGCGAGGCAATGCTACGGTGACGCTTCGCGCAAATAGCCTCTGGCATCATGGCCGCAGGAAGTGTGGGAGCCTCAAGAAGCAAGCCGAAGCGCGTAAGTCCCGATGCGGCCCATCTGTATACAGTTACAGCGCCAATCGCAAAGGAGAGACCTTGGCAATTCCCTGAACACGCGTAGTCGTGTCTCTTTGTGCTTGTACCGGACCTTGTTCCGTCGCGATACCTTCCGTCGCCATACCATCCGTGACAACTTGACACACTTGATTCCGCTCTTGCAGTCCATCGCGTCGGCAGCCTGCAGGACGTATAGCACTTTCTCATGCGTGTGCTAAGAAGTCATGATGTGAGAAGCGAGACTCGCTGCCATCCATCCATCCATCCATCCATCCATCCATCCATACACTAGCCTCCAGCGCGATACACGGAGGGCGCCTCGAGCGACGTGCGTCGCAGCGCTGTTCTATGTCAGGTTCGCAAATTGCTGCCCACCTCACCTTGCCTCCCTACCTTACACAATCGTCATTCACTGAGTTCCATAAAGACCTTCACAGAGACGTGCAGTTGTTGCGTTTCCCCCAGGTCCATGCCAAGCATCATCGTCGAATCTAGAAAGAACTCGAGAGGTGTAGGTCAGGTACCTTACCTTACCAGGGAAACGAAACTGCCTTCACACCACGAGTCGGAAGGTCGGACCACAAACAACGCCACTGGCATTGCAACGCACCAACAACCAACACTTTAATTCTCTCGACATCGGACCTGACGCTCCCTACTACACGGCCAAGTACACAGCTCCCCCTCTGCCGACGAAGCTCAAGCTCCCTTTCGAGGTCGAGTGGCCGCTTAAAGCGATCGCGACCCAAACCCAGACTTTGAACGCTCGCTGACACACGGACTTTGTTTCGAAACCAGATACTACAAGAGCAGCACCATTTCCCGTAGCTGGTCCAACTCACCTGTGACGATAATATCGCCAGCAGCTCCTCCTACGTCCCGCTCGCATCCACGCACGTGCTGGCCAATCCGGACTCTAAGCGACCTGCAACTCCCCTCTGACATCGCTCACGCGACACTTTGGACAGCGGCACCATGGACTCTATCCAGCGCTCTCGATCCGGCTCGAACCAATCTCGGCAGCCCGTCTACCGTCGTCCATCATGGGCGCAGAACGAGAAGTCATACGAAATCTACATGCGCAAGTCTCTCGCCGCAGATCGTTCCCCGGGAGCTGACTCCGGCCACGAAAACTACAGCTACGACGAGTCACACGTCAAGGAATGGCAGGTGCCGAAAGGCCTCGAGGTGCGCTTGCCAGCCGAGCTGAAGGATGCCATCACGGAGTGGATGCTTGCCGGAGCCGCGGTCTGCACTTCACTTGCGCGCATTGCCAAACTTGACGATGAGAGTCTCTATCGCGCATACCCAGAGAAGACGATTGCGCATCTCTCACGTCGCGAATCGAGCCCATCTTCAGCCGTCTTCGGTGCCACCACACCACCCACCGGGTTTCCTGCGTCACAGTCTCCGTTCGGTCTGTCGGCCGGTCTGCTGCGTCTCGACAAGTTCGAGCAACTGCCACAGCGCCAAGCTGTGGGCATGGAGTCGCCGCCCTTCACGCCAGTCGAGACCAGAGCGTGTCCATCACCAGAACTTCCGTGCCAGCAGCGCTTCCCGACCTCCGGCATGCCAGATCCTAGCGCATTGGCTCAGCAGTTGTCTCCATTGTCTATGGCTACCGATTCAGTGGCAGGTGCAGGCAGTGGCAAGTCCGACATGGCAACTGGCTCGTTTGACTCTACACTTTCGCCGGCTATCTCGACCACGTCTTCTACTCCCTCGCTGGCCACTTTTGATGAGACTGCATGGGAGACCTTTCTCAAGACGTACAATGCCGAGCTGTTTGACATTCGCACTCATGCAGGCCCGCGCTTCAAAGGTGCTGGCTACACAGTCGACAAGGCGCGCGTAGAGATGGGCATGGGCAAAGAGCATCAAGACGCTCTTGCAGATTTCAACGAGTGGTGGACGAGCATGAAGCCGAAGGTAACGAAGTACGACGCGAAGTTGCGCGAGCTAGAGATGCCAAACATCGACACGGTCCGAGCAGAGAGATCGGCGCATGGTTTGCCACTGTGAAGTGTGAAAAAACGTGCAGATCAGGAATGCATTTCTTCTCTAGCACAATGCATTACAACGACAGCTGGGCGAGCACGCGACCCAGAACTGGCAATGACGACTTGAAACGGCGGCTTGGCGAGGACACGCCTTAGAATGGCGAAGATGGGTTGACAGAGCAGTATGAGACTATCGCGTTCATGTTCACAGGACAGAATACACGGCGTTGCTAGGCAGGAACGACTTAGCGAAGGTGCTTCGGAGTTTTCCTTTTTGATATGGATACCTAGCAAGAACCATGGCCACACGGTTAAGAGTACAGTACCTCAGGTAATGCCTTGCATGACAAGGAGAGGATATGAACAGAAAGAGTGGAGGATAGGAACGCTGGTCGTTGCCACAACTCTAGCTTAGCAGCAAGCATGATACCCGACTACAGTATATTGACGATCACTTTTTGGTTGCGAACTGGTGAATGTATTTTCCGTTGTCTTGCTCCTCGCATGATCCATTCCATTCCATCCCATTCATATTTCTTGATCAGGTACTTTCGATGACTTGATTGGTCTTTTGGGGAGTACCTAAGGTACCTTATCGCAAGGTACTAAGGTAGGTACATGTAGCTATGTAGATTACAGTAGGTACATTAGTGGGTTCTAATCTTTCCTACGTCAGGCAGGTTTGGCAGGGCATTTGCTGCGGTCTCAAGAGGGGATTAAAAGAGGCAAAAGAAAATAAAAAACTTCAAGGTTCGGCGACGCCAATAGATACCTAAACACCTTCAGGTACGTACGTACATGTAAGTTAGATACATGTATGTTGGACAAAATTCATCCAGTCATGTCGGTCCAAAGTCATATCTACCTTGTATAGTAGCGACGAACTGGGAGTAGGCAAGCGAGCAATTCGTGAATTTGGGGGTACGAGCATGATCTCCAGCGAGCTTTGGTTTCTCATTTGGTTTTGCCACCAGTTCGTGATGTCACTAGGGGAGGTACTGTGGTTCCGTAGATTGAGATTGATATCGATGCCCAGCTCACAGCTCTTGTGCCAGAATCTTGGTTCCTCACAGCCGTCTAGTGTAGTTTGAAGGCACCAAACCAACCTTACCGGCATAGACTGCCACACTCCAGTCGGCGTTCAGGTCCTCGACCTCGCTGAACTCTGCGTTTTTGGGAAAGGCAAGCTCGTCCTTGTCTGCCTCCTTCGGCCACCTTGACCAGACTGCCAAAGAGCGTTTATCAGTACCTGGCTCTGCAGGTACGACCCTCTTATCATGTGCACTGATCAGACCGGCGTCGTCTTTGAGCCGCCAACCACCGATCATGTCCTTCATCGTGACACGGACCTTTCCGGGTCCAGCTGGTGTTGGAGTGTCCTGATAGCCTACAACACTCATCCGATGACCTGAGAGGCAACGTCGCCACCCATTAGGTCCATTCACGGATGAGATCTTGCCGATGGCGACGAGAGAATGATAACATTCGTTACATATATCATAATCACCGCCGCTGCATCGATAGCAGTGAAATCGCGTTTCTTTTTCGTTGATGGGGTTTCTGCACACATCGCAGTCTGTGAGTACAGGCAACAAGACGTACGAGTCTTGCTTCAGATGTGGGACGGGAATGCAGAGAGGGATGCGAGAGGGATCCGAGTTGTGTAGGGTGCTGATGTGTGCAATGGCCAAAAGTGGGTGAGTGCAATGATGGCCCTTGAGCACGCAAGAGTTGCAGTATCCCCACGCCCCTTCTAGACAGTGGTTACAGTACCAGTAACAAGTATTTGCGAAGCTCAAACACGATTCACAGAAAGCCCCCTCCTGCAGATCAAGATTAGTAGTGTTCACCGCCACAGTAGTCTGGTCGGCATCGGCACTGGGCGCGACAATATATTTTCGAGGCATCAGCGTGTGAGGATACTCAAAGGAGCGCGTACTGTGTTCCGCCTCCGCGGCCTTTTGCCAGCGGTACATAGCCATCAGACCGAAGCCGTACCAGTGGTAACAACCTTTGCCGTCACGATAGCATTGGATGCAGAGATTGTACATGCCAGAGTCACACTTGGAGCAATTATAGTGAAGCGTCAGTCCGATCGCCTGTCGCTGGCAATGCGAGCATGCGATGGTGTACGGCGTGACTGCCGAGCTTTGGAGGAAGCCAACTTCAGAAGAGACTACTTCTGGTGCAAATGCAGATGTGGACACCAATGGCCGCACATCTTGTTGAGGCGCAGCATGCGCAGCAAGGGCAGTTTGACCTGCTAGAGGCGCCGGGGCGGCATTCTCGTTCAAAGACGAGGCAGTCCGTGTTCGCATAGGCTCAGCAGGTCGTGAGTCTCGGTGACGAGGTCGCAAAGGTTGCTCGAGGCCGCCTGCGCTCAATGTGTTAGAGGTCGCTCGGACACGCTGTGTATCACCACGCAGCATACGTGTGGTGTCTGTGGAGCTCCGAGTGTTGCTCGAGGATGCCCTGGGCCGCTCTACACTGAGTGGATGTTCTTGTCGAGGCGGGTTGGACAAGTCAGTGGCGGAGCGTGCAGCAGGCCCGTAGTGACCTACGGAGACCGCAGGGAGCCGAGTATGTTGGCTGGTCGAGCTAGCGGATCGACGATGCTGTCGTTCCGCACCCGTCGAAGCTTGCGCTTCGAAAATATGTGGTCTCGCTACTGGCGGCCTTGTTCGCGTTCGTGACTGCTGCTGGTGAGCGATATGTGTTCGAGGACTGGTCGCTTGCTGCCGCTGAGCTTGTGGGCTTGGGTCCTCACGTTCCCGGTTACGTGACCTATCTCTGTGTCGTCGGCGCCTTCGATAGGCTTCAGCAATGCGTTCGGTGAGCTCTTCTTCCTGGGCTGGAGTAAGATTGTCGATGTCAATGCCATTCAGCAGACCCTCTGAATAGATGGACTGCAGAATCTCCTGTTGCACGTCCTCCGACGAGTTGGCGTCCGAATTGCTGAGCAAGCTTCGTAACGACGGTTGGTGCTCAATCTGTCTGTCCGCCTCCTGCTCCTCCCTCTCCCCCTTCTCCTCCTCTTCTTGCTGCTGTCTCACTGCCTGTTGCGCTACCCACCTGCTGGACTGTTGCTGCCTACTACTGGAACCCTCTGGCCGATGAGCATGACCACGCTCCCGCCGGCGTCTCTGTCGATCTCGACTTGCTCTCTCTGTGCGTCTCTGTGCAGTCTCTGGATCCACATGAGCCATACTCAACTCTCGGATCTCAGCCATGAGTCTTTCGTCCTCACTGTCTTCATCAGCGTGAGAGAGCGCGACAGGTGGTATGACATCGTCGCCAGGTTTATAATGCAATCCCAGCTCTTGCTTGTCGCGATCCGACTTGGCCTTGTCGGGATTGGCCCTGAGAAAGCCCTCCAGAAGTGCTGTCAGCCTCCAGTCTGCTTTGGTGCCCCTCACGGACTCGCGACATGATGGACAGGTATATGGCGATGCGGTGGTGTGCCTGGTACTGGTCGCAGCACTGGTCGCCTGCCACACGAACCATTCCTTGACACATGCTCCACAGAAGGTGTGCAAACAGTCCAGCAAGGTCAGCGGCTGGTAGAGCACATCGGTGCATATAGAGCAGGTCAGTTCTCGTTCCAGGTCTACTAATCCGCCACCTACACCGCTAGCCGCGCCGCCGCCGCTGTCGTCGACGTCGCCGTCACTGTCACCGGCCATGCTGTAGAACTATGTAAGCGGACCCAGCACACTTGGTGAGTAGTATGAGAAGACTGCCGCTGTTCGCCGAGTCGCTGAGTCGCTTTTCGTGTGTTCGCGTGATCGTACCTGTATGTTCGTGTGTTCGTGATCCAGGCAACCAGGTCGCATGGGCCTGGACGGACGCTGTGGACCGACAGGACCGACACTAGGAGGTGCCACCAGTCCAGTATACCTCAGTACATAGGGGATAGGTAAGGTAGGTAATCCCGTACATCTCCTACCTCCTAGGAGGTACCACCACCACCTTTTGGGACATCTGAACCTCATCAAAAAGTCCGATTCCGAGGGCTAGAACTAGTTCTATCGCGATCATGACTAGATACCATTGCCCTGCCCCGTACCTCCTCTCCTCCTCCTCCTCGCACCGCACTGGGCCCAGCCTTCTCGCGTGTGCTGTATACACCTCCTCGGTGGTAGTACCTCCTAGGAGGGACCTCCTCTCGCCTCTCGCCCTTCGCTTGCACGAGGATTCCTTCTAGGAGGTACTAAGTCCGGTATAGAAGCCTCCGAAGCGCAATTCGTCCTCTCGCCTCCGTATAACGACTGTCCGTTTGCAGACGTGTCTCGGCGGCGCTAGCAAGAATATGATTGGAATTTGGAAATTTAGAATTAGCCGTGCCATGCCATGCCATGGTGCATCATGCATGGACTATTGACTGCCATGACACAAGCATTCGCGTCGCGAGGTTTCAGACAGCAGTGGGGGCATCTCAGAACTTGCGGACCCGACAGCACACCGGACATTTCCATCGTGTGCACTGTGCTGCGCCTGGCCGTCTGCTGCTGGCCGTATTGCTCCGTCGCCCTCCCACTGGACGACGCGCTTTCGTACAGTAATCGCGTGTCAGTGGTAGAGGCAGAGGCGACTACTAGTCGACCCACCGACGATGGTGGTAGGAGGTATGAGGGGGACCATGTTCCATACTCTCCGTGGATCGTCATACGAGCCTGGTATGAGAGCGCTTTAGGGGGTAAGGCGAGGCCTCTTGCGAGTACATGTTATAAGTGTTTCCCTTTTCCTTGTTGTCGCCGATTTCTCACTTCCAACCCTACCGCCCACCCAGGTCTCGATCGATACATATCTAAGGAGTCTTGCTGCTCCCAAGCCATCCTGTCTCTCCCACAATGGCTGTCCGCTCGCTACAACTATGGGTCGCCCTGGCATCTATCGGCATCAACACCTTCACACAAGCAGCTCCACAGAGGCCAGCGGAGGTAGCTGAGGTGGTTGAGATTCGCGACGACTCTGGAGCCCTCACCGCGCGCCTTGCTCCGGACGGCAACTATGCGCCTAAACCAGTATCATGTCCCAGCACACCGCTGGTCAGACCCGCCACTGGCCTGAACACAGACGAAGCGAAATACTTCAAGTCTCGACAGCCCAAGGCGGCTGCTGCGCTTGCCGCATACTTGGCCAAGCAGCATAGCGGCTTCTCGACCGCATCTCAGCCCTCGGTCGCCTTTACTTCTTCGGGAGGCGGAGACCGTGCTCTGCTTGCGACAGCCGGTGTGGTGCAAGCACTCGATGGTCGTGATGGGAGCTTTAGCACCAGTGGAATTTTTCAGGGATTGACATACGAAGGAGGACTATCGGGTGGAGCTTGGTTCCTCAGCAGCCTCAGCGGGAACAACTGGCCTACGATCAGCAACCTGCGGGATGGTCTCTGGGAGTCTGCTTTTGCCGCCAGTCTTCTTCTCCCTGCGAACATCATGAACCTGGACATGTATCCCGAGCTCGTCGCAGATGTTGTTGCCAAGGATGCCGCTGGATTTGACGCCACGATTGTGGACCCTTGGGGAAGGTTGCTGTCATATCAATTGCTGTACGGCGCCAATGGTGGTCAGGAGACTCGTCTGTCCTCCTTGACCTCCTACAGCAACTTTACCAGCTTCAACGTGCCGTATCCCATCATGACAGCCCTTGGTGTCGACAAATCCTCCCAGGGCCAGTGCGCGCCAACTCTATCTGCGACCCAGTATGAATTCTCACCGTATGAATACGGCAGCTGGGACCAGGGAGTCTCGGCCTTCGCGTCGACGAAATACATGGGCTCCGATCTGACCAACGGGGTGCCTACGCGGTCGGGAAGATGCACGCAGCACTACGACAACCTGGGATACGTCTTGGGAACCAGTAGTGATATCTTTACGTTTGCCTGCGCGCCATTGATGCCTTCCAACAGCAGCAATGCTTACCTGGCCAACTTCCTGCAAGGCGTCTTGAGCGGCGGCAACAAGAGGCCGGAATTCCAGGACTTGTTCGGCGTGTACCCCAACCCCTTCTACCACTACTCTCGCAGCACGACGGTACAAAACGAAAAGCTCATCACCATGGCAGACGGTGGCCTCGCCTCACAGAATGTCCCCATCTGGCCCTTCATCCAGCCCGCTCGTACCATTGATGTACTCATTGCCAACGACAACAGCGCCGACACCGTCGATAACTTCCCCAACGGCACCCAAATCCGACAGACGTACCTCAACGCCCAAGCCGCCGGCTTGACCAAGATGCCCTACATTCCCGACGTGCCCGAGTTCATTTCCAAGGGCCTCGCGAAGCGCGCCACCTTCTTCGGATGCAACGAGCCCGATACTACCTTCATCATCTATTTGCCCAACGTCGCCTACACTTTCCCATCCAACCAGACCACAAACAAGATCCAGTACTCGGTGAGCGAGACTAACGGCATGATCAACAACGGTAATCTCGTCGCGACACAGAATGGAGATGCCGGTTGGGGATTGTGTTTTGCGTGTGGTATCAAAGCTCGGGAGACAAACTTGCCCAAGGAGTGCGCTGCCTGCTTTACGAAGTATTGCTATACTCGCTAGAATGAGTGAGGGGGGGCGCATGCATGGTTTGACCACTTGTGGATGCTCGCTAGTGGCTGGCTACTTCTGCTGCTACTGTTACTGCTACTGCAGTTGGTGTTTGTCGTTTGTTTTTGTTGGGATCGTGGCGGAGTCCTTTTTTCCTTTTTTTGTGCAAAAATTGATAACGACAGAAAAATTGGCAGCTGGAAACACAGGGCGTTCATTGTTGAATACGAAAATATTGGTGAACACGAAACCATCGTCAGATTACGAATATAGAGATATACAGATAGATGAATGGATAGAAAAGATAGGATGAATCAAGCCATTTGTCTAGTTGGGGCAGGAAACTGGACTGTACGTAAAGTTGAAACCTTCCCTCCTTCTCCGAGTCGCGATCTGAAGAGAGAAAGGGGGCGAGGGTGGAAGGAGAGGGGGGGGGGGGTGAGAAGGATATATTTATAAAGACAACAGAAGATTTGCATACCTTGCCATGGACTTGTAGCGAAAAATATTCATCAAACTCCATACATCAAAGTATACATGTAGTTGTGTAAAAAAGAGGAAAGAGTGAATGAATGTTGGATTCCGTAACACACTCTCTGTCTCATAATTGAACGCTCAGCTAAGATAATCATGAACTTCATTACTTGCCGTTTTCACGACGATGGTCCTGTTCTGCTCTGTTCTGTTGTTTTGCCATTATATTGCCTCTCCATTTTTCTTGTCCGTCTTCTTGTCTAATTGTTTTGGAGCGAGGTAGGTCGGTAGGTTCAGAACTTGAAAGACAAAAACCTCTTCTTCTTCTTCTTCCTTCATACCCGTTGAAACGCTGGCTTGCTACAATCATAATATGTCCTTCGAAAACCCATATGCCTGCCACCAACGCCCAATGCAGTGATAGTACGAGAAAAGCGGGAAAAAAAACGAAACATATCCAAAACTGGACTATCATAGAACGAGTCAGTCCCCTGGCCCACCTCCAATGCGCCGCATTCGAATTCGTTACAGTCTGGTTCCATTCTGTGGGGTGACAATTTGAATCATGTATCATCGTGAACTGGCCGCAGTCCCTAGCCAAGCCATCCATCGTCATCATTCTTACTCTCGTTCGTCTTCGTCATCTTCAAGTCCAACCCCAAGTCGAGTTTGGGTGGCTCACTGGAAACTGCATCGAGCCGAGGCGGCAGGTCCGTCCTCTTTGTCGGGCTCTTCTTAGGAGACTTTTGCGCCTTCATGGCTTGCTCGACTACTTCCTCCTCACTAGGCCCTTCACGTACAAAACGTGTCTGCCAGTCATCTTCATGTGCAGCAGCGACCCATGCCTTCAGGCCGTCGTGTACGCCAGAGTAGAACTTCTCCTTGCATGTGCGAAGGACAGTTCCCATTACCTTCTCAAATCCGGACTGCTGGAGCTCTTTGCGAAGTGCGTTACGCGCCATTTGGCTGGGAAGCGACGCAATGATACCATTGAGCAGATCGAGATGTGCGGTGAGGTATGTCGTAGCATCCCATTCGACTCCTCCAATATATGGTGCCGCTGGCACTGGGGGCCGAGAGCCTGGGAAGTGCCGCTGAGTGTACGTCCTGGCAAGAGTCTGCTTCCGCTCTGCTTCCTCTACACCGGCCTGCGAGTATGAGCTGCTCGGCTGCGGCAGCGGCACAACATTGAGTTGATGTAGGAAGATCCAGAATACCTCTCGCGTCACATTCGACACTTCGCGAGACCACAGCTTGTATGGCCGGGGGACGTGCATGCCTAGAACGAAGTCGACTGGTCCATCTTCCCCGGTCTTCTTGGGCTCTCCCAGGTAGGTGAGCACTGTACGCGCTCTTGTTTCCAGCGCTGCGGGAGAGCTACCCATTTCAGACGACAAGTAGGTGAGCAGCACATTGAAAATGATTGTTCGAGTGGTATACTCAGCTGGACCTTTCTTCTCCTCGTCAAAGAGCATTGCGATGAGTGCTGGGAACAGATCATCTGCAAACTTGTTGAGCTCAACCATAGCACGTTCTGTCGTACATAGCCCTTTCAAACAGAGCAGGGCCTCGTGCAACAGTTGGTCTTCGTGGTCTTCGCGCCATTCGATAGCCATTGTCCTTTTCAGGAGCTCAATGATCTCATGCATGCCGTCTTGGGCGATGAAGGTATCAACCCACGACACGGTTTCATTGCGTAGCAGGATCCTCAGCTTGTGCAATCGACCAACCTCGACCTTGGTCGGGTCCTGATTCTGGCGCAGGTAGGTAATGTAATCGCCAGGGATGGCTGGAGCTGCGGTCTTACGACCGAACGATCCAGTTGGTGTGCTTGGCGCGAGATCGGTCCGTGACGCATTGCCGCTCGGTATGATTATTGAAGTTGGACGACTGCGGCTTTGAGAGCGTGGCTTTTTTGCAGGCGAGCCACCGTCCTTCTGCTCTTTTTTGCCTCGTGAGAAGGTGAAGGTCCGACTTCTGGTCCTTGATCGTTTGGTAGCCTTCTCATCGTCCTCATCCTTGAGGGGCACTTTTGTCTCCGTCGTGTGATGGGACTGGTTGGCCTTCTCCAGACTCGTGATAGAACCATGTGGACTGTGATTATCCGCCTTCCCAGCACCCTGATCCTGCCTGATGAAGTCTGCTTTGACTCTTAGAGTCAGGCATCGCATCTTCTGTCTCATGGGCTCGGCTATGTTGCGAGCAGCGAGCACTGCTTCAAATTGCGCGTCCACCGCCTTGGGATCGAGCGGCGCTTCTTCCTTATCCTTTTCTTTGCTGATAGACCTTTCGTGCGTCTTACCTTGCAACATTGCGACGGCCGCCATCACTCTGCCTCCCCTCTTCGTCATGTTGAGCTTCTCTTTACCAGCCGGTAGCTCTGCACTGCCTCCACTTGTCTTTCGATCTATGGCATTACCTGCCAGGATCCGTTCACGCTCGCCCATGGCCACACTGTTCTGTGCCTTGTGCAGTCTCCTGTTTGCGTCTCCAGACTGTCGCCCTTCCATGCTGGACTTGTCACCGCTCACTCGCCTGCCAAAGGCGCTAAACATACTGTCGTTCGTTGAGGATTGGTAGCTCTGCGGCCGAGGCTTGGAAAGTGAAGGTCGCAGACTAGGGTCATCGAAGTTTCTTTGCTTGCTCACGTCGTACTCTTTCGGGGTGTATCGATCGATTTCTGCAAGCAAGTGATGCGAGGAATGCTTCCCTCGACTGCTGGGATGCGGTCTCGACTCAGCAGAGCTGTTCCTGGAAGCCATCTGAGCCCAGATCGGCGTGGGCGGTGCCATGGTCTGCTGCTGCAAGACCGGCGACGCGTTTTCCTTGTTTTCTTTTGTCTTCTCCTCGCTGGCCATCTTGGACAGATCTCTGCTGGAACGATTCATCCTGGCAAAGACACTGGCCAAGTTCGAAGACGACTTGGACTTCTTGGGCTCGCTCTTTTTCTTGGACGGTGAGGCAGGCGGCGATAGCAGACCTGCATTGTTTTGGCGTTCCCCAAGCACTCCTCGATGGTCCACCGAGGCCCGCAATGACAGATTCTGCGTCTTGTCATCCAGGTTGGCGCTGGCAATGGTCGATTCGGGACTGGCAGGACGACTCTTAGACGACACCAGGGCGCGGAGGATGTTGGTCTTGGACGAGGCACCGCGGCGATGGCCTGGCCGTTGCTGTTGCTTGACATCGGCCATGGCTGCGAGTCCCACAGTACATGCACTCAGCACGCTGTTGAGAGGAGTAGCATGGCAAAGAACTGTATCGAAGGAGGACTGTATCGAAGGTAGATGTATACCGCTAGTCTGGAAGCGTGTCACGCGTGCGAGAGCAATAGTCGCATCGCGGTTGGCATGGCAATGGCAGACCGCCAAGAGAAGCTATCTCCACAAACCCATCGGAGATTATCTCACCATGCGAAACAGACGTCATTCAGCTTCTAACCATGTAACAGACATGTAAGTGAGGTACCTCCCAACCACAGTCAAGTACCGTAGTGATGGTCGAGATGGATATTCTTCTCTTCCTTCTCCCTCAAACCACCAAGTACAAGTAAGAAATCCACTACAATGGCCTCTCCCACAGCAGTCTTTCGCAAGAACGCCACCGCCCTCATCACCGGAGCCGCGAGTGGCGTTGGCCTCGCCGTAGCCAAGCTATGTGCCTCCCACTCCATGAACATCTACCTCGTGGACAACAACAAGGAAGCCCTCAACTCCGCCAAGGAGAGCGTCAAGAGCAGCGGCACCGTCAACACTCATGTTCTCGATGTTGCCAACCTCGAAGACTGGGCCACACTCCGGAAGAAAGTGGAAGGGGAGGGCAAGAAACTGGATTTCCTCCATCTCAATGCCGGCATTGGCCTGAAGAGCGACTGGACCGACGCGGCATACTTTCAGAAAATCTTTGATGTACCCAGAAAAGCCCCCCTTTCCTCTCTCCCCTTCATTATCATAAGCCATCATCTGCGTGCCGACAGAGTACTGACATGTAGTCCAATGGGACAAACCACAGGTGAACTTATTCGGAGTCGTCAACGGCATCAACACCTTCTTCCCCCATTTCGAAAACAACACTTCTTCCGAGCAGAAAGCCATAGTCGTGACAGGCTCGAAGCAAGGCATCACCAACCCACCAGGAAATCCCGCGTACAACGCAAGCAAGTCTGCAGTCAAGACCCTGACGGAGCATCTCCACTTCGATCTCGCCAAGTCTTCGCCCCAGACTTCTGTGCATCTGCTCGTGCCAGGCTGGACCTTCACCGGCTTGACGGGTGGCGGTCAGACGAAGACGAAGCCTGATGGTGCGTGGTCGCCAGAACAGGTGGCGGATTACCTGTACCAGAAGATGGGTGAGGGCAAATTTTATGCCATTTGTCCCGATAATGATGTGGATTGGGAGACTGATCGCAAGCGCATGACCTGGACCATGGGAGATGTGGTGTATGAGAGGAAGCCGCAGAGCAGATGGTTGGATGAGTTCAAGGAGGAGGCGAATGAGACGATGAATGCGATGAAATTGGGTCAAAGCCAGAAGGGAAGTTCATCTTGATCATTTGACGATCGCGAGCGAGGCTGCCAATGATAGCATGTTCGCAGACTTCATTGGCTAGTGGATCAAGTCCACTTGAAGATAGCTGAGAGTGAGAGATTGAGAGTGAGAGAGGCCAATTCAATATCTGAGCGAGCGGCCCTATAACGAACTTCTTCTGTCGTCTACTTCCAATCCTGACCCGAGCTTTTTCTTCGATTGGCTTCTGTTCTTATTAATTTATTCCACTCAAGCGAGCGACCTTGATCCATCCTGAACCTTCTTCCCCAGTCTGTCGTGTTCAGTGAATGCATCATATCCATCATCTACTCACAAGCACGTCCCTGGCGAATTCCAATTTCCATATTCAGCTCCACCGTGGCTTCGCTGACCCAATGTCTCAAGCCCTCGTGCAATATCTGTGTCTCACAACCTTGCTTGCAGCACCAAGTCGAACGTGATCGGATCCTCTCGAGTCTCGTTGGCACAGCTGTAAAGCTGTGTGTCTGGCGACGCGGGGGCTTGTAGTCAAGTTCGAGGAACGGAGATGCTCCTGGTTGGCGGAAGACAACAGTCCGATGTCTTGATCTATACTGCGAGCTCTCACACTGGTCGTCTCATACTAACACTTCTGGCATGATCACAGCCTAGTTCTTGAGACTTTATGAATTTGCATAGATGCAATTTCCACTTTGTGCTGATTTGCTAGTGAAGTGAAGCGAAGCCTGGGTGGATGCGGCCATGCCGTATTGTCTCAGGCTGGTCGTGCAGCCTACCTCGCATGAGGCTGAGTGGATGAGTTGGGAGACAAGAGGTCCGCTCAAGACGGCACATGGCTTGGAGATCTTCACCTCACGCACAGCAGACATGCTTCGACTGTCAAGTCACGTGTCTGCCGTGGCACCCTGCGAGTCCATACTGCAGACGCAGCAAAGCCCCACGATGAGGGTCTTGGTCTTGTTTTGTCGAAGCTGAACATTCAGGGAGGCAGTGTGCAGTGCCACAAATCCTCGGGAATTCCAGAACCAGAGTCATCGCCTTCTACTGATCAATCAGATTTCATCGCAGACATAAGCATTTCACCAAATGGTTCACAAACGAATGTACGTACCTTCAAGTTGACTCGCTAGTACAGCAGCCTGCCACAATAAGATCATCAGCACTTGCATCATTTCACATCAATCGCAGCATTCATGGGCTCACCTGCTGCACGCCCATACTCTGATGCAACGTCTTCAGTGCGCCAATGACCCACATCCTGACCGGGCCTCCAGGCGGATCAGCGGCACCAGCAGCAAACAAAGGAAACTGTGTTTGATATCCTCCCGACATTCTGACGAACGGCAAAGCAACCTCATTCTCTTCCGCATGTCGAAAAGGGTTGTGATTTCTCGAATTGAATCCCGATGAAGGCTGCTCCGTGATATGTCCACTCGCATCCGTAGTATAATGGATAGGAAACCTGTGACTCAAGTGCTGAGGTATGACGGCTAAGATGTTTAGCTGCAATTGCCTCACAGATCCAATATAAAACTGGATCCGGTCCAGTTGTGCCCGATCGACCTTGTTACCAGAAGCTCGCAGATTGACTAGTGCTTTGCGTAGCACGTCAGTCAACATGATCCGGTAGCCCCAATTCCCACTAAATATCTGAGCGATGATGTAACTGTCGAAAACATAGCAGTAGTCCGAGTATATCATCTGGCCTGTAGCACCTCTGTAACGTGGTTTCCAATCTTCTGGCGCGTCTGCGAGGATCGACTCCAACTCGGCATAGAGTGCAAGCGCATCATCGACAATCGATTGAGCTTGAGGTGGCGATGCCGGGTAGTTGCCAGGCAATAGTCGAGCGTTGAGATCCGCGATTCGCAATCCGGCGAGGTGAAAGCGCCAGACACTCTCGGTTGGATCGGGAATGAACCTCTCTGCAACTTTCTGCATAGCGCGCACATGTGCTGGTATCGGGAGTCGTCGACTCAGGCAGCTTAATATGAGATTGGTACACGTCTGAAGAAAGAGTCGACATCCTGTCTGCGTACTAAACTGTTTACTGCCGCGCAGCTGAAGTAGAGAAGCTGCCCCGTTGACGTGTTCCCGCCAGGAGTCCAGATTGCGCTGAAAGCCGGAGACGTTTTCGAATATACCCAGGATCGTGATGGCTACCAATGTGCTGTCCCGTGTGCGCTCGGTGGAGTTCTGCAGAGCATTGTTTGTCTTTCGAATGGCATCGACGTACTGCTTCTGAGCCTCTGCTTCGAGCTGGTGACTACGCCCAATCTGGCTGACCGCGCCAGCAGTCCCTAGTGCCTTCACAGCAGCCAGCAGACAGCCGTTGCCAACCTCGATGTCCCACTGATCTCTTTTGTCATTGTACTTGTACACGTACGTATCGAAGAAGTAGGCCAGAGCCAGGTCGTCCAGTCCCGGGAGTGAGTTCGCGGGCGATGCTCGGGGCGAAAAAGATGGATTGGATCCACCACCGTGGCAACTTAGCTCGACTGCAGAATCCCGAGTGGACGATCTCGTGAGAAGTGTTGCTGAAGGAAGCTCCTCCACCGCCAGGTCGGAAGCTCGATCGCTCGGACTAGCAATGGTCGTGGAAGCAGTGGTCGATGGGGACAGCGACACTTCAGGAGCACTTTCTGCTGGGCGCCGAGTGCCCTTCTGCGCGTGGACTTTCTCGATCACCCGTTCGCTCTCATCGTGGAACATCAAGGACGTGAGGTCTCGATAACCTCCACAATCCCAGCCCGCCCTCTCGCACCTCTCGCAGCCACCCTCGCGTAGATCGCACTATAGCACGCACACGACTCGGTCAGCGAGGTAGCCACTTGCGGGAAGCATGGATGGAGTGGACTGCACGCCGTGAGGGTTCCATCTGGTCGAGCATCGCCCCACTGTCAGGTGTGTTCGTCGACAACACGCTCATGACACGCACCTTGATCTTCCGTCTCCGACATGTCCCACAGCCCTTGGACGGCCGTCCGCGAAAAGGCATCGCCCGGAACGGTGTCGGCGTCGCTCTCGAAGGATGCCGTCTCACCAACTGGACATTGGTCGAGGTGAGGTGGAGTCGTTCGGTGATGGGCCGGGATTGCGTAAGTGGCGAGAGATGCGCGTTGTTGGGTCCTCGAGTGGCAGTTTCCGGCTGTTCAGGCTGTTCAGCGCGGTGTGGGTGTGCCCGGTGTGCCTTTTGTGGTGATCCCTGCGGCGTGATGGCGGACCAAGCTCGGACTGGACATGGATGGGATGGGGGCCAAGTCAGCAAACCCAAAAGCAGTCCTACATGCTATGATGCTACCTGACCTTATTAAGTGCCGATGCTGCATACCTTAAGGCTTACCCAGGTATTTCTCGACTCGATCACGGATGTCTGTCTAGGTAGGTAAGGTACCTAGGTATCCCTGTCGTGTGGGCGGGGTACAGTGAGTGAGTGGAGAGACCTGAATGAGGTATACCAACTATAAGGTACTCCGCGCGCGAGGACGGTTCTCAGGTGGTGGTAGCAAGAAGCTGAAAGAGCGTCAAAAATGGAGAAGAGTAGAAGAGTGATGAGGTAAGGGAGGAGTTCGGCAGTAGAGTGTGGCACAAATGCTGTCGTCAAGTCATTATACATCTGCTTGGGTGCGTCGTGATACAAGTAGTCGACCTTGGCAGACCCTCGCGAATGGAAGACAGCGAGTGCTTCTCTCCTCGGGCTTGTACATGTACATTAGGTACGGTATATATACATATCTGGTACGATATGGTATGGTGCTTTATGAGCTCCGACTTCCCATCGGCTCAAATGGAAAGGCGATAGCCGCGGCTGCCATCACCACGTATAAAGTGGCGCAAATGTAGATGGGCACCGGGGTGGATGTATCCGCGTATCTGCCAGAACATGTCAGTAAGGTAATGCTCGAAGTCTATGCCTGGATTTTTGTCACCCACGTTGCGACCACGGCACTCATGATGCCCATCAGTCTGTTGAATCCAATGGAGATGCCGTTGCCTGTTCCACGATGTGCAGAAGGCAGGACTTCCGGAGTGTACGCGTACAATGTGCCATAGTAGATGTTCTGCATTTCTGTGTTAGCCGTCAGGTCTCACAACACCGATGTTCGAGGTGGCAAGTCGGCGAGCACGGCCAGGAGCCAGAAGCAATAGTCAGATGTTGGTATAAGCATTGCAGGCAGGGTTCTCAGACAAGCTCTGTGCGGACACAAAGCCTCTCACGTCCGCAGCCTCAAGATTACCATCGTACAGCATACGCATTTTGTAATATGCCTCATGATGATATTCCAGCGTGGGATGCTCTCTGGAAACGAGTCTGACGATCGGTGTGACATTCTGTCACTCCGAACGGCGTCTCCTAACACCACCCAAACCTGCCTCGCAATTTCAGATCTATACTGCTGGTCGGCGCCGCACAAGCATGGCTCGCCGCCTGCGCATGAACAAAGCCAATGCGAGAGTGATATATTGGATGCGTAGAACAGAGCGCTATGAGCATGTAGCTGTCTCATCCCACTCTCGTTTCTTATTCTGTATGGAAAAACAGTGGGAAAGAACGGACGACTTACCAAGCAGAAACTGATGGCGCACGTGAATCCTGCAATATATTAGTGAAAGCTTCTACCACTCCGTATCATCAGACCCTTACCAAAGTTTTGCGCGTTCGTCTTGACCTGAGTGTACGAGAAGAAGAAGGCCATTGTGACCAGAGCTCCAATGACCTGTGAGGGGGTTCAGTTGAGCACGAATGGCATCCTCAATCACATCATACCATTGTTCCACGTCGTCCCCAAAAGAAGCGGGACTTGCACATATAGCCAGCCAGAATTGGGCTCGGAATGCTGCACAGATTGGCGATAGCGTAATTGCGCCAGACTTCGTTCGGAGACAAGCCTCCAAGCTGAGCTCCTCGAGTTTTCAAATAGACCCTGCTGAAGTCAGCATGTCTGAGAACGATGAACAGATATGTGTAAAGGGCACGCACGGCAGGAACACGTTGAACAGCGGATACGCCAGCCCGATGAGAAGCCAGGAAAACCAGATCAGGCTTGTCGATAGAGCCAGCTTCTTGGTGGAGAACAGGCCTGTCAGATGGACTCCCACCTCGCCAAAGGAGAACTTGGACTTCGCGTGTGCTGCTCCCGAACCGCGTCTGAGATAGCTGCCAGTCACTCCACAAGCCTGAAAGTCCTCAATGGTGAGGCTGCATGGCCTGTTGTACTTCTTGGCGATGAATTGAAGGGTATCCACGACCTCAGCGTCTCTGCCTTCGCCAACCAGATATTTGGGAGTTTCACGTAGCCTGATGACTGTGATCCGGAGTATAGACAGGAGGAATATCAGTGCTCCGTTGGTAAACCACATATATCTCCACTGTAAATTGTAGTTAGCCATGCATTTCTTCGAAAGTCTCCCGGGCATGTTCCATCCAACATACGCCAGGGTTTGTGTCCCAATTACAGGGCACACCAGTTTCAACTGGATCTCCAGGACAGCTATAATTTGGGATGAAAGCCCACGCAAACAAGCCGGCCACCAGCTGTCCAAGTCCCCACCATGCCGCCATGAGCGTAAGCAACCATTGATCCTTCGAAGGCAAGTACTCCAAAAACACAGCAGTGTCCAGAACAAGATTCCCTCCCGCTCCGAAGGCTGCAAGAGAAACAAACAGTCCAAGGACAATCCAGTTTGGCGATGCACCTGCCACCATGCAGAACACGCTCGAGATCAGCAGGCTGACGTTGAAGGCGTACTTCCTCCCAATGACATCGGCAGACAGGCCCCAAAAGAGCGCGCCTACCAACATGCCGACATAGGACGCAACAGTCAAGCCGTAGTCCCAGCCAGGCTTGAACTCGTAGGCAGCTTGTCCTGCAATAATGCTCTGAATCAAGAGAATCAGAGAGTCTACTGCGTATCCAAAGCCATTCAACACAAAGAGTTTCCACTGATAGCCCGTCATGCCAATCTCGTCAATAGCATTGTTGACTAGGTGCATCTTCTTGTTAAGCACAGGGTCCACATCTTCGAGCGCGAGCAGATCGCTCTTGTCCAGACCGTATTCGTCTTCGCTTCTCCCCGTTGTACTCTCGTACGCGCGCGAACCGCTCGAAAGGTGCGATTCCAGCACGCCGCCCTTGGTCTTGTCGTCGTCGCCATATCCCGTCGTCGCCGCCATATTGCGAGTCGCGTCGGAGTAAGAGGAAGTCTCCGCCAGCTCGATGCTGTCTCTGCTCGAGCGGGCGAGAAGGCGTTCGGACTCCAGGGCGGGAGGAGGAGGGGGAGGAGGGGGAGGAGGAGGAAGAGGAGTGGTGATAAGGTCAAAGATAAGAAGGTATGGCTATGGTGACAAGATTGCAGCAGCTGTGGCGGTCTGCGTGCGAATTAAGTGGTTGCAACGTGACATTGGCGAAACTAAGTCCTCGAAGAAGGAAGGTGTATGAAGCACATAATGCAATGCAATGTCGATCTGTAGGTAAGGTACCTTAGGTAACCTTGGAAGGCATACGTGGGTGGTCCTCTGTAGGGAGATGGGTGTGCTTTCGCTTTCTTCCAGGCTGTTGCCGGAAGGTGTCTACAGCTCTCGGATCAGAGCTGACCCTCTGTCGTTCCGTCATTCGAGCGCCAGTCTTCGTACCACGGCGCTGTTCGCCTGCCCGTCCGCCTGCCTGTCTGTATGTCTGATCGTTTGCCAGCCCGGAGTTTCAAGCGCCATGGCTCTTGCGACAGGGCAAAGGCGCAGGTGCGTCTGATGGTCGACAGGCCAAGCGCCTGGATTATTCGAGGGGATCAAAGGGATGATGTTGCATCGTGGAAGATGCAGGGCAAGCGAAAAAGAGTGGAGAGCTGGGTTTGCGGTATAGGCACCACAGAAGCAGAGGTCAGGTAGCCGATAGGTAGTCGACACTCGACAATCTTGCAAAATTTCCCGAGTCCAATGAGGACGTGAATAAAACTACAGGAGACTGGTACCTCCTACCTTACCTCCCACCTCCTAGTTCAGCAAAATTGCTTATCTTAGCGGTGTGACCTTCAGCCACTTTCTTCGCGCCGGAAAAGGACGAACACCTGAGCCGTGATCCGCTTACAGGTTTGGCGAGGCAATAACTTAGATACATAGTTTAGTGACGGCGGCGGGAGTGGGACAGTACTAGTTACCAGTACCATAAGACTGATGGCCTCGAGATCATCCATGTACCTCCTAGTTACAGTTACAATGTACTACTACCTACCTACTGCAGCTTCCACCATCATTGCAACTTCATCTCCTGGACCCCTTTGCCACGCAAAAACTTCTCGACGTGTCTGCAAGAGAGACACGTTCGCCGTCTTCGTCTCCGCTGTCACGCGTCGTGTCCTCTATTTGAATGCTGAGTGGAGGTATTGAACGCCGGGGGAATGGTATGCAAATGCAGCCACGACGAAACGCACGCAAAGAAACAAGAATCGAGCATCAATTCGCGCCAGTCATTACCCAACCAGAGATGCTTTCTCCGTATGTACAAGGCCCCTCATGAGCATGTACGACACTGGCCACCCATCCCATGCTTGATATCCATAATCGTGGTCCTTTGCAATGATTGCAAAACAGTTTGTTTTGGCTGTCCTCCTTGTCCCTTGCAAAGGATCGATTGCAAGGTACGAGGATGTACGCGAGCTGGAAAACCGGAGGCAGCCTTTGCAGAAGCTCCAAAAACCACAGCCCATGATGCTTCGGGAGTGAAGATGAGCACCAGCGCCGCCATGTCTGCGTGAGCTATACATGCTGAGGGCGAGCGCCACCACCAGCTGCAACAGTCGCCGGCGTGCTCGCAGGTGCTGGCGGCGGATAATACTCCTGCTGATATTGGTCATCGGCGTAGTCATCATCGGCGTAGTCTTCGTCGTCGTAGTATTCTTCGTCATCAGGAGGCGGCAAGCTTGGATCGTAGTTCTGCGGATGAGCAGGTGGTGCCGGAGCCGCAGCATTGTTGGCGGTGTTGTTCTTGCTCTTCCCTGTGCCCTTCTTGTTCTTGCGTCCCTTCATCTTGGCCTTCTCGAGCAGTCTCCGCTTCTCTTCAGCCTTTTTGCGTTCCTTACGGTCTTTGATCTCATATGCACGGATCAAAGCATAAGGCGGCACACCATAGATGTCTTCGTACTCGCAGAACTCGCAGATCCACATGTCATCGTGCTTCGGCCGGTGGTGGTAGTTCTGATACTGTTGGTTCTTCTTCCGCTGCGCTGCTTGCATCGCGTATTCCTTTGTTGGATTTCGACGAGGCCTGGGCTTGGGCGGTGCAGCTTGCTGCTGCTGGGGATGACCTGCAGAGTTTGCGGGCGGTGGAGGTGGGCGGTTGGCATTGACGGAAGGATGCTGCCCGCGTGATAGTGGTGAAGTCTGTGTGCCGTGCGCGTGCTGCGGCATTGATCGCGCTGGCGTGGGCGTGCCGGCGACGTACTGGCCTTGCTGGTCGACCATTTTCGTAGCGGAGTCGGATTCGCATGTGAACGTGAACTGTGAGTTGGGGGCTGATAAGTTGATGTCGATACTAGTAGTAGATGAAAGCAAGCTCACGTTCTCTCGACCCTTGGTTGCTGGTGTCAACGGCCCTTGTTCGGCAGCAGTTTTGATGGCCTGGGAGATGATCCCACCGGTGTTTTCTATGCCGGGGGTCGTTACGTCAGCCATCTCTAGTCAATCAAAGAAATATACATGGTGCACTCGAGTCATGAGGCAGTAGGTAGTATTTACCTTCTCCATTTCTCACATCGCTCGCACGTGGCGAAGAGCGCGAGTTGTAGCCATTGACAGTGTTGATCGTGCTGCTTCCTAACGGTCTTCGGTGTCTGCCATCTTGCCTGCCATATCGTCCTCGCCCTGCGCCGCTGATTCCAGTGCCTGAGCCAGCGATGGACGGAGCTACGTGTGGATCGTAGTATTGCTGCTGTGTGTGCTGTATCCCATTCGTTCCATCCTCATCAACCTCGGGATGAGAATTGCTTATCCCCATGTTTGCCATTTCCGCGCTCAATTGACTCTGATGCATGCTCGAAGCCGAGGACAGTGGAATCTTCCGCTTCTTCTTGTTGCTGGTGTTCTCGAAGCTTTCGTATCCATCGCCTGAGGATGCTGTTGAGCCTGGGGGCGGTGGCTTGTTTGCAGCACGCGAGGCCTCTACTAGTCGCCTCTGCAAAGAGTCTGGCTTCAGACCACTCCCATTCGTCATCGGAGCAGTAGCATAACGGTAGTCGGGATGGTCAAACTCCACTTCATCGTCGCCGCTGTCCCCATCGTGCCCACAAGTGCAATGATCATGGTGCACGGCATGGTGGCGGTGATGGTTGTCGTGTTCATGTTCATGGTCATGGTCATGCTCCTCGTGCTCGTGATCATGCTCATGGAGGTGGTGGTGATGGTGAACGTCGCCGTTCGTCAGCCGTGGCTGCTGCGCCGGCGTACCGGTCTCCTGCACACTGAAAGTCAGGGTGGGCGAGATTGGCGGTGGACTCGGTGGAAACACCAGAGATGACACCTGTTCCGGCGACAGTTTGGCTCGCAGTCGGCTCCTCGGGAGAGGTCGAATGGCACGGTCTGGATAGATGGATGACGCCGTGTCAGGAAATCGCCCTGGCGAGAGGGAATGGGATCGATGATAGCTATGCGTAGCCAACTCTGCACAAGTTTCCGACGTGTTAGCACAGGCCTACCAAGAGGGTTCCACCCACGGTATAATCGCCATGAGAGCTCCCATGACAGTGCTCGTCATGGCGAGTAGTGCCTGCAGTGCCCGTATGCGCAGCAGTCTCGAAACCTCGAGTCTGCCGAGATCACATCTCGCCAAATGGTCCTTGCCACGGTCCTTGCCACGTCTTCTTGCGGTCCAAGCCGTGACGCAGACCCATCGCAGCGTGGTTGTCCCGGACTTACCAGCAGTCGTAGCCATATTCCATCTGCCTCCTCGTCGCTATCGGAGATCTCGAAGAGAGTTGCTCCTAGTGGCCCTCTTTTATCGCACACGAGCAGGTTCACCGGGGTTTGAGTCGGGCGCTGATATATGCGTGGTTAGCACGTTGGCGGGTTCGAAAGGCAAGCAGCCCAGGTGTGCTGTGGACAAGTCTTATGCATACAGTGTGTTTCGCGTGTTGGTATGCTAATGAGGAGTAAGGTAAGGTCCAGTGTAGGGCACAGCGAAGTGGTGGTCATAGAACACCTTGGAACTTCCAAGGTTAGGGCGTGGGAGGAGTAATAGAATAGCGAACGCCGAAGTGTCTCCACACTTGAAACCTCAGGTGTGTTCGTCCGTGTCTTCTTCTCCGTCCCTTTCACACACACACACATTTTCGTCGCCTTTCTCTACCTCATGCCCGTCGAAAAAGACCGCCAACTGAGGCTCACGTAGACAAATGGAGCATATCAGGCATTTACGTCTCGAGCATCAGGTTGGCGAGACGAGACCAGGCCAGACGAGACGTGGTCCCGTGGCCAGGCAGCTCTGAATGCGAAGAACAGAACTGGAATAAATGTCTGAGGCAACGGAATAGATGCAATGAACGGGGCCGACGCTTGTGGGCGTGGCGGTAGAGGGCTCATGTCTGACGGCTCTATATCTAGGCATTTCTTGTGCCTCACTGGATTTAGCACAGGAGCATGTCAGTATGATCTGATGCCTTTCTCTGGTCGCAGTGCAACACCTTTGCTGCGCTACCAAAATGCTCCGACGGCTTGGTCGACCGGGCGCACGGTAACCACTACGATTTCCAGTCCTTGGCCTCGTCTGTCAGACTCTGGGATGCATTCAGATGAATTGTATCCGCTGTCGGCGGTCTTGTCATTCTCAGCGTCTGATCTCAGGTTAGCTCAGCGGCACTCGGATGAGGATATATAACTTACCTTGCAGACTCTTTGGCAGTGCATCCTGCCACTTTAGCTTCATCAGCGTCCGCCCGGTTAGCATATTGGTGTCCAGCCTAGCCTGGCCAAACCGCGTGTAAGAGTCCTGCGCTCCTTCGCTGCACTGGAGACTCTCGATGAACGACTCATAGCAAGACATGGCCCATGTCAACTTTGCCACTCGATGTTCAGCTTCGGCCATCAGCCCAGCTGCGATGTATAGCTGAGTGGTGGCGAGAGCCCATTCGCCGGAGACGACAGCAGCACGGGCGCGGGCGAAGCCTTCACGAAGTTGGTTCATGATTTGAATCATGTCTGGCATCTCACGCGAGTCTGAGCATGTGAAAGCTGTGGCACTGAGCTCTTGCAGCTCCTGTGGAAAATGAGAGTGACTGCGAATGTGAAGTGGAAGATCGTGGTAGACCACGCCGAGTTCCTTGTAGACCTTGGCAAGACCGTCGAATGAAGTGGAGTAGAGAAGAAGAACGTGCTCGAGCTGAGCTTTGCTGTAGGGACCAGGCTCAAATGAAGGGACACTTTGACGAGAAGCCGCTGACATTCCCATATCTGATGTGGTGCTTTGGTGAATGGCTTGCAGCGAGGGCCATATAATCGCGGCGTTTGGGTTGTTGTCGGTATTTCGCTCTGACGGACTTGATGACGTGTTTTGGCTGTGCTGTTGAATGGCAAAGATTCTCAGTTTGCCTATGAGGATGCCTTGACCTTTATATGGCGGCACTGTTGATGCTTTGCCGGGTGGTTGGAGCAGTGTGACACAGGACAATAGAGACAATAGCACCGCCGCCGAGACATGTGCGCGTGCAAAAGGCACGGCCCGCACGTCACCAGCGCAAGTGAAGCAGGCGTGTGCACGAGGGTTGGAGCAGCGTTTGCAGCCGGGTAACTGCAATCTAGGTACCATCAGGTAGGTATCTATACCACGAGACGTTGGCAGGGCTCTATTGTAACCTTTCACAATCATCATGCTGATGGCAGGCCGCAGCATCATCTCAGCAGCAAAAAGCCCAATCCAAATGGGTCACCCTCACCTCCAAGACGCAGTGTCAATACGGTAGCGTGTATCCGAATGTCAGTTTGTCGTCCTGACTTGAATTTAGATCCACTTGTAGCGCATTAGCTGGAGAGCACGTGAGGCTGGGGCACTATTCAGGGAGAATTGAAAACCTCAGGTACAGGTATCTTCGTTCAGCTGACTTACTGATTCAAACTGAGGAGGATACAGTTAAACACCTGGTACGCTGTAAAGTCAGGTACCTCCTAATGTAGGTAGGTGAGCTTCCAGGTTGGCTACGGTTCTGCCAAATAGTAGGTACTGTTCCCTCATTGCGGCAAGTGCGTTCGAAACCACAGGCCAGTCAAACATTGCTCGCGTCCTATTACTTGCCTTGGCCAACTTACAACAACGGCCAAGGAAACCATATCAGTCAAGCGCCCGGCGAGAAGAAGCAGTCGCAAGAGCGAAGAAGTGATCACGGATTTCTCAGGGCGGTCAACGCTGTGGGGGCAGCCAAGGGAAGTCGAAGACTCTGGCGGACGACGAGTAAAGCAAGTAAGCTGTCGGTATGTCATCAGGGAGCTCGGGAAACAGAGTACAGGTACTGAACTGGCTCCGCAGCATCTCTGTAGAAAGCATCGAGTCTAGACCTGTTGGAACTGGAAAGCCAGAACGGACTGACCCAGCACGATGAGGCGCCTTCATCGTTTCAAAGTCACGTATTGCAGCCGCGATTGTTACCATCGGCAAGACGAATGGTACTATTAGAACTTCGTCAAGACTAGGCGACTCAGCATCACTAATGCCAGACACTCACCACCTCATCCATGCTTCCAAATGTCAAGAACATTCTCAACACGCAATGGAAATATCCACAGCGGCGTTGCCTTCATTGGTACAACTCTATACCTTGATAGGTAACACATCGCTCGGGCTCAGAAGCGGCAGTCCTAAAATTTGCAGCACACCAGTCACACTGCCATCACTACTCACTCATATTCAAAGCTCTAACACCCTCCAGCTTCCGCACTCCCTTTCCAAGCAAAGCATCTGCCAACGCCGGCCACGGAGCCGGCCTTGACTCCACTACCAACGAAGCGTTCGCTGTCCCAGCACCACCAACGACATTCCGTCCGATAGCCTCAAACTGTTGCTAGGGGTTGATAAAGCCATCTTGGGTGCTAGTATCCTAGTACTCCCAATCTACGACAGAACCCAAGTTCGACATGAAGATGACATGGAGTCAAAGAAGCAGTGTTCGTTTTGTTGTTGTTGTGGGATATCAATTATAGACGTACCTACAGGCGCCTTACGTGCAAAAGGCTTGATATGTAAAGGTAAGGTAAGGAAGGTAAGGTACGTACCTAGGTATGTTGAGCAAAACGCTGTGTTCGAACAGCCAGCCAGCCCTATGAAATGCCCCAGAAAAACTTGAATCACGAGATGGGTCTTACTAGGAGGTAGGTCCCTTACCTCTTGCCCCTCTACCCCTCCCCCCATTTTTCGCCTATAATGATTTCACTGTACACGTCTGATGCGGTATCTGATATAGCAAACTTTCTGCGGTTCGATCAATCACTCCGAAGATTGTTACTCAAGACCTAGGCAGCAGCAGCTACAGTGAGTATCACTATGACTTCGAAGAAGAAAGTCACTAAGAGGTAGCGACATGAGACGAAAAAAAAGGCTGTAGATCTTCCCGTCTTCAGACGCCGTTGCGTCCGTAATAACCGTGGCGCGGAAAAGGTATAATTTTGTGCATAGGGAGGGTTTCTCGCTCTATGGTTGAGATTGGGGGATGGTCGTCGTCTACATGTATAGAGTGTCTCAACAGCATTCGTGTTGTAAGGTACTGTATAAGGTACTGTACCTGATGGCTAATGCTGGTCCTTATCACACATACCTACCTAGGTATGTAATACGTGAAACGGCTTGGAGGGTGAGGTATATTCTGGCTATTGTTTAGCGTCTTGACAGCACTAGGTGATTCTTAGGGGCAAGAAGTAGGAAGAGGAGGCTGAGGAGGCTAGTCTTACCTATACCTGTACCTGACTGATAAGATAGTAGGACCTATCTGGCATATAGGGGCTAGCTACTCACTACGTACGAGTTGAGATCGCGATAGATGATACATCGCATCTTCCGAGTTGAATACGGTAACCGTTGGAACTAGGTAATGTATGCATGAAACCGCGAATATAGTACCGCAAATAGTCCTTCTATACCTCGTGCGACGGGAATGTCCAAGGTAACAGCACAGCACTATACGACAAACTTGGCAAAGAAAAGAATGAGTTGTGTAACCGGGGGCGGAAGTACCTTACCTAACCTTACCTGTAGTGATCTGTCTCGCGTATAGGAGAGCTATTATTGGGATGCATGAACATGATACATTGCAGCATAGAGAGTGAACTAGGCGGGTAGCACTTTCCCGTCTCCTTGCTTTACCTAAGGTGTCCATGTATCTATGACGTTGAATATTTATCCAGCACTACACTACATGGATGCACCAGATACATACCTTATGTACATGTATCATGATGTATGTATTCTGTTGTTGAAAAAGTTGTCCCAAAACTCCGGTATAGAGCTCCTACATTGGGCGGCTTTTGCTGGACCCCGTCAACGTCAACGTCTCTTGTCGCCAATACCTCCTAAGGGGAATGACGACGATTGACTCGGTCTTGATTCGGTGTGTCTCGCGACTCGATGCAGCTGAGGAGGAACCGACCTTAGGTTGGGCAACACCTACATTGGGTAAGGTACCTAGATACCTACTACCTAGTAACTTCCACGTTGTCCAAGACCTGCCTCCAAGCAAAAAGGGACTTTTCTACGCAGGTACATGTCGGATACCTATACTAATCTAGGTACTGTACCTTACTTAAGGTACTGTCCCCTACCCGACCAGTCTGTCTCAGTCCTTCTGCTTGGCAAAGTCTAGGCAAGATTCTGAAGAATGCTGACTAACGTCACATAGATACAAGGTACCTGAGTCAGGGAACGTTGGATGTACACATGCCAAGCAGGCAGGATCCGAGGGCCGGTATCCGACCAAGCTAGCAGGCCTGACCTTACCTAGCCTGACGAGTTTTTCCGACGAAGAAAAAGCTTGGCGCAATACTCCCCGTCCGTAAGAACTCAGATTCGACATCATCCGCTGCCCTACCTATATGAGGTAGGTATGCGGGCAGGTAGATGGAAAGGCGGAAAAAAAAAGTCTCGAACATTCCACAAAAAAAAGATCGATATGCACCGAGAGAATCTGCTCCACTATGGATCCCAATATCGTGCATGCAGCCCAACAGTACAGACCTACATATCTTGAAAAAAAAAATGGATCAGCCTGATCAGGGATGTAGATAATAAAATATCAGTACTGTACTGCACCTATGTACCCGATCTGCAACGACCTAACCTACCTATATTAGGTACGTACCCAAAGTACCTACACGTGTTTTTCAAACCCAATTGGGGGCGATACGTACAAAGGCAAGTCCTCCGTAGTAGGGTGGTCCAGGACCTGTTCGCCTATACGCTACGCCACACGGAACTTGATGTTTGGCGATTGAGAAAGTGGATTCTGCCGAGTGCCGATTAATATGCCGGAGGTACCTCATACATGTACCTCACTTCACATGTAGGTAACCGATGGACCGATGATGCTGTTTGCTGCTTGTTGCTGATGTGATGACAGTTGCATATCGGTTAAGGTCACGTTATGTAGGCAAGGTGACTCAGGTAGGTGGGTAAGAACACGAGAAGCTTCAAAAAAAAGGTCAAGTAGGTGTGTATAACATATTCGTGAATTCTTCGCAACGCTGTACATGGAACGAACAGGAGTGCCGCCGCCATCATCTATCTATTGCCTCTATACCGGTTTTGTGCATGTGGGGAGAAGTTTTTTTTTCCCTCCTTCCTCCTTCCGCAAACAGTCAGGTGCCTAGTGACTATAATCCAAAAAGATAAAGAAAAGCGCCCGAAGACGCCAGGAATGTCGACATGGCTACGATCAGAACTAGCAAGGCATCGTTCGTAGTGTGTGAGTGACTGGCTGCCCCCAATGCCAGCTTGGTCCGCTTGGGAGTCGACGGCGCCGTGGTTGTGACAGATGTCGCAATCATGGTGCTATAACCGCCAATCGTAGTGGCAAAGGTCGTCGCATAGGTTGTCGCGATAAGCGTCGGAGACGGCAGTGGCAAAGGATGACCCATGCCACACAGTCCTGAGTGAGCGAGGAGCTTCGTGGGAAACAGGACCTTCGGAAGACCTTTTCCCATGGGAACCTTCAAGTAACCAGACTTGCCGACGGTGAGCTGGGTGCACGTCAAGATCTCCGTGACTTCCGTGAAATGTTTCAGTTTGTGATCTTTCACGTCAATCTCAAAGTCTTCGGTGCTTTCGCCATTGTTGTTCAGCACAGTGATGACTTGCGCGCGGCCATGTCCCTTGCGCATGGCGATCGTATGGTAATCTTGGTAGATCACGTGGCTTTCACGCGTTGCGTACTTGTCACAGACGCGAATGAAATGCTGGCGTGCAAGGACCAGAGTGGAAATATGGCGATAGAGTGCAGCCTCCGTGTCATAGCCAGTACTCCAGAGAGGTGCGCGGTTGATATGTGGTGAATTGGCGCCAGACATGTGTTGCTCTTGTCCTTGGTATATGATGGGAATGCCATCACTCATGAGGGTGAACGTCAGGACGTTCTTGGCCAGTGCCGTGTCGTTGGTGATTTCAGCGAACCTTTCCACATCGTGGTTCTCCGAAAAGATGCCAAAGGCGGATGGGTCCTCGCAATTGGCGCGCGTGGTGTAGATGGTACTGACCAAATCATTGATATTCCCGGTTGGGCTCCCAAACGCTCTCACCAACACATAATAAATCGGGTAGTTCAAGATGGAACCTATCGTGTCCGCCCATCGACACACGAAGCTTCGGAACACATCAGTCAGGAGCGCCCCGCGACGAGTCAACATTTTAGATCTTGTTACTCACCTATTGTCCCCGTGCATGGTCTCGCCTGTGGCAAACACGCCCGAAGCTTCCACAAAGTCAGGGAAGAACTCGGGCTCCACGTTGAGCGCTGTGTCAATGCGAAGGCCATCGATGGAGTAGTTCGAGACCATTTCACGGATCCAGTCGGTGAGCATATCTCGGACAACATCATCTTCGGTGCGAAGATCCGGGAGAGAGACGACGTTCGAGCCTAGCCAGCAGGCTTCGACATTGGTTTCATTCGTGTTACCGTTGACTGCACAATACGAGTGATAGTACTTCTGGTCATCAAAAGGCTTGAGAACACTGTAGTCGACTTTCTCAGACGGACCAGCAAATGCTATCGCATAGTCAGTACCAATCGTTACCCTATTTCGAGCGGAACTCATACCCATATGGTTCACGACAATGTCCAGCATCAGGTACATGCCCCTTCGGTGCACCTCGTCGATCAGCTCTCGCAGCTCATCCGCGGTACCAAAATTCGAATTCAGCGAATATAAGTCTTGTGCCCAGTAGGCAGTGTATGACTCGCCATCGGATGTGGTATTCTGCAGCTGTGCCACCACTGGCGAGATCCATAGAGCATCAAAATGCATGCCCTGAATGTAGTCCAGTTTGTCGACGATGCCCTTCCAGGTTCCCCCACAGTAGAACCCATTCACGACATCGCAGGAACCCTCGGTCGAGCCATCAGCTTTGGCGAAGCGGTCGGTGAGCACTTGGTAGATCGTCCGCGTCCTCCAGTCGTCAAGAGTGGCTGCGCTCACATTCAGCGAGTACAGCAAGACGGCACTCAACGCGAGAATCTGAAGTGAGAGCTTCATCATAGCGAACTTTCAGGTCAGGTGGGTACCCGAACATTCATCACTTGGAGCTGCGGTGCTACGAAAGACAAAGCAGACGATGCAACACAGACAGATCCGGGTTCCAGGCGCCACAGAGCCTCTAGCTGTGATGCAGGTCCTACTTCTAAGTAGAGGATAAGGTAGGGTCCGCAGTCGCACTTCGGCGATCATAATACAGCGTCTTCGCTGCACCTCGGAGCTGGGTGATGTATCCAGTGGATCCTACCTCACCTTTACTCACATAGCATCAACGCAATCTGTGGCGCTAGGACAATTCCTATTGGCCAAGAAGCTGGCATTTCTTTGCAGCCAGCTACCTGCTACAACGCCTATTCGTCCACACGCTGTCGCCATACCGTTGATATCAGCGCCTCTACACCCACCTCCAATAATCTGCTTACTCTCACCACAGCCACCTGCCGGCAGATTCACTGGGCTGCTGCCTGCTGTCGCGGCATCGACATTCTAGCCTCCATCTAGGTAGAGATACCGTCTGCATCTCCACATTGTCGTCATGCAAGGAAGACTTCACTTCCGTACACAAGAGCAGGCCACGAAAGCACATTACGACGTCGTGCTTGTCATCGTCCAAGATCATCGTGGCGGCGGCAGGTATATCGTGCCTGATGCACTGATGCCGTTACCAGAGAATTTCGGAGTGAACGGAGTGAAGATCAGATCTTCGATCTTTAAGGATGCTATTTCAGTCTCCTATACGCACGGAGAAGGTCGCCAGACCCCAGAACTGGGACAGCAGAGTGTCTGGCACGGTGGCAACGCTTGGGACAGGAGGACGATAATTGGCAATAACAATGAGGCTGGTGGGTGGCAGAGGGGTCGGAGAGGGAGGGTCACGACGAGCGCTTGGGCGCGTTCGAAACGAGAAGTGGATCGTAAATGGAATGATGGGACTACAACAGGAACGCAAGTGGAAGAGACGTGGCCCGGGACGTCGTCGGCAGCTGCAGGGCGGACAGGGATGCGCATAACGGGCACACCTTAAAACGGCAAGGCGCAGCCGCTGTGGGGACCGCACCTGCCGTTTCAACAACGCGCTTCCGCAGAATTTCTGCGCGATGCACATAGATAGCCAATTCATTATCGTTCCCTCGAGTAGATTGGAATGTATACTGCAGGTGAGCTTTAGCCCGCCCTGCTTCTTCGGCAAAGACAGACCACCCGGCCCGAGCGGCGCGTCGCGTCGCGGGCAGGTGCAGAACAGCATACCAGTGCCAGTGCCAGTCTCAGCCAGTGTCGGCAAGAGCGACGATGAGTGCTGCTGGGCTCGGGCTGGGCTGGGCTGGGCTGGCCGGGTGGTTGCATGGCGACTGATAACCTGAGGTACATGTATTGTGCGCTCCGGTGTTGAGATCTCGTCTAAGGCTCCGGGCCTGCGCCGATCAGAAAGCGGAATGGCTAAGTAGCACCACTGCGCTGGCCCTAGCCGAAAGAAGACGAGACGACCTGCTACTGGAGTCACAGTTATAGTATCGTCCTTACCTAAGGTCCCCTGCCGCACTGTAGAAGCATGGCGTACCTGCCAAATCGCCGCCCGGGTGGCGGGCGGGATCCATTCTCTGCCTGCCGGACTGCACACGCTGCAAATTGAACAATATCGAGCATTCGAGTGTCACTGTCGCCCTCCCCGGCTGGCCCGTCATGTCCATTAATGGATTCTGCTCGGCGGGGCTGCTGGGCCACCGGTGCGTCCCAAAGCAGCCAGTCTGTGGTTGTGTTGACGGAGGGAGCCAATCGTGCTTCTCGTGCAGACGCGACCGTCGCACAAACCCAGCAGAGCATCAATCTCGCTCGCCTTCTTCCAACGCTGCCCTCTGCACTGCACTGCACTGGCTGCACTGCACCGCATATATCGCCGTCACACACTATCTCTGTCGCTCAACGGCGACCAAGCTTTGCCCGGTGGAGCCTGGCACTCTGCTGCTGCCACTTGCATCTCCACGCCCTCTCTTGCCCCCCTCATCATTGCCTCAACCTCCCGCCTCAACGACCTCAACCTCCGCGCTGGCCCTTCCCGCCTGTTTCTGCTTCGGACCGCCGTCTTCTCACGCGCGCGCCCCCCTGCTGAGGCGAACAGCATCGGCAATCCCTGCAAGCCACCGTTCCTGCCTGGCTTATCAGGGCAGCTCCTGCATTCTTCTTGTGCTTCCTTCCCATCTGTCGTCTTTCCTTCCCTCGCACCACCACCTCACTACTGACACCAACGCCTTGATGCGGATTGCATAACGACAACACCTTCCCCCGATTGCCACCGCGGCACTTGCACCTGACGCGAGCGGGCAACATGTTCAAGGCATGTCTCTGGGGCCTCCTCCCGCTGGCGGCCTTCGTCTCGGCCTCGTACTATGATGAAGCCGAGGTGGAGTGGAATCTCAATGCCAACCCGAATGCCCTCACCCCTCTCGAATACACTGTGCCGGATTGGCCGGCGGACTTTGAACATCAAGGCAGTCCCGAGAACTGGCGCTTCCCCTTCTACAGCTTTTTCCTCGATCGATTCGTCAATGGCGATCCCACCAACGACAATGCCAACGGCACCACCTGGGAGCAGGACTACCGACAGACTCAGCTCCGACACGGCGGAGACATCCAAGGTGTCGCCGACTCACTCGACTATCTGCATGGCCTGGGAATCCGCGGACTGTACCTGGTGGGAAGCGCCATGCTGAACACGCCTTGGGAAGCGGATGGCTACAGCCCTTATGACCATACCATCTTGGACCACCACTTGGGCAACATCACCGAATGGCGAAATGTGGTCCAAATGATTCACGATAGAGGCATGTACGTCATTCTCGACAACACCATGGCCACCATGTCCAATCTGTTCGGCTTCGATGGATACTACAACTCAAGTACTCCCTGGTCGTTTACCGAGCACAAGATGGAGTACACCTCTTCCACCACCTACCGCGATTTCTATCACTCCAACGAATTTCACGAAGTTTGCCCTTATCCCTTCCCCCGCTTCTGGGACCAAGGTGGCAACCAGATTCTCGATAACAACACCAACGCCATGGTTGGCTGCATGGACAGCGAGTTCAATCAATTCGGCGACGTCGGAGCATTTGGAGTGTACCCAGAATGGCAAAAGCAGCTCTCGAAATTCAACGGCGTGCAGGATCGTTTACGCGAGTGGCGACCCGCCGTGCTTGACAAAATCAAACACTTCTCCTGCATGATGATCAAAGGCCTCGACATCGATGGTTTCCGTATCGACAAAGCTATGCAGGTCACTGTCGATGCCCAGGGCGACTGGTCACGCTTTCAGAGAGAATGTGCATCCTCCGTGGGCAAGAACAATTTCTTCATCCCAGGAGAAATCGTGAACGGAAATGCCGATGCATCCATCTACCTTGGGCGAGGCAAAGAACCAAGCATGCTTGTGTCCGATGAACTTGCAGCCATGATGGACAATCAAACCGAGGACTCTGAATATATTCGCCCGGCTGGATATCAGGCACTCGATGCGGGTGCTTTTCACTACTCCACTTATCGTGCACTTATGCGTATGCTTGGACTTGATGGCAACCTGCTCGCGAGCAATGATGCTCCTATCAATTTTGCAGCCCAGTGGTCGACGTTTGTTCAGACGAACGACATGCACAATGCCAACACGGGGAAATTCGACCCCCGTCACATGTATGGTGTCTCGAATCATGACGTCCTGAGATGGCCTGGCCTTACCAACGGCACAGAGCGCCAACTGCTTGGAGACTTCATCATCACCATGCTCATGCCCGGCATTCCACTGATTAGTTGGGGAGAAGAGCAAGCATTCTATGTCCTCGACAACACTGCCAGCAACTATATTTACGGTCGTCAGCCAATGTCTTCCGCCCAAGCTTGGCAAATGCACGGTTGCTACAAGGTTGGAAACACAAACCTTAACAATTGGCCACTGAACAGCTCGTTGGTTGGATGCCAAGACGATAAAGTCAGCTTGGATCACAGAGATACCACGCATCCAGTCTACACCGTGCTGAAGCAAATGTTTGAAATGCGGAACCGTTATCCAGTTCTTCGCGACGGGTTCAACGTGACGCAGCTTTCCAATAATACGTTCAACTACACGCTTCCTGGCTCATACGGCACGCCTACCGAGACTGGCCTCTGGAGTGTGTATCGCGGTCGTGTGGAAAGTCTCCAGGACTTTGAAGGCGATGGTATCTTTGGCAATCAAGGCATCTGGATGCTGTACTCAAATTACAATGGCTCCCGAGAGTATGAGTCCGACTGTACTGGCGAAGACGCGATCATTTCTCCATTCGACTCGAACACGACCGTCAAAAACATGTTCTACCCGTTCGATGAGTGGAGTCTGGAGGAGTCACCTTTGACCCTCAACATTGAAGGTTCAACCAACCCGAATGGCTGTCTTCCTCAAATCAATTTGACCAAGTATGGCTGGAAGGCTTTTGTTCCGAAGGACAAGTGGATGGCGCCTTCACCCGTGGTCACCGGCTTCTCTCCAGGGCACGATGCACGAATCCTGTCCAACTCCTCAGCATCTGAAGCCTCTACTTTCGAGGTTGAGCTGCGATTCTCAGCCGAAATGAGCTGTAGCAGTCTTGCTGATGCACTGTCCGTGGATTCAACGACTGGGACTGGGGAGAATGCAGAAATCGACACTGACAACATCGACTGTCTCAACATCGAACCGATTTACGAAGCTTATTACTATGGACCAAGTCCTTCTGTCTGGCGGGCCAAGTTCAACCTCACCAATCTGTACCACGGTGTCCATAGGATCAATGTCAACAATGTCTCGAGTGAAGCTGGCGACACTTCCACCAACTCGTATGACCACTATATGATTCGCATTGGTGAAGAGAGCAACCCCATCGTGTTCCCGCTGAAAGGCAATTACAGCACTTCTCTTCTCTACCACGATACCACCAGCACAAAGCGTGATGCAACCATCACCAGCTCCGGTCTGATGATAAACCACAAGGCGCCCGGAGCTGACAAGTGGCGCTTCTCGATGTCTTTCGGTGCTGTGTGGTCAGAGTGGTTCGACTACACTCACGGCAACGTCTCTCTACCCTCACAGACTTGGCGTGGCAAGGACAACCAGAAGTGGTCTGGTGACCACGTCCAGGTACAATATTGGTCGCAGCTTGCTGGCAGCAGCGATCACGTCGTCGAGGGAGATGTTGTTGGCTCCAAAACCCCGCCACGGCGATTTCCTCATCTCTTCCTCCACGGCTCTTTCAACCAATTTGGCTTTGACTCTGGCTTGCCGAACGACATGGGTCAACTCGATAACGGTACTTGGTACTTCGACTTCATGGATGAATGGCCATCTCAGTTCCAGGTTAATGTATGGGGCATGGCTGCAAATGGCAAACCGGACGTATCGATGGCCTATGGCGATGTCGATAACGACACAGTTCTGGACCGCATTTCGCCCGTCTCTCTACAGAAAGCGCAGGTCAACATTACTAATGAAGGCCCCAATGGTACTTACCTTGCTTGGCGAATTCTGTTCAACGATGGCGATTTGCGATACTACATGGTCCCAGTCGGAAATCGATACCTTCAGCTCGCGCTGTCAATTCTGCTGGCAATCATCCCCGTGATAACAGCCATCATGGGTGTGTGGCTGTACGTGCACTACTTCTACGGTATCAAGTTCAACGAGATTGGGCTTTCGGAGAAGAACAGCATTCATCCCGTGGCGGTCCTTGGCAAGCTCTTCAATCGTGAGAAATACAGCGAGAAAGACACGGTCCTCGACTCTCCTGTCAACTCTGGAGACTCGTCACCTGATGTTGCGGGTGGTACTATCATCCGTGACACTCTAGGCGCTGGCGCTATCAGTGAAGCGAAGAGAAGGACTGTTCTCATCGCGACCATGGAGTATGACATCTCGGACTGGAACATCAAGATCAAGATTGGCGGTCTTGGTGTCATGGCTCAACTGATGGGAAAGAACCTCGAGCACCAAGACCTTATCTGGGTAGTGCCATGTGCCGGTGGCATTGATTATCCTATGGACACGCCTGGCCTCCCCATTGATGTGACTATTCTCGGACGCACGTATGAAGTCCAGGTCCAGTACCACAAGCTCAATAACATTACCTATATGTTGGTCGACGCACCGGTCTTCCGTCGTCAGAATGCAAAAGAGCCATACCCAGCTCGCATGGACGATCTTGACAGTGCAATCTACTACTCGGCATGGAACCAGTGCATCGCAGAAGCCATGCGACGTTTCCCCATCGATCTCTACCACATCAACGACTACCATGGAACAGTTGCGCCACTCTACCTTTTGCCAGACACTGTGCCTTGTGCGCTTTCTCTCCATAACGCTGAGTTTCAGGGTCTGTGGCCGATGAGGAATCCGCGCGAGGTGGAAGAGATTTGCTCTGTTTTCAACCTCCCGCAAACTGTCGTTCAGCGCTACGTCCAATTCGGCGAAGTCTTTAACCTTCTCCACGCCGGCGCGAGCATACTACGCATTCATCAAAAGGGTTTCGGTGCCGTCGGCGTGAGCAAGAAGTACGGCAAGCGTTCGTGGGCACGATACCCAATTTTCTGGGGACTTAGGAAGATCGGAGCTCTACCGAACCCCGACCCTACCGATATTGCTGAGTGGGACAAGAAGCTCACGGACCCTGACTCTGTACAAATCGACCAGGTATTCGAAAGCGCACGTGCAGGACTGAAGCGTCAAGCTCAGGAATGGGCTGGTCTTGAGCAACGTGCTGATGCTGATCTATTCGTTTTTGTCGGTCGCTGGTCCATGCAAAAGGGCATAGACTTGATCGCAGATGTCTTCCCGGCGATCCTAGAAAAGTACGAACACGTCCAACTCCTTGCCATCGGTCCCACTATCGATCTCTATGGCAAGTTCGCCGCGCTCAAGCTGCAAAGGATGATGGAAAAGTATCCTGGACGCGTCTACTCCAAACCTGAATTCACTGCCCTGCCGCCCTTCATCTTCAGCGGCGCTGAGTTTGCGCTCATACCTAGCAGAGACGAACCTTTCGGCCTGGTCGCTGTCGAATTCGGCCGAAAAGGTGCTCTCGGCGTGGGCTCTCGCGTTGGTGGACTTGGGCAGATGCCAGGCTGGTGGTACACGATCGAGTCTTCATCTACCAAGCACCAAATGAACCAGTTCAAGATGGCCATTGCCGCTGCTCTCAAGTCTGACTATGATACGCGTGCCATGATGCGAGCACGATCTGCGAAGCAGAGATTTCCAGTCGCTCAATGGAAGGAAGACCTGGAGATCCTTCAATCGACCGCCATCAAGGTGCACAAGAAGCGCATGGAACACATCACTGCAAAACGGATGGGTCTAGAAGACAAGAGCGGCGTATCTAGTGGATGGAACACGCCTGGATGGATGACTCCACGTAGTGGTTGGGGCACTCCAGCCGGCAGTAGACCAGGCACTCGCCCATCTTCGCCAACCAGATCTGGACCCACCACACCATCAACATCTCGTCCTGCATCGCTCTCACTGGGCATGCGACATGGTCCAGGTCACGGCCATTCTCCTCCCCATTCAACAACGCCTTCGTCTCAAACGCCCAGCGCATCTCGCCGCAATTCATTTGAAGATCAGGACCCACGCACGCGCTTGAGCAGCATCTCGGACGAGGAGTACATCTCACAGCAGACTGCCGAAGAATCCAAGCGACGATCGCAGCTTGGCGGTGTGAATGAGATGAACTATTCTCTTCGAGACGCTACGCTTGCCAACCAGCCCAGGCAGCCCAATGCTACACATAGCCCATACTTCTCCCCAGCTACTCCAAGCGAAACTCCCGGAGGCGCCCACTTTCCCTTCCTATCGCGACCGCACACTCCAGTGCGAGGTGACGCGCCGAGTATGCCACAGACGCCTCTCTCCACCGAGACTGTCATGGACGAGAAGAAGAACCAGCCACAAGATCTCATGCCATTCTTCACCGACCCTACCGGACTCTACTACAAGACGTTTAACAAGAAGCTGGACGCGTTGAGTGGCAGCACTTCAGAGAGCGCTCTGTGCATTGAGGAGTATCTGGAGAAGTCTGAGAAACAGTGGTTTGGTCGCCTCCACGATGTCAAGATGAGCCGTACTAACACGCCGAACGCTTCGAGAGGCCCGACCCCAGCAGGATCTATCTACGAAGGTGTCGAAACTGACGAGTCCGTTGCCCAGTTCCTGCTGCCTGACAACTACCAAGCTCCCACTGGCATTAAACGTGTCATGATGTACAAGTTCGGGGACTGGCCAGTGTACTCCATCTTGCTCGCTCTGGGTCAGATTCTTGCCGCCAACTCTTACCAGATCACGCTCATCAGCGGTCAAGTAGGTCAGACCGCAGGCCAACTGTACGCAATTGCATCAATCTACCTGGCTACGACGATGATATGGTGGTACATCTTCCGAAGATTCGCTGCTGTCTGGTGTCTGAGCTTGCCATGGGTCTTTTACGGCTTAGCCTTCTGGCTACTGGCGTTCGCACCATATGGCTCATCGACATTTGCCACAGGCTGGGTGCAGAACGTTGCTACAGCCATGTATGCTGTCGCATCTTCATCTGGTTCGCTATTCTTTGCCCAAAACTTCGGATCACTTGGGTCCGCGCCTGTCAAGGATTGGGCATTTCGAGCGTGTGCTATCCAGGGTACTCAGCAGCTATATGTTGTAGGGATGTGGGCTTGGGGAAGCAAGCTCACGAACCAGAGCAACGCCGGGCAATCGACCTCGTTGGGAACGAAGATGACAGCTATCGGGATTCCGATTTCCATCTTCTTGTGGTGTATTGGGCTGGTCTTGTTCTTTGGCCTGCCCGACTTCTATCGCCAGAAGCCCGGTGGAGTCCCCGACTTCTATTCTTCCATATTCCGCAGGAAGATCGTTGTCTGGTTCCTCATCGCTGTCTTTGTGCAGAACATTTTCCTGTCTGCGCCGTATGGTCGCAACTGGTCATACCTCTGGAGCTCTAAGCACGCCCCAGGGTGGGCGATCTTCTTGCTCGTACTTCTCTTCTTCGTCGTCGTGTGGGTCGTACTGCTTTTCCTCTTCGGCCACCTCACGACAACTCACAGCTGGTTCATCCCCATCTTCGCCATTGGCCTTGGTGCACCTAGATGGTGTCAGATCCTCTGGTCCAACTCTGATATTGGCCAGTATTTGCCCTGGGCTGGTGGACCAATCGCATCTGCCCTTCTCGGAAGGAGTCTATGGCTATGGCTCGGGGTACTGGACTCGATACAAGGTATCGGCTTCGGCATGATCATTCTCCAGACCATGGTCCGTTTCCACTGCTCTTTTGCTCTCATGCTAGGTCAGATCGTTGGCGCAATTGCCACTATTGTAAGTCCCGACACATTGGCCCTCGTTTCCACACACATGCTAACCATCGTCTAGATCGCTCGAGCAGACGGCCTCAACAGCACGGGACCCGGCCCTACCTTTCCTAATTTTGCTGGTGGATGGTCGAGTGGACTCTCGGAGCCTTGGTTCTGGGTGTGTCTGCTGTTCCAACTCGGCATCTGCGTTGGGTACTTCACGTTCTTCCGCAAAGAACAGCTCTCCAAACCTTAAGACAGGGCTGCAGGCGCGTTTCGATTCTTGATACATTGTTCTGACTGTACAGACTTCTGGAAAGGCGAGGAGTCGCAACTTTGAGGGTGCTTTAATGATCTAACGAAGATCCATGGTGTTAAGCGATGATCTGTTTGGAATTCTGTATGGCGCTTCGAGCGCGAGCAAGCGTAGCATCCATTTGTGGGGCACCTCTTGGACCAACTGCAACGAGAGGCATTGTTCAGTCATCCCGCGATAGTCTGAAGAGACACAACAAATAGTGCATATATACCCCAGTGATCATAGAGAATACGTAAGGTAGATGAAAGACTCGAAGTGCTCGGCTCTTAACAAACCAACCATGTGCAGCTCCTGTGTCGACAGTATGTGGTGGATTGGAGCACGTGTTTTCGCGTCTCGAACACTTTGACGGACGGGACGGTTAGAGCCGAAAGCGCTTGGCATAGAGCAGGATTGACTCCTATCCGTACCGTAAGGGATTTAAAAGCTCGCTTACACACAACGGCAACATACATAGTTAACTACACACTGACACAGTAGAGGTAGAAGTGAACCTTGAGACATCGATGCTCGTCAAGGATTACCCTACCACTCCAAGTGTCAGTGCGTCTTGGCATGTGTCGGGAGAATATTAATCATTATTAGAGCCCGATTGCACGAAGACGTGGCCAACTCATCATCATCATCATCGTCACCATCATCACGAAGCCACTACGCGACCACACCGAAAGATGGACGACGCATCTCTGGGAAAGGGAGACAACACCACGTTTACCGTTCTCGTGACTGGCGCCAACAGGTGAGACTGCCAATGACGCTTCCGTGATATGTGCTGACTGACTATGTGATCGATACTACATTAGTGGACTTGGCTTCGCGTGTTGCTGCAGACTCATCGATGAATTCCTCTACACAAGACCACAATCTCAGACCCTGCACCTCCTCTTCTCGACCCGAGACACGAGGAAGGGTGCGGATACCCTCAACAGACTCCAAGCGCATTTCCAGCGGACGTTACGCGAAGCGAATGGAAAGACGCTGGGCATTAGCCTCCTCCTGGAATCACGAGTCAAGATTGAGGGCGTCCTCGTAGATCTCCTGAAACTGACGACTGTGAAGTCTCTCGCTGAACAATTACTACGACGAGGGCAGAAACTAGATGCTGTGGTATGGAATGCTGGTGTTGCGGGCTGGCTGGGACTGAACTGGCCGAAAGCCATCTGGAGCACGTGCACAGATCTGGTACAGGCCGTGACCTATCCCGCATACATGACCTGTGATGTGGGCGCACGAGCGAAGCGGCAAGTACAAGACACGACCAACGCAGAAGATGAGCCGGTGCTTGGCGAGGTTTTCACCGCCAATGTGTTTGGCCACTATCTGCTCACGCATTGGCTTGCTCCTTTGATGAGTCGAGACTCGCGTGTGGTATGGATTTCCAGCACGGGCGCCGTCGAAGAGTGTTTTCACATTGACGACATACAAGGGCTCCAATCGTTGGCCGCTTACGAGTCTTCGAAACGGTTGACCGACTTGATTGTTCTCACGTCAGATTTGCCGGCGACGAGGCCTTATACGGAAACCTTCTTCTCCTCCTTGCAACCACGAGAAGACTCTCGTCCCATCATGCTCGTCACACATCCTGGTGTCGTAGCCACTTCCATCTCTGGACTGCACTGGTTTCTCGCCATCTTCATGACTGCAGCCTTCTACGCAGCGCGCTGGTTGGGCTCGCCTTGGCATCCCATCGAGCCGTATAAAGGTGCGGTCAGTATGGCTTTTGCAGTGTTGGCACCGCAGCTCGTGGAGCAGGAGAGTCGGGAAGGTAAGGGAAAGTGGGGTTCAGCGACCAGTGTGCATGGTGATGAAAGAGTCGCTCGGACTCAGGTGCAAGGCTGGGGCTACTGTGGTACGCCTGGAGTCGTCCCGCCCGGGAGTGTCACGAAAGGACATTATCGTGGACTTCAGGAGACTACACGGGAGAGGAGAGAGGAATTTGAGGAAGTGGGAAGGCAGGTGTGGAAGAAGATGGAAGAGATGAGAGTGCAATGGGAGGCACGACTTGGTCCGATCAACAACTGAGGGCCAGGGCCAGGTATGGGATGTGTGAAGAAATGTCTCTGTTAGATCATTCAGAAAGGTCTGTTTGGTTGAATCAGCCATTTACACTATAATATGTTATATATATATATATGCATCCACGATGACACCAGCCTCCTAACTCGGCTTCGTCACAGGCACCCCATTCGTGATCCCACCATAAGGCACAACAGGATACTCCCCAAAGCAACTAAATTCGTACTCCGCCGTCTCCAACATCTTCGACTGCACCTCCATAAACGTCGTCAATTCACACCACCCATCATCACGATTACCACACTCGGTAAAAGATTTCCCCAATGGAATCGTGCGTTGATTGAGAATAAAATGAATGTACCGCGTGACTCCTCCATCGTCCTCGTAGGTGGTGGCGTAACCGCCGCCGCTGTTCTTACGATTCCCGCTCAGAGGTTTGGGCGTCTCGATAATTTCCATGTCGAGTCGCGCGCCAAAGGGTTCCATGTGTGAGACAATGAGGGAGCGGTTGCGCTCGAGATGATCGGCGGGCAGGACGGGCGCGAATTGCGTGAGGCCGAAGGCCGTGAGGATGGAGGCGATGTTGGTGTCGTGGGAGAAGTCTGGTGTTGGTGGATATGTTAGTATACCCCTTATGGAAAAAAGAGGATTGTGGTGGTGGGTATGATGCTCTCTCTTTAAGAAAACAATGGAAAAGAAGAAAAAGAAAAGAGAAAAAAAAAAGAAAAAAAAAAAAGAAAAAACTTGCCAAAGTTGAGAGTCTGACCCAGTGGAAATGTGGATGTGTTGTTGTCCAGAGTCACGTTGATTTGTGCTGTGGGCTGGGTGATGACGTGTCCTTGAAGACGAGATAGTATTTCCACGACGTAGCCAATGCCCACAGCACGACCGGTGGGCGATTGGAACATGTTGTTGCCGGCAAAGGCCAAGTCGATGGAGTACTCGTAGCCTTCCCATTCTGCATAGGTGAATAGTCCACAGAATGCAGAATATCCCAAGGCCACGGTCTCATAAGCACAGAGCGATTGGGCGTTGTAGGCGTCGGCAACCGTCCAGTTGAAACCCTGACTATACGAGTTGAGGCGTGCGGGAGCATCAGCGAGGTACTTTTCGTACCATTGCGTCGAAGCGTTGTTTCCGCCAGTCGAGACGGCTGTATTGGAGTTGTTGCAGTTGTAGTAACCGGCTAAGGTGTTGTTCCAGATGCCTGAAAATCAAAAAGGTCAAAGGTCAGCAAGTTTGTCCAAGTCTCCCAGCTCAGCACCATCGTGCAAGCGTGGGCCTCTCTCAAAAGATCGAGAGGTGACCAAGCCCATGAGCTGTTACTTCACTTACCTCTCGATTGCTCAATCGCAAGCACCAAGGTAGCATTCTGAGTCCAGTCCAGTCCGAAGAAACCAGCCAAGAAATACTCGGCAGACTTCAGCATGCGGTCTTGAGTGGTGGATCGGGCAATGATCTTGGTCCCATTGTTCTTGTACAAGTGTCCGTACTCGATCTGGTGAAGGGTGCCACTGTCGAAGAGTTCTTGCTTACCCAGTGGCACCAGGATTTCGGCACCAAGCTTTTGCAGTACTTAGCATGTATTGATGTATTGGAGCCAAATCTCATTTTTGGTACCGCGTACGTACCTTGTAGGTCCAGGTGTTCAAGAAGTCGAGGGGTCCAGAGAATGTGGCATGGCCCAGCACGCCGGTCGTGTAATTGAGGATCTTTTGCGCAACAACAGTGGCACCAGCACCAGTCGTAGGATAACGCGCACCGTGTCGAGATAACATGTTCAGCTGCACAATCGATGCATTGCTAGGTAAAGGATACTCATCCACGCCGAACCCTTGAGGGTTGGGAAAGTAGTGCGACAGTTGGCCGTGCATCTGGAAAATGTTTCCATTGTCATTGTTTCCCACGATGGGAACCTGGGTCTCCAGTGGGCTGTTGGGAATGTACGTCTGCGCAGTCTTCATCAGCTGCAAGTCCATACGTGTGTGAGAGGTGTGCGCACTGTGCTTGCAAACGGAGCCGGGTTTGTTTGAGCGAGGAAGGCTGCATCACCAGTGGGAGTTGGGCCTGAAAGGGTCAGTACAGTACTACATCGATACTCCATCGGGGAATGTCATATCTACCAGGAAACAGCTCCGGTTCGGTCACCAAATAGTCGGGCAGACTACTCGAACTGGGCCCATATTGAACATTAGCTGCCTCGCCGCCCACAACCGCCAATACACTACACGCAACGGCGTATTTCTTGTACATGATGATGAATTGGAGCACGACGAAGAGAAAGAGCAGAAGCTGGATAAGAACAAGGAATCTCTGTCCCAGGCGGTATCGACATGTAGTGACAGGGATGGCTGGGTGATTTGTACTCCACGGCCACTTCAGCAGCTCGTCCCGCTGCACATGATCATCAGGAGGAGTCTCCAGCAGCGGATTCTGCGCGGAAGCTTCCCCTCGCATCACGACGGGGCGGAGGACGGGCGGTTGCGGTCAGGCAACGCTGGAAGATGCTGCAATCCGGCCGACTTGGGAAAGATGATGTCGTGTTCGGAGAGGCCAGTCCAGTGAGTCCACAGTGTGGCTGAATCCTCTTCTGCACGTCCAGCAGGCTTTCGGCAAATCAATGCGAGATGCTTGGCACGTGTCCGTTCGTCTTCCCGTCACGAGCGGTGCAGATGTCGAAACAGGCGTATAATGGGTGCATTTGGTGGAAACTATCAAGGTTCTTGTTGATGGAATCAGGTCTAATGTCGATGATGTAGCTTTCGGATGTCGGAGGTAACTTAATTCTACGAGGTAAGGTACGGTCGGCCAAAGCGGCCAACCGCCATCCGTCACCCCCGACGTATTCTCATACTAAATACACTTCTCTATACTACAACGTCTACTTACTACTACCCTATAAAACCTACCTTCCTACCTTCCTACCTACCTACCTTCCTACCTACCTACCTTCCTACCTACCTACCTATCTACCTACCTACCTACCTATCTATCTACCTACCTACCTACCTATCTATTCCTATAGGCTACCTTACCTAAAGTTTAGAAGAGAAGGAGAAGGAGGATAAGGAGAAGGAGGAGAAGGAGGCCTAGGAAGAAGAGGCCTAGGAAGAAGAGGCCTAGGAAGAAGAGGCCTAGGAAGAAGAGGCCTAGGAAGAAGAGGCCTAGGAAGAAGAAGAGGCCTAGGGAAAAGAGAAGGCCTAGGAAGAAGAAGAAGCCTAAGGAGAAGAGGAGGCCTAGAAAGAGGAATCCTAGGAAGAAGAGAAGGCCTAGGAAGAAGAGAAGGCCTAGGAAGAAGAGGCAGCCTAGGAGAAGAGGAGGC